AGCATCCAGCGCATCATCCAGAACGACATACTCGCCGGAGGACGCTGGCGCAACTTCAGCGTGCAGGAAGCTTACCTCCTGCTCCTCGAATCCATCTCCGTCCGTATCATGCTCCGTCAGCGCCCGGGAGGCGTCCTCGAACCTATCGCAGCGATCTATTGCGAACCGCCCACGGATGATCCCGCCGACTGGCTGACTTTCCGCAACATCGCGCGCACCCACCCCTACGGCAACGCTCTCGCTGGCGCACCGGAGCTCTTCCTGGACCGACTCTGGTGCAACCTGTGCCATTCCGTCGACCACCCGACCGGTATGTGCCCGTACCCGGACGCCCAAGGCTGGAACGGTCCAAGGGACAACCATGCGCAGCGCGGTCGCGGAAACGGACGCGGCCGCGGCCGCGGCCGCGGAAACGGTGGTAACGGAGACGCTGGCCGCGGTGGCAGAGGCGGACGTGGTGGTAACAATGGACACAACGCGTAGATCGTAGTAGCTATACCGCTGAACTGTACCCCACGACTCGTAACATGAATGCATCACAATCTTGACGTCGCGATACTTCGACCGAACACCCTGCGACCCTCTGAACTCTCTCTAAAACTTTCTCTATTCTCTTCACTATCTCCTTCACCCCCTATTACTCCACTAGACTAACCCGCCCAGACCAAGCGAGACGTCAGAGCGCCCAAATACACTGACCGTACGCGGGACAGGAAAGCCTCTGACATCGCGAAGTGTCTCCTCACTTTCCCCACAGATATGGGCACTAACTAAACTTGCCCAGCCGAGAGGCTTAAGCAACCAACGACGGCTCAGCGGTCGCTGCGATTGCATGTTTCCTGCGGCGTCCAGGAGCGACGCCTTGCGCCTCGCGGATCGTTGTAGCGAGTGCGCCGATACGCAACGGCTCCACACTACATAACACCAAATAACACGGACGTTCAAACGGCAACCGGTTCAATGCCTCCCAACACCAGATGGGCTGGCACTCCCCTCGCTGGTGCCAACCCACAGGATGGTGTCGCGGAGTTCGGAAGCGAGGCCGGCCAAGCGACTCATACGAGCGTGCAGGCCTGCTCAACACAGGTCGGTGCCGACCGCACCGACACGGGCCACCATACCCGAAGCGGAGAAGCCGCACAGACTCACCCAGAAATGGAACCACCCCGCCGAGTACAGGAAACGAGGCACCGAAAGGGAAGAAATACCCGAGCCACGCTGGCGGTAGGATCCCAGAACATCTGCGGAAGGGGCACCCTAGCCAGCGGTGCAGCCGCGAACAAATGGAACACAGTGAATCAGATCATGCGCCTCGAAAAACTGGGCATCCTAGCTGTCCAAGAGACGCATCTGTCAAATGAGTGGGTAGACAACCTCCACGACATGTATGGTAGACGTCTCAGAATATATAACTCCGCTGATCCGGAGACAACCAATGCGAAAGGAGTAGCCTTCGTACTCAACAGAGAAATAGTGGACACAGCGCAAGTCAAGACAACCGAAGTGATCCCAGGACGTGCACTACATATGACGATAAGATGGCATGCGGATAGATTCCTTACACTGCTCAACGTATACGCGCCGAATGCGACAAATGAAAACGCGAGCTTCTGGCCCACCCTCTCGTCTAAGATACGGTCCCTCCGCCTTAAGAAACCGGATATAATGCTAGGCGACTTCAACATGGTCGAAGAGAACATCGACCGTGTACCAGTCCACAGCGACCCACCAACCACTGTAGAAGCACTACAAACACTCATAGATAACTATAACCTCAGAGACGGATGGCGAATGACCGAGCCCACAAGTAAAGCGTACACATTCCCCCAACGGGGACACACATCACGGTCCAGGCTCGACAGGATCTACGTAACTGACGAACTACTGAACGCCTCCTCAACGTGGTCAATCAAGACGACTGGCATCCCCACAGACCACAAACTGGTCACAGCGTCCATAAGCGCCCTCACAGCACCGATGATTGGGAAAGGCCGGTGGATAATGCCCCTGAACCTGCTACATGACCCCACCTTCCTTGAGGAAGTAAGCACACTGGGCGAACGCCTCCAAAAGGAGGCCGAGACGCACGCTGAACGCCGAATGCGTAGGGCAGACTGTAACCCCCAACTATCCCTAAAATCCTTCAAAGACTCTGTCAAACATATAGCCCAAGAACGCATGAAGAAACGGGCCCCCAAGTTGGACGCCGCGATCAGGAAACTGAATGAGCAAATCACGCTCACCCAGAACCTCCCCACCTTCGAACACAGCATCCACCTACAACAGGAAACAGGGATACTACAAGACCGCTTGCACGAACTGGTACGGAAGCGACACGCCGGGATCAAAGCCTCCACCACCGCGAACTACGCGCTGCATGGCGAGACTATCAGCAAATACTGGTCCAGTATCAATAAAGAGCGGAAGCCCAGAGACCTCCTCTTCGCGCTACAGAACCCCTCAACGCGACCGAACCCATGGCCACCCGCTCAGACAAAATGGCCAAATTGGCGCGCGACTACCACGAGGCCCTACAGGAGGTAGGAACTACCCCAGTGAATAACCCGGAACGCCAAAGCGCAACACGCAAAGTCCTGCAGGCGGTATCAGTGAGAATGCTCGACGAACATAAAGGAGCACTCACCGACCTCACCACGGCCAGAGAAGTCAGCGAAGCCCTCCGTAGCTCTCAAACGGGCAAAGCCGCCGGCCTGGACGGACTCCCTTACGAGTTCTGGACAGCAATGAAAGACTACGCCAAAAGAAATAGCAAGGACGACTCACCCCCTGCTTTTGACTGTATTCAATTCCTAGCCCTGGCTTTTGGTGACACAGACACATACGGCGTATGCCCTGGCCTGCACTTCACAGATGGCTGGATGTGCCCAATCTACAAGAAAGGCGACAGGCGTAACATAGCGAACTATCGCCCGATCACCCTACTGAACTCAGACTACAAACTCTATACGAAAATCATTGCCACTCGCCTGAACGACATAGCGCCGCACCTCATCCACCCCAACCAAGCGGGCTTCATCCCTGGACGCCACATCGAAGACCAAACACAACTCGGACGAGTCATGGTAGACTACGCTGAGGCAGTCGAAGAAAACGGAGTCATAGTCGCCCTAGACCAAGAAAAAGCCTATGACAAGATTGACCATGCTTACCTGTGGGAAGTACTGCGCACCTTCGGGTTCCCAGAGAAATTCATACAACGAATACAAAACCTGTACAGAGGTGCAACAACGATAGTGATCATTAACGGAGAGAAAAGCTCACCATACCTCGTAATCCGAGGTGTGCGACAAGGTGACCCGCTGTCTTGCCTTCTCTTCGATTTCGCCATCGAACCACTGGCCTGCTTACTACGAACTTCTGCTCTGCACGGATTTGATATCCCCGGCGTCGCCGACCGACTAGTCACCACCTTGTTTGCAGATGACACCTCTACATACCTCTCTGCCCGAGACTCGTGGAAGGACCTGTGGGATATACTTAACACGTGGTGCTCTGCATCACAAGCAAAGTTCAATAACGGGAAAACGGAAGTCATCCCGATCGGCTCACCTGAGTACAGAGAGACGATCCAGATCTCACGAACGCTTGACCCACACAACCTAGACTCGGTGATACCGAATGACGTGCACATCGCACAAGACGGAGAGGCAGTGAGGATCCTCGGAGCGTGGATAGGAAACGGAGTAGATGGAGCCGCGGTATGGACACCCGCGATGGAGAAAATCCGAGCCTTCCTAGACCGATGGCAGCGCTGCCGCCCCTCCCTACAAGGCAAACGCCACATAGTGCAAATGGGCCCTGGCGGCATCTCGCAATACCTTGCGAAAGTACAAGGCATGCCAAGATCAATTGAAGACCGACTGACCAAGATGATCCGCACCTTTATCTGGGGCGAAGACCGACGCGGCTTGGTAAATATGGACATTCTGTACATGCCTAAGGATCAGGGCGGGATAGGCCTCCTGGATATAAAGTCCCGGAATGAAGCGATAGAACTAACATGGCTACGAGGCTACCTCAAACTCGACGGAGATCGCCCGACCTGGGCGTATGCAGCGGACGTCCTCCTAAGCATCCATGTAACTGCCGACGCGGGCGAAATTCGACCATCGGCACAAATAAACACGTTCCTCCAGACGTGGAAGCCTGCCACACATGGCAAAACAGGTCTTCCCAGATATCTAACAACCATGCTGCGAATCGGAAAGAAATACAACGTTAGTCTGGCTGCAATAAAGCTCGACCGCAATCTAAAAGGCAAACTCCCGATCTGGTACCATATGGGAGCATCGAAGAAACTACGTCGCCTGAACAACACCAGTATAAGCGACTGCCTGAGGGAGACGCACGGCATTCTAAGGGTCGTGGACCTCCTACGTCTAACAAGACGCCAGCACACACGAGGAGACGCCCCCAACCCCAATGCGAACCCCTCAGAATGCATATGTGACGACTGCATAGATGACATGGCGCAGGGATGCCTACACCCGCACAAATGCATAGCAGCGGCAGCGAACCTACTGGAACAAGTGGCCGCCAAATGGCACCCACACACCGCAACTCCAGGAGATGGCCTCTCCCACACACGGACCCGCCGCATAGATAACATTAAAGCCCACGGAGCCGGGCAGCCAGTGTGCTTCGACCCGTCAATCACCGAACGCGGTGATCTGTCCGAAGCCTTTAGAGTCTTCGTGCACCCCGACACCCATGACCGGCCGCCCGCCCTACGCACCCGTAGAGGGCGGGTCGTACAGGACGAAACCACCTCCGCCTACGTGGCAGATGCCTATACCCTCAAAGGGAATCGCTCGCTCCGCGAGCGCGACACCCCCGCAAGCGGGGGAGTCCACCTGTCCGGGCTCGAATTGCGGACAATGGTAGCAACTGCCCCCGCAGACATGGAAGGCCGAACAGATCGGACAGGAGAACTAGCCGCCACGACACTAGCCGTGACGACCGTCCCACTCGACGTTCCCCTACGCATCGTCAGCACGACAAAATACCTCGCAACAGCCCTCGTAATGGACCTCGCAGGATGGGAGGACCGCGGATGGATCGACGTCCCTGACGCTACACTGCTACGCGTCATTGTCAGCCACCTCAGACAACGATGTGCAGTGACCACACTGGCGGTTGCATCCCAGAAAACGGACTGGGAGAGAATGAACATCGCCTGGGACGCCCAACTGGAGCGACCGCGACCCCAGAACATAACCCATGAAATCAGTCTCGAGCAAAACCACCCGTTCTCCCTCACGGGAGCACGACTTGCATGTCTAACACAACGCCTAGCGTACCGAGGAATACGAGCGACCCGCGAACACCCGGTACGCAAGACGTCCCAAGCAATAGTTTCCGAAGCTCTTGCACACATCGGAGCAAACTCACCGGACACTCCCTCCAGCCAACAGCTCTGGCTGGCCATCCGTAGCACAGACATACGCAAGCCGGCGTCCGACTTCCTATGGAAAGTCCTGCAAGGGGCCCTGAGATGCGGACGCTTCTGGGCCAAGATCCCAGGATACGAGGATCGAGCAACATGCCACCAATGCGGCTCCCTAGATTCCATTGAGCATATCCTATTCCATTGTAAAGCAACCGGTCAGACAGCCATATGGGAAACGACCAAAGCCCTCTGGGCACAGAAAGACTTACCCTGGCCATCCCCTCTAACACTGCCGGACGTCCTGGGAGTTGGCCTGAAGACATGGACCAACCCAGGATCTAAGACGGTCCGGCATGGCGCCTCGCGCCTGTGGCGAATACTGATCCCGGAGGCGGCATTCCTAATCTGGAAGTTACGCTGTGAACGGGTAGTGGGACATGCGGAACAGCCGAACTGGATGCACTCAGAGGCAGAAATAATAAACCGATGGTCCTTCGCCCTCAATGAGAGACTACATAAGGAGATTACAATGACACATCGCCGTTTTGGAAGGTCAGCCCTACCACGCAGTAAAGTACTAGACACATGGGGCGGTACGCTGCATAACGAGATAAGCCTTCCACAAGACTGGACCCAATGGCCCCGGGTTTTAGTGGGTATTAACCTGCACACGATTCGTGAGCAGGCGAATGAGTCCCACACTGGTCGGGAACCCGACCGTGCGTAAACGCATTTTCTCCCTGGATGCACTTGCGGGGGAACCCGCTAGCTGGCTGGACGCCCGGGCTAACCAATTGTTAGTTGCGGCCGCCCATTTCTAAGCCCTCCAAAAAAAAAAAAAAAAAAAAAAAAAAAAAGAACAGGCCAAAGCGAGTCGGCGTTAGACGAGCGTGGTAAAAGGCTGCATGTGATTGGCTCGGGCGGTTCCGGCGACGGCCGAACAAGTCCGGGGCAAGTTACCTTCCGCAATGACGACCTGACCCAGCTTCGCACACAACCACAACCTCCTCGCCATGCAGTCCCTCGTCGCCCGCTCGTCCATCATGCGCCCCAGCGTACTCAGGTCGTCGGCGAGGACGTTCGCGACGTCGCCAACGCGTGCACAAGCGGTTCCGACTGAGAAGCCGGTCTTGAATAAGGAGTTCAAGATATACCGCTGGGTACGCTGATGATGCAGTAGTTTGAACGAGATTACAACTCACGCGAGTGTTCTTATATTTCTGACCATAGAATCCGGATGAGCCTGCAGCAAAGCCCAAGCTACAGACGTACACCGTCGACCTGAACCAGTGCGGTCCTATGGTAAGTCTGTTACTGTTACCTTCGTACTATGCTCTATGGCATCGTGGGGGGCTATGTCAGCAAACACAAGACTGGCCGGTCTAAGGAGTAGGACACGCATTGCCTGATGTTGACCTACTACCGGCCTGCTGAGGGAAAGGCGAGAACTTGACTCTCGTGGACCCGCGTATCGCCCCTCGACTCTGGCATTTGTAGATCGGGAGCATGCTGCCATCACGCCCTGATCATATGCGGAGAGTGTTGTCTCGCGAATTTACACGCTCAGACGGTTCACTAGTTGCCGGAGTGGAATGCACGGGGAATCCTGCGTGTGCTGTCTACAGACGTCTTCAGGGAGGATTTCATCTGTGAACTGCAGTTGGGATCTGCTCCAATTCGTGATCAATGCTTGTGCACTGGTGCAGAGAGTTCGCCGTGTAGGGGCCGCGCTATCAAGCAAATTTTGCGGACCCCACTGCTCCAGCTGCTGTATTCCGCGAGGCAGCCCATTCATATAGAACCCAGTGGCTATTCCATCTCCGGACAGTCCTCGCACCTCGGACGGCTACGAGTTATCATGCCTGGGCATCCCGTCAGCCCTCACTTGGCGAGGATGGCTTGTATGTCCGAACACAATATGCACTGTCCCTTCAAAGTGAACGATTCCCGTCTACATTCGATTCAAGTTTTCCCATTTATCGGCGTCCTGGTCTGATACGCGTATAGCCTGCCTCGTAGAGAGCTTTGTCCTGTTATCATAGTTCTCACTCATATCCGTTGATGTATGAACGGAGACGGGGATGAAAACAAGGCGATCACATTTTCTGTTTGATTTCCACACGTCCTTCAAAGTCAAATATTGACCAGCTTCTGTGCACTCACAGATTCTTGATGCACTCATTAAGATCAAGAATGAGACGGATCCGACACTCACTTTTCGCCGTTCATGCCGCGAGGGCATTTGCGGCTCCTGCGCAATGAACATTAACGGCCAGAACACCCTTGCGTGCCTCTGCCGCATTGACAGGAACGCCAGCAAGGACACCAAGATCTACCCTCTTCCTCACAGTGCGTGTGCCAGCTTTCCGCTGGATATCACGTGGTATGCATACCGACGCTAAACTTGACGCAGTGTACATTGTGAAGGACCTCGTCCCGGACCTCACGCAGTTCTACAAACAATACAAGTCGATCGAGCCCTACCTCAAGAATGACAACCCACCTGCAGACCGCGAGTTCCTGCAGTCACAGGAAGACCGGCGCAAGCTTGACGGGTCAGTCATTCATTGAAACTCAGTTATTGGACACCGGGTGACATGTTGGTGTTAGGATGTATGAGTGCATCTTGTGCGCGTGCTGCTCGACGTCCTGCCCGAGCTACTGGTGGAACCAGGACGAGTACCTCGGTCCCGCGACCCTCATGGCAGCCTACCGGTGGATGGCTGACTCCCGGGTGTGTATTCGGAATGATTTTGCGCTGGTGAAGCGTGTAGATTGACATGAATGCGGTACAGGACGCGTATTCGGCCCAACGGATGGAGAACTTGCAGAACGAGCTGAGTTTGTACCGGTGCCACACGATCTTCAACTGCGCACGGACATGCCCGAAGGGTCTTAACCCCGCTGCGGCGATCGCGAAGATCAAGCTGGAGCTTGCTGCGGACTAAATGTACTTGCACGCATGAGGGTGTACGGTACGCGCGTGTTCATTTGGGAGGATTGGCACTGCACGGTGATTCTCATGCGATTGTTGACAAGCAGGTACATGGCTCGTCTCGGGCGAGGCGACTGGAGGTTGTGTGTGGCATATCGTTATTCGTGGGGTGGATGACTCGTACGGGCGGCAGAGGTAGCATCTGTACAGCTACGTGATTCGTTGTTTCTAATAGCGAGCTTATCGATACGTCGATGGACTGCTCTACGAGGGACTCTTCGCTTCTGCTTGAGTCCTGGGCGCTCATGGCATGCCTCGCGATCTGTGCATGTTACGGGCTCTCTTCTATGCGTCCTCGTGCATGCCTTTCCGCTGCTTTTCTCTGCATTCACCGGTACTTCTTGGGTACTTCTATGGCCCCGTGCACGTATTAGGGACGAGAAGAGTCGAGATGTCGTGTCAACACCCCGTGCCTACCCACTGACCGTGCACGTCGCCGTACGACCAGTCGCCTGTGAGTCGCCTAGCCATCCATAATGAGGCACTGACAATTAGCGGAAGTGTCAAACAGGCGTCGTGAATCCTCATACGTGCCAGCCTAGGCGTCGTTTGGGCGCGCTGCAAAATGCGAAGCGATTGTATTACTTCATGACCGCTAGATGATTGTGTAGTTTCACAGGCCCTTCCCCGGGAGCAGAGTCCAATCTGTCAGAGCTTCACGCGCCATACTGAATTGGCAGCGCGAAGTACTGGCGGCAGAGAAATGTGTCCTCCACTGGGACAGGTCCTGTATATATATGTCAGAACTCGAATGCGGGGCACTCCACGACCATGGGAAGATTCTCTCGTTGGCTATCTTCCTTTAGACAATCTAAGTCGGATCACGATCGAGGTGGACATCCAGATGCTGTGCAGGCAGACTCGGACGCGGTGCGCGCTGTCATTGCGACTGCGGGTGGTCCTGTGAGGTAAGCTCATCGGCCTACAGTTTGGATTGATCGCTGAGGGAGGCTTCGTAGCGCGGAGAAGGGCCCCGGTAAGCCACTTAATTAAGCATTCCACAATATGCTGACACGTGGATGGCTGATGTGGCAGGCGTAGCTGTAAAGTGGGTCTTCTTCCTGTGCCCGTTGATATTGCTTTATGCACGTCGAGTATTTACAGCCTAATCTGTGCAGGGCAGAGAGCTCTCTTTTGTCCACCCCGAAGGTGGAAAGCACCCCCATCTTGGTCGAGACCACCGCCAACGAAGTTATACAGCCGGGGTCCGACCTTCGCCTCTTCGCGCTGATTGTCACCATCGACTCCTACAAGAACGAAAACATCCCCGACTTGTCCGGATGTGTCAATGATGGAAAGGACTTTCAGTACTTCCTAACCGATGCACTCCGTGTCCCGCCCTCCAGGATCCTTTCCTTGTCGAACCAGGACGCAACTCGCTCTGCGATCCTCAACGCGTTTATGGACCACCTCATACAGAACGATAACATTCGCAAGGGTGATGCGATTGTCTTCTTCTATGCTGGTCACGGTTCTCGCGTTGAGGCTCCCACCAATTGGCTTGCGGACGGTAACATGATCGAAACGATCGTTCCTCACGACGAGGGCCCAAGCGACGTTGAAGGCGAGGTTATCTACGGCATCCCCGACCGCACCTTTGACGGGCTAATGCGACAGTTGGCCCATGAGAAAGGAGACAACATTGTGAGTCGTGCAGTATGCAAATTAGGTTCATTGACGCTCAATAACTCACAGACTGCGATCTTCGACTCGTGCCATTCCGGCGGTATGTCGCGAGGCCCACTCGACATGATACCTCGTGCAGTCCCTCCCAACGTTTCGCCTTCTCCTGTTCCTCCCGCACTAGACGAGAATATTTGGAGATGGGGGCTGTCGACACGCTCTGCGAGCACGATGGCGCCGACAGGCTTCCTCTATAAAGCTATGCAGTCCCACGTTCTCATGGCCGCGTGTCGCCCGGATGAGCAGGCTCTTGAAGCGTCACGGGTACCCGAACCGCATGGAGCTTTTACGCTCAATTTGTTGAAAACGCTACGCTCACAAAATCTCGCCGAGTTAACGTATGCACGCCTCATCGAGCTCGTGCAGCTGCGGCACCAGCATCCTCAATGCGAGGGGATCAACAAGGACAGGGTCCTCTTCAATGCTACGAAGCTCCTCGACAGGTCACGCTCCTTCCGGGTCACGAAACAGAAACTTGACGGAGCGTTGTCCATTCAAGCGGGTAGCATTCATGGTGTTGTGGAAGGCACAGAATTCGTCGTGGAGACCAGCTACGGCACGTCGATCGACACCGTCCAGAATGTTGTCTTTACTGCCACGCACGTCGAGGCTCTGCAATCCATTCTTGTATGCAAACCGCCGGCCACGCTTCCTGAAGCGCTGCGCGACTTCAGGGTGGTTGTATCCAAGTGGAACTCCTCTACGATGAAAGCGCGCTTTCACTATCCCGTAGGCAGTCATTGCTCCGTGGTTGGACCGAACGACTACAGTGACGTTGCTGTCCATCTGGGCACCGGGATTGGTTGGCAGCTGGAACGCTGTGACCCGCTCGTAGCAAGGCACGCCAGTCGTGTACTGAACATCCCTCGTGGGGATGTCTCGGAAACATTGGACGCCGTCGCTCGTTTCAACTTCTACTTGTATCGACATCATCCACAAGCGCCTTTCAAGCGCGAACTCGCCATAGAACTTCGCAAATTAGAAGTTGTCCCGGGATCCGGCCTTCGACCCCTGTTACAACCCATAGGCGACAACTACTTCAGCTCTCTCGCAGAAAAGGTCGTATGCGCGCAAGATTCGTCTTTCAACGTAGACTCCGTACAAGAAGCCATCATCACGGACATGGAACCCTACTATGGCCTCACACTGGTCAACGACACGGAGCACGATCTCTTTCCGTACGTGTTCTACTTCGATCCGAATGACTACAGTGTTCAGGTGTGTGGACTTCCGTCATTTTCTAGTCGATGACATTGAGCAGTGCTACAGTCTTGGTATTTGCCACACTCGCCGAGCATGACGCCGCCTCTTCTTCAGAAGGGGAGGCTCGCTATTGGCTACGGGGCGTCTGGAACGGACAGCTTGCGTTTCTCTCTGCCGTCGGGGTCCAAGGTCGATACGGGCTTCCTGAAGGTTTTTGTGTCGACGTCGTACGCGGACATGCGAAGTGTGCCACAACCATCAGTGCTCGACAGGAGTTCGCGCAGCTCGCAGCAGAACCGGAAAGACCCCGCCTTCACAGATACCTGGGATGAATTCATCTGCGTTCTGACTTGTAAAGCATCGTCTCCATGAGCTACGTCGCACAGCATCTTCTCTGTACTGAGTGGGTGTGAGGTTCTAATTTGACTCTTCAGCAATCTATGGATATATCGTTGCGTTCGGGTGGACTATTTGTAATTGTTATGTATGTCTTGCCTTGCTACAGCTTGTCAGTGCGGCACGATTGCACGTCTGAAACTATGTATTCCCGATTGGACCTTCAGAGCTTCAGGCTTCAGCTTCAGATTCAACGTTTCGACGCACCACTGGCAATTGCCCAACAAGGACACGATATTACAGTATATGCACTATCTCCATATATGCACTGAACGTCCTTCATTGCGGCACATAGATCGCGATATTTGACCGCTGTCATTCCGGGGGACTATGCGGAGGCGACACAGGAACCGCAACTGGCATGGTGACACGTCACTGTCTAAGAATGACCACCGAAAGCGACGACTTGAGCCAATACCTTCGAACCTGGGAGGTGCTCGGTGCTCCAACGCCCGAACCCAACCACGCTTGCGGCGTCGCATTCGCGCCTTCTGACGGGTTCATCTACAGCGGTACGAAGCCACAACCGCCTGTCGGCCCCACCCGACAGCCCGGGAGGACAGCTTTCGCTCAGTCCGTGGCTTTTTCACCGATTGGCACTTGTTGGTCTGCGCCACTTAAACGTTTGAATATGCAAGTCCGTCCGAACTTCTGACCTATGCGAACTTGATGAAGAACGCGACGCAACGCTTGCTGCCCGTGCAGTAGCGTTAGCCGCCTTCGTTGTGGACGGCGACAGTTGTACCTCAGCACGGAGAGCTCTGGTTTAGTGATAACACCGGCAATGCGATTGACTGTGAGGAACGCGGCTGCTGATCTGCGAGGACCTGAATGCGTCAATAGACTTCACGCTGTGAATTGGTGTCTCTTGCCTCATGTCGGCCATGCATCACTCGGCTGTCAGACACCATCTACACTTTGCAGAGAAGGGCCCAGATCTGCTCGTAAGTCAGGGCCTGAACGTGGATCGCCATAGTCGGATCGTTCACCATCGAAACGAAGCCTACGAAATCACAACTTGAAGTGACTGCGTGCACAGACCGCTGGCAGTGGTGCTTCGCCATTGTTCTAGAAGCTAGAAGAGCCTGTCAACCTCTTTGTGAGACTGGACGTACCTCGATAAGCGTGATCGTGCGGCAGTGCACCGGTACGCAACTGTTGTGAGTGTTGTAGCAAGAAGAGGAGATACTAAGCATGTGTCAAGGTCACGAAGTCGAGTACTCGGCGGTATAGGGATGTTTGCGGCAAGGTCTTCGATTTTTACAGCTATGTGCTCCAGGTAACTATGGCTGCGCTTCGCGAAGCACGTCCAGCATGTTCTGAGAAGCTGACTAACCTATGGCTGCGAGGCATGTAGTAAATGGCTCAATAATGATCGCACCAATATTGTTTATCATTGCAACTTACTTGCCGTGTCCGGAGAGACTAGAGTCTTCTCTGCTTCGTCCGATGAATATCAACGTGGTGTGAGACACTGGAGGGGAGGATCGAGCCACACGATGGAACTTTGATTGTCACTGGTTGAAATGAGAAGCAGAGAACTACTACGTTTGGTCAGATAAATCAGGTCATTTTTGAGGCTGACGAACCGCACACATTGACCGTTATCGTGAACTAGATTCGACGGCTCGCAATGCGCCTGGTCCTGGGCACTTCGCAGACCCTTACTTGGGGCCTAAGGGTCGTACGCGTAGCCTGGCTGGTCGCATATTACGTAAAACCAAGCTTCGATCATCCTACAATTGGAACGATGAGCGAGAATACACAGGTCAGAATGCCATTCGTTGCTTGAGCTCAGAGTCACTGCCCACGCTCGTGAACCGCAGTGGCACGCACCTGGACCCAGTACTACTGTGACTGGTGCCTCTGGATCTGAGTTTTGCGACCCACGAGGCCGCTACATTGACGAAGAGAATATGGGCCGAGGAGAAGCACGGAGGCGGTAATTACACAACACGGTGTAGAAGAGCTCTTGAAACCCTGACCAGCTCCTGGAGAGTCGATTGAATGGCCCTCGCGCTCAGGATGCAAGTAGTACGCGATTAGCGCGCGCCATCTAAGGCCGGTGGCTGGAGGTGCCAGCAGTGGTCCGCGGCGGCGGCCGAGCCCCTCCTCCTCCTCCTCCTCCTCCTCTTCCATACTCCCCGCAAAGCGCGCAGACGACAGTGCCGCATCCCCGTCCAGTCGGGGCCCACAGTAGGCTACAATGGCTCTCTCGAGCCTACAAAATAGTCACACATTCAAGTTGTCTGTCCCTAGTGGGCCTGTCCCGAGCCAGATGTTCGACCGCTGAAGCGCTGAGGTCCAACCAGTGACATTCTGTAAGTCGTCAGTTTTGGACAGACCGGACCAAGTACGTATAGATGGTATACATAATCAATGCATACGTCCATCCCGACCCGGATGAAGCTGCGTTTGCCAGTGGGCTAATTCTGTCCATGTGCATGCTCAGTGATCTACCGTGCAGCCGGCGCAAAAGTTATAACAGCTGAATTTGAAAACAGGCTTGCGCTCTTAGAAGGCCGTCCTCACCTCCGTCATAGAGGTCCTTCTCAGGGTCTGCCTAGTGGAGACTAGAGTAGTACTGTCAGTGCGATCGTTTCCGACAGCCTTGACCTCATTATTCATGCATCATGGTCCGCCTCTTGTCCGCTTTCTGATCCACGCGAATATTTTAGGTATCACTCCCTGGACCTGCTGGGAACAAAAAGTCCGTGTTTGATACTCCTTCATGCTGCCGGTGTGCAGCTATCCCCATTGCCCACTGGAGCGAGGACTGTCGGTCGACAGTGATGGTATGATAGATTATGAGCAGTCTTATCGGGTGCGTTCTCTCAAGACCGTAACATGACCAAAGGTTCTTATCCAATTGAGAGGGAATCAATGCTTCCCCAGGGTCTCGTGGGATCGGTGTCAATGGTGTCTCCAAACGTGCTACACAGGACCACAGGAAGCTCCCCTAGTACGGCGAACGTAGTTCATGCCGATGATCTTTCTGCCTTGAACGTTTTATGGTGTGCCAATGAACGGTGTGCGTTGACATAGGGTGTGTGCGAAGCACCATCTTGGCCCTTTCGCATATGCGTTCTGGATGGCTGGCCGCATGTCTTCTGTAGTTGAGCGGCGGAGGCCATGCATTCCGAGACACATCACTGCTCTGGCGACCTGTTCATTTACTGAACACACCATGAGTCTCGACCTCTGCGCCGGTATTTAACTCCGCGATGCGTCCTCACCCTTCAGCTGTCTGCTCCTTCACCATTCGCGATGGCTCCGGTACGTGATTCCCCTGCTATGTGATAGTTCCCATTGATTCCAGTCTCACTGACTTGTTTACTCAGACCCAAGGAGCACCGACTATCGCATCATGCGCCGTTCATGCGCTCATCATTGCTATCGACCGCTACCAACACGAACCCATACCAAGTTTGCGTGGCTGTGTCAACGATGGCAAGGACTTCCAGAAGTTTCTTAAACAGTCGCTGAATGCCTCGCCTACCAACATCCTCACGTTGACTAACGAATCCGCTACGCGGGACAACATCCTCGCTGCGTTTGAAGGCCATCTCATCCACAACGAGCGGGTCAAACAAGGCGACCTCATCTTTTTCTTTTATGCGGGTTATGGCGATTGCGTGGACGCTCCGGAGGACTGGGGCATGGAGGGAAAGAGATCGGAAACCATTTGTCCCTTCGACGAGTCAGCCTTTGAAGGTCAACTTCCTTCTGATGATGGCACGATCTACCCCATTCCCGCCCGGACATTCAATGTTCTGATGCGCCGATTGGCAGAGAAGAAGGGAGATAATGTGGTGCGCATCATTGGTTCCATTGTGTCCAGGCTACTGAAGTTCATCGTACCCAATGATCGACACAGGTCGCAATCTTCGACTGCAGCTATTCGCGCGGAGGCTCTCCAAATAATGCTGCATGTACTACTAGCGTGCTGTCGCGATCCCTGCCCGGTACCCTTCCAAGGCTTCCACTGCCCACGAGTCTTGACAAGGAGGTGCTCGCTGAATCCTCCGACGGCGGCGCTACCTTCGCCGCACTGGATGGCTTCGGATACCGCGGTATGACGTCCCACATACTGCTATCTGCATGTCAGCCCGAGGAAACCGCCATGGAGAGTTGTCCTGTAGACGGTACCGTCAGTCGGGGGCTTTTCACTGTCAACATCCTGGACGTCCTCCGAGGCCAGGCGGTCGTTCAGAAGTCCTCTCGCACCACCTATGCGAGCCTAGTGGATGTATTGTCTACGTCGAAGCAGGATCGGATGCTCCACTTCGGGCTTCGTCACCAGCACCCCTTTTGCGAAGGTGAACACAAGGACCGCTTGTTGTTCACGGTTGACGCAGTGGGTGACTCCGAGTCCCACCCTTTCTCCATCACGTACGAGTCCGGCGCGTTGTACGTGTCGGCGGGCCATATACATGGAGTAACGGAGAGTACGACGTGGTTCGTATGTTTGCTGCCAAATGCGGACCCCAACAGTAGTGTCATGCTCGTCGCCATCAAGGTCTTGGCTCGTCGTTCGCAGGTTTATTGGCACTTCACAAAAGACCGTTTGTCGCGACCACTGGAGGCGCTTCATGGTGCTAAGGCCAGTATTACCATCTTCGACCCCGAGCCTGTCGAAGTCGTGTTACGCCCAGAACCCACGATGTGCGCCACATGCTTTTCACTTTGACATGACAACACTAAACTTCACTGTAGCGGACAGATCAATGCATTTGCGTCGGGTGGCGTGGAGGTCACGACGCATAGCACCGTGACGACGCAGGAATCCCATCTTAACGGCCCTCTCACTCAGCCGCCAGATACTCGCATCTTCGCCCTTGTCATCGCCATCGACAATTACCAAAATAAGAGCATCACTCCGCTTCAGGGTTGTGTCAACGACGGCAACGACTTCGTCAAATTTCTGACGGAAACTCTGGGAGTCCCCCTCGCACGAATCGTCAAACTCGTCAACGAGGATGCAACGCGCGAAGCTATCCTCCGTAACTTTCAACAGCATCTCATCTCGAACTCTGACATCAACCGCGGTGATGCTGTAGTGTTCTTTTATGCTGGCCATGGGGATCGCGAAAAGGCCCCTGCCCTATGGAGTATCAGGAAGGGTGACATGGTTGAGACAATCAGCCCATACGACGTGCAAACGAAGAACGGGCAGGAAGCGGTCCATGGCATCCCGGACCGGACGTTCGACTGGCTCATGCGGCGTTTGGCACAGGAGAAAGGAGACAACATAGTGCGCACGTTGCTCTGTATTCAAGTCCGTGAACTGACGTTGGTTCGGTTGATACAGCTTGCGATATTCGACTCGTGCCATTCTGGGGGCATGGCGCGCGGTGAACCACCGGTGCCTGGCAGAACGCGCGCGCTGGGTCCTGAAGTGAAACGCTACCCCATCAGCGAGACGCTCGATCAGGCCGTATGGACTTGGCGCCCTAAAGGCGATATCGATCGCGACGCGAGACCGGTCGTCTCTGAGGGCTTTTACTATGCGGCGCGGAACTCACACGTCCTTCTGGCAGCCTGCAGAGAGGATGAGAAGGCGCGCGAGAACGAGGTCGTCGTCGATGGAGACGGCCGGCGCCGCTCCCGTGGGATGTTTACCCACTACCTACTCATGTTCCTGCGGAGGGCATATGCGCAGAAGGAAATCCTCTGTCAGCTCACGTACGCACGTCTCATGGATGCTTTGGTGGGCGCAGAGGCCGTAGAGCTTTGCAGAGTGCCTTTGCTCGGGCAGCACCCGATATGCGAGGGCAACCATAAAGATCGACTGTTACTCACACAAAATGAGCTGGCAGGAGAGGAACACTCGTTTGCTATCAAGCGGGACGAGAACGGGATACTTCGGGTGGCTGCAGGAAGTATCAACGGCGTCGTCAAGGGCACACAGTTCGCTTTGCAGGCTTCGCAGGGCATCGTGTTCACGACAACACAGGTCGACGCACTAGAGTGCACAGTCGCGGTACAACTTGACAATTCGGAGGCACCTGTCATTCTACCCCACACCAGAGTGGTGGTGTCGGCTTGGAGGTCAATGCCGATGAAGGTTCGGACCACGGTGGAACTGCCGATAGGAGGTATTCTCAGCTACAGCAAGACGAAATACGGCGAGTATTACGATGTCTCCCTTGACAAGAGTTTCGACCCGAGCACTGGTCCGAAGGACCCGCTTCTGCGCTGGGTGGTTGGACGACGCGACCCTTTGACGTTCCAGTTCGCACGGCCAAACACAGTATGCTGGCGTCCTCTGGAGGCGAGCGTGGTCCTTGACATAGTGGCTCGCTGGAACTTCCACTTGTATCGATTTAGCGATCCCGCATCTTTGTCGCGCCAAATTCGACCGAGGGTGGAGTTGCGTGCCCTCCGGCAGACCGGATTAGCTGCACGGCTGCTTCCGCTTATGATGCCGGATGGTGACGATATGTTCAAGGATGCCAGGGCCGAAGAGGTCCAGTCCTCCCTTCATTCAACATACACGGTCCCTGAAGTTGTGAAGGAGGCGCGGATTTATGACTTCGACAAGTTCTACGGTCTGACATTATACAACGATTCGGAGTTTGGCCTGTGGCCCTACCTGTTCTATTTTGACCCCAACACATATGCTATACAGGTAAGTTGTCATCATCTAGTGGGCACAGCTTCGTCAAGCTAATCACGTTGCCTTGCCAGCCCTGGTACTTGCCACCCAATAGCAGCGACTCTGCAAATGCTCCGTTGCCGAGTAAATCGGGTGATCAGCCAGGTCAGCTTTGCATTGGCTATGGTAATGGCGGGGTTGATGCTTTCGAGTTCTCCCTGCCTTCGGGTGCCGAAAGGGACACCGGGTTCCTGAAGATCTTCGTTTCGACGCACTACGTCGATATGAGGGGCATTCAGCAAGATGGCCTTGATGATGCGGAGCGGGGTGTAAAGCAGACTCCAGTCAAGCCACTGGCTGTGTGGGATTCCTTGGTGTACGTTCTGACTTGTTGCGCTGGCAAGCCTCAGTGACTTGTAGCTCTCAGTTTATCCGACGATCTGCACGGAGTTGGCATGGAATGATCCTGAATAGTAATCAGTATACACACAATGTAACAACATGACTCACGCCGACTTCGTGCCGTTATGAGTTGAGTGTGACTTGGCGGCGGCTTCGTTGGCCAAGTTCTATAGTACTATCACCAGCACTCATACGTCTACATTGCATATAAGTAATTCACACATCACATATGCTACCTGATCATTTTGTTCTTGTGAAGTCCCAATGCGACGCGAGAGTAAGGCCAGTCTTGCCGCAAGAACGTCCACGTGAACGTGCGGGGTTTGTGTCGAACTTGACTGGTTCGCAGTATTGAGTACTGGATGATGTCACCACGGGTAGTACAAATTCAGCTGTCTACATCGGATTGAGTCGGCATTGAACGATTACAATGGGATATTTGGGTTGACTTTGGTCATGACTCAGTCGGACGTTCTACACGCCAATGTCGGATGGTGTGCCAGTGGGTGGAGTAGGTGCAGTATTTCCACCCAGCTTATATGCCTTACTGCAGTATGAGCTGATATTGCGTGGCCGTCATAGTGTTTTTGCTCATTTGAATTTCACCTGACGAACACGACCAATCGGACTCATCAGTAACACACGTCTTTCTTGCATAAGCCTCGTGCGTACCCTCCTATGATTTCGCGCAGCTCAGTTCATTTAATATTCGATGCGCCGCAGACCAACTTGCACCTGTCACAAATGCATTCACCTGGGCAAGTAATGGATCATTCAAGTTGAGGTGGTCCATGTTCGCGTGGATCCGCTTGCAACTGAGCATACAAAATGAGACCCCATCCATACGTTCATCCGTAGTATAGCTCCCTCGATGCCGCACATACATTGGCTGCAGCTCATCCCTCTGCGGAAGAGAGTCAAACGATGGGTCCGCGAACGTATGGCCCATTTCCTTTCTCGTCAAGGTCAGGAGGTGGAACCCATAGATGATACCTCTCTCCTCTGGTGTAAGCCGTCCTCCAGAGATGACATCAAAGATTCAGCTGCTAATAGTCGTAGTCTTGGTGCAGAACCACCCGCCGGCACAGATCCTAGCAGTGAAGAAATCGTCCCGACACCGAGGTAAGACAAAAGCGCTTGCCTACACATTGAAAGCTTACGACCACCGTTCCAGAGCAGAACGCATCCCAACGCGCTTGGTCTCAGCGACGATGGCAACGGGAATCCACGGTCCGAGGTACGAATCACTCTGCTGGCGGCGGGTAGCTGACTCCGCCACAGTCGAAAACTCGCCATGGAAGACGATTCGGACATTCACAGGCGAATTCTCGCTCTGGTCATCGGTATCGACGAGTATGAGAGCCCGGGAGTCCCAACTTGTCGGGCTGTGTCCACGACGCCGAGGACTTCATGGCGTTATTGACGGACAGCCTTCGAGTGCCCCCGTGCCGCATCAAATGTCTCCGCAACGGAGAGGCCACTCGGGCAGGCATCCTCGATGCACTAGAGAGTCATTTCGTCAATAACGACAGTATCAAGAAGGGTCGTGATGCGATGGTATGCTTCTATGCGGGACATGGGGGTCGCATTCCTACGCCGCAGGGGTGGTCCTCAGAGGAAGGCAAGATCGAGACCATTTGCCCTCACGATGAGGCCACGCACCTGCGCAGCGCCGACGGTGAAGATTATGTGGTTCCTGGCATCCCTGACCGCACCTTCGACGGCTTGATGCGGCGCCTTGCGTACAAGAAAGGGGACAATGTCGTAAGTCTCCGAGCTGCATCCATTCAGAGTGTTCCTGCCCGACGCGTTTTTTCCAGACCGTCATCTTTGACAGCTGCCATTCCGGCGGCATGTCGAGGCTCAACGAGGATTCAGACGGAGTCATACGAGAGTTCTCTGCGGACATACACCCAGAGCCGCCTGCCCCAGATCTGGACAAGGCCATCTGGGAATGGCGACCACCTGGATCTGTCGCTGCCGAAGGGGGGTCAATGAAACCACCAGCAGGCTTCATGTACAAGGCCATGCATTCTCATGTCCTGCTCGCCGCCTGTCGGCCGAACGAGCAGGCTAGAGAACTACGGGGCTCCGAAGAGGACGGGAAGATGCGCAGTGTGTTCACTCTGCATCTGCTGGATGCATTGAGGGCTGCAGGCCCTGACGGTCTGCAGGAGCTCACCTACGCAGCTCTCATCAGCGACCTTCCCCAAACGCCTTCACGATAACCACCTTCCACGGCTGGAGCTCCCGCATCCGCAGTGCGAAGGCACGCACAGGGATCGCTTCTTGTTCACGACAACCACTGTCACGGACGAGTCCAACACATTTGACGTCAGGTATGAGGATGGCAAGTGGCTCGTCTACGCAGGCAGCATCCACGGTGTAGTCCCCGGAACATGCTTCGGCGTTCCTCAGCTGACCACAAACTTCCTCGGGATCGAAAGGAGTGCCATAAACCTCGTGGCAAAGCAAGTTGGGGCGTTCAATTGCGTGATTGAGCTCCATCCTGCCACAAGCCACGCGCTGGACCGCCTGGACCATGTGTCAGTGGTCATCACGCGCTGGTACACTGACGAGGCTACCGCGAAAGTGCCTCTGTGGAGCTGGATCTCCGGGAGACTGCACCCAACGAGTTTGTACCACGTCGTGTTTTGGTCAAAGGGCCGCGACTTCGTGCTCAAGGACCAGCACTGCGGTAAATGGACCGTAGAGAGACACGACCCCCAAGCGCAAGCCTACGCTGGGAGTACAACGGAGAACATGGAGGGAACGGCGTTCAACATAGTTGAGGCTGTCGCTCGCTGCCACTTCCACCTCTATCGTTTCCCGGCTCCTAGCGCTGACAGCCAGCTGACGGTCACCGTTAAACTACACACTCTTTCCGACATCAATGCCGAACGCTCGGGGACGACACATGCCACTCTACAGCCTGCCGGCGTGGACCACTTGGACGTGCCTGAGACTCGTGTCGCCCTCGACGCGGGCCCAATTCACAGGATCGAAAAGCCCGTGAAGATAGCCAAGATCACCAACTTCGATGCTTCTTACGGTCTGACGCTCGAGAACCAGAGCGACGTCGACCTGTGGCCGTATGTGTTCTGGTTTGATCCACGCACCTATGGAATACAGGTGTGGACCGCGTGCCACGATGTCCTTGCCGTACGCTGAAGAGTGCTGGTAGGAATGGTACACGCCGCCTATGCTGAGCACTGGCATCGCCCCTCTTCGCCAGAAAGGATCATTGGGAGTGGGGTACGGTGCAAGCGGCACCGATCCCCTCCATTTCTCCGTTTTAGACGGGTGCAGTACCGACACGGGCTTCCTGAAAGTAATTGTCACGACGTCGTACGTCGATATGAGGAGCATCATACAGCCGTTACGTACCGGACATGTGTCTGGTCGTGGGTTCGATAGAGTGCAGCTGCCCATACAAGATGCATGGAATGCATGGGTTTACGTGATCACCTGCGACAGAAACTGAGTAAGTACATCAAAAGTCAGAAAGTCGGATCCACGGGGAGATACGTTCCCGGAACGGGGAACGGGGAACGGGGAACATCACGCACCGTGACGCCGTGTGACACCTTCGTCAATAGTGCTGCCAGTGCCACTGTCAGTGGTTACTAATTCACCGCTTGAATTGTTGTACATAGTGAATAGTAGTAGGCACTATGTCTTCTGGGCCATTGTTCGGTTGTTAGGCCACAACACACTGCACAGTGAATATGGTCAGCGATACCAATGGGTGTTTCCTGATATGGAAACAATCCCAATCAGGCAATGCTCGCTGGGCCACATTGGATCACGTGAGCCCAGTCGAGCTCACCAGCCCTGTACCCGCCGGTGAGTATGAACGTTGAGCAATAAGTAGCTTGCGATCAATTTATGGCAGCGAGAATCCATCTAATTTACCTGGTAATAAGTGGTTCTTATTCTGCTGATGCTAGTACAATCGAGTTCTTACTGTGTTACAAATGTGTGACAGAGTCGGTATTGACCACCATGCAGTGTCACGCATGTCTTAATAAGCATTCTATAGATCTACGTACTATTGACTTCCGGGTTCGGAAATACCTGCTTATGACATAGGTCGCTCCGTACGCTTTGCCCTCTGTCACTCTGTGACCAGCGTTCCTAGGGGCGTTCCGCAGAGGTGTTCCCGGAACGCGTTCCGGGAACGTATCTCCCAGTCGATCGGACGTTCTCTCAAAAGTACATGCGTGTTATTCGTGGTCACGAGCAGCATGCTTGACCAACTTCTCGCGACACAGATTGCTTGCCTTACATAGTGTGTACGTTGCTCGTCATTTTCGACCTGTTGCCAGTGGTATTGCGAGTCTATGAACTATTGGGGTCCGGCACATTGATATATATGTTCACCACACTGTTTCATGTACGCATCACATCGCCTTATCCAGCGCGTTAGTGGCCTCAAAGTTAAAGTTGTGAACATACTAGTACTCTTCATACCCTTGATCCGACTCGGAGGCAGCCTCGGCTTTTTAAGCCGACTTCTACTTGTTCAGAACTTGTCATGACATGCAGCCTAAATTGATACGAGATCCGAATGGCCGCGCCAGATGGTACGGCGAATATTGAAACGTTGAGGGTTGAAGATGGATGCTGGTGGTCGGAGTCGAGCGCTCAAGGTGGCGTAACAGAGGTCACGAGACTGTGACAGTTGGTGTGTGAGTGACACGCGTCGGCGCGTCGCGTCACTCTGCCACCTCGACACGTCCGACACGGTCTACATCTCTGCGACTTCTTTGGTCTTCTGCACAGAGCTATATGCGCTGAGGGAACACTTGGCTGATATTATCTGATAGACTGGCTATTAATGGTCATCATGACTACGGTTTTACCCCCCGTTTACTCCCTATCAGCAGAATGCCCTGTCAAGTGGACAATTGCGCAGGAGCGTGCGCTGAACGATGAGGTCGTATGCTATGACGAGGAACATAGTATCACAGGAGCAGCGATATATGCAAGACAGGTTTATCTACGATTTTTATGGTTCCCCGAGGTGCGTCCTCCATTCGAGGCAACCTTTCGTCTATCTTGCGCGGGGAGACTGGCTGGTGACTCGAGACAACTACCTGTTGTACTGCTCATATTCCTTGTGATTATACGAGATACTACAAACAGGAAGGGGCGAGTTGAGTGCATCGCATTCTTCTACCACGTCGAGCCGGCTTCCATGGCATGCTGTCCTCCGGCACTTCGCCTGGAATCTAGCACTGTTTGCTTGCTTTCCGGTGATCTTTGCATGGGTACTTCCTTGTTGCAATAGCAATATATTGCGCCTCTCCCTAATTGCAGGTCTGTGTGAAAGCCAGATCCATCTCATAGAGCTGTCTTCAATCGAATTCGAGGTTATCTGGTAATCGTTCGTTGACACCTCTTTTCGAGAAGTACCCTCGCTTTCCCCAGTGCTTCGCCCCATTTTTCTGCGGGTGGCATTCATGCGCCATTTGACCTTGGTGCTGGCGAGAACGGATTTACTCTGGGGCGTTATGATCCCAACGCGCGAAGTGAGATGTCCTCCCTTCATGTGTTTCGTCGAAAAGGGCACATGTATGCCAGCCTGATCCCCGTGCAATATCAATGTAAATTCGCCGATACATAAGACGTTGCTCATGCCTTATGCGCCCTTGATCTACAGTCCATCGTCCCCCTCCGTGCTCTCGTTGCATCACTCCTACGAATCCAGTCACCTACGACGTCACCATGCTCGTCCTCTGGCGTCCCTTCACATCCCCTGCACGACCTCCTTCGCCCGCTCCTCCTAACTCCGCGGTCGACATCCCAGAAGTACCACAGCCGCATCAATCGATTAATTGAAGACGACCGCCACTCAGAAGACAATGAGGAGCAGATGCTGTGGCTCGCCTACCGGAACGCCAAAGGCGATGCTGAGCTGGAGCAACAGACACAAGATGCATCCGGTGCGGTGAGCATGTTTGACGCAGAAGAAGCGTGGAAGGACCGATGGCTCGCGAGGATGGAGCAGCGCGAGTGCGTATCTCTGTCGTGGTTTGTGCTTGTGCAGTCGTGTCGAAGCTAATGAACGACAACAGAGTTCAGGTACAGATCATCCTGCATTTCCTTCTCCTCTCCCTTCCTGGCGCACCGACACCTCCCATCGAAGAGCTCCGGGCTGAGCTCCCAGTGCACCTCTCACCGTCTAAGAAACGCAGGCGGAAACACAGGGAGCCTACACCTCCCCCGCAGGGTCCCTCTCTCGAGGAGTGTCTCGAGCTCTTCATGGACAAGCTATCAATGTGGCAGCTCATGTCTGCACTCGACGCTCAGGATGCGCAACGCGATCGGGGCACAATTGCACGAGCTAAAGGCAAGCAGAGAGTCGAGGACGAGCGGGACTGGATGCAGATTTTTTGCGAGGACGTCGTCGAGCCTCGGTCAGTCTTGTCCCACAGCATTGACCTGTCGCTGGACACCGAATGCTCATCCATAATCCTCAGGTTCAAGGCATGTCTGCCAGACCTATGCAAGCTTCTTCGCTCCAAGGTATTCCAAGATTCGTCCTTCATGGACGAACCAGACTCTCCTATATCCACACCGCCTGTCTCGCCGCGTCCTGCCGCCAAGCGTCTCAAGTCGTCCACGTCCTCTCAGCATGCATCAATCTCGTCTCGCTCGAAATCGCACGCGAGAGACGTCCCACCAGATCCACGCGAGCTCGAGCGAGCACGATCGCGTTCGCTCTCAATGTCCCTGGAGCAGGAACGCGCGCGCTCGATGAGCACCGGCCCCGGGAATGCCCTCAGGAAGCGCGCCATCGTGCGAGAGGTGAGCATGACCACGGCGTTCAAAGGCAAGGCCCAGGCGAAGGCGCGGGAGAAGGAACAGGCGAGGGCGAGGGCTGCGGCGCAGAAGGCGAAGACGCAGCTTCTGGACGCTGGTGCAGCTAAGGCGCTTGCCCGCACGAAGAGTAGCGCGAAGAGCGTCACGCTCGTCGCGGCGACGCCCGTCAAGCCTAAGGAGCGCGCGGGGCAGACGGGAAACTCACAGGCGGCCGCACTTCGAGACGCTGCACGGAGCGACGGAGCGAGTATTCCGCCGTTGCCCAAGTGCGATTTGGGCAGCATCCTCGAAGGTGACGAAGATGAGGATGAGTGGACGCTGCAGAGCTCGCCGGATGTACTGCTGCTTGGATCGGGTATGGGCTCGCCGCGTGCGAGGGCCAAGGATTCTGCTTCGACGGAAGACGAGGACGAGGACGATGAAGACGAAGACGTACTGGGTTGGATGGGGAAGAATGCTCATCTGGTAGTGACGGATACTCCCACAAAGCCGAAGCGTGCTCGACAGCAAGGAAAGTAGCTCTGAACCTGTGCTCGAGGTTTGAGGACTACCTCATTTGTATCGCATTGTAAATATTGGTAAATGTGCAGTCGCCTTTGGACACTCATGGGTGAAAAGGACTACCCCGATACTAGCGATAACTTTGCATGCCCATCGAGAAGCAAATGCAATAGATACGTAAACACAGACGTGAAGACTAGACACTATGGATCGTGCCTTCCCATCGCATTGGCAGGTTACCATGGCTGAATACTGTCCCTGAATCGTCGGACATCTGAGTGGTAATGCCATCCTTATTCTGCATAGAGGCATTCGATGATGAGACTATCAGGCGCATGCGGTGGCTATCTTACCTCGGATACCGTATGAGAAGCATTGAGATGATGATATTCTGTGATAATTTCCGAGGTACTCTGTTGAGTTACCTAGAATGCGATCGTCAGCAGCGTCGGCATTGTGGACAAGCACACCATACCAAGCTGTCGTTTACTTGACCGATTGCCCTTCCGCCGATCACTGGTATCGAGGGTTGCTCCAGTCCTGGATTGGCGGTAACAGCTCTGAGGCTACGACGTGCGTTGAGAGTTGCCAGTAGCGCGTTCAAGTAAACTTTCATAGTGCAAGATCACGTTGTCATCGAGACCTCAAGTTGATGATTACTCACACTTGGACAAGAGCAGATACAACACCATGTAGGCATAGTTATGACGCACAGTGGCAAACTATACACACAATTCTCAGCAAACATAATGATAGATGAGTGATGTTGCGTTTACCGTTACGAGGCATGCTAACGTGCACGCACTACACAGACAGTCAACCAGTGTCTCACCGAGCAGGCGTCGACCTACCTTGTCAAAGCTCCGGTTTCAATACTATAAGCCATGAGCAACCGCATTGCGTAGCTCGTTCGCGAACTACACCGTCTTTGCGTGAGATGAACGAGTTCGAGTGCTCATGGGATACGCACCCTGGAATATCCTTCAAGCGTTGTCTTAGAATTATGCACAGGGATCCGGCGATGAGTACGTCCCCGATGATAGCGCTGGTCAGACCTGTATACAAGAGCGCCTGTGCGATGATGGTCAGTGACAATCCTGTTACAGGACTTGCAATGTGCTGACCGAGAACTTCGTGGTTCGCCATGTATCAAAACTAGATACAGAAATGCTATTCATAGCATGAGCGGAGATGAATGTCCCTGCGTGCAATTTCATCACCTCAAGGCTGCGAAAGCTTCGATTGCCACGAGTGGTAAGCCAGCGCAGTCGCCATGAATGGACTCAATGCTCACCCCAGTCAATTGCTAAACGACCCAAGAGGGGCATCAGAAACCACGAAGGCTACTCGCGTCACAGGATCATTGACGCACCGGTTGTCGTCGCGCTACTTAGTAGCTACACAGCAATAAGTGTCGAGACTTAAGTTGGAATCTGGAATGCTCACTAGGCAGGCAGTAAGTAACGTATTTCGATTGCTCACTATTGTGGGCGGACACGTCACTCTTCCCGAGTCTCTAGACCACACTGAGTGCCACTCACGCTTCCAGACGCGTCGAGTGAATATACTGCAGAAGAATTCAGAATTGTCGCTCCATCAGCCCTTCAGAGCATGTGCCGAGGAATGGTTACCTGCGTACGATGAAGTCGCTGGCACCCTGTGCTGCAGTTCTAATTACTGGGCATGGGTAGCAATAAAGAAGACTGCACCGACCGTCAAGAATATGAGCACCTAATGATAACGTCAGCACCACTAACATGATATGTCAGAACAAAGGGCGCACCGGGAAGGTCCTGTCCGGCGTGAGGTTATGGCACAGACAACATATCAAATTAATGCAACTACGTACCATAATATTTGTTGCGGGGCAGCAGGATCTGCGAAGTCCGTTATTGCGTATGTGTAGGTGGTTTTGGTGAACAAGGCAAGATGCAAGATGTCGATCACCCTAGGAGGTTTCAGTGACCTACCAAAGACATAGGGCATCGGGAAATCTCACCAGCACAACGCCAACTGCCGGCCAACCACGTCAGCGCAAAGCACCTATTTCGTCTGCGTAAGTTGCACCCACCAATATGACCAAGATGACGCTGTCTGAACCACGATTGTTCCAGTATGCATACGTTTGGACAGTCGTCACACCAAACAAGCTGCATGCGATGCGGTCAACAGGCGGGGAGTATCTGAGGGTCGCCGATAGAGACGTACATTGCGTTTGCGATGTTACCTGTGAGTGTGTGTCACAAACGAAAGAATGAACCCGGAAAGCATGTATGCTTACCTACAAGGAGCGCGCCAAGGTTCGTGGTCACTTCATCGCTCGGGGAGAACATGGCGAATTGTGGAAATGGTTCCTATGCAACCAGAAGCGGTCTCGTCTGAAGTCTGAGCCGCCTGTGCGCATTTTATACACTATCCGGAGCCAGCACTGCATCGCTTGACGACTGACCGCCGATCAAGTTGTCAGTTGGCTCAATAAGATCATGTTGCATCCACCAATGGAGCACGATAGATATTCAAAGGATATCACTTACCGACCTTCTGTCAACCACAAGTCATGCATTGCCTTCATGTTGAGAAGACGTGGTGATAATCATGATCCGAGCGTATCACGGCGTGGTGTAGTGAATGTCCACACAAATGCGACTACCACCCGCTTGTGTAGTTCGGCGCCGACAGCTTCTCAACTGCGTTCTGACGGGTGTGCAGAGAGGGACAGTATGCTCACCGAAAGCGGGCATGGGAGGCCCCTACGAATGCTCCCGTCACTGGCGTTGCTGTGGCCGTCATCCGTTATGAAAATCCGTCGTGAGACTGCAGTCAGATACACTGGACGCGTTGTAGGATGGTCATGAATCTGTCGATCGTCACCCTCGGCCTTTTCCCTCGTGAGATAACATTCAGCAAGCCTATTGCACGATCTTCTGTCATCCCTACAACGGCGTTTGTTCAAGACGACAAATCTTGTTGATCCAATGATATATATGATACTCACCAACTGGACACCCTTACTACGGCCGATGGAAAGAAGCCACGGTGGTCTGGTGAGCGTCTGGCAACTACTGTAGCGGAGTGTATGCTGCCAACCGCCAGACCCAGCGTGACACTCGGACGGGTCCCGACACTAGCAACTGGCCCCCCGTTATGCGTGACAGATGTGTGATTAGCAACCAGCTTTAGTGTAGCAACCGTGACATCGCTGTGGCCAGTTATACACGTGATCCTGTAGCCACAATTCAGCTAGTTCGGTTCAGGCTATGTTGACAAAATTCAAACGAGCTACTACTTGACTGCAACACAGAACGACGTAGAGATATGCCATCTACAAAACAACCTGCTCTGTCTAATGAACTCATTGCTCGCATTAACCATCTTGCTTTGCTCCTTCGCCATCTCCCGACTTCACTGCCATCAAACCCGCCCGAATCATCGTACCACTTTGCCCTCGATCCAGACTTTGTGAAAGAAGAGGGCACTTATGCCGCCTTTTCACGAGCCCTTGAGCATGCATTCCAGACCCATAAACCTAGCCATGGTGGACAGATCCTGTTCACGGAGCAAGGTCGCCGATGCGAAGACTTGGTACAGCTCTTCAAGACATCCATGCGCGATATGAGCGACCCCGACCGCGCGATGGTCAAGACTGCATGGCTCGAACGGTTGATAACTGGGGCGAAGGCTTCTGGAGCAAGGGTCCCTAGGAAAAGGTAAGTGTATATAACCCACGACACAGTCTTCGCCTCACTGTTTGATGTCTCTGTCAGGGGACCAATCATGTCGAGTTCCGACTCAGATGAGTCTGAGGCTGAAGGAGCTCAGGCTCGACTTCCCAGCTTCTTCCGGAAGCACCAACCAGTGCGCCGGCGGGAGCCTACAATCAACCTTGTCAGCAGTGAATCAGAGGACGAGAGTAGAGAGACGTCAGCCAATCGCAGGCCTACCTCCGACAAGCACCAACCTGTTCCACACGCAGTACAAAAGCGTAAGCGAAGTGCTGATGCAGGATCCGGCAACGAGGCCACAAGCACGGCCCCACCGCAGCCTAACAAACAGGCTCGGCTCGGCATGTTTGGTTGGAAGCCAATGACGAGGGAGGAAGCTCACGAGAAATGGCGGACAGAAGCTGCCGCAACCAAGGAACGGAGCACGAAGCTCGCTCAGCAGGAGGAGGAGCAGCGCGAGCAGAAGGCTGCCCACAGACGCGAGATTGACCGTGTGCGTCAGCAACGGCATCGAGCGAAGAAGGCAGCTTTGAAGAAGACTCAACCCGGGCTAGCTAGTGCCAAGGAACACATCAGGGTTAGAGCTGGCCCGAAGCGGGGTGAGCTGATGAACCTTGCGGAGATATCGCGGCCACATGGCTCGGTATGGAAGAAGAAGCGGAATGGGAAGAAGGGTGGGGTCATTCAGCAGCGACACGAAAGGACCAATTGGTTTCATCCCTTCCTATGGGCTCACATTGATCGCATTGCACCCCAGGTTCACTGGTCGGCGACGTTCATTGCACGGACGTTACAACGCGAGCATCCTGCATTGTTCTCGCGCTTGACGAAGGGGACTGTGCAACGCTGGCTATCAAAGCATGGGAAACGATGGTCCACACGCACCCTTGAAAGTGTCAACAATCGCCGTGTCTTGTCCGCATCGGGTCGTGCTGGGGTCCTTACAAAATATCCCGTTATCGTCGACGAAGCAAAGGCGCGACTGCTTGCCCTGCGCGCATCAGGCATTCCAGTAAATCGCATACTCGGACGATCAATCCTACTCGCCTTGATCAAACGACATCAGCCGGAGCTGCTGGAAACATTCAAATGCTCTGAGCGTTTTGTTGGCGACTTCTTCAGCAGTATCTTGGGCTGGTCGGTGCGGAAAGGAACGCGTGCCGCAGCTCACATCCCCGACAACGCGGACGAGCTATGCGAACGTACCTTCTTCCGGATCATACATGCTGTTGTCATGTACAACATCCCGCCATCGCTCATCATTGGCATGGACCAGACGGGAGTCATGGTCTTGCCAAACAACAATACGACCTACGAGGAGACGGGCGTACGACAGGTCAATGTTGTGGCGAAGGACGAGAAGCGAGCATACACACTTTGTGTCGCTACGAGTGCCGATGGTGATATCCTTCCCTTCCAGCAAGTGTGGAGCGGGCAGACTGTAAAGTCGCTCCCTGACGTGGATGCGGACGGAATGGATAAAGCGCAGATGCGCGGATTCGATTTCTCTTCGGCTGCAAGTGCCAAGAAAACAAGTCACTTCAGCACTTTGAAGACGATGAAGGAGGTGTGTTACTCACAGATCGCACATCCCTTCTACTATCTCTAACAGACGTGCTAGTGGATGATTAATATCCTGAAACCGTACATCACGCAGAAGATACTCGACCTGAACCTTCCTGCAGACCAGCGGGCAATCCTCATCATTGATTGCTACCCTGTCCACACGAGTGAAGAGTTCCGTGTCTACATCTGGACCGAGTTCCCGAACGTCTTCCTCATCTTCATTCCAGCGAACTGCACGGGCATCTTTCAACCGGCTGACATAGGCCTAAATCGAGTCATCAAACATCGATTGCGTCAGGCCGCTCTCGAGTTCCTCGTCAACAGCCATTCGCAGCAGATAGATCAGGGACTCACACCTGAACAGGTCAAGATCACTACCTCCATCAAAACACTCCGAAACGCCAGTGTTGCACCGCTAGTCGACGTCTTCGACTTCCTCGACTCTGCAGGCGGAAGGACCGTCATCCGCCGGGCTTGGGAGAAATGCGCTGTCAAGGAGTGGAATCTGTCAGCCGAATGCATCACCAGCCGACGAGCGAAGGCGGCATGGCGCGAATACTTACGAAAGGACGAGACACTCCGGAACGAGATTGAGGGGAAGATTGGTGAGCTAGGGGATTTGATTGCTGAGGAACCAGACGAAGAAGGCGAGACCAGCACCGAGGAGGCGTATGACGACACGGATGTTTCCTTGCGAGCCGTTGTTCAGCAAGCACTTGGGGTTGATGTACCCGAGGCAGATCAGCAAGGCGAGCCGTTCTGCACTGGCGCGTTTGCAGCGGAAGTTCGAGCTGTAGACCAGACTTTGCAGAGCAGTGGTGATCAGGAGGATGTTTGGGCTTTTGACGACGCAGGAGAGCTTTGGGGAGAAGCAGGCGCGGTCGCCGCTGTGCAGGATCGATCGTGACACCCCTAATGTAACTAGCTCTTAGCAACCGATGTACCGTGACGCGTGACATTTCTACGTGTAGATAGCGACTCAGAAGGGCTCCGTGACGCGTGACGGTTGGCAGCATACACTCCGCTACAGTAATGGTATCACCGTGAGCGTGAGTACATGCGTGGCGGGCTCAAACGAGTTGCGTCGACAGTAGGCTTGAGTGCGACGACCACTGAGAATCGCCTAGTACTATGGCCCTGCGAACCACAGCATCAGCCATCAAGAGACACAATCGTTCGCTCCGCGGTCCCCCCAACATGAATCCGGAGAGCTGCCCAAGCTAACGCACGTACGAACGCCCGGCCCATTCAATGAATAGAGGGGTATATATTACGCATGATACACAACTCAAATGTCCAGCGGTACCACTCACTAGCCTCTCCCGTGCCCCCCTCCTTGCACCGTTGTCGCCATCAGCGGCTCGCTGCTCGTGGTCAGATACCGCCACACGAGGAAGATGAGCGCGATGAACAGCAGGAATGCGAACGCAATGAGGCCGTTGTAGCCGTACCAGTACAGCTCGAGCAGCTGCTCGATGTAGAGCCGCATCACCTTGCTCGTCAGCTTGCTCTCGCCCGCTGCACGCAGCCCGAACGCGAACGGCACCTCCGCAATCGCGTTGGAGTGGATCTGCGCCTTGACAAGGAGCTCGAGGGCGATCTTGAAGCCGCTCACGTTGAGATTCTTGGCCTTCAGGAACTGCCTGGGGTATGAACAGACGTAGGACATAACAGTGATGATGAGAATACGCACAGCTTCTTTCCGAATGCCAAAGAAGCCAGACATGGGATCGCTTGCGGAGGTGAGCGGGAGGGCGAGCAGACGAGCGCCGTTTGAGATAACGCGACGGTAGAGGGGCCAGCCCTCGTCTACGGCACCGGCACCGGCACCATACCGTGTCCCGAGCACGAAGAGTTTCGTTTCGGACATGGCAGCGAGCATTTGCGGTACGTATTCTGGTGGATGCTGGGTCATGTCAGAACAGCTGTCACGCTTTGATATGATACCGGATAAAGTGAACTGTGAATACAAGTCGTCCATAGGCGAATCCAGCATAGTACGCCCCCAAGGGCCGTTGGGTGGGCTGCAGGTGTAGGAGAAGAGTCGCTCGGGGGTAGTGGTGTTGAGTGCATATCCGGCCCGCACCTCTGCTCAGGCCATACGCCATATCTTTTCATCCCAGACAATGTTGGTTGGCAGAGGAAGAGGGAGTGAGAAACAAGCCCTGGATCAAGACCCCCGTGCATACGAGGAGAGACATGCATTCTTCGTCACTGCGAAGCGACGGCGATATAGAATGACGGGGGTTTGCCGTCCATACTCGGGACCCCGTACTGGCGAACGGGCTTTCCACACCGCATGCCAACTCACCTGCAAGTCCGCATCCATACACAACATGTTATCGCCCTGCGCCTCCTGGAAGCCCCGCACGACAGCGCTGCTCAGCCCGCGCTCCGTCGTGCGAACCACGATGCGGACGTTGTAACCCTCCTGCTGTAGTGCTTGGACGACCTCCACGGAGCCGTCGCGCGAGTTGTCGTCCACGACGATGATCTCGACCTGCCCCGCCGGTACGGGCGAGTCGATGCGGTTCAATGCGGCGAAGATGCGCGTCACGAGCGGGCGCAGGTTGCTCGCCTCTTTGTAGGCGGGCACGATAACCGAGTAGTCGATGGTCCCGAGCATTTTCGGTGGGTGTGAGGAGTAAGACGACAGAATGAGCGTGGGCGACCTCTGGACGGCCGGAGACGATTATGGCTTAGCGGGGTGTCGAGTGTTTAGCAGAGCAACAAAATAGTGGGAGAGTACGCGATGGTACGTCGTGGCGGACGCAGAATGAGGAACGTTGTAACGCTCATTGGTTCTGATTAGCCGTGACCATAGCTTTGTGAAGGCATCATAGGTGTGCTACTGATTGTTGTTATAGTTCAATACAATGCGAGTCTATAGTGTGACGTACACTGCTTATTGGGAGATGTGACGGTCACAAGCAATCACAAGCCGACCTCCGCGACGCCTTCGGTAGCAAGATCACTGCAGCAACGACCACGACTCTACCTACATACTTTCTCAGAACGTACCATCATGTCTCTGGTGAGTTACCTCTCTAAGTTGTCATCGACTGGGACTTACATGAGTCCCAGATCCATGCCTTGGTTGCCCGAGGCTCGACGATCCTTGCGGAGCACAAGAGCGGGACGAGGGACTTCTCGCAAGGTATTCCATTAGTCCAGTCGGGCATCCTACCTCTCTCACAACCATTCTTACAGCGACACAAACCATCCTGTCAAAGATCCCGCCGAACAACAGCAAATTGACGTATGTATGGGAGCAGTATCTCTTCCACTATGTCTCGGAGGGTGGCTTCACATACCTCGTCATGGCGGATGATTCGGCAGGACGGTGAGTAGTACCTCCGTCATGGCCACACCGAAACCCTCATGCAACGAACCAGCCGGATGCCGTTCACCTTCCTCGCCGAGCTGCAGCAACGATTTACCTCACTTCCCTCCGCCTCCTCCGACGACCTCTCCTCCGCACCGTCATATGCCCTACAAGGCAGCTTCGGATCGACGATCGCACAGCTCATGAACACGTACAACACAGCCCCTCCTACAGACGAGCTCACACGTGCGCAAGCGGAGCTCGCGCAGGTGAAGGACATCATGGTGCAGAATGTCGAGCAGATCCTCTCCCGCGGCGAGCGCATCGAGCTGCTCGTCGACAAGACGGACAACATGGCAAGCCAGGCCACCGCATTCCGGCGTGGCGCGCGGACCGTACGCCGGCAGATGTGGTGGAAGAACAAGCGCGTCGTCGGGCTCAGTGTGCTTGTGGCTCTGGTGCGTCGGATGATTCCGCGCGAGTGTTGGCGTGTTCGCTTATGGATTGCTGTAGGTCCTCGTGTGGGTCCTTGTTGCCCAGTTCTGCGGCGCCGCCCTAAACCAGTGTGGTTCCTCGTCTGACTGAGCACGCACGTTCGGTCGGTGTGTTATATGACCCGATATGATTATTCCGGACTTTAATTAGCTTATGACCTTCGCAATTGACAGGGCGGATTATGCCTTGATTCCTCGAATCAGGATTGCTGTATTATAGCCTGTACATATCTGCTCGCCTTGACCCACTAGAATCAACATATGCGACGGTGTCTGTATTCGATCGGTCGCTTAAAACCACTAGCACAGTTAAGCATTGCCTGCTCACATCTGCGGCTTAGTTGAATGGTGTTCACACCGGTGTTTGCTATCAATGTTGTGAAGCGGTGTAACTTCCGTTTACACTTTGACAGAACTTGAAGACAATCACGATGGGCTTGCTTGGATTGTCCAAGTACTCAATTAATGTGTAGTAGGAAGGCGCTGCGCGACTCGGGATACCTCAATCAACTCCGACGACGGTAGCTATAGCACCGCCAGTGCATCCGTACTTGACTAACGCATGTCAGACCAGTCGCTGTCCTGCGATTCTACTCAGAGGTGTTCAATGCGCGATCCACCCATTGCGGCAGACTTGAAGCCGTGACTGTCACGCTTATGCGGGTAGCATCACACGGCGGTAACAGTGGGTCACACACTATGTATCGACGCCCACGTGGAATGCAGTACGTGCACACTGACCGCTACAGACTCCCGCCAGCACACTCACTTCTTCCCTCCACGTCCTCGCCATGGTCTGTACCGACCTCGCCGCGCGCAGTCCCTGGCTGACCATACAACGCTGTTCACGCAGTCCGACTCAGATTCCGCTGCCCCTAATGGTGCTGGCCGGCCCACGAGCCCCAACGGTGCAGTAGCGAAGCCCCCTGGCGCACAAATGAGGTCCGTGTACCCGCAGCAGGACACAGAACCCCGGGAAAGGCTGACGGTTCTCCCGCTTCTCTTCCATGCGCACACCTGAATGCGAAACAGGCGGAGGGCAGCAGGAACCACACAGGCAGCACGGCCCAACTCCTCGCGCGCGGCGGGCGCGGGCGGGTCTTCAAACACCATGCTCAAGTTGTACACGGACGACTCACCGGGGCTGCGAGTGTGCGTGTTCTTTGTTGTGGAGCTCTCTCGTCACCCCTACCCCCTTCCGCGGCCCCCGCTTGTCTTGTTCCGTGTCAATGGTCAGGCTGACAGGCGACTTCCACACACAGCGACCCCTTCATCGTCCTCGTGCTCTCCCTGTCGTTCATCGCCTCCATCTTCTTCCTGCACATCTCTGCGAAGATCATCCGTGCGTTCACAAAATAATCCACACTCCAGCCCCCCTCGTGTGGTTATGCCCGGATTGTGCGGGTCGTCAGGCGACGACAGCGAGGGGCATCTGAAGGGCGGGCCCGTTGGGTATGGCTGGGCGTGGCAGGTTCTACTGTGGACATTGGGTGTACCAAAACCTACTATACTACTGGCCAGTCTGGTGTGCTGAGCTATGCATTGCTACTTATTCCAGATTTGTCGCTCCTTCTGTTCGTTAGTCCTCAATCCAGAGCCAACGCCAGCCGTTCAATGCACGCCGTCCCATCCTTCGATCAATGATGATGGCTCGCTATGATATATGAACGAGCACACGACTAAAGAATGGTGACCAGCAATCACAGCGCCGTCGACAACGAGTGCGAGCTGCACATAAGAGTTACTACGTATATGACACATATGTCTTAAATCGTCAAGAAAGTATCCGTCGGGCGAATCGTCGAGAACGGCCAGGCACGGATAAGTTAATAGTCAACCTGTCGGGACCTACTGGCATCCTCTCCTCGCGCTCAGCGCAGCTATAATACCCTGCCCTCAGAACCGGCACTGTGTATAGTGTGATCAGAGTCGCGGCCGTGGTTATGACACCCGCTGCGCGTGCGCCTCCTGCACGAGGAACGTCCTCGTCAGGCCAGACGCACTCGCGGGGATCTTCATCGTCTTCAGACTGTCCGTCGACGCCGTCCGCACCTGCTGCGGACGCATCCGCGACGACGAGACGGGGCTGCGCGTGGGAGATGGGGGCCGCATCGACGAGGTGTGCGACGTCGGGGAGGGCGTGCGCGTCGTGGAGGGTGTACGCGTCGTGTATGACGCAGAGGGTGATGTCGGCGAGACGTATATCGAGGCCTGGAGGTGGGAGGAGGAAGACGAAGTGTAAATGTTCGCCGCGCGGGCGCGCTCGGCGGCTTTGGCGGCCTCGCTCGCCCAGCGGACCGTATTTGAGCGTGTCGGTGGGGGTGGCGGCGGGATGACGGGCGCGGGGGAGCGCGGGATGCTGCCGGATGGTCCAGCGCCGGACGAGCTCTTGGTCGTCGGGTCGTGCAGGACTTCGTGCAGCTGCGCGCGGCGCCGCACCTGGCGCTCCTCCTCGCTCATGTCCTGGCAGTCGATGTACCGCCCGGACGTGAGGTTCATGCCCAGCCCGCTGTCAGGGACGTCCGCGCGCCGCTCCCGCTCGCGGATGGCAGCGTGGAGGTTGGACACGCTCGGGGACGACGAGCAGCTCGCCATGTGCACGTCGACGATGCTGCGCGGGAGGGAGCGCGCCATCGGCTCCTCGTACTTGAGTCTTGATGAGCCCGCGCGGTGCAGACCGCTCCTGATGGGGATCGGCTTCGCGTTGCGGCTGCGCACGCCCTCGTCCTCACTGTCGGGGATGTCGTCGCTAAGCGCGCGAAACGTCTCCGACGCGAGCGGCGGGATCGGTAGCGTCGGCGCGACGGGCGAGACGTGGAAGATGTTTTCCTTCTCGCCCATGTCGATCTTGAGCGAGTTGGTCGGCTCGGGCCGCTCATCGGGCTTGTCTTGCACGATGACCATGTCGTCGTGCTCGGGGGAGGTCTGCGGGTAGTGGCGGTCCCCGATGTCGTACCGGGGAGGTACCGGGAGCGGGTTCTGGTGGTTGCGCTCGCATTCTCGGAGCTCGTCGGTGAGTCGTTTACACTCGTTACTCAGCACCTCATACTGTTAAGATCAATGGGGCCCATCATTAGTCTCGCGGGAGTGGATGAGAAGCAGGTCACACGTACTTTCCTACACGGACGGATCAGTGGGAATTTATGCCAGGATCGAGCTAATTACGTACCCAGTCCAGGTGCGTTCCCGCTTCGCGAGCTGGTCCCGAAGCTCTGCCTCTGCGTTCTTGAGTTCCTGACGTTCGTCAGCGCGTAACCGCTCGAGCTCCTCGTATCTTGCTTGTGCCGTCTCCTCTTGCGCAGAGAGTTGTTCTTGCAGGTCATGACATATCTCCTGCACGCGACAGAGTTTCGCCTCGAGGGCTTCACATCCCTCCTGCAAGACCATGAAACTCGCTTTGCGCTCTGTGTACTTGCGCTGTAGTTCGGTATAGCGACGGAGAAGGTAGTAAGTGGCTTGCAAGTCGGTATGCTGGAAAGAAGCTCTCAGCGTCTCATGGTTACTATCCAGACGAGCTGCGCCGTACCTCTCCGCCTGTCCCTTTCAGCCACTCACTGACGTCCTCGAGGGTGTTACAGACATCGGCAGATGGAGCGCCATCGAGGACAATGCGTGACATCCTGCTCTGCAGGTGTTGAGCTTGGGTGGACGGCTCGTCCAGCTCATATCCCATGGATGGCGATGGCGATGAGGGACGGCTGCTGCCCTTATCGGTGTGCAGCCGCCGTACATGGACCGGCTCGAAATCCCGCCTACATAGAGGGCATATCTGTCGCGTTAAGAGCTGCAGGCACCTAAGGTACGAAAGAACAGAAGCCAAGCGGATCAAGCTAGGGTCTAAAGGCGTATCAGGGGGTATCGTACCTCAAGCAGAATGTGTGCCCGCAATTGATGACGTGCGGGACCTTGGCCTCAGAGTAGGGCTCGAGGCAGACATCGCAGGTGGAGGAGGAGTCGAGGACCAGCATGATGGCGGCCGACGGTGAAGGCCAGCGCGGTGGTAGCAAGCGGCATGCAGGAGTAGTGGCCGTCCCAGGTAATAAGGTGGGAACGAGACACCCGCCTAGCCTATATCGCGTGCCGGCTAGACCTTCGAAAGCCATTTCACGAAAGAGATGGCTTTCAGAGGACATTGTGCACACGAGGCATCGGAGATCGGGACTCTATCTCTTCGGAGTGCTGCAAGCAGGGCGCTCAGTTTCCGAGTTGATAGTCGACCAAGCGGGGAATGATGAGACCGGCCGACCGGTACTTCACGGACCTCTAGAAGCATGACCAGAGTACAAGAAGCGCAAGAACGGACCATACCATTCTTCGTAGACGCCCGGTTCAGCTGCCTCTTGGACAAACGCTCAACTGAAATGAGGAGGACAGGTTAGCTCCCCCAGCGTCCAAGATAGTTGCGCATTGTCGAGGAGTGCCGGATAATGAAGACGGATCGAGTATAGGACGGGGAACGGTTGATCGGCAGCCGGGGCGGCAATCCTGAGCCTCGTGTTTACAGCATGTTTGCGAACAGGTCTTGAGATGACGAAGCAAGGTTCCACTCACAAGCATAGGTACACTCAGTATCACGAGTGATAATGCGGCAATTACGTAGACCTCCACGACTCCGGACATCGTCACCAGCGCATCAAGTTCGCGGTACTCAACTTGCACGGCTCACGTAGGGTGAAACATCGACAGGCTAAAGCTCCAAGGAGCCATAGGGCAGAGGGGTGCAGTTAGCAGGAGCGAGCTCGTGCTTCCATCGTGGGCGCCGGTACCATTACTTTTTGCCGTTCCGGGTGACAGGAAACAGGGGTGAACGCCGTCTGAGCCATTGGTTCGACCGTCCGAGGAAGGCGAGCTGTTTCCAGCTCAGCAGCAGGAGCCTATAATACGAGGGAAGCGGATGCATTATCGGTTATGGTTCAGTAAGAGATCGAAAAGAAGCGTACCAGATCGAAGGAGACTATCGCAGAACCCGTCCGCGCCGACGCATTCCGTGCAAATTGAGTGGCAGATCAGAGCCGACACAACGCAGCTCCGTCTTCCATGGGCATATGCTGTACTGTGTGCTTTGTGGATGAAGCGTAAAATGACATACTATGTAGTGCAGTGATGGGAGTTCCATGCTCTACCGGAGACAAACAAAGGTCGCCTGGCAGTACGGTATCGTCTCCCCGGCCAATGGGGGAGTGCACGAGCGTAACGGCAGTCGAAAGGCGTCCACGTTCATTCATATCGTGCGGACACCTTGTGGCAGACCTCTTCTGCCGCGTACAATCGAGGCCATGCTTAGCGTACGGTGCCGCCGTGAATGCGGCACCAGCGCAGACACGATACGTTCCCACAGACCAAGCAATCAGGGCGCCGATGTCCGGATAACAGCCATACATGGCAAAGATAATAAACTGCAGTCGAGTCGACCTGGCAGAGCGGTTGCACCCATCGCGTATGGCTGGCATAATCATGCATGTGAAGCTTCTGGCAGTCGTAGTAGAGAGCACGACGAACCTGTACGCAGCGCTTTGCGCTCCCGCCTCTCGATTTGCGGTTTCCAGGTATGATTTTAGTGCCTGCGATGTAGCAAGCAGCAAGCAGACGAGCAGTCGCGTGGTGAACGCAGGTGTCAGTGGCTTGGGCAGACCTATTCCGGCGCCGACGATCAGGTCAGAGCCCAGAAACCGTTGTATGAGCCTGCTTCGCCCTCTGATAGGAAAATTGACTCGCGCTTCTCATCAAGCAAAATGCTTCATAGCGCGGGAAAGACAGGCATGGAATCCACTCATTACCGCGTTGTGCGAGGTCCCAAAGGTACATTCCTTGAGACTGAATTGCACGGGCAATAGCAATATCGCCCGTAGCGTAGTTCTACCCGCGCCTCAGAGGCGATGCGCACTTGCCCATTGGCGGAGGCAGTAAGATTCGTGTTCGAAGCGCGATACTCGCCCCAAAATGCTGCCGCCTCGAGCTCGTCTGCGCAGAGATATGGCATAAAGCCAGTGCTTCGCATGTCCGGGTGTGTAGTTGTCATAGAGGGTGGGAGTTGAGGATCGCCAGAAGCGTATTTCAGCAAATCGCCACCGAAGGATTGCTGAGAGCCCTGGCTGAAGACACAGCTGTTCGTTGCCGCGTGCATGGCGAGATGGCCGTTCTGTGAGAGAGGAGGCAGCCACAGGAGGAGCCTCTGAGAAACCCGTGCTGATGTAAGCTGTCATTACTTACTTCCTAATTAATACCGTTACCGGTACCACCGCTAGCATGGTCGCTATGGATGAGCGTATAGTATGCCTAACAAGGCCTCAACTTTCATTCCGAGTGGCACGATTGGTGCTATAAGTTCTCCAGTCAGACCAACAGCCTGAGTACTCTTCAACCCTCAGGTGAACTAAGTATATACTTAATTGGTAACATGATCGTTCAAATGTTCACGGCTGATCAACTTGTCTTTGAAGACGTTGGCTCAGTGCCATAGCATGGTCACTGGTTTTGCCTTGCTTTAGTTATGCTATGTATCATAAAAACGGCGTCGGTTGCAATCTTTCGCTCAATGAAAACAGGGATTTCTCGCCGCATCCACAAGGGATACCATTTTGGGCGTACGCGGGGCATACGCCACCTACTGAGCGCTAACGCGGGCAAGTAGGCCCAGCACCCGTCCTTCACCTTCACCTCGCTCATACCTACTGCATACACCGCTGATCGGTCGGAGAGGGGCCAATTTGTGCATAGATTAGTCGTCTATGTTGATTGTCCACCCAAGTTCGACGTGCGACATCTGTCTAGACGGTTATAACTGGACGACCCCGGCGAATGCGCCTCACGCGATAGCCTGTGGCCATGTCTTCTGTCTGCGGTGTGTAGAGCTACTCGAAGAGACTGAGCCGCTGATGGACAAACACGATAACTTAGATGTCTGCGATTGCTGCATCCGAGCACATGCCCCCTCTGCCGCAAAGCCTTCCAGCCTGATCGTATCAAGAAGCTACATGTTGACCGTCTGGCCACAGGCGGCGACGACGACGATCGAACACAGGCCGAAGAGTCCGAGCTGATCCAGCATGTGGCTCTGTTCTTCGGTGAGAATACCCCAGATGAGGATGTCAACGCCGTATTGGGCGAAGTCCACGATTGGCTTGCTCTTCAAGGAGACAACCCAAGCTCCGTGAGTCTCCTTCTCTTCTGGCCGGTGGCGTGGCGCTCCATGCGTTTCCGATCGCTACGATACTCTTCTTGTTCGCTCGCAACGATAGCGCCTCTAATTTCCGTGTCTTTCCCGAGTATCATGGAGGACGAGGAGGTCGCTGTGCTTGAATCACTACACCGACCTTCCGTATGTGTGTAGACTAATGCAGCGACGCCGCTAGACCGCCTCTTCCTACTATGACCCAATGCAGAGCGCGCACCCTTTCCACTTTATAGTCGTTCATGTGTTCAAAGCATTCGACGTGGCATCACCCTGATGGTCATTTAGCATCGTGCACTGCGCTCTGCTGTTGCTGCCCTTCATAGATACAAGTCTCTTCAACAGGAGAGTCGCGTGGACAAGCAATCAATACGAGACCTCATGGAAGAATACGATAGGAAGATACGTATCAAGGACCAGGATATCAAGACTTCCCGTGCGATTGAAGAGAACCTGTTGGAGGAGATCCATACAATAGATGACAAGTGGCGCAGGTGAGTGGTCTTGCATTACACGAGCACACAATGACTTGACATGTTTGTTCAGTCAGGTATGTTGGATCCGTTGAGCCGCCCCGCAAGGAATGCTGAATCAATCGCAGCTTGAGCGCCTCGAAGCTGAACTCACCTCTTTGCGTTCTGCGCAACCAAAGACGTCAACTCAATTATCGGCTCATTGGATCTGTCACATACAGAAAGCGCGAAGATTCCGAATGCGACCTCTCCTGTGCAAGAGGCCGCCACATCACAAGGCGCCACATCCCATCTACCGGGTCCGTCAGACATGTCCAGGTCGCAAAGCCAATCGTATCCCACTTTCCACCGCCGGACATGTCACGAGCATACAGCCTATCAAACCCTCTCCCTGCTCCTCCAGACATGTCGAGGATTCAAACTTCTCTAACCCACTTCCTGAGCCTCCGAGGCCCGTGTCCCCAGACCGTCTCGCTTCGATGGGCCGCTCACCTGCTATTGCTAGCAACTCTGAAATTCGCAGAACGACGTCCATGTCCAGTAGCGGATCAGCATCGCTCAAACTGTCACCGGTTCGCAGACCCCATCTACTGTTTGGTCCGGGTTCGAAGACCCACACGCATTACGGCGCGATCGAACCCTGCGTACGCCCGTGCTCGTACCCGGAGCCTCATCGATGCGGAAGGTAGTACCCCCTCGTCCTACTGAACGCGAGAACCCTAGGATTACTCCCGGACGAACGTGGAACCCCCTCGATACCCCTGCTCCCAGTATGCCTCCCCCGCAGGCTAGTCCCGCAGACGGTAGTGTTCCTCTGCGACGTGGGCAGGACGACCAGGGTCAAACTGTGTATTATCAGTACGGTTGGGTACCCGGGACTGGGTATGCTTGGTTCCAGGTGCCCTACTCTTCCCCGTCGCAGGCGTCTCTTGCGTCCGCTCGTTCGAATGGCACAGCAGGACCCTCGCGAAACGTCGCCGCAACACCCGCTATGTCTGGTGCGAACGCTAGGGGACGCTCGATCTACGAACAACCAATCATAGAAGATAACTCACGGGCAGAAGCTGGTCCATCCAGCCTCGCGCGAATCGCGATCGCACACCATCTGGACGATCTGCACGCAGACAGGCTTCATCGACGGTGGTCGAATCAGAGCAGCCTGAACCGGCCCCCGCACCACATTCCCAGTCTAGCACCCTGTCCAACGCGAGCCTCCGCGGTATGGCGCTGCTGAACGTGCCGCCGCTTTCTTCAGGCACCGTTTCGAGTGCTGCAGATCGTCAAGATATCATGAACATTCTAGGTGTGAACACGCCGCAAGTGAACCACACGCAAGCCTCGCCTGCCACGACGTGGGGGACCGTCCACTCGTCGCAGGTCCCGTCGCGTTCGTCCAACAACCCGTCGCATAACCCGAGCATCAGCGACCTTGGCCTGTTAGGGCTGCCAGAGCCAACCGCCCTGCTTGGGTCGTCCGATGAGGACTCGCAGTCGGATAGCTCCGTGGGAGGCGACTCCGACTCCATCGATCATGACGACTTCATGACCCCGAGGAGCAGACCCTTATCGTATGGTCGCTCGGTAGCTTCGTCGGAGCATACCCAGCCAGCCCATACCACACAAGGCATGGGCATATTCCTCGAAGCAGGCACCAGACAGCCCGTGCGCCAGACCATTCGAGGGCCGCAGGAGCTGGAGGTGGTGACGGAGTCGCTTATGCGACTGGTTGACGATGTCAAGGCTCGCGGGGCCACCACCGTTCCGAGAGACACGCATCCACGCCCAATCCCCGAGACCCGCCCGAGGCAATTCTGGGTGCGAGGACAGGTGTCCCGCTGTACAGCTCTCGCCCCCAGTCAATCCGACCTGAGGTGGCTACTGGCTCGTCTCCACGGTCCCACAGCGGGTCGGCTCATCGTCTCGATCGGGAGTACATGAGTGACTCTGAGCATGCGCACAACCGTGCTACTCATGGCCATACCATTCCCAGTCGCGCCACAGAACAGCCGGCGACATCTTCGTTGTCCGGTGAGGCAGTCATCCCCCCTCCACCAGCGACTGCGCCGAGCATCTACCAGCGCCAGCCGTCTGCCCCCTCTCGCGTTCGAGCGCGAGCCCCGGTCTGCTCATTTCGAGTCGCCTGTGTACGCGCCCCGCGAGCACCGGACCCACTCCTCGGCCCCTGCATCCGCGGTAGACGCGAATCCTTCCCTGTCGTCACTCATGGATCTCAGGGAGGGCTTCTGCTGTCCTTCTCACCCATCGCTGGGGGCAGCTCGTCTGCCGTCAGCGTCACAGGCCAGGATTCGCCATTCGCGCGCCTGCACCTCGCCCGATCGGCAGGTCACAGAATGGTCTGCTGGGCGGACTCTGGAGCGCCAGGAGCGGCAGGTAACGAATGCTCGCAATGAATTTCTCACCTGTATTGTATCTGACTCGCTCTGCTATGCATCTAATGATCTGCTCTCCTCCAGCTTGTTGTCTTTCGTATACGGATCCGGAAAGGAAAGAACTACCCTGGATACCGTTATGACTATACCTGTGCCCACGGTTCGATCTGTAGCCCTAAGTATGCCTGCCCCATCTAGTTACGAACCTCCGAAGAACACACATCTCACATTACAGTACTTCCGCAGTGACCCATGACCACCGTCCTACATAGATCGTGCACGCGCGAGAACCCATAGAATCTTATCTCTTTGACACATCAACCAACTGAGATGCGAACAGATGGGAAAGAGCGGAAGGATCAATCGATCATGCATCACGGTCCATGACGAGCGCAGAACTCAGAAGCAGGCCCCGAGCTGCCTCAGCCGGTGGAGAGCCGCTGCGGGAGAGTTCGAATCCAAACCGGTTGGATCTCGCGACGTGGACGATACGGCATCGTCAAGTGAAGCGACGTGTGTCTCGAGATCGGCGAGGGCATCTGAGAGGGCATATGACGCCTCTCTGCGGGCTTCGAGCAGCGGCCGGATGAACGTCCATGATGGAGGCACGCGAGTTGGACGGGTCTTCTTCGAAGCCGGGAGGACAGGCGTTGGAGCTGCCTGAGCAGGACGACGCTTGATGAAAGGGTTGAAAGGTGGTTCCGGGGGCGATCCGTAGAGCTCCAGTTGCTCGAGGGTCAGATCAGAAGAGGGGGCCGAGCAGATGCCGCGGGCGAGCTTGAACGCAGTAGCGAGACGCTGAGTTCTGGGGTAGGTTGAGTAGGATGCGAGTGACAGGGAGCAACGGAACTCACTGCCTGAGGTTTGCTGCATAGGATGTGATTTAGTAAACCTGCGCTGACAATTGCGCTGGTACGCACCTCCAACAAGCGCGTTATGCCACCTCGACAGCACCTTCGCTGTCACATATACCGACCCAACCAACACCAAACCATCCCTCACTACACCCCCATGCCGTACGAGCCAAACCCCTACACGCTGGACCACCTCCAACACCGCCCTAACACCACCATCCGAGCGACTGACTGCCCTGCCATGGCTTCCAAGATCGGTAACCGCCCCACCATCCGCGCAAGCAGACACCCCAAGACGCCATACACCGCACCCGCCCCAACCATCCCGAAGATGGCTTTGTACTGCGCGTGCGTCTCCTCATTTCGCGGACTAGCCAGCGCGCGCTCTGCTATACCCGCAAGCGCGTATGCAGGCAAGTGCAGCAGGAAGGGAGGGAAGAAAAGCAGAAGGCGCGGGTGGAGTGCGGTGTTGAAACATTGCCTGACCAAGAGCGAGATGGTGCGCGGGCATGTGGGCAGAGCGTGGTGGGGGCTGGGGAGGAGTGCGGAGAGATGTGCGTGGGAGATGTTGCTGTAGTGGAGGAGGGAGTAGTAGTTCAGAAGAGACCGGCGGGCTCGAGGGAGCGAGGGTGGCGGATTCAGTGTTGAGAAGAGGTCGATCAATCTACGGCCGGTGGTTAATTATGGGTAGAATTGGAAATCGTCAGAGGAGACCGACGCACGCCTGAGAGACGTCCGTGAATTGTGACACGGCTATGTTTCGTTCGTCGTCCCATAACATGTCCCTCGCCATTCTCGCGACGTACAGTGTGTCCCTGCAATAGAATTGAGCAGCTTCCCGTACTGATTTAGCGGGCCACCGACCAGTCTGGCGCGTTGACCGTTAGCTCAACCATGCGCCGTTCAATCTCTTCGGTCAGCTTCCTGGCTGCGACACGCATGTCTTCGTCTGTCTGTACGTCTTGATCTCGCGCAAAGTCCGCCACGTCTATGGGGAGTCCCCATCTTTTACTGCATCAGCAAGCGCAAGCTATGCGATACCTCCGAGGACCTACCTAACCGCCATCTAATACGCGGACGACCGTACAAGTGTAACGTCAGTCAAACCCCTCGTCACACGACCCTGAGTGCACTCACCCGACTCTGGTATCTCGTCTTCGCCGTATGCACGATCCCCACCGGTACGACCAACACCCTCCCGCCCACCTCCGATTCGCCTCCCTGCTGCAGCCAACGCAGGTACTCCAGCGCCGCCCACGCCGCACCTTCCTTAACTTGTACGATCCCCGGCTGCGTGTAACTCGTACCCTCCGGGAAGACACCGACCGTGCCGCCTCTTCCTTCGTCCAGCGCACGGAATGTCTCCCGAAAGAGCGCCTGACGCGCCTCGCTCTCACTCTCTGTTGCACGGCGGTCGGCATTTGTAGGGTCCGCGGTGCTATTGGGATTGCGCCTGACTGGGATGCTCCCAGAGCTGAGGAGGATCGCGCGGGCAAGCGGGTTCCTGAACAGCGATGACTTCGCCCAGAAACAGAGTGGCCTCCTGTGCGGGACCGTTACCGCTGTGAAGCAACAGAGAGTCAGAGGAGTTGGCAAGATGTAGTACGCAAAAACCAACCGAGGGTGGCTATATCGAGTATCTCATTGTGGTGGCACGAGACCCTGGTGAAGGCGTACGCCGCGTATTAGGTCGCACTGACGTAGACTCATACACGGACCTACACAATAAGTGGTCCATCTGCAGGTACGTTGTGTGCCCCTTCAACGTGTACTTCAGAGTAGAAATCAAGAGCCGAGTCTGAAAGCGCCCGAAGTATGCGATACACGAGTTTCAGTTCCATGAGTCTCAAGCTAGGTGGATGATGGTTCGAAAACAGAGAGGTGCATAGCTGACAGCGGCGTCGGCCTCGTCGACACCACAACCGTCAGTCCATATTCGGAGATCAAGACAGCTGCGAAGGAGCAACATCAAGGCGTGATGCGCTCAATCGGGAATCTCATCAGCCATTCACTCACACTGCGACTCACGACCGAATCTCATCAACCACACCTACACCAGCGAATAGATACCAGTGTTGGGAGTACAGTCATATTGCAGTGGCGGATAGTCACATCACATAGAAGCACACATAGACAGGGAACGATGATGCATCGACCACGGGGCAGGCGAACCTGATGCGTGTCGAGCGGCGACCATTGATCATTGACAGTATGCAGTATACATGACGAACGACCAGAGAGCTTTTGCGATCTTTGCAGATCAGAGACGGCGACCACGGCGACCACCCTGGATGACACAGAAATATTGTATGAGCAATGATTACGAAAAGGGAGAAACTAGCCAAACGTACCTTGCGCCTGGTCGAGTCGGTGGGGATGGGGGTCACGTCCTCAATGCGGCCAATGCCCATGCCCGCACGGGCGAGTGCACGGAGCGCGCTCTGCGCACCGGGGCCGGGGGTCTTGGTGCCCGTACCACCAGTCGCACGGAGCTTGACGTGCAGGGCGGTGATGCCGACCTCCTTGCAACGAGTGGCAACGTCCTGGGCAGCCAACATGGCAGCGTAGGGCGACGACTCGTCACGGTCGGCCTTGACCTTCATACCACCTACAAGTCAACTGCTCAGATTGCCATTTTCCCAGTAGAACTTCAATAGACGTACCGGTAACACGGGAGATGGTCTCCTTGCCGGAGAGATCAGTAACATGGACGAATGTGTCGTTGAACGAGGCGTAGATGTGCGCGACGCCGAACACAAGCTCGCCCTCAGCGACCTGGGGGCCGAGAGACACCTGGTTCTCTTCCTTGGGCGCCTTCGTCTTCTTGGGGGGCTGAAGACCGCATCCGCTCGTCAGCCATGCCATCCATCGGGAACGACAACCGTCGCGTGCGCAGTTCGTGGTCGAAGGCGAGGACTGCTGTCATGGAAGGCGTACTCACCATCTTGGTGGGGCTTGGAGGTGTCTTGAGGGATGTGGAGGACGAGACGAACGGCGATCAACAGAATGAGACGTCGTGCAGAACGCTTTGTGAGCGACGTGACCTGTCACGGGGTGACAGGACATGACATGTCGTGTCGCGTGACTGACGCGAGGGTACGCGTTTTTCTACAGTCGTCGCGTCCTTCAAGCCCTTGTCTTAATAGATTTCTGCTTGTGTTACACCAGTGCGGTGGATCGCTTCCTTGCAATGTACCGATGACTGCGTATCCTGCATAAAAATGGTCTGTGATCTGCACGACCAAGATACTTGTGACGCCATTTTAAGTCGTTGCTCGGGAGTCGACGGGGATAACAAGTTGTTCACTTCTATACTATGCTGCAGCAGATATCTGTGAGCGTATTGCACTTCTTTGGGTTGCATGACTGAAGTCGCTGGGCGATCACACTGGTGGTGTGTCTTCTGCTGGGTCACGTATCTTACGGACGTGCAAGGTCCTCTCGGCGGCGAGGGAATTCCTGTGCAGGAAGTCCGTGCAGCTGCCAGCATGGTACCATCCTTGGATCCCGCATAGTAATCACGACCTTTGCAACATCCGCATTAAGCACCTCCTCCTGGTAGCCGCGCGCTTACCCACCCACTACTGTACCCATATACCCCCAATGTAGGTTCCCCTGCTGTCGAGGCTCTGCTCAGTCTTGCTTCTCTGTCTGACCGCACCCTTGATGCACAGCACTTCACCCCACATCCAGCATCTGTGGTACCCGGATATAAGTAGCCTTCCTCCAACAATGCAGCAGCAGACGATAAGCGATGTTATCCAGGATCGGGTACCGGTCATCTGATTGACGGAAAGGCCCCCTCCCTTCAGACTCCAGCGTGGCCCTTATCCGGATTCCGCCCAGGCATCCGTATAAAGGTCCTCCCGGCGGACAAGCACGCCAGTTGCGCTCTCCCCGCATCCACCAACTGCATTTCCACCTCTCTTCTCGCATCTACACTACCGCTATGGCCCCGAACCCACAGTGCGCTGCCCTCGCCGCCGCGAAGGACAAGAAGGGTTCGTGTTCCCCATCGTTTCTCCTACTCTCCGGGCGAGGAGTAGTGGGGCACCATTGACGTCGACGCTGACCGTGTCCTTATGTTCTGTGCAGGCTTGTCCTACTCTCAGATCGCCCAGCAGATCGGCGTCTCGGAGCAGCGTGTCATCGACAGTACGTCTCCATCTCCATCTCTTACGACGATGAGCTGACGGCGCGCATTGTCACTGCTTTCCTCATGCACCATCAGTCTGCACGGGTGCGGCGGTCCCCACCACCGGCGAGTTCAACTCCCTCGCGGGCGCGCTCGACATCAAGTCCGCCGTGAGTATCTACTGCTTGTCTACATCTCTTCCTTGACCCCTGCACCTCCGATTCATGCCCTTTCCTACTGAGCGACCGGTCACTGACGGACGGTCATTGACAGCCCCCGGCCGACGCTGCGCATACTAGGGTGTAACGCGGTAATCGATGACGATTACGCGAGTCTTGTACAGTATCGCTTTATCCGGGTTCTGTGTGTATTAGTATCGTCGCATTCGCTGCATTGCATCAATATCACAAACACAGTGTATCACGCCATTCGGATGTCATGCATGTTCATGCCATGTTCGAGCAACTTGAAGGCGAGTTGGTGGCTTGAGTGGGTTTCGAGTACTGAGTGCTGGGCGCTGAGGTATTGGAATGTTCTCATTGGACCGTGCTCCGGTCTATTCGAACAGCTTAAACGTTACAGCGTCAGGGCATGTCCTGGGGAGATTACCGACACACAGGCTCGTCTCGGTGGACCAGAGGTGGATGATGACGAAATGTGCAGCGCCAGCTACAATTATTCCTGGGAGTCTTCCTGGTCGTATCTTCATGTGTCGATGCACTTATTCCGGGTCATGCAGCAGAACAGACTGATGGGATGATTGCCAAGAATCCATTGATATACGTGTCCTTCATGGAGAACCATATCCACATATCCACATATTCCCCACCGACGAAGTTCCATCGTCTTCGCAGATTACTTGTACAGCACACAATCACGAAACTCCCTCCCAGCGCAGCAAGCCGCCCGCATGCCGAATGCGACGTTCACCACCTGCCTCCGAAGCCTCCTCCGAACGAAGAGTCCCGGACCGTCGTCTGGTCGGTCGTCTGCACATTCTGCTCGTCGAAGGTGCCGCCGCACGGCGTGCTCTCGAACGTGTTCGACGTGTCCGTCGTCTGCGTGTTCTGGTACGAGTCGTCGGCGAAACCGCCGCCGAAACCGCCGCCCTCCACCACGTTGTCTGTGCATCAGAACAGTCAGCCTTGGGGGTGTAAGATGCACGGGAGGAAGACCTACCGGAGCTGTAGGTGGTGTCCTGGTAGCTGTTGTTGTCGAAGAAAGGCATGTTGTAGATGTTGTGAGAGGGTTGGGTGGGTAAGAGTGTGTCTGGGAAGTGTAGCTGTGCGTTGCTGAGCCCTTCCCCTCACAGAGCACCGGTTTTATACACCTCCAGCCCACCGATCCTCGCCGCCCGGAACAGCATGCAGGCGTCACCAGCCACGGCCGCGCTCGAAGATGCGCGCGCACATGGGTGCGCAGAGCTCTTCGCAAGGCGTCTTTATGACTTACAGTTCAATTCCCCATCTTCCTCCGTGCACTGCGGCAGGCCACCGTCGCTATATCCGTCCGGGCGGTGTATGCAATGTGGGCGTCAAAGGCTTCGTGAGGCGTAGAACCACCGCACCTGGACAGGAATAGCCTTCGGATCTGACCAGGCGGTACTGCGTGTACTATGAATACTCGCAGTATACCTGGAATAGCGCAGGAGATCTCGGGTCGAGACTCTCGCATGACGCGTAGAAGTAGGAGGAGGGTTATTTCCATCGTAAGACCGGGGCCGGCACCCGTGCGCACTGCGAATTGGACGTGCCAAAGTATACTTTCTGTGCCAGAACGACAGTGCGACGCCATCGCTGCACATTTGGTTCTGAATAACGCAGCCGTATGATCAAGGAGGGGCCGCGGACGCTGGCCTCCGAGACTCAAGTCAAAGGCATGCCTTCTCGTCGTCCTCATGCATGCGAGCCCCATCATCATCGCCTCCGATGCGGCCGTAGCGGGGCGAACGTAGAGAATGCAGTGAACAGTGGCTCATGGCAAAAGGCTCCACACTGGGGTGGGCCACGTACGAGGCCGAGCCCCGCCCACCGTCACCCTTGCGCGAAATCATCTGGACGTTCACGTTCACCCCCGAAAACTCACCTGAGTTCTGATAGCATCTTCAAGATCCAAGTCTTGCAGGCTGATGGATCCATCCAGCGCGCAGTTCATGTCCACGCGCACTGTGCGTAGATGCAGCATTGAAGTACTTCACCGATATCCTCTATTATCCCACGTACCTCACATTTCTATGTCATACATCACTTCCAAAGCTGTCCTCTTCACTGTCACCGTCATCGCTGGCTTCTGCCTCGTCATCTTCAATGCTGTCCGCATCCACTTCACTGTCATCGAGATCGACGAGATCGCTCTCTTCGTCATCCACATCGGGTTCGCTCTCCTCGGCATTGACATTGGGTTCGCTCTCCTCGTCATTGACATCGGGATCACTCTCGTCGTTGTCGACATCGGGGTCGCTCTCCTCGTCAACATCGGGTTCGCTCTCCTCCTCGTCAATATCGGATTCGCTTTCCTCCTCGTCGACATCCAAATCGCTCTCCCCGTCGTCAACGTCGGGATCGCTCTCTCCGTCGCCATCCAAATCGCTCTCCCCAAATTCATCGTCATTATCCTCGGAACTACTTGGCCCGTCCTCACTATCACTTCCACTTTCAGCGTCCAGTGCTTCCTGCGTAGCGGGAGCAAACGTCCAGACCACTTCGCGTAGGGAGGGCGGATGCGGCTCGGCTTTATTTTGAGCTTCCCACTCTGGCGTGAAGTCCTCATCGGTGAGGAAGCGTGCAGTGCACTCTCCGCACTCGCCTCGCCATGGCGTGCTCAGTTCCTGCAGGCAAACTTCCCCGTCAAGAGTATATGCCGCGCTCAGGCGTACTGTGCGCAGATGAGGTAGGGATGCCAAGTGGCGGTTGTACAGTTTCTAAGGGATGAGCATGAGCGGTCCTGAAGCGAATTCAAGAAACGCACAGAAACGCACCGGGAGTCCGTCGCCGTTGTTGTATGTCACGGATGATGGTGGAACTTGATCGAGATGCAATATATTACACGTGTCGCAAAGGCTACACCATGCCCGTTCTTGATGAAGGTCGAGTACTTGGAGATTAGGGAACACGTTTGGCATGTGAACGAGTTGGTCCGGACTCGGCCGCAAATGATAGCGCAACTCGAATTCAAGCACCGTCGGAAGTACTATCCCCAGCCTGAGCGTCCGGGTTGCGACATATGCATCCTCGTAGGGATGCGCGTCGAATTGTACTTTGCGGAGATGAGTAAACATGGTGAGATCCATCTCCGAATTAAAGAAGCCGTTCGCCACTCCGCCGATCATTTGGTAGGGAACGATACAATGCAGAATCCTGCATAGGTCAGTGGCGTAGAACGCAGACAGGAGGATCGTAGGTACCTTGTCCAAGATACCACGCCAGGGATGGTAGACAACCACTCTTCACTCAAGTGGAGTTTGGGGATATACATTACGTAGGTCTGAAACCAAGCCTCCAAGACAATTTCGCGGAAGACCTTGGACACCAAAGTGAGAGGTTGGACTTCATGCCACTCTGGTTTTATTGCTACAACGGGGCGCCAAGGGTACCCTTTATCGCGAGCCAGGCTGCTCGTTCTGCCTGGCGTGCGGCTGTCGACGAAGTAGAAGATGATGACATAAAGCAGCTCAACAGGGAGCATATCTGACATCACGGACGCGTTCAGCAAAGACACTCGGTGGGGGTACTACATAGATATGGTTTCTGACCTGTGAATGGGCACGATATAGTGGAAGTCGCAAGTGAGGCTGTCAAAGAAGTGGCACAATTTAAGACGCGCACCGCAGGATGGATATGCGCGCAACGTGATTCATGCACTGACTGTATGCGTGGGAAATCTCAGCCACACAGTCACACTAGACGCGGCAACCCTTATTAGCCATTTGGGGCGAGGCTCCTAAAACCAGCCGTCCACAGTTTCTCGTTCGTAAGTATGGACCTCGGCGCCGTCGTTGTGAGTAAGTTCTGATAAGTACATACGGTGAACTTTGAGTGCATAGTATCCCATCGTAGACCCTCAGCACGACCTGAGTTGCTATTGACCCATACTTGCGAGAAATTCGCCATTGATATGCAGATGCACCGGATACAGTACGCGATAAATGTCAGCGACTAGACAATACCTTGTCCTCCCGCATTACATGCATCACCTCGTGAGTTCCACATCGCTTCACCGCCGTCTCCTTGTACGATGCTTCCAGAGCCGGCCTCCCCTTTGCGGCCCTAATCGCTGTCCTCGTCCGTGTAGCCGTAGTCACTTTCCTCATCTGCTTCACTGTTGCTTCCACTCTCAATGTCAAAATCCATCTCCGAGGGAGTGTACGCGAACGTCCAGACCACTTCACGCAAAGAGGGTGGATTTGGCTCAGCTTTGTTCTTGGCCTCCCACTCCGGCACGTATTCTTCATCGGCAAGAAAGAGCGCGGAACAATCTCCACATTCTCCCCGCCATCGCGTCTTCAAGCTCTGTAGGCTGATGTCCCCGGTCAGAGCGTACGCCACGCTCAGACGCACTGTGTGTAGATGGGGAAGGGGTGCCAAAAGACGTCTGTATAGTCTCTGCGGAAGTGACATGAACGACAGCATCTTGACAGGATAGCGCGAAGTTGAGACGTACCGGAAGACCCTCGCCGTTGGTATAGGTTATGGACAGAGGCGGTGACTCCCTGAGACGCAGCACATTACATGTATTGCAGAGGCTACACCATGACCTTTCTTGATGCATCTCAAAGGTTTGGAGATTAGGGAAAGTACGCGCCACCGGAACGAGCTGCTGCGGATTTGGCCAGGCGTGGTAGCGCATCTCGAGCTCAAGTATCGTAGGTGGCATCTCCCCGAGAAGTTCAAGTAAGACATACGTAGTGTCGTTGGGGTATGCATCGATGCGCAATTTGCGGAGACGGGTGAACAACGCGAAACCCCGTTGAGAAGGATGGCGGAGGGGCACCGCCAACTCAATGGTGCGCGGACTGATCAAGTGAACTGTCCTACACGCCAAGTGAGCAACACGAAAGGCACACAGAAAATTCACCGATACCTCGTCCAAGATGTAGTCTCGGGAATGACAGACGTCGACAAGCTCTCCAAGTCGGCGCGATAACGTATCACGAAGGTTCGAAACCAGGCTTCCAAAGTGACCTCGCGGAGGACCTTTGATACCATCACAAGCGGCTGGACAGCATGCCACTCCGGTTTCGAGGCATTGGCGCGGTACCAGAGGAAGGTGTCCTCACGAGCTAGGCTGCTCGGCCTGCCAGGTGTGCAACTATCGATATAGCGAAAGATGATGTCGCGAATGAGCTCAACGGGGAGTGTACGTGACATCGCAGACGCGTTCAACAACGGACCCTCGGCGAGGGTTAAAGATGTGATTTTTGACCCTTGGGTGGACACGGGAGCTCTGAGTGAGGCGGTCAAGAACTTACAGGAACGCGCATGACAGAAATAAGTTGTGCTGATCTTGTGTGATGACTGAATGCGTGGGAATATTTTGGTCACAATCATGCAAGTCACAGTAGACGCAGCGGCGTGGTGACACACTGGTTTGCAGACCTCATTCATTTCGAATGCATAGCACGACTCTAATGGGTTCTCAGGTGCTACCAACTCGCTCATGTATAGCCATCGCTGAGCGCTGAACCTTCGGTGTCGACACAATGGCGGAAACGCGTGCGCGATGTTTGCACTGACGTCGACTCGGCGGACGCCGAGCGTTGACTCTGGAGTCCAACTTATGCAAACAATCTGTCCAACTACGTGGTTTTCTGTAAGTGGTGAGTAACCGGGATGTGCGGCGTGCATGCTGATATATTAGATATGGCCGCAGAGACACTCAGTGGAACACATAGTGCTATTCATAGTAGCGCCGTATCCGCGCGCTCGGTGGCTCAGTTGAGGGCACCGTTTGCTACGTCTGGCGCTTCAGTTCCGTGTTGACAGCGATCACCGTGAGTTGAGCTAGTCGGTGTACTTGCTTTGCCTCTGGGTGCCATATGAGCCCATCCCATCTACTATGAGTGGTTGCATCTGTCTCGCAAGCCAGATACAGTATCTGGTAGGTGGCCTAGGTCCGCACAGCTATGTTTGACAGCTATGCACAGACCCTCGATGCTGCTTGCATCCTATGTCGAGCCCCTTACATATCACTCTAGGTCTTGCAGGCTCGCTCCGCCATCGCCCCACGTCCTGCCGAATGGGCACTCTCCCAGTCACCTCCAGTTCTCTGGCCGCTACGGTCGGCGCGTGCTATGTAGGCAAGTACTTATTTACGCTGGACGATGACTATACGCTTGACATATGATTCATTTAGGCACTATTCTCGCTTCGATGTGAGTGGACTTCAGCAGGCCCCGGCAGCGGACACCGAGACTCAAAGCAGCTAGACTGTACGGGATAACGTCTATACAGACCCTCACGTTCTTCCGCTTTTACCCTGATGATCCACGGTGGCTGAGAATTACGGTGCGTACGCTGAAGTCCCCAGCGTCGATTCAATGTTGACGTCGTCACACAGGTTGGCTTTTTGTGGTACGGCTCAGTTATCCGGAGTTTGAGCATGGCTCAAAGTGCATCTCCAGGGTCCTGGACACGCTTCACCTCGCTTTCATCGGACACGCTGTGTATATATACGTCATCACCGACTTTGGTAACATGCAAGCCATTGACCAGCCTCTCTGGTAGGTTCATTTCGCGACCTGCACCCATCGCTCCCGTGCGTTCAACTGAGTTGACACCTCTACTAGGAGCATGACGGTGAGTATGTCTATACCATGGAATTTTTGGTTTGACTCAACCAGGACCAGGCACATGTTTTGCTCTCCGTAAGTCGCAGCCTGCCATTCAGTGAAAGCTCTGTTGTAACTCTTGATCCAGAACCTCAGCGACTTTTTGGTGAGAGGGTATGTGATTGCATCAGCTCGTCGTTAGCAGATGCTGATATCGGTCGATATCGAACAGCGTCTTCTCGTACCGCATCTGGAGAGGTGAGCACGTCTGCTGTGTGAGTTGAAAGGGCAGCGCTCACCGTATCAGTGAGCGTACATTACCGCGTCTGGAGGGTGGTTACCATCGTAAGCTCCATCCGCAGTTGCATGATATCTCGGGCTCATGAACGCGTAGGGAGCGACCTCGCTTGTGGTATTCGGTAAGCGGTCCAGACTGCACCATTCTGCATGGTTTTGTGACATTGCATCCTCAGGGAGTGCTTGCGGTATGTCTCATGATGTTGAACTTATCGATCGAGCACTGAAGAGCATTTGTGCGAAGCATTCTCGGCTTGGGGGTAAGGCGACACTAGTCTATGCGATAAATCCGTACTCAACCTGACCATAGCTTCACGTCCGCGGAATACGTGTTCGAGCAGCGAGAGCTCTCCGTAAGCTATCCCAACGTGAAATTGGTAACTGTAGTGATAACTCGTCCACAGATCTTCATATATACCAATCTGGCATTAAGTATGGTCGCAGACGTACTCATCGCCGTCTTCTTTTCTTCGATCCTGCAGCGACGCCGTACAGGCATGCCGACGTGGGTTTTTCGACTTTGTACCGTCGGCTTCGACTGACCGTCACGGATTCCAGAACCGAGTATATTATAGATTATTTGATGATCTACAGCATCAGCACCGGTCTTCTGACAACGTAAATGTCTTTGCTATGTCGTGTCCGTCATGCTGCTGATCACGCCATAGCCTCTGCACCTTGTTGTGTGTTCTCCTGGTATGACTGGATGGCTTTGCTCTTCGCCGACTTCGCTTACGATCGATATCGCTTTAGTACGCTCTGCTTCCTGTCCCGATGAAATTCGCCTTCGTCGCGATATACTTCATCCTCCCCAAGCGTGAGTCACCTCGTTTCTGTGAAGCACGCATGTCCTGATTTTACACTACCGCAATCGCCTACGGCAGTACTTCTGAACTCCCTGCTCGCTACGCTGAACATACGCAAGTGCACTTCGGCGACCTCACCGAGCGAGTGCGCTGCAACCACCGCGACCCGCCGGGAACCACGCGCCGCCAATTCTCCGTCTACCGCGGGGCTTGGATGTATGCACCGTCGTAGGGAGAGAGCGAGTTTCTTTGATGCCGTGAGTCGGTCGGGACGTGTCATTTGTATCACTGTCGAGAGAGATGTGGAAAAGGTCGCCGATTACCCTCATCAGGACCCAGTACGTACGGCTCGACGTTATGAGCGGCTCGCACTCATTCGTCACTAGGAAACGACTGGCGAGCCGGGCACGTCAACCAGGACGAGCCTGGATGCAACACCGAAGATTCTCAGTGACACGGACCTGTGTTGAATCTCGGTTCGTGCGTGTCGGCACTGCTTCGTTCATGTGTTCTCTCGTCAATTGAGATGAATTGGACAATCATCATCATGGCACAGCCGGTAGTCTTCCGCAATATATAACATTGTTCTTTATCCAAACACCTGAGCCGAGCTGACCGATGTACATCGTGGGAGATGTGTGCCAGATACTATTTCCGATAGTCCGATTTTTGTTTGATCTCTTTCTACTTTCAGGACTTTCTCCTTGGCAAGGTCGAATTCGAGTCTTCGAGCATTGCGCCCTGCTTGTACAAGGAATCGGATCGCGCGCTTTGTATAAACAGCTAGACCTCAATCGGAATCCGGCTGAGTAGGGGTGAGCTTGCGTCGACGCCTCGAACACCAGCTCACACTTGACAGGCGGTCAACTTCGAAGACTCAATAAAGGTCTCCGAGCAAGATTTTGACGTACCTGATACTGCAGGGCACCTTCCTGATTTGTCGTTGGCTTTCGCTCCTCACCATTGTAACTCCGCCACGGCTTCTGAAGCGCTCCACTACTGACGACCGTATAAAATCCAGCGTACGCCTCTGATGCCTGCAAGAAAATCGTCTCCTCTTCTCATCGCTGGCGCGAACGATGCGGCCAAAGGACGAGCGATGTGGGAATCGCACGTTCACCACAAGGTCCAAAAACTGGAGGCATGTCACACGGAAGGAGACACGTGGTGCGTGATGCATCTAGTCAATGAGCCTAATAAACGCCTGATTTCAACACACACAGAGCCACGATTTAGTGGTACGCCGGCTCGAAATCCCACTAGCTAGCTACCGGCCCTAGACATGGTATTTTGGGGTTTGTTCCCCGATGTCGCGATCTTTTTTCTCTGTACAACTGCGCACTGTATGCGGTGTGACGTTGTGGCTCGAGTAGCGGTGAGTCCGTGTGTTTGACCTGCGTACATCGACGGCTCATAGAGAGACGGTCTCAAGTTGAAACGACTCATTACAGGACAGAAGATGTGTGCTGCAGCCTTGACATCCAAGTAACCCGGGCGGACCTTGTCCTATGGGTGATAGGGCTGCTGGCCAGTTTTCGCTGACCCCTTCTCGTCTCAGGTTCTCTCAGGCCCGTGCGAGAAATGACACAGCGATGCGCTCATCGGCAGGGTGTGACGACGGGCGCAATTGAAACTGCGTCTCGGTTCGATGCCACAGTGCCATCTTCCTGGCCGTGCGCTCCGCTCGACACGGAAGATCCGGATCATGCATGACGGGACAGAAGGATGGAGCGAGAAGTCGCCCGGGATGGTACGGGCCAAGTCTATTTTCCAATTCTGCACAGCTGACCTCGGATCTTCGAGCGGTGTGGACGAATTGGGCGAGAATTACATCGCAGGCTTCAGCCGGCTGGTTGGGTACACTATGTACACGACAGCTGAGCTGCGTCATTCACACATGACTTGTATGCGGGTCCGAGGCCGAAGGTCATCTTGTCCTTGTCTTGCCCACTGGCAGCTGGAATCTCAGGTGCGTCTTCGTAGTACATTGAGGCGGTACCACGGATAAGTCTCAGTCTGATTGCCAAAATGTCGTTGCGGGCTCTCCAGTCAATTCATTTGGCAAAGACCGTATTGGATCACACATTCTACATCGAAGTCGTCATGGTGCCGTCGCGTCAGGGCCAAGGGCACGTAAGGCGGATTCTACGGTCACTACAGGTCGTCATCCGCATGGGTGATGTACAGACCATTAAAAAAGCCTGTCAACCCTTTGCCCAAGCGCCTCAATGTGGTGGTGACACGGGCAGCGGGTGTGGCGCATACAGTAAAACGGCGACTCGAGTCTCACCAATCTAGGTCGCATCAGCCATCAATCACTGACACCGACACCTGTAGGTCACTATCGTGCGTGTCGCATATTCTAGGTTCAACTTCTGATCGCACGCTCGCGGACTTGATCGTTACTAGATGCAAATGAGATGTCGTCGTACCACGCGACATCCTCGAGCTCACGTTCGAAAGACCGGGCTCTAATGCTGAACGAAGCATTTGCAGTAAGCGGTACTTCGGGGGGCTTTGGCGAGCGCATGGAGGAGGTATGTGCGTCGGCTAGCATTCCAACGATGCAACACGCGTAGGTAAGTTACGGGACCACTGCGGCACGGGAGCAGGCTGTGGACTGACACAACCTTAGGCTACGGGCGTTCCGATCCCGATCGAGGCAGCCTGTCTAACAGAGTGATGCGCCTCCTGTGATCCGCGTGTCGATCGCGAGAGCAGCGGATCAGCATGCGAGGCTTGAGTCGTAAGCGATGTCGTTATGCGTTCCATACAGTAATTGACCAGGACTGACTGCCCATGGAAGACACCACCTTCGCAGAACGTAGGGCACACGACTTGTGCATCACCTCTCGCTGCTGGCGTACAGAAAAGGGGAGCCCATGCACTAGTGCTGATAATGGTAAATGGAGCATGCCGTCTGGGAGAGGGCCCTACTGAAAGGTGAGATCAGACGTCAGTTTCCTGCATAGGAAGAATGCCATTTACTCAACAACGAATCTACACAGCCTACGCAGTCCAAAGATAATGCGCCTGCAGACTTACACGTGTACCTTATCACAGACCCTCACACCATATGCATCGCACGACGCGCAGTGCTCTCTCAGCCAGTCACGCTCGACATTGCAAAGCAAGCTGCGGGCAGAGCTCGCACTCGGACGAGTCTGTGCGGAATCCAGACCGGGCTAGGGACGGATTATCGCCATCGCCATCGCCCTACTCCGACTCGCCTCGCGTCGGCGAATAGGCCCGGGACGTTCGGCTCGACATCGCGTCGCTGCAGGCTAGAGTTGGCTAGGATTGGACGTGCAGTTTCCAGTCGACGGAACGGGGTCGGTCGATTGGGTTCGTGCCCCCGGGGTCTCGGACTGCGTCTCGGAGGGAGCCAACCGGCGCGATTCGCTGACGCGCGTGATCAGGCGTGCCCCGCTGCGTCGCGTCGCGTCGCATCTCGCCGCTCGTGCACGCGTACGGTCCGCACAAGCTCGCGCTCGACGCATAGCTTATCGACTCCGCATCTCGCAAGCTGAGATGACACTCGATCGAGGGGTGCCTGAGATCCGGTAAGGGCGGTCACGAGGATGGACTGAGTTCAGTAGTATTGAGCTGGGGTGTGGGGAGGAGGGGGGTTGTGAAGTGATGGGTTCGAGGGTGAGTGGTTCAATTGCGTCGCATCGTGTCCACGTCTGTTCCGGAGCATCGGCCTTGGATTGTGCCACCCGATCGTAGCACAGTTACTGCACTCGGACTGTGGCACGGGACAGTGGGTCCGTGCAATGGAAGATACTTACCGTCGGACAGGTCGTGCTGAATAGGATTGGCCGGGGGCTTTCATGCCCACTTGGGGTGATCATCGGTGCACAATGTATGCTCACCCGCGTCTATCCAGGCTTCTGAATCGTTGGCGCGAACGTGCTTCGTCCTTCAGATCCAGATCCGTGGTTGGGCGTTGGCCTCTGAACGTTCCTCAAGCTAACGTATGAAACTGCGTCATGGCAAGGCAAGGAAGGCAGGGGATCCGAGGCGATAACAGGATTAAGAACGGGTGTGCGAGAGCTAAAGTCTCGTTCGATTGTGAAGGTGCGTGAACGAGGGGAGACGTACACATAGGCTCTTGTCCGGACACTGGGAGCATCCGGGAGAAGAGAGAAGAACGATGGGGTGTCAACAATGCATCGGCAGCTCGCCTGCTTCGCCAGAGGCGATGTTCGAACCGAGACGTCAGATGTCCAGAAGGTGCCACCTATCGAGGATAATCCGGGTCATCCATGGCAAGGCTGCGTTGTCCGGGCTGCGACACGTTGTAAAGCACATGAAGGCCACTCGGATGTCAGGAGGAGGGAATTGCGCCGTATTAGAGAAGTGAGTGAGAGTTGAATCGGCCGTTGGTCAACCGGCCAAGCGCTGTCAGAAAGGCTTTCATTTGCCGCCGCCCGCAAGTGAACCTCGATCGATTATGAAAGACACCGCGCTGTAGACGTCGATGTGAGATGAGAGGATCGATGTCGGCGAGGTGAAGGAGGGGCGGCCAAAGGTAAGCGGATCGGGCGATGCATATGGATCCCATCTTGAACTGTACGTCAGAACTTGCCGAAGATGTAAGGAACGCGTTCATGGAATCCTGATGGCACCACCGACCTGGTAATTGAGCGGGTCAGGAGGCTGCCATTAAACGTACGTGCGCTGTTGCCAACAGAAGTTCTTTTTTGCTGAACTTTTATATAAGAGGATGGGGAGACGAAGAGCGACCCACACTCGTCTCCCGCCACCTTCGCACGCTGCCCTGATCGGTCAACCTCGGAGATCGGACGACGGAACGAAAGCGGAAGAGAAAGCTTACCTGACAAATCTCGGATCACCAATTTCTGTCGGATAAGCTAAGCGATCACCGAAATTACCAAGAACTGTACAGCTACGGATTGCCGGGCTGGAAAATTTGTGACTCGGCCACCTTCCTCCTTCATCTCACATTCCACCGCACACACTCCCTGTTACGCTCGGACCCTCTTGCTCTCTCATCCTCGGTTCAGGTGAGTAATCCGTGTGGCTGTGAAGGCACTGTCTGCGCTGCACTGGATCCGGAGCTGATTAGTTTCACGCAGGAAATTTTATGCAGTTTAGCGCCAAGCTGCACCTGAGCTTGTCGAGCACAAAAAGAGAGGGTTACCGCAGCGCGACGGGGGCGGAGAGAGCGCGGATTTGCGTCTGAGTGGAGGCGTAGAATACAGTCCAGGTGAGTTTTCCGCCGTGCAACCGGGGCCTGGGACTCCGGGGAGCAGGGAGCGCGAGAAATGAACGCCGCATGTTTTCCGCCCGGGCAGAGGGCACGCCAGGAACCCGCACGCGGCGTTGTGATGTCTTGCCTATCTGGGCTGCCCAGGCTCTCGCGGCTACTTATAGTCCTGACTCACCTTTTTGTTTCCGCTCATCTCAATGTTTGCCCTTTCCCTGCCCAGGTTTTGTCGCTGTAGAGAGGGTCGCCGCCATGATTTCCCTTAATCCCGGCTCTCTCTGTGATGTTTGCGCAGAGGAGTATGGCTCGCACAACTATCCTCACTCTATTCCGTGTGGTGAGTTCCCTTTCAACTTCCCCCGCCGAAAATCTCCTGACCACCGTCGCCGTCGTCGCACAGGCCACATACTATGTCTGAACTGCTGCAACAACATACTGGAAAAGACATCGCCGCGACAGACTCCTTCCTGTCCTTTCTGTCGCGTGCCCTTCACTAGCGACACCATTCGTTTGATCCGCGTCGACTTCGGTGGCCACGGGAGCGGCTGGTCGACACCGCGGGCCACCGACACGCCCGACAACCACATCCTAGGTGGTGACGACGACGTGCTCTTGTTCACAGGCGACAAGGACCGGGACAAGACCCGCGTGCAGCTCGAGTCAAGGGTCGCGCGTGTCGCCGGCAAAAAGTGTTCCGTGGAGGAGGTCAAGCACCTGCACCAAGAGCTCCGGAAGTGGCTCTCCACGGATAGGAAGCGTGATGAGCAGGTAAGTGTCCTTCTCGTGTCTGAGGTCCTTCCCCGACTCCCCGTCGATATAAGCACCCGGCGTTCTTGCCTATTGTGAGTGAGGGTGTGTGACGCCCATGATGATGTGCGTGCGACTTCGGCGATCGCTTCCATTGAGCATGACGACATGTGTGTTCGGTCTTCGTCCCGCCCGACTTGAGCCCTTACTTCGTCCATTGCTCATACGGTCCGCTGCATGTTCATCGCCGTGCGTTTGATTCACCGCCGTGTCACTCATTTGCCATGGACGACTGGGAGTGGGGGAGGGATGCTCCCATCCCTGCATCATGTTATTGACGACATACGCAGACGGCTGCTCTTGAACTGAGCTCTGCGTTACTGCATGCGATCCTTGTCAATCACGTAGCGCACAGGCACGCGGGCGACATGGCGAAGCAAGTCGAAAACAACCTCCGAGACAAGCTGGCGGAGGTACATGCGGAGAAGGAGGAGCTTGAGCAGGAGCTGCACAGGTGCGTCACTTGTTTCTCGTGATCGACGATCCTCACGCTGACGTCGATTCTCTAGAATGGTTTGTCACTCGTCGCATCCTCGGATGAACCACGATTACTTACCGATTATATTACAGCGCACACAGGCCGCAGCCAGGTCTGCTGAGATTCAAACTCTCCGCGCGGAGCTGAGCCGCCACAAAATCAAGATGGCAGCGCCGGCGCTCGGCGTCCCGACTACGCCTCCTGCTGCGTCGCTTGCATCCGCGCAGAGTGGGCTCACCTCGCCGCCGCGTCCGCACTCGACGACCGCTTTCACGACTCCACGATCCAGGGCTACGTCGCCGACATCGCCCACGCCCTCCCCAGCTCGCGCCGCGTACGCGCCTGCGACTGCATCGCCGCTCACACGCATCAGCTCTGCGTCTGCGGCGACGCACGGGCACACGCGCTCGGCCTCTGCGATCCCCATGCACCGTTCCATGACCCCCGCCGTGCGCCCCGCCTCTGCGATACCCTCCGCACACCCGATACCCCACCCCTCCGCGAAGCTGCGGCTCTCGAGCCCGCCGCCCGCACCCAAAATGAGTCGCTCGACGAGCTCTAGCTCGGACGAGAAGGAAAAAGAGAAGCAGCGCCACGCCCAGCGCGTGCAGCTCATGGAGCGCTGGATCCCGTCCATGGACGCTGCATCCACGAGCCCACCGACCGGCCCGCCCACCAAGTGGCCGCACTTCCCGGCGACCCAGGGCCATGCGCCGCATGCTTCGCTCGTGCCCCCGCCCCGGTACAAGACCCCGTTCTCGGTGCACTCGTCCTAGATGCGGCGCCCCGGTATATTATCGATTTGGATCACTTATTCTTCTTTCCCCCTCGTCTCGTCTCGACTCACATCGGCCGGAATCACCCTATCATACTAAACCGCTAGTCTCTCCGCCCTCCCGCCTCGTCTCTCGCGCTCTCGACCGTCCTCTCGTCTCGCCCGTCTCCTGCCGCCTTCGGATTGAATCCGTCGCGCGCGGATGGGGCTCCACGTTTCTGCTCGTCTTTCGAAGGTGCATACTTACGCGCACTTATTCGGTGTTCATGTTGGGTCCGGTTGCTTATTCCCTTCAGCTTCTACCTGCAGCTCGCTCGCGTGCGTGCGGCCGCGTATATCCCGTTCGTTATTACCTGCGTTTGCGCTATCTATGTGGAGCTCCCGTCCTCTCATCTCTACCCTCTCCTATCCCCCTAATCTCTCTGTCTCGTCTCTCGTACTCGATAGTCTTCCCCTCGTCTCTCCTCTAGTCTCTAGTCTCGTCTCATTTTCTTTTGTCCTCAGGAATTGTTCCTCGCTGAACTACCTACCCTGTAGCAAATTGCTCTCTCCTCTTCTCTCTTCCCGCTCCTGTCTCGCGCTCGTGCGCGTGCTCTCGGTTATGACTCTCACGGATCTATAGAACGTTACGATACCAGTACGATACCTCACGAACCATTAGGACTTTGTTACGACGATATATACAGGTGTCTTTGGCACATTTACTTTGGTGTGCGTCTGTCGGATACGTATACGTACTCGCACTAGTGAGAGCTCCATGGGAAGCGACAAGATCGTCCTCGCGATGATGTACATATCACGGTGAGCATAATAGCTTGATCGTTGTATCTCTATTGTCTGACGTCGACGTTAGCTGTCTAGGTGTGATTACATCCTCCAACTCACTCCCTCTGATGCACTGCAGGACACGTCTCCCGGTGGACAACGCTCAGGCTCTTAACTCAAACCTGCGTCAAGGCTCAGCGGGCTACGTGTGCGAGGTTTCGAAAATTCAACGTTCACCCATGGTCCTCAGCACCAACGGCCGTCGTTTCGCAGTGAATGACTTTCGCAAAATGGCTTCATTCATGACTCGCTGACCGGTGGGACGTGCATGCTTGGACAGCGCAATGCCCAACGATACTCGACGCACCCTCTTGGTCTAGGACGACTTACCGCGACAAGCTGGCGTCGGGATATTCGGTTGAAGTTCACTGCACAACGCGCCGCAGACCGGGTCAGCCTTGTCCGACTCTGTTCGATCCTAGATATGACACGCACGACTCCGATGATGAAGCTTCCGATAGCCTTGTCCACTAACTTCACCTTAGCGACTTCGAGCTCTCGTAACTCACAAGACCCTGCTATGCGCGTCGTACCCTTCACACCGTCTCCTCACCGGGTCGGAGCTGGGCCCGCAGCACCTAATCCTGCTATCGGGTCTCATCCCCTGCCCTCTGTTGCCGCTTTGGCTCGCCATGACGCACCTGTGTACGTTACCCCGAAGAACGTTCGAACGTCTTTCCTTGCGCACCCTGGACCACCGTAGGCACGTTCGCGCCAGCTTCAGCTCAGCCCATCGGGGAGCGAAGACCGGACGCCTTGACCACCCGTGATCGTCCTGCGCTCGAGTTGGCAACATGAAGCCGACCAATGCTCTGGAGCGCGTACACGGCTGTTGTAGACTCCGTTCCCGGACCCTCATCCCACATCCCCGTGGTAGGATGGTCCCAGCAAACGTGGTGGTGTCCTATGGTGTCCATGGTCCGAGGACATGGATCATTCTGACGTTGGGTGTACACCGGGCGTAGACTCGGTGCTACTGACCTCAGAAGGCTCGTGACCGCGTCCATTCAACGGATCTCAGGTGCTATTCAATGGTGTGTGTGATGAATCTGCAAAATATGGACTAGACAAGGCTACCCTGCAAACACGGACGTAGACCGCAAGCAAACAATTGTAGTAAACGCGGGTGCGTCTCGGGCGTGTCGCGACGCGTCGGCCTGGTGAAGGCGCGGCCGTGACTGTGACCGGGGGTGACGCGACGCGTTGCAGCCAGGCTGCTCGCGCGACCCCTGGTCTCCGCCTTCCACTCACCCACTTCGTTCCTTCTCAAACCCCGTTCCCCTCTGCTCCTGCCTCATGGCTCTGTATTTCCCGAGACATACGTGGATTGACACCGATACGCAGAGGAGCGTTGATACGTGGCCGAGGTCTCGACGTCGCTGAGTCCTACGAATCCCTCGCGTACCTGCTTGCGTGGATCATCTGCTGTAAGTCTCAGCCTACGCCCTTGAAGGAAAACGACGGCAGGCGACGCGGAAGCCCACTGATAAGGTACACGTGTATGACTGCAGGTTTATTGTGCCGTCTCAACAGGCTGGACCGACAATTGCAAGTCGCTGAGTGATTATCGTCCATCTTGCGCAGGTGGATGACGTCTGAAGGCAATCTTGGACACACTCGACACCTCATATTGTATGGTCTTTGACATAGTGATGTGTCCTATACGGACAGTATCTCTGGCTGCCCGCTCGACAATCGATCCGAAGGACACAACACGGGGAAGGCACTCTGCGTACCCTAGTTGCGGAGGTGCCCACGAGGTCGGTGAGTCTTTCACCCAACAGCACGAATGGCAGGCAACGTATGTAACGGCATTGTATGTGGCTTCCATGGATGCCAATCCGCTCCTCGCAGGACACGCGGATCAGAGGAGGCATCCGCATATCGGGCACTCGACGAGTACCTTGCCAGAACCAATGATTGATGCTCGGAACCGCGGCGCGTTGTGTTGTGCTCCCGCGCACACACTGACGGTGGCGCTAGCTCAATTCCGTTACCGTACTAATCGCTGGTAAGTATGAGCGACCAGTATGCCGGCCCGAGAGATGTGAAGATGTCGCGATGCTGCGTACGTCTTTGGATCCATAGCGATGTCGATTTATTTTCGAGCACTACGGGGCACGATGCTACCACCATGACATGTGTCAGCGACATCCAGAGTCTCGCCTCAGGGCCGCCACGCCTAGTCTCAGACCTCGAGCGTGCGATCTCCAGCTCACCGTCACTCTGACGAAGGGTCGCGCGTCATTGGAGTGGGTCTGTGCGTCGGCGGAACGAACCTTGCCAGCCTCGGTGCGTACTAATGCTGTGAGGAAGAAGGGGGACTCACCGTCCTGTTTCAGCCTAGGCGTGCGATCCTCGTTGCATGGAACAGGCCGACCCAAGTACGCTATACTCTTGTGTGGTCAGCACCCGCACCCGCTGCAGGTCGATCCCGGTCGGCCGCACATCGTTGTCCCACCAACGCCCTAAGCTGCTTGCAGCGTCATGTGAGTAAGACCGAAATGTGGAGTGCCTGATTCCGGCAGGAAAACAGGCTCGCACAGCTGATAGGCTTCGGGACGCCGGGCGGTACAAACACTCGTGTTGTTGGTATCCGTCTCGACACTTGCAGTGCCACTGTGGATCGCGGAGTGCTGATCACTGATCGCCTTCGCATTCAGTAGATGTGTGAGTTGTCGCACTGCAATGTTGCTCGCAAGCTTACCTTTGAAAATTTTAACACGAAATAGGTATCAGTCACAGGCCCTCTGAAGCCCCCATATCTAAAACTCTACGTGCATATTGCGTTCTCGCAGGGCTAGGTATAGCGTTCAGAACGCCAGGCAGCAACAGTAATGTAGCGCAATATCGCATCTTCAAGTTGTATCAATCGTGCGTCTCAAAGCTTCACAAAGTGCATCGGCCTCCGAGTCGACGGCGACCCCGGATTTGGGGAGCGTCTTCTCGCCAGCAGTCGGTCCTTCCCACTCCGTATAAGCTCCGACATTCTCGTCGGCACTTCCGCTGCTAGTAGCAGTCGTAGGGGGGTCGTCGTGCTGCGCCGTTGAATGGAAGCTCAGATGTATTGGGCAAGAAAACAAGCTTGCATAGCTGATTGGCCCCGTGCCCGGGAGAGAGGGACACATACTTGAGTAGCATGGGAAGACGGGCGACTGAATGGGGGCTACTCGTGTCAGGCGAGAGCAATTCACACTGGCTAGGTGTGGGTGGAGAAGCTCCGGCCATAGTCTCGGCCAACGGAATCTGTTGACTCGGCAGATCGTCTATTTCGGAGACACCAGTGAGTCGAGTACACAACACAGTTGTCTGCCTACTGTATTCGCCAAGGCTTGCATGATCAATCGCCCTTCTAGACTGGCCTCTGGCCGTGGGTATAACAATCGAATCTGTACACATAGGCCGTCTCTAGATTCGTCCGAGTCGGAGAACAGTGGAGGCCAGCCGCCAGCGTACAGTCAACCCTGCAGAGCTGCGACTGATTCGACTCGACGCGGAGCATTGTAGCAGTGCCATGAAACACAAGGCTTCATCGCATGCCTACAAGTTCGTGTGCTCGCTGAAGCGCTGACGGCTCATCACCTCACTTGGTCAGTGGTCAGTACCGGTCAGTGGTCCCAGATGTGTGAACCTACCGCCCTATTTCGATCCTCAATATAACCAGTTTCGGGTGATGTAGTCCATGGCCATGTAGCATGAGTTCAGTTGGGCGCATATATCCTCGGACGGAGACACAGGTCAAAGGAGTACGAACTCCCAAGTGGAATCGATTGCGTACGCGCACAGTGTGATGAAACAGTGACATGCCCAATACCTTCTCGCCGGTTACATCAATAACTTATTACTCGAGATCACAATCGCAGGGAAACCGCACGCTCATATGTTCCCTGTGGTCAAGGTGGAGAGCCGGTAGGTAGTAGCTCCGCCGTCGTCTGACCGAACCGACTCAACAACAGTGTTTTTCGCTCGCAGCGACTCTCTGGCGTTCAACGCGAATAACACAGAGCCGAGAATGACTAGTCAACATGCGAGTCAGCATTGGCATGAGGCTCATGACATATGGTGTGAAATGCGACTCACGGTAGGGCAGTGTCCAGAACACTGCCATGTACACAAGCGCGTTAGGGAGCGTGGCGTACTGCCGGACACAGAACATCAGACTGTCAGTCTACGGAAATGGTGGAAATGGACAATGCTTACGAGGAGCAATCCGATGAAAGATCCCACGCTAATTCATGTGCACTGAGGGCAAGTGTTTCGTACGGATAGAGAATGCGTACCTAGTCACTAAGGACGTCTCCGCGCTGTATAAGACAACCTTGCGCAACACCCGGTTAACGCTGCACGACAGCATCAATTTTATCCCACTCGACGTTATCAAATGCAAGGAGAACGTACCTCGGGAACACTGAACGATGCTTCCAGATCACGACTCCAAGGATGACCGACATGAGAATATCGGAGGCAGCCAGCGCGCTCAGCGTCCCGTACGTGCTCACCTGCATAGTCCTATGCGTAAGAGCCACTACACGCGGCGGAAAAGATCGAACGTACTGGGTCTGGATGAGAATAGGGAGAAATGATCCTGACAAATATAGGATATGAATTAGAACGACATTTGAGTTCGGACGGTACGTACAACCTGATCATCGTGACTGACACGCAGTGATTATTAGTGTTAGATGTTACACAGTCAACGCTGGGCTCGACTTACAAACCCCAAACGCTGAGTTAGGCGAGCGTGAGCATCGTCCAAAGGGCGAGTTCAAAGACAAGAGCTCATACCGAATGTCACAAGTGCACCGGTCATCTTTCACGAAGGAAAGGAAAAATCATAATGTGCTTCCCCTTGCTTATGGCGTTCTCGAAGATATATATGCTCACAATGAGGACACCCAGATACCATTGTCGACTTACTGCATGCGCGATGCATGAGTGCGTGGACAGTTATCGAGATGAGAGTACTAACACTTCCATACGCGGTATGAAAATATGCTATCACAATGCGCAATGAGAATGGATATCTACCGGCACTTATAAAGGCAACATTGGCAACTCACCCTTTTACTCCGAGATCGCCAATGACCTGTCGTGGTGTTTGAGACCGATTTTTGGTCGCCTAAGCATTGTGTACTCACATTCCCTAGAATTATCACCTGAATATCATGATCAGCCAAGCACTTCTCCGAATTTCACAACCGACCGATGCCATCCTGCATGGATTGAAGATGTAGTCAGCTTACAAGCTTCAGCCTTGCGGCGTGTTGTGCCACACACCAAGGTAGTTTGTCCAATGCCAATGGGTCACTGCGGCCACGCACGGTATATGTGTACACAGTATCAGTGACCAGGAAGGTGTGGAGGGCGTTCAATAGCCTATTACGCGGATTATAAGCAATGAAGGCATAAGCTCAAGAGCATATCTTACCAGACGAGAAAAACCTGAAAGTGAAGACAGTCAAGTATGCTATCAGGGATCCGTAATGCAATGCTTACGAGTGACTTCACAATGACTGGGTCCGACTGGCTTCTCACATAGTAGACGATTGTCTGGCAACTGGTAACCCCCTGGAGACTGGAACAATCATTGTGTTCAGGGGATATAGGCCTTTACACATCGAACGACTTACATGCCACCGACGATTGCACCTTCGAGGATCTAATGTTAGAGGCTTCGCTGTAGTTACGATGGAGGAAGAGCGTGCTTACTCAATAACAACGCTCCAATGGTCTCATTCAGGACTTGATTAGGCAGACTGAGCGTCGGCATAAACATCGTTGGGGGCGGGTATCATCAAGGTGGACGTGCTGCCGTGACAGAGCTGAAGCACACCACTGAATATATACCAAAACGGTGGTGGCGCTGCTGCCGGCTTTAATGCGTACAGATTCTTGATGCGATCGGAGGTAGATGCATATGTTGATGGAGTGGGACGATAGGGTCGTGCTCCGGATGGTTCGTATAGACCAATGAAGCTCCAAGCATACTTAGCATAGGGAGGACGAGTACTTGTATGACACCTTGTGGCTGTCTCTAAACCTAGACGCATGCGCGTCGCAGTCGCGTTGGTATGATCTGGACTGCTTACGATGCGATCTGTACGCATGTCTTGAGGCAGCTTTAGTCGACACTTTCCATAACGGCCGTGGGATCGACTGAAGGGGTTGCACGGATGTATCAATCATAGGCGCATGGATCGAAGCGCGATATCCACTCACGATCATCTGTGTTGTGCAGCGCACTACACCACCCCGTGTTGATCGCGCAAAGGGCTACAGGCCGGTATATGTGGTGCCCCATGCATCAGGAAACTGATAGGTAGGATGCAACAGCAACGCCTCATACTTGACCAAAAATAAGTGTAGGAAGTCCAAAGAGGAATCGATTGGGCAACCTGTACGCCACCCCCCATACGCAAGGAGGAATGAAGTTAGGAGAACAGATACTATATTTAATGGCTCTGTCGACCTCTGATAGATTTTGAAGACCATCGCACTGCCAAAACGGCTTGAAGCGCGCGGTCAACGTCTCACGTGATGTAGTCGAGTATGAGCTGGGGCTATCTTATTTGAATGCGTACATCCCGGTAACTGGGGAGGTGACGTCAAATTTTCGACTACAGCAGACGGCGTTAACACTGACATACCTGAAGTCTGACAGTCGCATCAGCTTCAATCTCCAGCGAAACCATTCCATTGGTACAGCATGCCGCTATGCTTGAATCCTGATTAGTTCCTCAAACCAATGATTAGCTAGCGATATCAAGCGCAGCTTGCTGAAGTGCGCTGTAGACATGCCGATGTGAGCGTATTGCTCCCTGACGGGGCACACTCCATCCATAGATGAAAAGACCACTGGGGAAGTCAATATCGACCTGCCAAACTACATGTCAGCGACACCCTAGCAGCCATCTAGTGAATGCGGAGTTCATCATCTTCTGATTGGATGGATTGTCGGTTTCTAGATTCTACACAAAGGGAACGGGAAAGAGACGGGCCAAGTAGCGATACAACACCCTGCGACACGGACATACGGGACAATACGATTGAGAATTGAGGTCATACCGGCTCATGAGCTCGACTCCTGTGTTTGTGCAGGATCGGAACCTTGACATCTCGTTCGTTGAAGCGGAGACAACATGAAGGTGTTCCTTTGTCTGAGCGTGTGTCTCGCATTCAGAGCAACGAGCAACGAGCTCAAGATGACTACGGCGCAGTAAAATGAGCCCCATTGAGTAGCTTGCACACCGGGACATGTACTCACGCTTGGGAAGAATCCAGAGTATCGCCATAAAGACCTGCGTGTTGGGCAGCACTGCGAACTGTTCCGACGCCAATGTTATCTGTCGTACAAGAGTGCGTGTTGATATGAACTGCTTACTGTCACAACGCTCGCTGTAGCTCCCAAACTGGTGAAACGTGAGCAATCGCGTGCACAAAGTACGTACGCATGGGAAACAATCGTTACCTGGTTACTAGTGACGTTTCCAGGCTGTATAGAATCACCATCCGAAGGACGCGGTTGACACTGTCGATGTCGTTCAGTGACATTACACTCAGATCCTAACGCGATCTAAACGCACGTCGGGAATACAGAACGACGCTTCCAGAACACCATCGCCAGGATGACCGACATGATGATGTCGGAAATCGCGAGCGTGATGAGCGCACCAAACGTACCGACCTGCTAGACAGTAAGCGGGTCAGCCATCTGTGGAAGAGACATGCACCCACGGCATTGGGCATTACACTGGGTGACTGGATCCTGCACCGGGGTCAGTGTAGTTGCCATACTTGGACATCAAGCGATGCAACGTACATTGTGATCGTCAAATCTGGAGTCAGCATTCGGATGTTCGTAAGCTCGTCACGGCCGTCTTGACAGTGAACATGGGACTTACACAGACTGAATGCTGGTGAAGAGAGAGTATCAGCGATGTTTCAAGAGTTCAGCGGGCTGACTGTACAGAACGTGACGAGAGCGCCGGTCATCTTTGACGTTCGTTAGCACTCAGGGCAATGCCTCCGCAGAGAGCACTCACGATGGCGACACTCAGATACCACTGGCGGCTCACTGGCGCAAGTTAGAGCCTGAACAGGGGATGGCTACGTGAAACGAAAATACTGACGTCTCCACACACGATACGAGAATATGCTGCAGCGATGCGAGGATACGATTAAGCAGACAGTACTGAGCAGCGCGACCGTAACACACCTTTTGACTGCAAGGTCACCGGTATCCTAAGACTAGCATTTGAGCGTCGTGTATATCCTGAAAGAGGAACGCCACGCACGCTCACAAGAACGATAGCCTGTAAGGTGTCAGCCCATTGTTGCGGAAAAGACGATGTACTGCTTACGATGTCACTCCTAGACATGACGGACGCTGTTAGGTCACCTTTTGCTTGCCCGAAGTGAGACTTACCAGGTCAATCTCGAAACCGAAGAGGGGTCGCCGTGACCGTTGACCGTGTATATGAATATCGCGTCGACAACCAAAAAATAATGCAGTATGTTCAAGACCCTACGCGCACATTAACGGACTAAAGGCCCGCAGTATGGAAATGGGTACCAAACGAATAACACCTGGCATGCTTATATCAGCCGTATGCATTTTGTTGCTCTCCGTGGATCTGACGGCGTACCAGACACTTCATCACCAGAGGATCCGCCTTGTTGTACTTGAAATAGTAGATAGCCTGGCCACCAATGACCCCTTGCAGCCTATAATTGATCAGCAGCAGGGGGAAGCAGCAGTCGACGGGCAGTGGAGTCTCATTCACTCACGCTCCGCCAATGATCGCACCTTGAGAGAAGTCAGGACATAACCATCCGGCCCACCAGACGTAACCGTGGACACTCACTCACAAACAGCGGACCTATGGTCTCGCTTAGCACGCGGCTGAAACTTTCGAATGGCGGCGAATCCATGGAGCAAGAGCGACACCGTGTTCGAAGATTGTGCACGACATGACAGGGCGAAGCCGTCTATATAGGGGGGCAGGAGGCCGCAAGGATAGCTCCGGCTTCCGCACGTAATGCCTGACGAATGGTAACCGACTATGAAGCAGGAAGCAGATGGTCCTCTGGAAAACGCAAGGTTCAATCGTGATGAGCGGTAACGGGAAGCGGCCCATAAGGAGAAGTAAAGCAAGAGACAGGTCATATTTTCACGACATCATGTCAATGAACACGGCCAGATGGAGATAGCGCCGGGAGTTCGTGATACCATGGTGTGGCCTTCGCCATCGCTTGATCGATGCACAAGACGCTCTCACCATAGCTGTGACGGAACTGTCATATCCTGGATGAGCATTAGAGTCGGAAAACCGACACGTATGATATTGACCCACCTAATATCGCGTCGTCATCTGGCTAGGGTCGAGACGTACGAGCTGGAGGACAAGGCTGAGAGAACTCGTGCCTATCAATGGACGCCTTCGGGCATAGGCGCCCCTATGCTTCGAGCAGTAGGACTTGGGATGACCCGAACCACGCGCACACGAAGAGAACACCAGAGTGCATAGCCAACAAAGAATGGGCACAGGTCCACTCCCACGATAGGTGAGCCTATGCCTGTACTACAACAAGCCCGGTACACGCTTCCACGGCTCGACTGACATAATGTGGGTTGCATGGGAACACATTCAGAGTCGTCCAAATAGAAATGGTCAGCAGGTGACTGGGAAGTGGACGCATACTGATACGACCTGGCTGTAGACTCGCAGCCGGTTCTCCAGATCAGCGGACACACGTTACGGCCTGCCACTTAGTGGAAGCCAACACAGAATTGCGATTTGAACTCACCTTGGCAGACTTGCATCTGGTGAGCGTACACAGCAGTCTTCTTCAGAGAGCGAAGTGTACTAGAATATGATGTATCAGCGGGAGTTGTAGAGAGGAAGGCACCGTGGGTAGGCGGTGCATTGCTGCCATACGAGCACTGCGAGGCAATACAGTCGGTTCCGAACTTTGTATGTACGCTTGGGTTATCTTCCTGAATACACCACGACGTTGGCGTAGAAGGCAAGGCCGCGTCAATGAATATATCGCTATTAGAGACAGGATGGATCCAGAGTCCGGGGCGATCAGCAGGAGGCTTCACCGAACAAGGCGTACGAGACTCCGAAGCTCACGGCAACGCATGCGAATGTTGAAAGACCAGCTACTGACCTGACATACAACATGATGAGCTGGATCCTCCTCCAATGTAAACCCACTTATGCACAGTACGGAGGTAAGGGATACTTACCTGGCAACGATTCGCCTTCTGATTCGCCGCAAGTGAAGAGTCCGAGTCGACGGGCGTGATACGAGGACGCCGCGGGTGCACATACATCGTGAATATCACGATTAAAGAAATGCATGCCTACGCTCCCTGTATGCGCTGAAGGCGTGGTATGATATGGTCCCAGTTCGGTGCGCACCGAATTCTCAGTTTTCACCGATGTATACCGCGGGTAGACTCCCGCAGCGAATAGCGTGTCGAAACCGACGCCACCTCGACGTCGCTCCCGGTTATGCGAAACTGTTTGTATGACTCGTCTCGCCAGACGTTGTCAAAATATGTTGGAACAGACCAGGGTTCAGCATGGTTAGAGTCGACTTGTGTACGCGGGTCAGGTACCAAACGGGTCCGTGCTGCCAGTCCGGGGTTGTTTGGTCGTGTTTGGCTGGTGGCACCGTGGCAGGACCCGGCTTGCCGTCAGCCGCGCCTCGCCGTTCACGACGACCACCAACGACCGACGACGCAGTGCGACGCTCTAAACATCCTTGACATCGTTTGATACGGTGAGCACTCCTCTTTAGTCGAGGTGAACTGGATGCTCATCTGTGCATGTCCGGCATCACAGATCCCCCTTTAAAGCCATGTCAGTATCTCAACCTAGCATGACACGCGCATCCTCTAACCGCGCCTCTTCGTTCACTCGCCGTGTCTTCGACGCGATGCGCATACAGGTCTGAACCATATGACCCCTACCTTCCCCGTGGCGGCTCTTCTTCGAACCCGTCCGGCGCGGGCGCAGGCAACGCCAAGACGGCTGCTATCCAGCAGCAGATTGACGACACCGTTGGTATCATGCGCGATAACATTACCAAGGTAGCGGAGCGGGGCGAGCGGTTGGACCAGCTACAGGACAAAACAGGTGCGTACTTGTCGTCGTCGTGGCCGCCGTGCGTCGGGTAGTCGGACCCGCGCGCTGCGGATGCGGGCTGTGCTGACCCGTGCACCATCATAGACAACCTCGCCGTGTCCGCACAAGGCTTCCGCAGGGGGGCCAACCGTGTTCGCAAGGTCCGTGTCCGTGTGATCTTACACTGAACGCCACGTTCACCTACTTTGATCCTCAGAATATGTGGTGGAAGGACATGAAGATGCGCATCATCATCGGCGTCGCCATTGCCATCATCATCATTATCATCGTCGTCTCCGTCGTGAAAGCGACGAAACACTGAGCGCCGGCCCTTCTCGTATCTTGCCCTCCTGGACACCGTTCTGTCACCTCCCGACTCGATGCTCCGTCTGTCTTGTTGTATACATGGTACTTATCTATGCACGTACTACTGTAATCCTGTTTCTTCTGGGTACGGCTGATGCGGACTACTTTTCTCGTTCTCGTTATCCGAGTGCCGATACACTGCAAGCGTCATGAGATGGTCGGCTATACAGTACCGGCATGGGACACCAGCGAAATGGCGGTGACGTTGCATCCGCAGAGTCATGACAAGACAGACCTTTGTCGGCCGAGATCCGCCCAGACGCCATGTTATGTATGTAGTGCGGAGAGCGCACAAACGCATGCATTGATGACCATAGCAAACGATACGAGAGCCTATGCAGCAGTCGATAAACTGCCAAAAAGAAGTCCAGCCCACTAGTGGTAGTCTAGGCGCAGGCATGCATTCGGGGTAATACTCGACAACAAGAGGGGTATAGAAGCGAACGAAAGGGTACCGTACAGTATGATTGTGGAGATGTGGAATTAGCTGCAATGCAGACCGCAGTGAGACAGAAGCAGCTGTCCGTCGACCGCGGCTAGGATGAGAATCCGACCCATAACTTACTGAGCATAACATCCATAACAATAGATTCCTCAATCGACAGAGGACCGAAGGCCGGAAGCCAGCGGTGCACAGCGTCCTTACTCCTCTTCGCCCTCGTCATCCTCTTGAATCGTCGCGGGACCCGAGCGGCTTGCAGGCAACTGTCTCCGACCGCTGCGCTGCTGCTCCGCCTGCTCAAACGATGAGTCGGGCACGGGTGACGTGCGCCCCATCGGCGACCTCCCCGCCTTGCTCCGTGCCCGCGCGCTCGTACTCGGTATTGCAATCGCTACACCCCCGCGCTTCCCGCTCGCGCGCCCCGCATGGCCCCTCGGCGCTGGAGACAGCATCGGCACCTCAGGTGCACGGGGTGCGAACGGCGGCGCATACGCAGTCTGTGCACTCGCGCTCGTGCCCACGTTCGTGGGGATGGGCATCTGTCCCAGCCCGCCCGCGAAGCCTAGCCCGTCCTCGTCCTCATCGACCCAGTCGCTCTCGTCGCCAAGGGTCAGCGACGCGCGCCCGGAGAACACGTCCCGGATGCCCTGTGCGACCTCGACAGGCGGCGAGATCGCCAGCACCTCGATCGCGGAGTAGGACGCGCGGGTCTGCCAGCCCGGCGGCTCGTGCCCCCAGCTCTTCTTCCAACTCGAGCGGCCGAGCGAGGAGAGGTAACCCCCACCGCTGCCACTGCTGCCGTTCGGGTGCCCAAAGGGTGTCTCGCGCTTGCGCGCGACGAACGCGGTTTGCGCATGCGACCGACGCGGGGTCTGATTCTCCTCAAGCGAGCGCCGGCCGAGCGGGCGGTGCGGCGAGCTGTTCCGCCGGCTCTCGTTCTCGCTGAACTCGTAGATCGAGCCCGGCCGCGAGGACGTCAGCGAGTGCGCTGAGGACGCGGAGTTCGAACGGAGGTGCCCTATGTGTGGCGGCGCGTGTACCTGTCTGACGACACGGGTCGATGAGCCTGAGCCTCCTCTCCGATGATACTTCGGCAATGGTGAAGCTGTGCGTCCGGGATACATCGAACCTGCTGAGCTCGCGGAGGGCGACTTCCGATGCCGGTGACCCATGAAGCTCTGCACAGACGACGGTCGCGAGACGTAGTCCTCCCGCTCCGAGTTCGGCGTATGGCTGCCGAACGAACGTCGACTTGCGTCACTTCTCCGCCTGGAGACATTGGTGTACCCGGGTGAGTCAAATGACGGGAACTGAGCAGACTGAACAGAGGAGCGCTTCGAGTTGGCACTGCTCGACCGCCGCGAGGACGCTGATACTCGTTTCGCTCGATTGTTCGCACTCCTCCCAGTAGAAAACTTGCCCCGGTTCCCGCTGGCTCGCCGCTTGACGGCACCACGTCCACGGCCAGTTACAGGAGTGGAAGATCCGGGACTATTGAGCTGACGACTGTAAGACACGCTTGGGGAGGCAAGCCCCGCCTGCTCCTTGCGTTTGCCTTTTGGGTCTTCCTTGAACCACATACGGAACGCCGATAGCAAGCTTGCACGATTCCGGTGGGCGCCGACGCCCTTGTTCCCCGAAATGTTTGGCAACGCAGAGAGCGTGTCTCTCGGTGAATCCGTGCCATTAGGAGGTGGGGAGGATCTGGCGCCAGCCATGACCCACGGAGAGCCGGTTTCCGCCTGCACATTCACGCTACTCATAGACGGCGGAGGCGTAGTCGGCACCCCAGCGTCCTTGGGCTTCAGAGGCGGGCTCTTCAGCAGCCTGCTCGATGTGCTGGCGTGCGAAGCCCTGGGCTCTTCCCCAATGCCCGGCCGCTTGTCCCCACTATCTCGCACAGCCTCTGAGGACTTTTTCCGCACGAGCCCAGCTGCCTCGAGCGCGGTCGTCGCGCGTTGCATGATGCTCACACTGCCCGAGCGCGTCTTCCTGCCCTTCGACCCCTGGTCCTTGTCCTTGTCCTTCATGCTACTTCCAGGAGTAGATGGGCCGGAACGGATGGAGATATCTGCCATAGACGGTGATGGCGACAGGAGTGCGTTGGTAGGCGACTTCGCTCGAGGAGGCGTCTTCGGACGAACTGCCGTAGCGGCAATAGGTGTCGGAGGTATGAGCTGCAGTTCGGGAGCGGACATTGCCTGGGTGAGTGCAGCTGGAATGGTGCCCCTCGTCGGTGTTTCGTGCGAGCGGCGCTCGATACTGTCCTTGTCTTTCGACCTGTCCTGTTTCCGTCGTTCCTCCTGCAGTCCAAGCTGTGTGTCCTCTTTGTGCTTTACCTCGTCTGGTGACTCAACAAGCTCCGGTTTCGTTCCTTCCTCGAGGACACGCCTTTCCGTCTTACGCTTCAGCATCCACCAAAGCGCACCCGTAGCATCGCACGCGTCACTCAAGACTGAGTGCACGATCTGGCCGGTGTCAAGTCCCAGCACGCTCATGGAGTTGAGCAGGTCGCGCTCTAGCGGCGTCGAGAAGATGATAGGAGCTGGTGTGTTGAGTACGGAAGAGAAGTCCTGAGGGAGAACAGGCGCAGACGATCTGTCAAATGTCGGCGTGGTGGGATCGGAAAGCGTTGATGATACTGAGCGTCGCTTCGTTCGCGCTGGTGTTCGAGTAGGAAGGACTGGCGGTGTCTTGGAGGACCTCGACATGACACTGGATCCGTGTCTCCGCATATCAGGGCGGGACGGCGTCTGCTCCATGCTGTCGTCGAGGGATTGATCGACATCTCGGACGTCAGCGCTCTTCCGAGGGGTCTCGGCGTCCTGGGAGAACAGGTCAGTCGCCGAGTCATTTGGGGTCGTCGTAGGGAATTCCGAAGAGGCGGAGTGATAGGTGGACCCGGAAACAGTTGTGTTCAGCTGAGAGGGTGGTCGGACGAGGGGAGCAGATGCTGGCCGCGACGGGATGGCGAGGCTGACCTGCGAGGCCGCTGGATCGACAGCACCCTGCGTGAACCAGGAATGGGCGAGTATCTGGGCGATCGTCGGGCGCTTGTCGGGGTCGGTCTGTAGGATCGACTGGAGCAAGTCGCGGGATTCTGTGCAGGGTGAGCACTATGTACTGCGGAACGTTCAGGGAGCGCACACGCACCTTCGGAAAGCCATTCCGGGTCCTCAAACTCCCCTCGAATAACCTTCTCTTTCATGATGTCCTCGTTATCGTCATCGAAGGGTAATGTGCCGGTCAGGAGGGTGTACAGTATCACACCTAGAGACCAGACGTCGACCTCCGGTCCGAGGTACTTCTTCGCCATGAGCATCTCCGGCGATGCATAGCCCGTTGTTCCGCAGAACGTCTCGAGCAGTACACCGCGCTCGAACTCGCGCGTAAAGCCAAAGTCCCCGAGCTTCACACGGCAGCGCTCGTCAAGCAGCACGTTCTCCAGCTTGAGATCACGATGTATGATGCCCTTCGAGTGCACGTAGGCGACCGCGAGGCACAGCTGCCCGAATATAACGCGCGTCTCCTCCTCGTTGAGTCTCCCCTTCTCCGCGAGGTAATCGAATAGCTCGCCGCCGGAACAGAGCTCGGTGACGAGCCAGATGTTGGACTCGGTCGCAATGACTTCGTACAGTTGTGTGATATGGGGGTGGTGAAGCTGGCGATGGTGGTGTATTTCCCTGGTCAAAGAGGCGGACATTGCTTTCGGGATCTGTTTGATGGCGACACGGATTCCGGTCAAGCGGTGCACTCCGAGGCGCACCTTACCGTACGTGCCTACAATTTCCGTAGGTATAGAACCACATAAGCAACACGCCTACTACACACCTTCACCGATGACCTTCCCTAGGGTGTAGTTCCCGACGACCCTGATCTTCTGAGACGAAAGCTCCTTCCCAAGTTCATTATAGGCGTTGGCGAGCTGAGCTTTGTAGTTCTGAGTTTGCGACACCGAGGTCGAATGCTTGTGGCCGTTCATAGCCATTGCAACATTTACAAGAAGCGAAGGTAAGGAATGACGGTGGTCGGAGCGGTTAAGGAGGACCAGGAGGAGGGGGACCAGGATTTAGCTGGTCAACCCGCGGTAACGGTTTCTTGAAACGCTCTTACTTACAAGTAACTAGTATACTACTAACCACTACTTACTTACTTACTTACTTACTTACTTACTTACTTCCTTACTTAGCGCCGCCTCGGTGAGACGGATTTCCCGCAATTGCCAGTGGTCGATACTCAAGTACTCAGTACTCATCGATCATCAACAGACCTGTACTATGTATCTCAAGGTCGAACTATCCACGGGTTTGGGTATGTATTTGTTCAGTTTGTACAGATTCGGTGCAGCAGTTGCGTCTCAGGCTCACCTGCAGTGGTAGCAATTTGTGAGGCCTCGAACATGGTGACGACCCGTTGCTTCAAGTACTAGTAGCGCAAAGCCCGTTCAACGAGGCCGTGACAAGGTGCGAAGTAATATTATTCTGTCGCGTCAATGATCGATTCTCTCCAGATTTCAGGACTTAACATAAATCAAAGCGCGAGGCCCATTCGTCTCGTAGTATGTATCACCGCCGGGCGCCTCCTCCCAGTCCTCAGGATGAGGGCTGATGAGGGTGCCTTTTTGTACAGTGATAGCAATCTGCCATTTGCTATCGCCATCCGAGTTCGAGCAAGAGGCACTGCTTCAAATTCCTTTCTAGAACATGATGGATGTATGCTTCCCCACGTTACAGGGCACCGGAACATCCGCTCCAAATCCGCTCGTTGTTCGAGGTCGCCGTATGATACCGCTCACTTCATCCCCCATTCTTCGCTGCTAACTCCCATCGTCATGTACCGGAGACAAGTACTGACTTAGTCTATGGCGATGTTCAGTTTCTGTATCGCAACGGGGCCTATCGACTATCATACATCTGTACCGGTTTACGGTATGACCCGAGATGGATCCTATACCACTGACTTCTGCATGTTTGGCAGTTGGCACCAAGATGGTCTGCCAGTGACCAACTCAATCTATCGAAGCCGTACTCTATACGAACTCAGACAAGTATATGAGCCCTCGAGAGGGGCAGCTACGCTGCAATCTAGCGACTTTGCTCCCCGCGTAGTACCAGCTAAGGTCCGGCATGTCTACCCCCGTCGCTGATGATGCGCGAGCCAACTTGGGCACATTTCTCATAGGTAAGTGCTTGTCTGTACTTGAAGTGCGTGACTGTTTATTGGCCCTTATTGACTCAGGAAATCTCGCGGATGCTGTGTGAGAGATCCATTCGAATACCGCGCGCTCGTCCTTATGCTACTCATCAGATTATTCGGCGTGACTACAGTGCAGACATACAACTATTTGATGTCTCGCAGTTCGGACAGTATCATGTTGGGTATTTTGGTGAGAATATACGACCTTGAGAATGTTTAAGCCACTCAGCTCCCTGTCCATTCGCAGTTGTCGTTGTGCTGGTGAGTGGCGAGGCACCGTCGTCTTTGTGGATAGAACTTGGACTGACTGGATGAAAGGATCATTGATACTCTGCAACTCTCATTCTTCAGTCATCTTACCTATAGCTACGCCGTCACAGATGTCGGCGACTTTGCGGCACTCGGTAAAATCCTGTGGTGAGTATGTAGATCGGTGGCTCTCAAGATGTATCTCATGCCAAATTCAGGTGTTTTCCCGTATGCTCCCATTTTGGCTCTTCTCGAAGGCGTAGATCATGCTACTGACTATCTATTAGGCAATAATTTTCTTGACTGTGAGGTCCACTCATCTGTTCTCGTCAAATCGTCAATTGATAATTTACAGGGATTGAGCGACTTCATTGTACGAAGGTAACGTATACTACGTGCATGAGGACTTGCGTGATTCGTAATGTTGCCTTATTTTCAGCTTGTTTTGCTATCGTATCTGGAAGTGTGAGTACGCATACTTGCTATCCGATACCACTCAATGTCGTTCACCGTTGGACAGTGAGCGAGCGAAACGCGGCTCTCGCCGTAGCACTAGTAAGCTTCAATGGCATCTAATGCTGCGTATGCTTTATCATCTTTATGTCGTTAGTGCTTCAACAGCATCACAGTCTTTGGTACGTTCTTCATATTCACTACTTACAGCAGGCGGGAGCTCATTCATTGGTATAATCAGCACTGAACTGCGGTACGTATGCCGGGAATGCTCATCGTCTTGATGCTGATGTTCGTGCCACATGTAACCCAGGCCTCGTGGCTAAGACGTAAGTACTGTTACCCGCTACTTCGCAAGCGCTATCCATCTCTGACGTATACAAACAGTACCTCCATCCAAACAATCGATGCATTCAGGAGCAAAACCTTATCGGTCGGTTCCTTTATCAATGAAGGTACATTATACTGAACCAATTCCATCCGCAGGGCTTGATCTATGCGGGCCTCGTCGACTGTCTATGCGGAAACATTCTGATAGCAATGTCTTTGTACATCATCCTGAAAAAACATCTAAGGGCTGCTTCCAAGTATGTGCCGTTTACTGATTGTATTTGTGATTGACCCATCAAGTTGCTTCGCCAGCTCCAGGACTACTTTCGTTGTGCGCACGCTGATTGCTTATAGCGTCGAAACTGGTGCCACGACGAGGTCTGTAACGCTGATTCGATGTGGGAGCCGAACTCACAGCCTATTCGTATGCTAGCATATGCGCTCTGATCTGCCTTGTTACAGTAAGATAATGTTATTCTTGTCAAACGCCAACCTGTTGATCATTCTGCATTCAGTACGCAGCCATGACGCACAACAGCATATATATTGCGCTGTATTCAGTGCTGTCTAAAGGTGAGCGATGATAAGGAGCGATGCGCTATGCTAAGTACTGCCACAGTCTCTTTGAACGCCCTTTTAGCCACTCTCAACGCCAGGCGTGGCCTCCGAGCCAATGACGAGCTTCGCGGAGAAGGAATCATTTCTGTAGCGGGATCGGTAGCCAAGCTCCTCAGCGGGAAGGTGAACACGGATAGAAGGTGTGGAAGGGTGAGTGACTTCACGTCGTCAGTGCATCCTCACAGGATAGATTACTTTCCGAGACAGGACATTCAAGTCACCGTTCAGACGACTGTCGACCAGTTGGTCGATGGAGAACCTCTGCCGAAGACCTCAGTAGGTCCAGATACACAAATCACCCTACTCAATGCTAATTAACCGTCGATACAGATGCTACAGTACCCGGGCGGCGACTCCTCACTCACAGAAACAGTCGAATGAGGATCTCCTAGACGACGGGCGGCAAGAGTCCGATTCCTCACCGGACGCGCACTGTCAAATCACCCGGACAGTGCGCTCGCCACAAACGTTTGTGATTTGCATGGAAGCCAGTATTTATGCACCGATAACAGAAGGCAAGAACCGAAAATAACATAGTTGGTTCAAGCAGCACTCCGCTTGGACATCTTCTCTTTGCGTTTTCTACCTATTAGAGAGCCAATCTGTTTACCTGCCTTGGAGGCTTGATTCGCATCATGCCCCTTCTCTTGTGTCCGCGACAAGTCTGACAGACGTCGCTTCTTGCTTGGTCGCTCCTGACTCTCTTCTGCCTTCACAGCTGGAATCGATGCTCTGCGTTGGGGCGGTTTCGAGGTGCTATGTTCCTAGACGAAGTGTGAACATCATGCGCTTCTCAGTAGGATGAACAACATACAGATTGCTTGTCGCGTTGCTGGGTAGCTCGTCGTTGAACGACCTGTACGTTCTCAATCGAGAACTCGACAATGAGGGACCCTCTGCTCTTGACGGGTGCGCCCTTTTCCAACTCATCTCTCAACCGCTTCAATCGCGCTTCATCCTTCTGCGGCTTCTTCTTCTCGATCTTGACCAGATCTTCCAGTTCGGCTTTCCACCACTCGTCGAACATCCGGCCGACTTTTGTGCTATTGTTGGCCCACCTGAGAACTCGCAGAGCATCTGCATGCTTCGCCATCTCCAAGAAGCCATAGCCTCGGCTACGTCCTTTGCCGGTTACGGGGTCGACACGGTCTGCCTGACGCACAATCTTGGCTTGCTTGACACCTGTATCGCGACCAGCCTTATGGTCCTTCCCCTTCCCCTTCCCTTTCGACGTATTCGTCTGCGCGACGCCATCGTCGTCTTCGGCCTTGATGGCCTCGTCCTCGTTCGTGGGTGCGACGGACTCAGCCAACTCGTCGGCAGTCAATGGTTCCCGCGCTCCCTCCTTGACTTCCTTCTCGAAAGCACGAACAGCGTGCACAGCGAGTCTCTTGAGCATGCGCTCGGTCGCGAAGAGGGGCAGTTGTCGGATGCTCAACCGCGTCTTCGACACGTATAGAGATGGATTGGAGCGAAGGAGCGCCCTCCGGGCGTTGAATGACATAGTCCGTTTCTCCACTTCTGCTGGACCCATCGACTCGGCAGCGGGCGCGTTGGGCAGGATGACTAGAATATCCATCAGGACTGCGAGTACAAGGCTGACTTGGTGTACTCACTTCCCTCCCGAAGGAGATAGAGGTTACGCTTGTCTGCCTTCTCTCGTTGTCTTTCGCCGGCCTCCTTGAGCTTGCCGGCCTCATCCCGCGTCACAGCGCGGATGACGTCCAGTGTCCGGCCTTGAAGTACTAGGTTCTGAGCTATCGAGGAAGAGGGATCCGGGGTGAGCAAGGAAGGTAATTTGAAAGGGTTCTTCTTCGGTTGCTAAACCAAAATACTCAGTCAAGTGGATGTAAGAAAATACTGGAACGCACTGTCGTGGCTTTGTCACTCTCTCCAAGCATCTCGGCACGCAGAATCTCACTCTGCTCGACGACCTTGTCCGCGTCCGCTTTGTTCCAGAAGCAGACGAAACCAGTTCCACGAGAGCGACCGATCTCGTGATCTACCGTTATGCGAGCGTAACGGAGTGGGCCGAAGGCACGGAATCTGTGGCTCGTGAGCAGCAATGCAAAGTGAATTCAGATAACACTTACAAAGTTCGAAGCTCATCCTCTGTTGCCTCGAATGGAACGTTGCGAACAAACAGGGTTGTACCGCTTTCTGGAGGAGGCAGCGTAGGCTTTGTCCGGCCCTCATCTTGTTCGTCACCCTCGTCGCCCGTGAGGTCATCTTCATCACTACCACTCTCACTGCCCACATCACTCCCATCGTCCTCGTGCAATCCGATCTGCCCATCTTGACTTGCGGAGCCCTCGCCTTCACTACCATCCTCACCAGCCTCGCCACTCTCGTCACCCATCTGCACGTCTCCATCCGCGGCTTCCTGTTCCACCTTCGCCTTCTCCGCCTGCCACTTGTCTTTGCTCAGCGCCCAGTCTACTGCAATGACACGCTCTTTCCCCTGCGGCTCCGGTCCCTCATCATTCTCCTCTGCATCCTCTCCTTGACCCTTTGCTGCTTTCTCCGCCTTTTCCTCCTCCCTCCGCTGCTTCTTCTTTTTCTGCTTGTCCGTCACCAGCCGTGCCGCCATGCCCGCTTGGACCTTCATCCCGTTCGTTTCCTCCATCGCGCGCTCCGCATCTTTACGGCTCAGCATCCAGACGAAAGCGAAGCCCTTCGCACGCGGCTTGCCCTCGCCCTCATCGTCTTTCAGAGGGATGTCGACGGAGTAGATGGGTCCGTACGGGAGGAAGACTGCGCGGAGGTCTTGTTCCGTGATGTCGAACGGTAGATTGCGCACGATGAGCCGGCTCGCGCGGCTCGGTGCGCCGCCCTTCGCGCCTTGCTTCGGCGCATCGACCTTCTTGGCTTTGGGCGCTTTAGCCAGACCGTCAAGTCGTTTCTTCAATGTAGCTGATAGCAGGGAGCCTTTGAATACGTGCGCGTGTAGCTTATTGACTGCTTCCGAAGCGGCCGAAGGCGTGGCGAATAATGCGTGGGCTATACGTAGATGTAGGTCAGGCATTCGTTGATCAAGGGGACAGGTTTGCGCACCGATATCGCTGTCCTCATCACCACTACTTGTTTTGGCTGGCCACTCCGCTTTTTCAGCGCCGTCGAGCTTGCGGATCTTCTTCCATAGCGTTTTGGAGTCTATTGATGAAGGTAGACCCGAGATGACTACTGTGCGTATAGCGAGAGGGTCTTTTAACGCAGGTTGCTGAGGCCGAGGTGCCGGGGATTTTGCCTCAGTTTTGACTGGTGATCGCGTCTGGTCCTTGTCCCTGCCCTGCGACTTGTCTTTGCTCTGAATAGGGAAACATCAGCATGACATGGCCGTTTCATATGTTCGCATGCCCACCTTCAACTCCGCCCACTGAACCCTCAACTGTCTCTTGTTCAGCGCGAGTCCCTCCTCCGCGATCTTGTCGGAAGCTAATTGCGCATCCTCTTTAATCGCGAAAGAAACGTAACCGACGCCTTTTGATACCCCTGAGCCGGGTTCAAGCACGACGAATGCAGACCGTACGGGTGCGAGATCAGAGAAAAGGGTCTTCAGATCCGTAGATGTCGCTGTGTACGGTAGATTTGACACGAAAAGAGTCGACCTACACGCTGGTAGGTTACCTCGGTGATAGATGACTTCGTATAAGAAAACATACCCATGTGAGATAGGAAAAGACCCATCTTCCTCCCTCTCCTTGCGCTTTCCGAGCGAGGATGTCATCACGATGGAACGAGTGTAGGCGGGAATTCGGGCAGCGGACACAAATGAAGCAAGCGATCTTCGGGGCGAAGGTAAGGCCAGAGCCTGACGGTGTAAGTCGAGTGTAAGTAAATGCCAATGGCCTGCTTGTAGTGGGTCCTCTGGCGCCATTGTGAAAATGTCACAGTATTTAAGCTCCGAAATGACGGTGGCAGCATAGATTAGATCCCACTTCAGTTTGATCATCAACAGTTTTCCGCCCACTCCCTCCAATCCTCATCGTACTGGAAGGCTGCAAGGGTGGAGGAGGGTGTGATAGCGAATATGAGGCTGTCCTCAGGGTCGGGCAGGATGGCAGCCGCCGACTCGGGACGGACAGCCGTTGCGACGAGCTCCTCCTTGCCAAAGGAGTCACCCGTCCACTGCTTCATTACGAGAGTGCCGGCGTTGGTGTAGAGCAGGTACGTGCTTTGCCCATCGGGGTGCGCGGCGTAACCGGCGGCTAGGAGGCAGCGGGTGAGGTCTTGGAGTTGAGACATGATTCAGTAGGTGAGCGCGAACTTGGGCGGATGCTAGAGAATGTCAGGCGACCATTTCGATCTTTATAGCTATGGGTGTTGATACCTCATTATTCACGACTCGATGAGTACTGCCGGCAGCATCCTGCTACAGACACTCTTCCCACCGTGCCCCGGTCGTACCATAATGTATGGTGAGCCCATGTGGAGCAGCGGAATTGCGTTCTAAGCCGTCCCCGTTTTCCTTTGCGCTCACAACTGCACATTAGCCGCGGGCCCATGAAACTAGTGCTGATGGCAAATGGGAATGGACCCAATTGCCGGCAAATGGCGCTTGGGAATGGGTTTTCGGGGGGTGGCGCGCGCTGGCGATTGTGGCGCAACTGGCAAATGGGCTTTTTGATGCGTTTTTGGCGTTTTGTGCTCAATTTCGAGCTTGTGCCGCTGCTTGTAGGTCCCCGAGGATGTTTAGCACTGCAGGGTACAAGCAGGACACTGGGAGAATGACATGCAGCCTATAGGATGTGAGTAGGCCTCGACGAGACAGCAGGTAGTGGCTGGCGGCCATCCGCCGGGGCAGCAAATCGGGTCTCGGGTCTCGACGACTCGGAGTGCATTTGCATTCAAGCTAATGACCAGGCTTGACTGGAACTTCGTGTAATTGCAGTCTGACGGATGGTTGCACACGTTGCCGTGCATGTTGGTGGCTCGGTGCTGAAATGTTGACTCAATGGCATACAATTGCACACACTGCAGCTCGAGCTGAGACTGTCAAGGCGGGCTAGATGTAGCGAACACGGCGACACACCGCTTCCGCACTGGCGAACCGGTCTTTTAGGTCTGCTACGGAGACTACTCGCGAACAGCAATTCTTCGCTGGCCACCTATGTCGGTCATTCTGGAACCATTGAAGGCCGCAAGTGTAGCGATACTCCCGGGTTAAGTTAACGTTAGCCCCCGTGAGGCTCATCGTCAATGTCCGCGTCAGTTAATGGCGAGCACCAGGTTAAATACCGCACTTCCGATTGCCAAATGCGGTAATAGTGTAGCTGATTCTGCCCCTCAGAGAGTCGGACCAGGAATGGGCAGGCCGATGACACCCCCGTACTCATCTTCACAGACACTTTTCAAGTACCTCTTACCAACACTGAACCTCGACTGCTTGGTTTTGACTCAACCACACCGGTCCAGTCGCCATAAAATGCATAAGCGCCTGGCGATTCGCCAGGTTGCGCCACCCTCCCCTCTGCCACTTGCCAATCGCCAACCAATCGCCACCCCTGGCGCGTGCCAGGTGGCAAGCTGGCGCTGATTTGCCAACAACACTACATGAAACCATAGGAGGACTTCATTTTTCCGCTTTGGGTGACAACGACATTGATCCGTCGGTCTGGCGCCGCTTACACATAGATTCAGTGAGGTGCGGGACCTTTCGACGGTTCTCAATTTCCTCACTGGTTCCTGAGCGATATGAGGCGTCCTCAAGTGGGCTACCGCCTCGAGGCGACTATGAGATGTCGAGGAAGTTCACCTCGCGCTATCAGATTGCGGTATGGAGATCATCATTCATTAAGGACAACGTCTGTGTCCCGCTGCGTGTTGTATGCATCGTGGCGATACCTAACCATGCTTCAGGGCCCTCAGGTTCCCCCGATCATGTAGTTTCAGCAAGACAAACATGGCAATGGTACGTGCGGGTCGCAGACTCAATTGTCAATGCTGACTGACTGATTCACTGGCGCCAGTTGCATTGCGTCGCGAGGTGCCTCATGTGCCCTCCGCAGAACTCGAAGCCAGTTCAAGCCAGCCCCAATCAGTCACTTCGTTGGTGACACTGCCATGTCGAGGGTCGAGGGACACACAAAGGTATTGATAGTGCTGCGCCAATGATCAATCGGTGATTGAGGTTTTGCGTGCACAGGATAGGGCCAGCTTCTAGTAGCAAGTAATCACCAGAGATCGCGTCCAAATTAATCTGGTGGACGTATTGAACTCGCAGTCTGAGCATTCACTCTTCACTAACAATGAATATAGGAACGGATTTTGAAGGAAAGCCAATCGGTTGATATGCTTCCATTTAGAGGTCGTTTGAGGGCTGAGGGTTGCATGCAAGACAATCTCAAGTGATCCGAGGAGCTAGGTGCCCAAACTTCCTGGACGGTATGATCCGTGCTTGAATTGTCGTAGTGTTCTCTTCCCTGACGTTGGAACAGCTCTCACACAAGCTATTCCCGTGTGGCCTGAGCCTCACCTTGAGTGTCTGCCAGCACGCCCCTACCACTCGGTGCGAAGCCGCGAAGACGTTGCATATTCATTCGTTCCATGACCGCTAATCGGACCGACTTAGTCCATTGCATCCTCCAGTGATACGGGTGGGTTTTAGCCTTCAGCGACTCACCCTACACGCATCTGATGGTAGGTTTGCGGCCTGCTATGCATCCAACGCGCTGGGCATGCCTCATTGCGCGAGCTCAGTTGTCTGAATAGGCAAAGTGAAAGAGAGGCATCGTTGGAACCGCGACGCTTTTAAGTGCTCGATCCCGTGTCGTCCCGGCGGACTCAGTCGTCATCCTGCGACGTCGCATTCAACAACAATGGCCACTAACCTGCACGACCACGCTTACTACGGTACACTTACGGAGGACTTCCTCCAGCAGTATCTTGGTAGCGCGAATCCGTCTCCGATCAACTCCATCGGCGGAGAGAAGAAACTCACGCCATTGGCAGCAGCCTGTGTACACGGGCACCTCGAGGTCGTCCGTCTTCTTTTGAAGAATGGCGCAAACTCGAACGCTGTGTCTACGAGAGAGCGTCCACCGCTCTTCTACGTGACATCGCGCACGACGAAGAACAGGCTCGAGATCGCTCGGGCCCTTTTGGACGCGGGGGCGGATGTCGACAAACGCTTCCCGAAGGACGACAATGCGACGGCTCTCATGAATGCCCTCACCGAAGTGCGCGACAAGGAATTGGTCCACGAGCTCATCGACAGCGGCGCTTCGCTCGATACGGAGAACGCGAGCGGACAGTCGGTAAGGGAGCTTGCGAAGGACGTCGGCATGGAGCAGGAGGTGCTGAGCAAGGCTGAACGTAACGCGAAACACGGCGCTATCATCGCTCTCCTTGTCGCGCTGGTCATATTCGTGATAGCATATGTGAACAGCGGGCTCATCAAGGATGTCGCAGTCGGCACGATTAGCAAGTTGTACCAAATTTCTGGTGCGAAGGATAAGGATCATGTCTAGGTCCGTTACTCTCAAATCACTGTCTTCGCTAAGCTCAACTTGAAGTCGCTTTCTCCAGGAGGTGGCCAAGGTATTGCAGACCCATGTCTCAGATTGTTCTCATTGTTTCTGATGTGACTGTTTGCCACAGAGCGTCCTTGGCAGCAAAGCCACGGAGAAATTCACAAGACGTTTGGACAACAGCCCCAGTTCTGTAGTGGTATGCTGACCAGTTCTGGCTATGCTGCATGTCTAATTATAGTACAGGCCACAGGTACCGAGGATGCACAGGCTTCTGAGGCCAAGGTAGTATCCGGTCCTGAGCAAATACGTGTCACGACTCGAACCTCAGCACCGCGACTAAGCCTGCCGTCGACACGGTATGTATGCTCTCGTATTCTCTCTCAATATATTTATGGACGGCGATTCAGGCTGAGTATTGTATGGTGGAGACCCCAAAGCTAGAGACGAAACCAGCGGCGCTCGGAAATATAACGAATCAATCGCAGGTGTGTGCTGCTGCTCGCGGCCATGCATATCATGCTCATATGATGGATTTCTGTCTAGCCGGTCCAACGCGATCCCAAACCTGCGCAGAACCAGTCCAAACCTGCTCAGTCAGAACCTACGGAGCCACTTCAACCAAAGCCAGAGGTACGACACCGCAGTATTACCCTCAATTTCCGTAGCAGTTGACTTGCTCTTACTTTCAAGACGGAGCCTGAACTTATTTCCGCCGCAGATTTCTCGGCCAGTCTTGGGAAATACGTCCAGGAGACAGGTCTCGAGAAGTTCTTTGCTCCGAATGACCCTTTCATTCAAAACTTAGCAACGAACGCGGCTGCCCTCCGCCAGGACCACACCACGCCGCTGAGTAAACCCGAAAATATCAAGCGTCTGGTCACACTGTCCCTGTACCATCCGGTCATTTTTTGCGATGACAGCGGCTCCATGAGCCTCGACAATCGCTTCTCGAAACAACGGGCTCTCGTTGCTCGCATGGCGAGAATCGCTACGAAGATCGTACCAGACGATCGCGGCGTGGACCTCCGCTTCATCAATGCGAGGGTGACGGAGCGGAATCTGTCCATGGACGCGTTGGACAAGATCCTGATGAAGACGCAGCCCCGCGGTGGGACCAGGATAGGCAGTACACTTCGTCGCGACATTCTCATTCCCTTTGTATACAGCAAGATCGACTCCCGCTCGTCGTTCCAGCGGCCGCTCCTTGTGTGCGCGATCACAGATGGAGACCCGAGTAGCGAGCCCGTCACCGCGTTCAAGGACGCAATTGTGGAATGCAGGAGGAAGCTCGTTGCCGCCGACTACGAGCCGACCTCCGTGATGTTCTGCATCAGCCAGATCGGAGCTGACCCGAAGGCCGCCGCGTTCCTCGCGGGCTTGCGAGATGACGACGAAATCCGGGACGTCTTGTACTGCACGGCCGATCGATTGGACGGCGCGTTCGATGAAATGAAAGCAAACGAAGCGAGACTGGAGGAATGGCTTTTGAAGCTGTTAACGAAGCCGATCATGGAGAGGTACGAGGAATAATTTGCCATCCAAGTTACGCCCTGTGCTACGCATTCTTGCGGTATTCTTTATGGATTTCCAGTCGTTTGTATCTTCCTTTCTCCGTGTCTTCATACGTATGGTGTACGCCGTACCTTATCGCGAGGACTGGAGTACTGGAGACTCACAGTACTCGCCTATTCACGTATTACTTCATTGCTGTTATGCGACACAACGTGACCAAGAGGCTTCACTGGGTCAGGCCTTCAAGCTTCAGGGGCTGGTCGATGGTGTTCTCCTCTATCATGCACCACACACCTTGCTTCTTGGGCTTCCTGAATATGACCGCGGACGCGAGAAGTAGAACTGAGGATGGTTAGATTTGCAGTCCATCTGCAGGAGATATTTGCCTTGTTCGGCTCGCACACGGTGATAGCGCTACATTGTGCTTTGCAGCTGCGAATCATTTTGAAGCTCGTCTTGGGAACCCAACGACATACGTAAGAAAGCTCCAAGACGCCGAGGACGGAAATGAGTTGCCAGTTCGTCAGCAGCTCGGGCAAGTCCATATATCCAGCCACCTTAGTACAGAACGCAGCCATCGAGTCCCACCTTCAGTACCAGGTATCATACACACCCACAGGCGTCACGAGGCTTGTTGTCCATTGATTCTCGCGTCGAAAAATGCACGAATATCCGCCTCCGTTACCACCTTGCCCTCCTGCGCGAACGGCCGGAGGTGATTCATTAGGTCGTCCCTGCCCCGCGCCGCGCACGCGTCAGATCGTATACAGCGTAACGGGAAGCGGAACGCACCGCATCTCGTTGAAGGCACGGATGCCGTCTATGGCGCGCTCACGCGGGAGCCGCTGCAGCGCGCGCAGGCCGAGCTCCTCAAGGGTGAGGCCCGAGTCGGGGTCCTCCGGCGGCGAGTAGGTCTCATCTTCCTCGAGAAGGTATGGTCGTGTTTGTAGGGAGGAAAAGCACTGCCGTGCGTACTACTCATGAGTATTGGGATGCAAAGGGGTATGGAGGGACGCACCGACTGGCACTTGCACCACCGCTCTCGCCAGCCCTCTGTGAGGAACACGTCGCTTGTGCCTAGGTTTCGTGAGCCAGGTACAATGCTCTCGTCTGACTCCTTTGGACGCAGCGCAGGCGTCAGGACCTTCTGGGCAACTGGATTCTCGGGTGGCGCGAGACACGGCGGTGACGCTGACGGCTCTGTTGACACGCGCGGTCGCTTCGCGCTGGGCACACCCTCACCAGTCGGTGACCGTGCGCGCTTCTCTCCCACGTCCGACTCCTCTATCTTCGTCACCTCCACGATTGCGCTGCCGTCTGCGCCTTCTTCCCGCCCGATGACCTTCCAAGGCTGCTCAGGCGCGTCACGCACGACCATGAGTGCGCCTGGCGTGCCCGCGCATCGTCGGAGCGTCGGTATCTCGCGAACACACGCGCCACACACGAAGCTATCGTAGTCGTCCGCGGTGATCAAGCCGGGAGGCAACTCAGAAGACGCGTTCGACGCGCCGTCGTCTTCGTCGGCCTGCTCTTCGGGCGTGGGCTCGCGCAGTGGCGGTCGTTCTCGCAGGTTCAAACACGACTCGTGGAACCAGTCCTACGACACGACACGAATGAGCAGACGTGCGTAGCGATCCGAGCGAGCGCACCTCACACGCGACACACTGCACCATCGTCTCCCGCTCCCTCTTCGCGTCGTACGGCTGGCTACACCTGCAGAACACGCCCCGGAAGTTCTGCCCGTACGCGTTCCCCGCGTTCTCCGCCTCGGGCGTGGAGTGCAGCGTGCATGCGTGCGGTAGGGCACGCGTCGGGCAGTCGCAGCAGAAGGCACGCTTTGGGAATAGCTCTAGCTGCTCGTGGTCCGTGTGGCAGGCGATGCTGCACGCAGAGCAGATACCTCTTGGCACTGCGCAGGTCAAGCAGAGGTAGACAGCTTGTCGGATGGGGCCCAGGGAGTAAGTGCACTGTGAGAACTGGTGTGGTAGAGCTTCGGCGGCCTCCTCGACCAGGGCGCGGTGCTGCTCGGCGAGCGCTGTTAATGACTGTGGTCCAGATGGAGATTCATAGGCCGACATGTTTGAGATAAACGTGCGAGTGAACGCAAAGTAGGATTCGACGAGCTGTTGTAGAGCGACTCGGAGCGTCCTCCTTGGACCCGCGGAAACTCGGTGGTCCTACCAACTGAACGCCAGGGCCCGGAAACGCTAGCACAGCCACAGTCGGTACAACTCAGCTTCAAGCTTCAATAGCAGATACAGACTGAATGAGCAGCTGCAAACAAGGGGAAAAGCGAGAGGATAAGCAGGAACAGGGAATAAGAATTCGAAGCTCCATTCTATTACGGTAAGCACCGCTTCCTTATCGGGCAACTTCACCTACCGCCTTAATATGGAAATTGACCACTTTGTAACGGTTGCGGCTCTCAACGCTACTGTACAGTACTTACTGTTTCACAGGTAGTGAGTACGATATTCGAAACTCGTACGCATGCCTGCTAAGAAACTTCTGCGCTACAGATATACCGCCATGGGCTATCTTGCTCAGTGTCTCAATCTCGAGCAAGGAGTTGAAATTCGCCGGACTCGGAGGTCAGACTCTGACAATGGATGTACAACATTGACAACACGACGTACAACGGTGCCAGCCGCTATCTCTTGTACGGGCTTGGACAGCACTTTTTTTCAAAGCGACAATGCTGGACCGCTGGATCGTCATCGTCAGCGACGCACGGATGAACGACGAACTGCGCAAGCTCTCGGACGACGTAATATCGTTCCAGGAGGCTCTAAACGAGGTATATTTCTCCGGCCTCAGGGTTTGCCCGCTGTACTTCAGTGCACTAACATATAAGCGCAGAAGATCCAGCCCATATACAGAGCTGAGTTACGCCGGATGCGCACAAGGATCAGATACATATAACGGTAATACAGGAGCGACTACCGCGCAGCCTCTCCCGTCTTTTCCTTGGAATTTTGGAAAAATTCGGACTGGCCCTCAAAGTCTTGATACAGCCGACTCCGGGACGGTACGTGATACACCGTCACGGTAGCATTTGGGGCAGAATGGCTTCCCGTCAAGGTGCTCCCGACAGTTGCGCGCGCAGATTAGTATCTCACGGGCGAGCAATCGTGTGTCCGTCGGGACTTCGTCCTCGACTCACGTTGATGGCCGCGCACGCCCAGGTCGCGATGAAGAGTTCCTCGACATTGCTTGTAAGCACACAAACAACGTCACGGAGTTGGGATGCTTGTGTTTTGCAACAATATCCTGAAACCGTGCGTCCGGCTGTATTTGAATCAAGAAGAAGTATCATATCAACGGCGGGGCGATAGGATTGTGGGATCATCATTGTCGATGTCTTGGCCACATAGGGCTTCCCGCCGTGCGCATTCATTCCTGAAAGTTATCATGACAGAACGAGCCACGTAAATATTCGGGGAACATAGTGAAGCATGACCAGACAAGCTGTAGCAGCGAACCTCACCGCCATTCATACGCAAACAGTAGTAAGCTCTATAATTCTCCCTTCGTCTCGGAAGTCACTCAACGCGCAAGCCAGACTTTCGCACACGCGCTGTGCCATTTATCTGTTCATCTTGGATGCACCCAGCCCCTGCGAGAATAAATCGAGTCCGTCATCAAACGGCAAGGGCGGCTGGACGAAGGCCTCTATCGGACGGGTGTGGAAGCTCGACAATTTTCTGAAAGTCTCAGCGATTGAACGACATGAGTGGACGTGAGTCCCTTCCCCTTCCTGTCTCTTCTAATGCTATATGTCGTTCTATATCCGTCACGCGCCTTGCGATGCAAGACGTGATGCTCTCCGACAGGACCTTCATCCCCGCGGAGACGATCGTCTCGCGATCTCGTACACGCACTATGACGAAGAGAGTTACGACAACGCTGTGACATTGGACCTGTTTCACTTCTCCCAGACAGAGTGTACACTGTAGAATTGTATTGTACAGACAATTGTGCGTTGTCAATCATCGCATGCAGCTACGGCCAGGACAAAGAATACAGCTGAGCAGATCAGATATCGCCCTGGATAGAACTGTTGCTACAGTACGTTTCACGGACGCTCGATAGGTGTGCCATGGGTGTACTAAATATCACCCAGATGTTGGTTATTGTCAGTGTAGCTAGGCTGGCACAGCTGAGATGGTAGTAGGGGACTGCTCTGCTCCGTTGACAAGGCAGCCAACATCCAGTGTCGAGGACAAAAGACAGGCAAAATACCAGACTTGCCATATTCGCGCGGGTGGCAGGGCGTCGTGCGGGTCACGGGGCTACCACGAGGCACGTGCGGGGCTGTTGATCGTGAATAGGGTTCGAGCTCCCGCGCCCTGCTCACGCTCACTCCTCTCTCTTTATCCACCACCAGCGATCCCCCCACCATGCCACGCAAAGCCGCAGCCTCCGACGCGCCCGCTGAGCCCCGCCGCTCTGCCCGCATCAAAGACCAGCCCAGAGCCGAGTCTGCGCCCAAGAAAGCCCCTGCTAAGCCTCGCGTGAAGAAAGCCAAGGCGGAGGCCACCGAGGAGGACGGCGCTGCCGACGAAAAGAAGAAAGAGGAGAAACCGAAGGCTGCGCGTGGAAAGAAACGCACGGCCGACGAAGTCCAGGAGGAGGACGCTGCAGTCGCAAATGGCGCGTCCGCTGATGAGGACGCGCCGCCCCCGGCGAAACGGGTGCGTGCTCTCCGATAAGCGTGCTTTGCGTCTTGCTGAACGCGTCGTAGGCCAAACCCGCGTCTAAGGCCGCGTCGAAGCCGCCTTCAAAGGCTGCCGCGAAGCCTGCGTCCAAAGCTGCCTCTAAACCACCATCCAAGCCCCCATCCAAGGCAGCAGGCACCTCCAGCAAGCCTGCGTCGAAGGCCTCTGCCAAGCCTGCGTCTCGCGCAGGCTCCGCTAAACCAGCCTCTACAGCGAAGAAGCCGGCGTCCCGCGCAGGGTCTCGTAAGCCCGCGTCAAAGGTGCGCATCCCACATTGTGGCCCGTCTCGATCGCTGTCTGATATCCTCGGTCGAAGGTGGGTAACGAAGAGAAGGAAACCGTTGCTGCCGCTCCAGGTCAAGATAGCATCGCCGAAGAGCCTGAGGCTGAAGCTGAGGCCGAGGCTGCTGCCCAAGAAGCTCCTGTTGTGGCCGCCGAGGCTTGATAACGGTATGCTATCCGGTTCCATCGACAATGCAGTTGTGTGCTGATTCTATCCCAATCCAGCGTACACACGAATGCACCACGACCCATCTCCTCGACCTGCTCTCTCTCACCCTCCCTCTTCTCTTACATTATCGGCTGTATCCCAAGTCTATGACGTGGCTCGCGCGCAGCCTTCTCTTCTCTTATTCCTATTTCCGTCTCTTCTTCCCTTCTGCTCCTGGTTCCTCTTTTGCCTTTGTCTTCAGCTCTCTTCCTCACTCATATCCTCGCTTTGTGCCGCAACTCGAAGCACCGCTGTTGTGTCACTGTCATCGCTACCGTCATCTCAGGCACGCGTACTCGCACTGAACTGTTATACTAGTAGTCTGATGGGAATGGGTCGGCCGGGTGGGCGGGACGCTGTACAGAGCCTTTTCTCCTTGGTGGCGTAGGGACAGTACATCCGATGTGTGTATGTTCTATGTATATTGATGTTGTTTGAGTATCTCTCTCCCTGGACGGTGTGCATGCGGCTAGCCGACGACGCCACTCAGTCAGACTTGACAGCCATCCCATATACCCGTCGAACAACGTATGAACGGATCCATATGCTGGTATACGCAGCCTTGCTTGATGTGCTCACGCACTCATGCCAGCGGGATCCAATAGCACCGCAATCCAGGAACCAGGAAGCTGTATGAGACTATGATGTCCGTACATCCAGCGTTCCGTACATTCTGGATACTGACGGTGCAGTCCCCGGGCAGTCCACCAGTAACCGATCCGTCTGATCTGCAAGTTCTTTGTATTTACAATGCAAATCCGAGCACTCTTACCCGTCACCCCCGTGCGTGTAAGTACTTAGGTTAGTCGACACGTTGGCTTGCATGCATATCGCCCTGCCAGGCTGCCATGTCGCTCAGTGCTCCCAATCAAGTTCATAAGAGAAACTGCTTATGGCCCTGGACAGCGAAATACTTCACGACTGTCGAGGGACAGCGGCTGCGGTGCCGAATTCAGAGGCGCAGTGTGCCATACGCAGCAAAAGAGAACCCTCGCTCGAGTCGCAGCGACATTCGGCGATGGATTGCGGTATCTCGTATCACAATGCGCGCCGCCTCGTGAAGCTATGTACTGGTAGCACGTAAGAACCCGGGTTTGCAGTTCTTGTCGTCCTGATTCCAAGTCAGGCGTGTTAGGCATATCGCTTTGAGACCCGATCATACTGGATCGAGCTGGAAGTGAAGGACCGATGACCCAGCCACTGTGCGATAATATCTTACGAGGCTACTTAGATCCACAGTATTATGATACCTCTTGGACGGGAACCGATGATGTCGAGCCTAGGCATGGCGGGTCCATAGGTGTACTTACGCTAAACGCAACTGACTGCCTAGGTGGATCAAGGGCACGTCGATTTCAAGCCGGCACACCCATCCATAACTTGCGCTTCCTATCGGGACGTGGGCATGCAGGCGTCGCTCGGCGGATGTGAGGTTCAGATGCTCCGATAACAGAAAAGCACACACACGACACAAAGAATATACAGCGGAGACGACTAGTCCATCCTGCCCTTGAGCGTACGCTTGATCACCTTGTCCTTCGTTCTACAAAAAGGCACGCCGCCAGTCAGCTCACATCCCCACACCGCACCGCGCGCAGACCCGACACTCACATCACATGCACAACCGCGCCCCAACCCGAGTACGCATCCCGGTCCACCGCGTTCAGCAGCGTCTGGCTGATCGTCTCGAACAGGTCCTCCGGCTCCAAGTCCGGCTCCCACAGGCCCTCCGCGACACCGAAGAGCTTCTCGCTCGCAGTCCCCGCGACGACGAAGTCCTTCGCGAAGTTGATGCAGCCGATGAGGTCCGTGCTCGCGATGAACGGGCGGAACGCGCCCGCGGGCGTCTTCTGCAGGCCCGCGAGCACGGGCTCGATGAAGTACGGGCCCCAGCGCTTCTCGTAGAGCGTCGAGGAGATGAGGTGGATGAACGTCTCGGGCTCCATGGTGCGCTCTTCTTTGATGGTGTACATGTTGAGCCGGTAGCGGAGCTGTTCGTGGCTGGGGGAGGCAGTGAGGATTTGGGGCGTTAGGAGGGACGGGGCACGCACAGGGTCAGTACGTCTGTTGCGAGTCCGGGCAGACCGACGTATGTTCGCTCTGTCATGGCGAAAATCTGCCGGGCAGTCAGACAGCCTCTTCCTTGGAGAGTCGACAATACTAACCTTTTCAAAATTTGACGAGATACCCTGAGCTTGGTTGCCTAACCGGAGGTCGCTCGCGATGGCGACACAATCCTTCCCCACCATGGCTATGACGGAGCCACCGTTATATTGCATGATCGACTGTCGGCACCGTGTCAGCGCTGATCAAACACAGAGCTAGTACCAAGAAGCTTACCATGGCTGGCACACGTTGACAGAGAGAGCTGACGGAGACTGAGGGTCGAGGAGCGAGCGGTGTAAGTAGGGACGGTGGACGCGCCGCGCGTTGGATGAGACGCGTAACGTGCACGTGGTACTGTATCGGGCCAGGATCTCAGCCACCCTAGGTAGGGTGTCTGGGCGTCTATGGGTGCCCTCGTCACGAAGGTATTCAGGACATCCGTGTTTATGCAATGTTTTATGCGCATAAAATCATCACAGCAAAAGCGATGCAAAACATACCTGAGATGTATCGAGATCTCTTTACACCTCAGCTTGGATAGTTATCTTGCTCTCGGACCGAGGGAAACCCGGGCCAGAAATGCTATGGTGGCTGAGATCTCTGTTCGATACACTCGCGATAAGATTAGATGGACGCTCAAGCGCTCAATTATATACAATATACAATATTCCTGCATGCACATTGTGATCCTTGGCGATACGCACTTCGTAACATACATACTCAGTGTATGGTGCGGTTCGGGATAGACACATCCAAGGGGACACATTGCTCAACTCTCCGTCACAAGTCAGCCGGAATATCACACCATTCCAAGTGGAGGGTTCAGCGAATGGTATCACCACCATACAGCGCTAGCATTGGCCGCAGTGCGCATTGAGTCGGCAGCAAAACATCCTACTACTCTCCCCCCAGTCTTAACACTCATCCAAGTAGAAATACAAATACATCAACGTCCTGGAGGGTCGCGACGCCCAGATGAGCCTCAACGCCGCTCATTCAGCTCTGCAGCCCTCGCCTTCAGCTCCTCGCGGCTCTACACACTTGAGTCAGCCACCAAATCCCAACAGTCTCGATCGGTACGTACCCTAGGCTGCTCGACGCCCTGCATCACCTGCTGGCTGGGCTTGTACGGCCCGCGCGCGTGGAACGCCTGCTGCTCCGGATTGCTGTTCAGGCCCGCGCCGAGCTGGGGCGGCTCGAGGTCGCGCGGGTCGTTCGTCCTCTATACCGATGAGCACCAACAATGTTAGTCATCCGCTGCGGTAACGGAGCTGGTGGGACGTACGGCGGGGTGCGGGAGGATGTTGAACGAGTTCTCGTTGCCGTTGTTCGTGGGCGACATGGTGGTAGTAGATTCGATGACTTTGAGTGGATAGGGGTATGAGATGAATGTGGATCGCGAATTCGTAGCGGGGTGAGTGAGTGAAGAAAGATTCGGATGGAGACGGTTGCTCTTATAGGGTTCGTGCTGTGTAGGTTTGTTGTGAGCGCAGCGGCAGAGGAGAATGGAGTCGCTGCGGAGGCGGATGGAGTGGCCCCCCGCAGTGGCACTATGCACGGATCTATGACGTCTCGGCCCGATCTCGGGCTTCCTCATTAGCGTCCCCGGTACCGCACCGTAAGGCACGGTATCGCAGAGGGTAATGGTGCACAAACGAGTCTTGGATGGCTCACGCGAGACATTCAGGACACGCGCAAAAAAGGCAGCTAGAGGTATATAGAGGGTTTCTGTCATTGCATTGTGGATGTACTACCATACCGCGGGGCTCGCAAATAGATAACGGAGAGGGACTAGTTGTACATGTCTTTACTTGGAGAGCATCATCTGCGGGACGGATCAGCATGGTGGCAACGCGGATGACTAGGTGGCGAGCGTACCTTCACGAACTCTGCGCGGGCCAGGAGGATGGCACGGATGTTAGAGAAGCAACGGATCACTGAACGGCGAAGGCGCACCATCGTAGTTGATTTGACCGTCACCATCGACATCCGCCTCGCGGATCATCTCGTCGACCTCGTTGTCCGACAGCTTTTCGCCTGCGCACCACCCGCACGATCAGCATCGCCGCTCCTGCACGGAGACAAGCGCACTCACCGAGGTTGGTCATGACGTGCCTGAGCTCCGCGGCGGAGATGTAGCCGTTGCCGTCCTTGTCGAAGACCTTGAACGCCTCCTTGATCTCCTCCTCGCTGTCCGTGTCGCGCATCTTGCGCGCCATCATCGTCAGGAACTCGGGGAAGTCGATCGTGCCGTTCCCGTCCGCGTCGACCTCGTTGATCATGTCCTGTAGCTCCGCCTCCGTCGGGTTTTGCCCGAGCGAACGCATCACCGTGCCCAGCTCCTTCGTGGTGATCGTGCCGTCGCCATCTGCGCGGGTGAAGAGGGTAGGGGTAGATGTCAGTATCAGAGGGAGAGAGGGCGGTGCTTGGAGCGTACCCTTGTCGAAGAGCGAGAAGGCCTCCTTGAACTCTGATCACGGCGCGTGTGACGGTCAGTGCCAGCTCTTCCCTTCCTCGCGCGTGAATACATACCAGAGATCTGTTCTGTAAGCGCGGACGTGTCAGCATGCAGTCGTGTCGGCCAAGACACATGCACGTACCCTCAGACTACGCGGTGTACGGTGCGTGTTAGCGTGCAGCGTCGACAGCGGGAGAGGGAGCGGGGTGACTCACCAGTTGGTCGGCCATGGTGGGGGAAGGTAAGGAGTGCTTGGTGTGGTATTCGTGCGAGTAGCGTTGAGGACGTGGACGGTGGAGGGCGATAGAGAGGACGAGAGCAGGGCAAGGGCAGGGCTACTTTCCCCTTTCGCCCAGGCGCTGATGGATGGTAGGATCTCTCGGCAATCGCCAGTCTAATTTGGGCGCACCTTGTTTTACACAAGACAAGCCTTGTCGGGGACTTATCCGCACCTATTCCGCGGACAATCGCCCGCTGACAGTGACATCAAGCTCGAGCACAGTGCGGCACAGCGTACGCTCACACCCGGCTCTGCTCCTCCTCCCACCACCACCACCACCACCCCGATGCCCGCCCAGTCCACGCTCTCCAGCGACGAAAAGTCCAAGGTCAAGACCGCGATCCCCGCCAGCAGCAACAAGATCCACACCGCCGCGCTCGCGCGCATCTACTACGCCTACCCGCAGCCGAGCGAGTGGTCGTACGCCGGGCTGCAGGGCGCGCTCGCGTTCGTCACGGACAAGGCCCGGAATGCGCTCATCATGAAGATGGTCGACCTCGCGGGCACGCGCGGCATCATCTGGGAGCACGAGCTCTATGAGGGCTTCGAGTATAACCAGGACCGCCCGTTCTTCCACTCCTTTCCTGGCGATGTGAGTGGTGAATACGCGCATCGTCGATGTGCTGACAGCTCGCTCAGGACTGCATGATCGGCGTGGTCTTCGCCGACGAAGGCGAAGCGAAGACGTTCTACAAGAAAGTGACCACCACGAAGCCGAGCACTGGTGCGTCTCCCGGTCACACCCACGCGCCACGCGCCACTCACCGCTGCTCGCAGAGAAAGAGAAGACCAAGTCCTCCAAGAAGAAGAAGGCCTCCAAGGGCGGCAAGATCGACAAGTCGATGATCTCGGGGCCGACGGCGGGCTCGTTCAAGCACGTCGCGCACATGGGGTACGACGCCGAGAAGGGGTTCACGTCCACGAACGTCGACCCGTCGTGGACGTCCTTCCTCCAGCAGCTCGAGAGCCAGGGCATCGCGCGCGAGATGATCGACAGCAATATGGACTTCATCAAGGACTTCGTCCGCGACGCGCAGAAGGCCCCGCCGCCCGCGCCCTCCGCGAAGAAGAAGCCACCCCCGCCGCCTGCTCCTCGCCGCGGCCCGACCGTCGCGCAAGACGCGCCCGCCGCGCCCCCGACTCCCCCGCCAGCCCCGCCCTCGCGTCCCCCGCCCTCTCGCGTCGTGCCCTCCCCGGCACCCCCGGCACCCCCGAGCCGCAGCGTCCCCTCGCCAGCGCCGCCGCAAGCACCACCAGCGCCCCCCTCGCGCGCAGTCCCTTCGCCCGCGCCTCCAACGCCTCCCTCGCGCCCGACAGCCGCGCCCCCAGCCCCACCGCCTCTCCCGCCCACACGTCCCTCTGCTGCGCCCCCCGCACCTCCCCCGCGCCCCCAACACGCCCCAGCGCACCTCCTCCCGCACCTCCGCCGCCTCCCTCAGGCAGTGCCCCGCCTCCGCCCGCACCACCACCACCGCCGCCTCCCTCCGGTGGTCCTCCACCCCCTCCTCCCCCACCGCCGCCACCTCCTCCAGGCGGCGCGCCCCCTCCGCCTCCACCTCCTCCGCCCCCAGGTGGAGGCGGCGCAAGCCTCCCCGCGCCGCAGCCCGGCCGCGCGGACCTACTCGCGTCCATCCAGGGTGCGGGCGTGCACTCGCTCAGGAAGACGGACGGCGCGCCGCCGCGCGCGATGTCGCCGCCTGCTGCCGAGGAGAGCGCGGGCGGGGGCTCGAGCGGGGGAGGGGGAGGCGACTTGACACAGGCGTTGGCGGCGGCGCTGTTGGAGAGGAATAAGAAGCTGGGGGATAGCGATGAGGAGGAGGATGAGGAGGATGAATGGGATTGAAGGGTGGTTTGTTGGAGTCGACACACTGTATGTTAAGTGGAAGCGGAAGTGGGAAGTGCTCGAATACCCCCCCGTATAATGCGATCTTCCCGTGGCTGCTGTGTTTGCTTGCGGGCTGGACTGGAGTGTGGTCGCGCGGTCTTCAGGGGTCACTGGGTCTCCAGGAGACGAGAACGTCGTTCGTCGACGGTTGTGATTATTGGTAGTGGTACATGCGTATATGCGTACAGAACACGGGACAGAGAACACAGCAAGAAAGCATCCGACATCTCACAGCTAAGTAGAGAGGTTGAAAGAGAAAGTCTTGCGAGCCCGTACGGGCTCGAGCCGTCCAGGCGTCTTAGATCCACACCTACGCGGCCGCCGCGACGCTCTTGACGTACTCCAGCGCGAGCTTCGGGCTGCCCACGACGCCAGACCACAGTCAGTACCTATCCACGAGTCGGGACCTGCGCGCAACGCACCTGTCCGCAGGCTTGACGGGGATCTTCTTCTCGACGAGCTTGCCGCCCTTCTCGAAGACGAAGTGGCTCCGCTTCGTCTTGCCGCCCTCGCCCGCGCCGAGCGCGGTGATCAGCACGCGCTGCGGGTCGGAGAGGAGCGGGTACGGGAGCTCCTTCTGCGTGCGTCGGGCGGGTCAGTGCTCGGCAGTGGCAGGGGGAAGGGGAGGCGGGGACGGGGACGGACCTTGTCTTGCCACTTGGTCTGGGCGCTGGGGCTGTCCGCGCTGAGGCAGTAGACGGCGAAATTGTGCGCGGTGAAGTCGGGGTAGACGTCGCGGAACCCGCAGGCCTGCGTTGTGCACCCGGCTGCGGGGTCGCGTTAGCCAGATGGGCGAGGAGGGGTGCGGGGCGGGCACTCACGCGTGTCGGCCTTGGGGACGAGGAAGAAGATGACGCCCTTGTCGGCAGCGAGCGTCGCGACGTCGACGTCCTCGCCTTTTTCGTTCTTGAGCGTGAGCGAGGGGAGCACGTCGCCGACGTCGATCGTGGCGAGCTTCGCAGCCTCTGGGGTCGCGGACTCGTCTCAGACTCGAGGAAAACTTGGAAAGAACTGGAGGAAGCTCACTTTCGTTCGATTCTTCGGTGTCGGGTGCCTCGGCGGCGGCCTCCTTCGCTTTGCTCTAGATGTGCAAAACCCGCATGAGCATTCCCACTCAGCACACCGTGGAACTGGATTTTTCTCAAGAAGAGAACAAGCTCTTTGTTCGTCTCCAACGCCGGAAACGCTGACACCACGCATTCAACACGTACTTTCTTCACTGCAGGGGTCTCGTCACCGCCTTCGTCTGCAGTCCGTTTCTTCGCCCTCGGCGCGGCCTTCTTCACCTCTGTCGCCGGCTCGCTTTTGGGCTGGGACGATATCCTAGTCGATCGCCTCGTCGGCTCGGACGCCTCTGCAGTGCTCTTTGCGCGTGGTGCCATCTCAATCCCAGTCGAGCGAGTCCGAGTTTCAGTCCGGGTTGACGTTGAACGTGAACGTTGAAGCTGGGGGGGTAAGAGTGGGCAGCGGGACGTTGTGCGTTACTGAGCCCGAGGAGGAAGTCCTTGACGGGGATCCGCCGCGCCTGGATCACTGGCAAGAGCAGCGTTAGGCTTTATTGGGAACGTCCGAAAGCTCTGACATTCGTGATCGCGCAATAGGGGACCACCAGTTGGTTATGCCATGTCTGTCGTGGTTTGTGCATGGGACAAACGCCGACGGACGATGGTGCGGCCCATTTGTTCTATTCTACCGAGTTCAAGTGTTTCCAGGGTTGGCAGCCATCCACGTTCGTGCTGCGCGTATCCTGGGCTAATATATCTGCAAGTGCGACGCACTATGGCATGGGGTGCATGCGTAGTACTGCTCAGAGGCAAGTAGCATCGCTCCAGTGCCGCAATGAAGTGATTAGAATCCCGAGTACTCATGCATCATGTTCAAGTTCACTTCGTGCAATATCCTCCCGGCCTGGCTCGAAGCTGTTGGACTGCAACGAAGGTATGTTGCAGTACTATGGCACCGCAACAATGCTCAGGGAACAGTGATCATCAGCTTAGGTACATAAGTGTCTGGCAGAATTCCTGGATATCTTCTAGCTCAGGCGGCTACGGTTGCCCGATAGTCCGAGGCCGAGCATTTTGCACGACGCGCCTCAGCCACATCGCGTCGCTCGTCCTCCGCCTCCTCCATATCCTCCGGAACTCACGCAATACTCACGCTACAGCCATAAATGCATTCCTACTGCACCGAGAGCACTGTGAACGTCAAAAAAAGAGGTACTGGTAAGTCCATACTGGCCTGAAACCTCTTGAGAAAGCTCGACCCCGGGAAGTGGTAAGCGCCCGACAACGCCGCGACTCGCTCGGACTCGAAGTCTAGAGGACATAACTGTATGATGACTATGGTGCATGGATATTTGATACAAGTATGTGGGATGTCGAACAGGTATACAGATCATGATCATAGGGTTGTACGACCCTCGGCACCAACATCGCAGTGTGCGTCCGGCAGGCCCAGTGAAATCTTACTGTTACTATACAGTGTAAGGCTTTCTGAGGCTCACGGTGTAGGCATCCAGTCCTCAGCATTCAGTACTTCAGTGCACATGCTATGTCTGGTGGTGATGGAGTGATGTATGCGTACAATTTGAGACACTATATATTTCTCTTTGTCGATATACACGAAGGCCTGCGGCACAGTACGACTCCGAGACAACATTATAATGCTATCACTCACCTGTTACAGCCACGAATACATGTGAAAGCCCCACAGTGCTTCCCCTCGCTGTGCTCTCTGTGGCGGTTGAATTCGCAGATCAGGTACTGTGCCTGCAATGCTGTTCAGTCTGAGAACATGGGCCGCTCCGATTCGAGCCGCACCCGTAGTCTGAGAAGTAAAGACACAGTGTGTGCATATGATGACTCACCATATATTATATCCTTTTCCCTGCAGAGCACCTTTCCGATCCTGCCTTTAGTCTATCCAGAAAGGTGTACATAGGTACTATCCTCCAGACGTGCGCACGAGTCGCGTCGGGCGCTTACCACTTCCCGGGGTCGTCGAGCTTTCTCGAGAGGTTTCAGGCCAGTATGGACTTACCAGTACCTCTTTTTTGACGTTCACAGTGCTCTCGGTGCAGTAGGAAGGCATTTATGGCTGTAGCGTGAGTATTGCATGAGTTTCAGAGGATATGGAGGAGGCGGAGGACGAGCGACGCGATGTGGCTGAGGCGCGTCGTGCAAAATGCCCGGCCCCGGACTATCGGGCAACCGTAGGCGGCTGAGACCTAGTCTGGCTCAGACACGTCAAGACCCTGACTGCTTCACAAGTCGGCAAGGTACGAGTATGTTGGCCAAATATACCTAACCTGTACGCATAGGACATTGTCTGCCAACAAGCGGTGATACTGGCGGAGACGGCTGCCGTCGGCCACAACGGGTTTCGCCCTTTTATGCAGATGATACCCTGGTGGGCACTCGCAGTACAGCCTGTTCGAAGCCTGTAACTGTTCGCTGCTGTCACACAGAACGATCCTACTTGGTGAGTTCAACAGTACCCTCATACTATGAGCATGGTCACGGTCAACCAATCGTCTTGATAGCATGGTTGGCTGTTTAGAAATGGCGACGGCGTAGCGGGAAGTGCCATGAGCACAAGCAATCGAAACCTGGTAATGTCAGTGGCATAAGCATCTCTGTGCGCCATCGGTTGTTATGCGGCCTACCCTTTCCTGCACCACAGCGGTTGGAACGTAGATCAAACTCAGTTGAATGAAATCCCTGTCACTTCGGCGCCCCTCGAAGTCAGCGGATATGCCCTGTGTGTAAGACCAATTAGCGGTGATTAATACACCGGCGGCGACAATATAAAGCACTGCGTAGACATAAACGGGACGCAATACCTCAGCCCTTGTCCTGAGTAGCGATCCGGACACTCGCGCGCCCCTGATCGGAGTACACGGAGGTCCCGGCCTAGCACCCGATTACTACTACCTTCTCCTCAGGCTAGTCCTTTCATTCGGTTCCTGGGAGTGAAAACTGATGGGAATATTACTATGTTCGCGCCGGACGGTGAACTCGGGTCGTCGATGATAATCGACAGGCTACACCTGATCCAGGTGCCTACCCTCATCATCAACGGGAGGATGGATATCTCGCAGGGCTTTGTGATGTGTCCCTTCCTCGAGAGGATATGGAAGGTGAAGTGGCGTACCTTTGATGGAACGGTCAAGCCATACACCGATGTGGGAGGAGAGGGAGGAGTTCAAGCAAGAAATCTCGCATTCCCAGATATGAAGTTCTCATGAATATAGTGCATATGTCCCTCAGGGTGTACGACGCTAGACGTAGTTTCAAACTCACCATGCATGTAAGTACATCTCCGTGGTACAGCATAGCTGTACAATGAGCCGGGGGACCGCGAAAGAAGAAATACTTTCATCAAGATGCAATCAAGACCTCTGGGATGGTGAATGCCCACCAACTTTGAGGGATGTCTGCAGCAGAGACAATCAATGGACCGTGCTATGGAGTTGGCATGATATCATATGATGACTCGATGTATAGGCTGTATACTACTGCCACCCGCTGGGAACCAGTTCTGCGCAAGTTCTGCGTAACGAGACAGGCCAGTCTCGCAGTACAACCCAAAAAGATTAATATTGGTTCCGTAGTGAATAGATCGACCACTGCGTGCGCGTCCGCATCGACTTCGAAACTAGATGCTGCGTGATAGTAGGATAGGATATACAGCGCGGTCAGTCGGAATAGCAGCCATGGAGAGGAGTGCTCCTGGGGCGAGAACGCACCCGTACAGATCAACAGTTGCCGCTACTACGCAAACAAAATGCTAGTGTCCAATGCCAATAACAACTGCCTGCCGTAAGCTAGGGATATCCACGCGAACCGGGAGCGATAAACACAATAACAATGTGCCCCGTGTCTAGGCTGCAGCTGTCCGCACATGCTCAGTGGCGCGTTCGGTGATGAGAATGCTGACGGCAGAAACTCACCGGTCTGACACGACATGAGCCCTAATCCGAATCTTTCGAGGTTGTCGAGGCAGAGGATAATCTCCTGCTAAGGAAAGCCTTTATCTGCACGGAAGGCGACGTGGGAGTTGATGGCGAAGGACTGGCAGTTCGCAATGCATCAATCTTCTCTAGCGATGGTGGTTCCGGAGGGACGTCCGTCGTACTGATCGTCGAGGACGACGAGCGCGAGCGGCGTATATATGGGCGCGGAGGGGGCTTCTCCGGCTGCGGCGACGTGGGAGTGGCGGGTAGATCCGGTGCAATTTCAGCACCAAACTCGTCGAGAACAGCGCGCGGCGGCGGACGTTCGACCATCGCATCCAACAGCTGCGGTCACTTACATCGATCAGTCATCCAATCGCCGCGGCTGTGACACTGACGCTGACCTCTCTACGTAGTTCTTCGCTATCATAGTCGCCCTCCATCTCCTCCGGACTAAGCAGAACGGTTCCCTTGCGGAACACTTCGCCTTCCTCTTCCACCCAGCTCCGTGACCTGAGATCATTGGCAGTGGTGAGAAGCACCTCCATGTCAGGATTCCGATATCACGTAGATGTCATTGACACTCACATGTCTGTCGTAGGGGAGACCATACCGTCTGGCTCAGCTGCGATGAGCTCGTCTCCGAGGTGTGTATCTTCGTCGTCTGAATCGCCCAGGTGGAACGCTGGCGGGGTGAGAACCTTCTCCGGTTCTACAGGCTCCGGCTCAGCGCGGCCCTTGCCCTTGTCCACTCGCGGGGTGACCGGTTCATCGTCGCTCTCGTCGGACGGTAGATGCACAGCGTGGCCATTCCCGGACGGCATGTCGCTTGCAGAGCCGTTCGCCTTGCCATTCTCGACGTGCAACCCGAGTCCATGCAAGAATAAGTTGGGCTTCTGCGGCGCACACCGGCCGAGCAGGGCCGTCAGGTCATCGTTGAGCGCGAGCAGCTCCTGCAGGCGTTCCGGCTCTGGGGTCGACTCGATCATGGTCATCAACGACTTCTGCACCTCCTTCACGCTCGCGCTCATCTCCGCCACCTCGTCCTGCACGGGCCTTGACGGTGCGGACGGCGATGAGGACGGCGAGCGGGCGAGGGTGTCTTCGAGCTGAGTCTTGCACGCGCGCGCCCGTACGATGATTCCGGAGACGGTCTGTTGTTCCGCGGAAGGGACGTCAGTCGGGCTTGCAGACGCGAGGGAGGAAGTCTCAGAAAGGGGTGCAACCTTTTTCTGACCGTCCTGCCGGAAGGTCCTCGCGAGCTCGCTTTCCTCGATCATGTTCCAGACGCCTTTGCCCTGGCCACGCCCGCTGGCCCCGTCAGGACTGGACGGATTGGCGGCCCTCTCTGCCTCCTCCGTGTTGCGGACACAGGTGTTGAGGATATCGCGGCACATACTATTGTCGGTACGTCAGCGAGTGCTGTGAGTAGTAGAATTGGGATAATGGAGTACAGACCGAGCCATCTCTTCGTCGGCTGGAGGGATGTTCAGATCGAGGCACCGCATGGTATGATTGGCTTTCAGCCCTGAGTTAAGCGCCATGACGCCAGCGAGGTCGAGGTTGTTCATGGTCAGGTCTAGATGGAGGAGCGACTTCGATTCGGGGAGGAACTCTGCAAGCGCTATCGCGCCAGAAGATGTCATGCCTGTAGAAGACAAGAACAATCGCTTGAGCGCGTCGTTGAGAGTGAACGCTGTCCGTAGTGACTGGATCTATCCGGAACAGCCATTATTTAGCGGAGGTAATCCGAGAGCTGTTGGAAGACATACCCCTTCCAGGCCTGGACCACAGCAAGGGTTTTTCGATAGGTCCAGCGTCTCTAGGCACGAATTGTATTTCTAACGAAGACGTCAGAACACGGTCCACCAACGAGTCGTCAGACCACTTACCAGTGCCTCCGCGACAGCCACCAATCCTTGGACATCAAGCTTGTTCTCGCTCAAGTTGAGCACCTTCAGCGTGCGATTGCGCTTCAGCACCTGGGAGATGTACGTGATCCCGGTCTGTAAACGGGTTGAATCAGCATTCAGTCTCGTTCTCGTAAGACTACAACACTCACCCGTATATCATTGCCCTTCAGATCCAGCGTCCGCAGCGCACCCAGCCGCGGCAAGTTGTCCAGCGCGCGTACCTTGTCCAGTAACGCCGCACTCGGGCCTTGGTCATACCTTTGCGTCCCGTGCGCATGTCCCAGAGCTGACTGACTCGCTCCGTGAGTCACCGGTGGCATTGGATGTCTCGCAGTGATCCCTCCCTGCGCTGACGACGTGATGATCGGGACGGGCTGCCCGTTCGACGACAGCGGATTCGTATTCGCTGCAGCCGCAGTGCTGTTGCCACCAGCAGCGGCTGCTACACGACGAGCACGGGGGATATATGGGGTGTATGTAGTATGTGGCACGGAGTTAGGGTGTCGTGGTGGAGGCGGGAGAGGGCCCGTGCGTGGTGGGGGAGGTGTCGCTATGGAGTCGGTGCGCGGGAGGGAGAATGCAGGCATCTGTGGTGTGGGCGGCGGGGTGGACTCGGGACTGATGATGGACGGTGAGAGTGGGGAGGAGGGCCCGGCGTTGGGGAAGCGGTCGGGGTAGTCTTTGATCATTAGTGCGATGGCGACCGCACCAGCGGCGCTGATGCGGTTCAGCCGTAGGGATATGTTGCGCAAGGAGGACTTGCGGACGACGTTGGCTGCTCTGGATTGAGCTCATCGTCAAAACGAAAACGAAAATCTGTATAACTACCTAGGGCGTCTAGGGCGGTGGGTTTGAGCGAACAGTCGTCTAACCGGAGGGATACGAGACCCGACTTCGGTGTTTCAGGTAGTGCGCTGGCAATGTATTCAATTGACTTCTTGTCAAGCGAGTTCTGCGCGAGGTCTAGGAATTGCAGGCTGTTTGTCTGCTGGGATTACTATCTGCGATGATTCACTCGAGAGTCATACACACCTTGGACAAGTAAGCGCCAAGTAGTCGAAAAGCAGCGGGCTTTAGTCGTCGATTAGACGCAACGGACAGGAAGGTGAGGCTGTCTGGTATCAACAATGAGTGAAGTATTGGCTTGAGTATCTGCGTGCGAGGAGTCAGGCCTTCGACGGTCGGATAGAGGTCGCGAAACGTACATGTTCGTCCAAATCACACTCCTTGAATACAAGCTTCCGCAGACCCCACTCGATGGTGAAGACATCCGAGAGCACCGATGCAGATCCAATTGTCAACTGTATACCCGAGAGATCGACAGTGCGAGGGTTCGAGCCTGCAGCGCGCTGTGCAGAGACGTCAGCAAGGTACGAACGCAAGCAAGACAGTAGCAGGTGCATGTCACTATGGAAATGCTCTGCTATGTGGGATGAAATATAAAGGTCAAGCAGATCTTTGGCATCTCGTGTGCGAGACGAGCACGTCGAAAGACAGTTTGGTCTACGAAGTGCCAAAGGAGGAATCTCCCCCTAAGGATTTAATACTCGCTGTACGAGCATGTAATGTAGCTCGCGCGCAGACGTAGGAGGACATTTCGCACATGTCTCAACTCTCTGAATGTAGAACCGACTCGGGACTGCTCACCTTGAAGGCAAGGGACACGCCTGGATCTGGAACCTCCTCTCGACCCACGCAACATTCTCTGTAGAACGACTCGACCTGGTCGAGATTCCACCACGTCTCGTCGCCGTCGACGCTCGCCGTGCTCGATCCGCCTCTCAGTATGCGCCGTCTCCTCTCCAGCTCCCGCTCCTCGATCGACTTCTTCTCTTCCTTCATGTTCGGCATGGACGGTGGATTAGCCGCAGATATTGGGTATACAACCGTCATCTCCGGAAGGATAAAATGCGCTCGTTTGAGCGTCGAGGCCTCATCCTGGTTCGCGTTCGCCTGTTGAGTTGGCAGGAGCTTCGAGAGGCGAGCCAAGGAGAAGAACGACTGCTGTGGTGGCGGTGGTCGCTTGAGGATGGACTTTCCGGGAGTTGGTATAGTCACAGCAGACGATGAGGCCGAAGATAGCATCTCTGCAGCATTTCGCGCTGGCCCAGCAGCAGTAGGTCAGGAATATAAGTTGTCGGCCAACAACTCGCGGTGCAGTCGTTTCGCCCGCTGACGCTGTAGGTGATCACGTGACTGTGTACTGAACGCCTTCGGCCCCTCAGGCTATTAAGGCTTCAACTTGAACTCGTTCTTCCAAGAATCCAAAGTCTCTTTGACCCCTCAGGTCTACTTCTGAGTTCTATCATCTCCATGCTTTCATAGAGCTCGATTCTTGTTACATATGTTTAATTTTGCCTTTAACTCGAACTGCGCGCAGCGTTCCAGGAAGTCTGACATACAGCTCACATTCTCGACATGCATCAGGGCCTGATAGCCTTCAAATGTGTCATTGGAATCAAACAGCACACCGTACAACTAGGTCATATAGGTGGGTGTACATGCGGAACCGTAAATTCCAGTGGCTTATATCAGAACCTCATGTTTAGGACAGCGAGCACCTTCTGCCAGTCAGTGAGTGATGCCGCCCTCTCCTCCACAACGGTGTCTGTACCGCAAAGTCCTGCGACATTTCTATGCCCCCGTTGATGACGAGGGCAGACACCCGGATCAGATGCAACCTGTCGATGATCGTCCAAGACGCGAGTTTCCATCCGGCGCAAACCTAGTTCCCTCCTCAGTATTTCAATTCCTGAAAATGAATTAAGGGACAATGTACATTGCCGCCGGCGTAATCAACCAGTTCCCATCCGTGAAAGCGGTTCTCAAGCACGCTCGCAAACCCCGGTCGGCGAGGATCCATGGGACACGTCCCATGCTTCCGATGCAGCTCCTTGAACGCCGGGCATTCAAACAAAAATCTGACAGTTTTTTCCTGCAGAGCGCCAGCCAGAGACTACCCAAGGCCGAATATATCGCATACTCGTCGCATACATACTTATCCTTCACGAGCTCGTGCGATCTTCAAGCTTCAAGCTTCAAGCTTCAGCTTCATTCGCTACTAATACTATTCGCCGCGTATAGATAGACCTACTTACTTAGTATCAGCAACGTATTCATTTCACTTATCAATTTCTATTGAGAAGATCGGCGGAGTCTCAACTTTTAGCCTTTGTCAATATCTCGACCCTGCTGTACCTCCCAAGGGTCTCTTCCCTTTCTTCCTGACCCTCACAGTCAATGGCCACCGTTTCATGATATAGTCGTACTCTTTGCGCGGAGGCTTTGCCGCTACCCAGTGTTAAATTTTTCTTGTACTCACTTTGCTGGCTTTGTTCCGGACACAGGGAGGCTACGTGGCCGAGATATGAGCGTGACGACTGCAGCACCACCTGTGCGTCCAAACTGACTCGGTCGACTTACTTGCTGACGTACGTATCTCAGCAGGGTGGCTTGGACGGCCTGCTTTCGCTGTCTATGGCGGCGGAGAATGCGGTGCCCGTCTCGGTACAGCGGGACACTGCGCAAGAGGTCGCCCCTGTACCGAGCAGCTACAGCGGCCGCAGCTTCAGCAGCACCGGGCCTAGCAGCGTGGGTGCTGGGGCGAAGGTCCACGCACCTCACAAGCACCGCCGGCTGTCGTCCAGCGGACACGCGCGAAGGAGACTGAGCGACGCACGCGAGGCAGCGAGCCGGCCTTCGTGCGTTACACGTATCCTCTAAGCCCGCCTTAAACATATGCCTTCCTTTACAGGCCGGTTACTATCTCCACTGCTGCAGCCGCGCTCACTTCTCTTGCGAAACTCTCGCTATCTGGGACACCTCCGCCGCAGGCGCTCACCACCTATGTCTCTGCGGCAGGCGAGATCGAGCCCGCGTCCGCAGCTCTGAAAGACGCGACGCGGGAGGAGGCGGACCTCGGGGGTGGGATCAGCGTCGCAGCGGGGAAAGGCACTGGGAAGAAGAAGGGCACGATCTTCAAGTGCGAGAGCTGCTCGAAGGTCTACCGGCACCCGTCGTGCCTCATCAAGCACCGCTGGGAGCACTCGCCGCACTGGCGCGAGGCGTCCAAGTTCCTCCTGAGCAAGCACCAGCAGGTGCAGCTCCTCGAGGTGCGCACTTTGTCGTCTCATTCCCACGAGCGCCTAAACCCTAATAAGCACCGCTTCGACAGGCAGCTGCCATTCTCTCGCACATCGCCCCATCGGCGGCGGGGGGCACGTCCCTTCCCGACGACCGTGCGCTGTGGCCGTCCTACCTGTCAGGTGGCATAGTTCCCCCGCCAAGTGCCGAGAACACCGCAGGCATGGGCGCTCCCACCAAGCCATGCCCGGCCGCGTTCTCGCTCGAGCAGCCTGCGCCGTTTGCCGTCTCCAGCTCTGTGCCAGCCTTATCTGCACTATCGACTGCGCGCTCCGGCCCACGTATGCATGATTACGCTGTCTCTGTGGCGGGCGGCGTGACGCAGCTGCGCCCCGGCGTGCTCGCCGTGCCCACTGGCTCCGAGAGCCCGCAGCCGCCGCCTCAACCCACGAACAGTCAGGCGTACACGACTGAGCGGTCTGCGGCGGTGCCGATAACGGTACCGTCGCAGAGCGCGTACCGCGACCGTGACCCGCTTGGCTACAGCTTCGTGAGCCGCGCGTCCGCGTCAGCCTCAGACGCGTGGAGCTCACCCGTGTCGCTGTCAACCGGCTTCGCGCAGTCGTCGTTCCGCTCTTCGTCCGCGTCTGCTTCTGCGCTCGGCCAGTCGTACGAGTATCCGGACGGCACGGGCGGATGGTCGCTCCCGCGCTCGTCGGTCCGCTCTGGCTCGCGCTCGCGCAGTGGGTCTGCGTCTGAGAGCGACTACGTGGACGTGGAGAGCATGGACGGAGACTACGTGTACGGCTTCTCGGCGAGGAGCATCAAGCGGGAGTCGAGCGTCCGTGCGATGAGCGTCGGGGAGAAGATAGAAGAGGAGTGGGACGGGATGGAGATGGAGATGGAGTTGTGAAGGTTTGAACCAGGAAGCAGATCAGGGTGTTTGTGTAAGACGGGGTGTTTTCAAGCTAACGGTTTGCTGTGCGCATGTAACATGTATTATCTGTATCGTGTTCTATCTATCCACCGCGCTCGCTCTGTGTATTGTTCTGTATTGGCATATATACGGGCCTCGTGAGTATGTAGCATCGTGATGGCCGGTCCAAGTACTGAAATGATTGTTTGAGCTGTGCGCCCACAATATTTGATCAGCCCCCGGTCATCCCACGGCCATCCCGAAAAGGCACTCCTCCGAATCTCGGACCAATCTTCGAGCTCTCATTGGCCTTTGTCAGTCAAATTGGGCTGCCGAATTTGACGAGGGACTGGCTAGGGCCAGCTCCGAGCCTACGTCGCGTCGCCATTCACCCGTTGCCTGCGGATAACATGGCCAAGTTACCTGATGCAGGCGATGTTGCAATGGTTTCCCAAGTATGACACCGTTGACACGTCTCTCACAGTCGGGTAGTGGACTCCGGTGAAGGTGAGGCAATATGACCGCGTGGCACCGCGGCACAGAAAGGCTGTAGAGGAGCGAGTCACGCCGGCATACAATCGCGACAGCCTCCTGAGAACGCGCATGTGCACCGCGCAGTGGGAATGGGACCACCGCGCTTGCGTGGCTTTCGGCGCCGTGGCTCGCCTGTTTGAGTCAGGACCGATACATAATGGCAACGCCGATGATAACTGAACATGTACTGACCCAGATTCGTCCTGCCGCTTGCTCTTGACGGCCATGAGGAATCCGTTGCATCCGACCCCTGCGCCTCCGGGCTTTGGCGGCGGTAAGGTCGCCCCTGTGGTACGATCATCGTAAGTTACCAGGAGCTATGTGTCGCGTGCAGAGCAATCTCGGGTTCTAACGACACGGGATTGCACTGTATGCGTGTGGTCATTGACGAATGATGATGCTGAGTGTTGTTCGGAACAGCTGGATCTCGAAACTCCTGTTCGGATGGCTTGACCCTTTCCTCCAAGTCGGATTCTCTCGCCCCCTGGAAAAGGAAGGTGAGATATATCATCGGCATCGTCGTTGAATACATCTTCACGAAGAACATTTGCTAGACCTGTGGGAGCTCCCAGCAGAGAGGCTCACGGACCCACTGACGGACGAGCTCGAGCGCAACTTCTACAAACGTTGTCCCCCAGAGAAACGGCCGCGCTCTTGGCAAGAAACCCGGTCTGACCCCCAAGAGAGACCGTCCTCGGTGGCATCTACTCCGAGCGTTACGGTCGAGAACGAAAAACGACCCGCGAATGACAAGGATGACCTCGATGAGAAACACGCCACTGACGACAAGAATGACATAGACATAGAGGGCGGTGCCGGCTCCGAAGCACTCCCTGACAGCGGTGACAAACGGGCCAGAAAGGGAAAGGAACGCTCAGCGTCGAAACCGGCCGAGGCAAAGAAGCCCAAGCACGACGAATCGTTGTTGAAGGCACTGAATCAAGCTTACTTTTGGCTTTGGTGGACGGCCGGTCTCCTCACTCTTCTTGGCAGTGCGTAACAGCGTGCTTCCTCAATGCGTTTCTCGCTCACCTCATATGTTCTCTCTGTTAGGCACCTTGCAAACGACCACTCCACTGGTAAATCAGCGCCTCCTGAACTGGCTGGAGGAGCGATACTACTACTGGCAAGCACCGGTCGCAGATCGCGCCCTCATCTCACAGCCCCAAGGCATCGGCTACGGCATCGGCCTCGCCTTCGCGATCTTCGTCATGCAAGAGACGTCGAGTCTTATGACATGCCACTACACGCTCATGTCGATGGAGGTCGGCCTGCTCGTCCGCACGAGCGTCGTCGGCGCGATCTACCGCAAGTCCCTCCGGCTCAGCGCGCGCTCGCGGCTCGAGCACAGCGTCGGGAAGATCACGACGATGATCTCCGCGGACGCGACCCGCCTCGAGCGCAACACCTACTACGCGCACAACCTCTGGGTCGCCCCCCTCCAGATCGTCATCTGCCTCGCGCTGCTGATCAAGACGCTGGGCTACTCCGCTCTCGTCGGGCTGGGGGTGTTCGTCATTGGCTTCCCGGTACAGGTCGCCTGTGCGATTATCATGTTCCAGCAGCGCACCAAGGGCGTAGTGTTGACGGACAAGCGGGTGCGCTCGGTGACGGAGATTCTTCAGGGAATACGCCTCATCAAGTTCTTTGCGTGGGAGGACTTCTTCGAGCACGAAGTCGGTAAGATTCGGAAACAGGAGGTCAGTCGGGTCAGGAAGATAGGGTCAGTCACCCGACAACGAATCAACTACGGTCGTTCGCGTTTGCTTATTCTGACATCGCGTAGACTGGCTGTGGCGAACCTGATCAGTGTAGTCACCATCTTACCCGTTCTGGCTGCCGTGCTTTCCTTCGTGAGTGGCGACGTTCTTCTGGACTCGGTCAGCAAAGTAATCCGTATCGTAGATCACCTATGGGCTTAGCGGCCATAACCTCAACGTGTCCATCATCTTCACTGCGCTGCAATATTTCAACGTGCGTATACTCTCTCTGTGCCTTCGCATACGTCCTCAGACTGAGCCGACCGTCCTACCAGATTATCCGTCAGCCCTTGATGTTCTTCCCCATGGTCGTCGCCTCGTGCACCGACTCCATCGTCGCGCTCGGGCGCATCGGCCAGTTCCTCACCTCCGAGGAGCTCGACGAGCCGTACACCATCCAGCCCGAGGGCAAGTTCGCTATCGACGCGGAGGGCGACTTCACGTGGGAGACCGCGCACAAGCCGCCCGCGGAGGAGCTTCCCGACTTCAGCGCGCAGGATAATAAACATGGTGCTAGGGGCAGGGCCGCGAACACGTCGTCGAAGAAGGGCGAGAAGGATAAGAAGAAGGTGGAGGGCAAACGAGGCAGCGGTTGGTTCGGCAAGAAGGGTAAGAAGGACGAGCCAGTGCTTCCGATCGAGGCATCGAAGGAGAAAGAGGAGGTGAAGGAGGAGAAGCCGTTCGAGTTGAAGGACCTGAGCTTCAAGGTCCCGCGCGGAGCTTTCGCCGTAGTCCTCGGGCCCATTGGTTCCGGCAAGGTGAGCCTCACCGTGCCCTCAAATCACTTCGACGGTTGATCTGTCTGCGGCAGAGTTCCCTGATGCAAGCTCTCATCGGCGAGATGCGCAGAACGAAGGGACATGTGGGTGACTCCAGGTTCAGCAGTCGCTTCCCTTGTTGACCATCCATTTCGACTCGACCAGACCGTTCTGTCCTCGTCTATTGCGTACGTGCCCCAGAACGCCTGGATCATGAATGCCACTCTCCGAGAGAACATCGTGTTTGGCCGTGAAGATAAGGAAGAGAAGTTCGTTGATTTATGCTGAGAATTCCGGCCAGGATAGCTAACAGAAGATGGGTAGGTTCCGTGCTGTCGTGAAGGCCTGCTGCCTCGAACGTGATCTCGAGATGTTGCCGTACGGTGAGAAGACTGAGATTGGAGAGAAAGGCATCAACTTGAGCGGTGCGTCTTCATAACTTCCTTCTGAGTACAGTGATAGGAGACTGATAACGATACAAACCACAGGTGGCCAGAAGGTTATCTCATCTTACTATCGGCTTCTACTCATTGCAGGCTGAACGTCGTCTATCTAGGCTCGCGTCTCACTCGCGCGCGCTGCATATTCGGAAGCCGACATCATCCTCATGGACGACTCGCTCAGTGCCATCGACGCCCACACGGGTAAGATGATCTTGGACAACCTCTTCCTGAACGGCCCACTTGCCGGCAAGACCCGTGTCCTCGTCACTCATGCTCTCCACGTCCTGGATAGAGCCGACTGCATCTTCGTCATGAAAGACGGGGCTATCGTCGATCGCGGTTCATTCGACGTGAGATCGCATCTCTTCTACTTGTGAACGGGATGCTCAAGTCGGGTATGTAGGATTTGATGCGGAACAGTATCACGTTCTCGCGCCTGATCGAGGAATATGGCAACATGGAGAAGGCGAAGGAGAAGGAGGAAGCCCAAGCCGTCGAGAAGGTCGACGAGTCCACCGCACTCGGCGCAAGCAAGGAGCCCGAGGACGCGCAACCTGAGCTGATGCAGGAAGAGGAACGGCTCACGGGATCGGTGACATGGAAGACATACGGTACTTTCTACCGCTACGCCGGGGGCCTAGTGTGGGCCCCGGTGCTCCTGTTGTTGGTAGCTCTCATGCAGGGCGCTCAAGGTCTGTCCCTTTTTGCGCGAGTGTAGAGCTGCTGATGACCCCGCCTGCAGTCGCCAACAATCTGTTCCTTGGCTACTGGACTGCGGAGAGCATCAAGGGCTTCGACCAAGCTGATTATATGGGGACATATGCTGCCCTCGGGATAGCCAGTGCTCTCTTCTCCTTCGGAGTCAGCTATGCCCTGACGTGAGGAACATCTACTCTTTACCATGAAGGCTGAAGGCTGATGCACATACCACTAGTACCTCGAGTCTCAGAGCGGGGTATAGCATGTTCCAGAAGGCTTTTGCACATGTGATGCATTCGTCGGTGTCATTCTTTGACACAACGCCTATCGGTAGGGGCAATTTGTGAACATTGAGATCAAGACTAAATGTCACTCAGGTCGCATCATTTCCCGCCTCTCAAGAGATCAGGATACCATCGATGCAGAAATCTCGATGACGCTGTTCGTGGTACGTGTCATAGTCAGTTAACAACCGATGGAGGGTGGCACTCACATACAGGACCGTGTAGTTGTTGTCAACCCTTAGGTACGTTGCATCCGTTTCGGCAGGTGCCTCACTTTAACTCAGGCGTCGTTCCCAGTTCGGTGGTCGGAACCATCTTCCTCGTTTTCTATACGTTCCCCTATCTGGGCATCATCTTCGTCCCGTTGGGCGCCTTCTACGCGTTCGCGGCCGTCTACTACCGCCGTAGCTCCGTCGAGACAAAACGCCTGGACTCAATCTTGCGTTCAAAGTTGTACTCTGCCTACGCCGGTACGTCTCATTGGTGTCTCCGCTCTTCCCTGGCTCATAAAGTATATGTACAGAATCGCTCACTGGCATTAGCACCGTCCGCGCATACGGAGAAGAGGTGAGTATCGCATCGTACAACGCAGTGTTACGCAGGGACTTATGCCCGCACAGGACAGGTTCATCCGGAAGACGGAGCACGGTCTCGACGTGGAGAACAGGGCCTACTACATGGTCATTGCAATCCAGCAGTGGCTGAGTACGCGGCTCGACCTGCTTGGAAATATCCTCGTCCTCGGCATCGCCCTCTTCGCGGCCGGGTTCAGTAAGACGATCAGCCCTAGCAAGGTCGGCGTCGTCCTGTCGTACACTTTGAGCAGTATGTCTCCCTTCATTTCATTGCCTGACTGCTGGTTGCTCACCGAGCCGTCTAGTCACGCAGGTCTTCTGTGAGTATCCTACGTGCAGTACACGTGAGACGGAACTTGGGGACTAAGACTGAGATGAATGCAGCCCAGGTCGTCCAGACGTACGCGCAGAACGAGCAGAACTTCAACGCGGTGGAGCGCATCCTGTACTACATCGATCTGCCGTCCGAGGGCGACTACACGAAGCCGGACGACCCGCCTGCCTCATGGCCCGAAAAGGGGGAGGTCCACTTCAAAGACGTTGACCTGGCGTACCGCGAAGGTCTCCCGCTCGTCCTGAAGCAAGTGAGCTTCGCCGTGCGCCCGGGAGAAAAGGTACGCGCATGTTCCGATGATCCCCTCATCCGTGCTCACACTGTCGGCTAGATCGGCATCGTAGGTCGCACAGGCGCAGGCAAAAGTTCGCTGATGCAGGCACTGTTCCGGTACGCTACCCTTTGCGCGACGCACTTCCTGAAGTTGATGTTTGCCCTAATGCAGCACGGTGAACATTTCCGGTGGGGTCGTCGAGATCGACGGTGTGGACACACGCGACATCGGGCTGAAAACACTGCGCAGCCGCCTAGCTCTCGTCCCGCAAGACAATGTGCTCTTCAAGGGAACGCTGCGTCAGAACCTGTGCGTCCGCCATCTACTTGACCGTTTGACGATGTCTGACAGTGTCCGCTTGCAGAGACCCGGAGGGCACCCGCACGGACGCCGAGTTGATCTCCGCCCTCCAGCGGACGTGGCTGCTGCCGAAGGACGGGGTGCACGATGCCGCAGCGGAGGCGAAGTTCAGCCTGGACTCGCTCGTCGGCGACGAGGGGAGCAATTACTCCGCCGGCGAGAAGCAAATGTTGGCGCTCTGTCGCGCGTTGGCGAAGAACAGCCGCATCATCGTCCTCGTCAGTCTCGGTCCCGCTGTGCTCGTGAAGGTGGGAATGAGTGCTGATGATGACGATTCTAGGACGAGGCGACGAGCAACGTTGACCTGCAGATGGATGCGAAGCTGCAGAAGACGATCCAGACGGAGTTCGCGGCGTCTACCCTCTTGTGCATCGCCCATCGTCTGAACACCATCGGTGAGCGAGATATTCTAGGTTCGGTGAAGTCGTCGTCGTTCTGACCGCTGCGTGCCAGTGTACTACGACCGCGTGCTGTTGATGGACGCGGGTCGGGTGGCAGAGTTCGACACGCCGCTCAACCTGTTCGACAAGGAGGACTCCATATTCCGCTCGCTCTGCGACCAAGCTGGGTTGTCGAGACAAGACATCCTGCGCATCCGGTCTAACGTACCGGGCGCTTCGACGTCTGATTCATGACAATGATGTGGACATGCTCTTGTAGAGGCAACCAGTTATTTGCTGGTATGATAGATGACGATACGAGGACTATGTAGGCTACGAGCACCCCAGCTCATACATTAGATTGCATGTTAGCATGACACGCACGGATTGTACTACTTACGCTATACTGTCTTCTGGTCAGGAACCCCACTGTGCAGCCAGGCACTATTGCATCGTGGCCATACTGTCTGACTGAAGTGTCCGATACCTCTGCACGACTTGAGCCATTCTACATTTGACCTACTTATGTACACGCCCTCCAAGCTCATGCCAACGCCCAGGGCCAACAGGAACTCCTGCTTCTTGAAACCCCGAAATTCTGGTGATCTTGCTGAGTGGGTACTTCAGCGCTAGCCGAATGACGAGGATCGGGCCACAACTACCGTATGTCTACCCTCATCCATTACCAGCCCGTGTCGTCGAACTGATGTACTGACTCGGCCCTCAGGACAGCTTACTCTTCGTGCGACCGCAGCCAAACCGCAGCCACAGTCATTCTCGACTGCCCACTGGCAGCCTGAGGTTTTGCACGACTTTGCACCAGGAGAGCTACTTCTTCCTCCGCACGTACCATCCGCCGTCACCACAGTAATCCTACAGGATCAAGTCGCCGCTCTCACAGGTGTCCACCGTCAGGGCGTGCAGTTGGGACGGCCTCGTCAACTTCTCCTGGTCGCCGAACCAGCCCGTGCATCCGCGGCGCACCGGCCCAGTGAGGACGACGCGGATGAGCTCTACTACGGCGCCACGCCGGTCTTTGCTGTTGGCCGCTCACCACTGTACATCCCTGAGGTTTCCCTTGCGAACTTGAACAACATCGTGGGACAGCTGCGCGGCGAGCATGCACGAACCACGCAGCAGCCAGCTAGCCTCAATAGATGGGTGAGGTGTCTGAGACTGCGGCGAAGCTGAACCTGTACGTGGGCTCATGCGGCCCCAGGGATTGAGGTGCGGCGAGACCAGTGGTGACGTTGCGAAGCTTCTGCACGAGGAGATCTCGACGCGAGGGCTGTAGGATTGCGGGGAGGTCGCCCATGTGTGCGGGCATAGGCGAGTCGCCGTTCGCTGTTCGCCTCACGCTCTTCTGACACATGCCTGTGCTAGGTGAGCTGCACACGTAGTCGGCTGCCCATCCGGATTGGTCAATGCACGTTGCATTCTCCCTGTTATTATCCGCTAAGTTGCACACCCGGCTGGGCAGAGACTCGGAAGACGTACCGCAGGTTCTCGACGAAATGTTTGCAAAATATGACGAGCTAGACTCGGCCAGTTAGTTCTCCGGTTCGCACAGAGCACCAGCCCCGCGGCTGTGCCCACCAAGTGCTCACTCTGCTTGTGCGGTCGGATGGGGCTGGACAAGTACGCCCAGGTTGAGCTTGCCGCCCGTAGTTGAATTCGATGCGAAGACCCGGACGCCCGAGAGTCCGCAGGCGTCGATAGGCATGCTTCGAGCTCAAGCTTCAAAGCTTCACGTCCAACTCGGTGCGCGCGCGTACGGTCTCAAAGCCTATCAACCTGTCAATGATCCTCGCTACGTGGTGGCGTCTTTTCGCGACGTGGGCCTTAGATCGCTGCGAACGCATACCGAGTTTTGTGAACACCGTTGATCTAGGCGTCTCGCCACAACTCTGTATCATTTGTACTGACTGCACCCGACCCTTACGAGAGAGCCAGCGTCAAGGTGCACTTACTCGGCCACACTTCCTGTTGTCGGAAGCTGACGGTCCACCTGCTGCCAGTGCTGCAATGAGTGCGCTCTAGACCATTCTGCAGTACGTGGTTGACGTGACTGCCGGGGGCAGCGTACTCCGAGTATAGTCGACGATGATATCTCCATGTCCTCCGAATCCTCATCACGGTCGAGGCTCAGCTGGAGTCGAAGTACGGGCTTGTGAATCGTTCAAGTTGTCTGGAAATTCGGCTCTCTGTGCGTCACTCAGCGCTCAGCGCCTGCCCAGAGCAGGACGGCAGCCGACGAGGTACTTTATTTTCAACACACTTGCCGGCTTTTCAGGCCTGCAATGGAAATTGGACTCAGAAGTGCGTGGTTCGTGGACGACGGACGTTCCAGACTGCTGCGCACGGCCGGCGTCGCAAAAGCTGCGGCTGCTCCGAGTCGACTTGGAGTGAGTTAGAGCCCGTTCAGCAACCACGAGCGATCGATTCTCGCGGGCGTTTCTCCCGCCAGATGAACAGAATCGCTCAGAATCGGTTTCGCCAGCTTTTTCCCCCCTTGCCGGGCTGCCGGGCGTGCCGACGAGGCTCGGAAACACCCGTTGACAACGCGTGACTTTTGATGATCACTGCGTTCAGCCCGGTCGAGGCCCGCGACTCCCGCCAATTTCCCGCCCATTCCCCGACACGTCGCGCTCGTCGAGCATGACGATGAGCGGGACACCCTCGCGACCTCGCCTAGTCTGCGCTCTGCATACATCTTACATAGATCCTCCTCAAATTTTCTTAGGGAAGTCAATGTGCTATCAGTTTTCTAATATACATGCCCTACGAGGAAATAAGGGTCTGTGCTCATCGTGAGCAACGGCGAGCAAGACCCTGTCAGCGAAGCGATGGCGACGACGCAACGAGCGAGCAACAAGCAACGCGTGACTACAGGTGACTACGCGCTGAATAAGCAAGGGGAAATGTCCGAGCGGGGAATCAATCTGCGCTCGGATGTACCCAGATGCCGAAGAAACACTTTCGAGAATCGGACCGAGAATCGATCGCTCGTGGTTGCTGAACGGGCTCTTACTATGGAGCGGTTCACTTAGACGCCGCTACTTTGTGACACTGTTAAGCGCCTTACGTAAGCTGGCCAACTTGGCCTCCGATTTTTTTGAGTCACATACACCGACACAGGATTCAAGACTTAGCATTCTCCACAATGTTTCAGGGAGTTAACCAGCTTTGAGACGGGAAGTATACTGCTAAAAATGCCAGTGCCCCGCGCTGGTCAATTATTGGGCAGCTACCGAGATAAGCCCCGATTCGGTAGTGTTACATCGGGTCGGGATCTCGACCGGCCACCCCAGTCGGCCACCCAATGTGTTGCACAACAAAGGCTGGGTCTTTCTAAACCAAAGACGTGGTGCTGTATCAATGAGAGCTATTCCAGGTGTTATCAATGGTATACTTACTCACCATCAGCAATGAACGAGAATCTTGCTTCCCAGCTTCGACCGAGTCCCTAACCCAGTCGAGCCACCGGCCCGATATAGTAACTGGTACTATATCGGGTCACGATCTCGGCCACCTTAGCATTCGACAAGCCCTCCTCACTCTGTATGGGTCATAATGACCTGAATTATTCTACGGAGGTATGTTAAAAGACCTCAGGAATATGAGAAAAATATGAGAAAAAATATACAATCATTGAGTCGAGCTCAGTAGCTAAAATTCTGGTCGAGAGTAGGGTGAGCCACACTGCTTACCAGAAATAGGTATCATCGCAAAGGGTGATTTTTCCTGCACACAGATCTCAGTGTATTGGCTTCAAATTTTGTACAGGCATTACAAGGATGCATTGAGACATGCTACAATTTATTTCATAGCTATAGAAGGCATGGTTGTTGAATGAGGCTCGAGTGACCGACTACCTAGGCTGTCCGAGATCGTGACCCGATATAGTAACAGTAATCTGGCGTCTAATTACCGGTTATGGGCTTAGTCACGTAATGTGGCCAAATCGTTCAGACCATTTTTGGAAATAATGAATGTACGGAAAATTCCTCTTGGGGTTTTGTTGCCCCTACGTAAGATAGCCCCAGCTCATCCTCGACGACTCTCAGCGTCTCTCCAGAGTCACATGATCTATCTATATCGGGGTTATCCAACTAGGGTTACAGCTAGGGTTTCGACTAGGGTCAGCTACGAAGCTGAGGAGGGCCGTACTACGATAAGTATATGATTAGTCGATGAGAGAGGAATGATCTATAGTGCAGGATATTAGTAAAACAGAATCATAGTAGCAGTTATAGAGCTGTAAGGATAAAGAATTAGAACAGGGAGGAGAAATAGTATGGTCACGAAGTTTGGCTATCCACATTGTCAAGCTCGGCGAGAATGCTCTCTGGAAGAACACGGTGGCCGTGGTACTTCTTGCTCGCCCACAAGGCTTGCTTCCCGGTGAGGCCTTTACGGTATGCATCCATAAATCGCAGGCTGCGATTGAAAAAGCTGGTTTTGGTAAGTATTGTATTCAAGTCGAGAATGAAGATCACGTACCGGCGAATGTGCTCGATTGAGACTGTGCTCAATGCAGACACCACGTTGCGTTCAAGATCGGCCTCAATTGACGACGGAGGATATTCGCGATACTTGCGCTTCGCGAAGCCCCAACATTGCTCGATGGGATTGAGTTCGCAATGGAAGCGCGGAAGGAATATGAGCCCGTAACCACGTCTTTTGCAGTGCATCTCGACCAAAGATTCGACATCACGGAAGTCGGGTTCATTGTAGAGGAGCCAGCGACAGCAACATCGCAGCACGTCAGGGGGGCACTGGAACTTGGGACATTCAGCCCGAAGACCATCAATGTCCTTGTGGCCACGCTCCTTGAGTATCTGTGCCATTCCTTTGAACTCCCCAGCTCGTTCGTGCCCATCAGGGAAATATAACGACTGAGGACGACCATCGCTGAAGTGCGCATCACCCATGCGGATCTTGTGCTTCAGGATTTTTCCGTCCGGGCCATGCATCACCTTCCCATTCGGTCCAATGACATTTGCGACGACTGCAAAGTTTTTCGATGGGCCCTTGGGCATTTTACGCGCGGAGAGAGCATCGTCGGCGCGTTTAAGGTGAGTCGGGGCATTGTCGATGACAAAGACGTGCTTTTCGCAGGGGTAGTCCTTGTCGAGAATATCCATCGCCAGGGTGAGTTGATCGAGCACGTCATTCGACTGGAAATACCCATCCCGGTTTTTGCCTGCCTTGAAAAGTGTCCGGACAGACAGACTGCCATCCTTGGATTGCAAGAATCCATAGTCGGCCGAGACGAAATCGCCCACCATGAGGGAAGCTCCTTCCCCTTTCGGTCGTGGCTTCGCTTTTTCTGACGTCTTTACCCATCGCAATTCACGGCGGTCGTTGGCGTAGAACGTTGACTGATCGCCAAACCACATGTTTGTGAAGTCGAGCAATAAGTCGAGCGACGTGACTCCGATGACCACTTCCAGTGACTCGGATGTCCGGCCTGGAGCACGGGATTCCTCCGTGCCATCCGCCTTCCACTGGCGAAGATTCTGCTCGTGCTTGAGCATTTCGGGAAGGAAGGTCCCCTGACGGTAGGCCACCACATCATCGCGCTCGTGCCCATCAATGAACTGACCGCGTGGTGTCCGAGTCCATCGATACTCCAGCGCCCGCATCCATTCATGAGCTGTCGACAGGCAGACACCCTTCTCCAATCCATGCCGCTCGTGTACATCTTGTCTTGCCATGTACTGGACAATGTCGGCTGCGCAAACGTACTTCCCAACACTTTGAAGGTGCGCCTCGATCTCCTGTTTGAGCTCGTCATTCGTCTCGAGGATTGACTTGTTCCAGGTACCATAGGGGTTGAACGGCAGGTCGTGGCGATCGGCAATGAATGCCTGGCACCAACCGCGGAGGCATCTCGCAAGGTACGGGCCACCCCGATTCACATGTGCCACAGTCTCGGATGCCTTGATCCACCCAGGGAGTGGCATCTTCGCGTAGCACCAAAACAGCGAGCACATCATGGTCATGCGATCCCTGAGCAGGTCATCACCCTTGAAGGGCTTCGTGCCAATGCCATTCGCGCGAGGCGGTCGTAACAGGAACTCGAGGTCGTCGAGGGCAGCATGCGCAGATTCCAAATCGGGAGGAGGTGTGTACCGAAATTTGAATGTATTATGGTCTGACTCGGAATCCACGGTGTTCTGCACGTCATGCAGCACACTAGGAGACTCCGGGCCTGTACGAGGACTGCTCGACACGGACTCCTGGTACTCGCCCACTGCTGTCGGAGTCGGTCCAGGTACAGTCGCCGGATTCGGTGGCATAGCCCAGGTAGGCCGTGATATCTCCGCAAATGTCTGCGAGAGCCGCATGGATGCTTGCTGAGCCTTCTGCAGATGCTGCTCCGAGTCGTACTCTACAGATCCGGCATGCTCGGGCTCAGCCGCCATTTCCGGGACATCTAAAAGAGGTGTCTTTCCGAGGTCCAAGACAGTGAGTACCATGACACTGAACCAACACAGTACACAAACTCACATTCTCCGAGTCTTGCTCAGTGATAACTCCAGGGGAACTCCTGTTCCTCTTTGCAAGGTTAGAGAGATTCTTTCTCTTGCGACCCGATAACGGCGGCATTCGTGCTGCTAGTTTAGCTCGCTGGCGACGACATGCACTCGCGCCCGCGTCGAAAATCCGATTATTTCCTATTAAACCAAATATATTTGTAAAATAGCTAGATCTATTGATGTTTGCCTATCAGGACTCGAACAGTCTTATGCGGCGTCGATTTTCTCTCCTAACAATCAAGGAAAGTTCATTTTGAACACAGTTAGGAGAACAGAAAATATATTTAGGGGCTCTGTTGATCTCTGATAGATTTCGAAGACCGTCGCACTGCCAGAATGGCTTGAAGCGCGCGGTCAATGTCTCACGTGATGTAGTCGAGTATGAGCTGGGGCTATCTTATAGCTATCTTTTCGCTAAAGGGATTAGCATTCAGCCCAAAACTCTGCATGTAAATGTCGTTGTCACAAAGTAGCGGCGTCTAAGTGAACCGCTCCATACTACTATAGCTAGTAGATCATGTACGCAACCGAGATTTGGACTGCGCTCGTCGCCGCCATGAGGAGGCTGTCCGGAGCACTCTGAGTGCGCGAGGATCCGAGACATGATTGAGATGCCAGTGAGGTAGACATGCCAATGCTGCTCGTGTCGCGCGACTCATGGCTAGCTGTGCCCCGAGTGCGCGTGAAATACATACATCTTTGGTCTAGTTGACATCAAGCGTGAGTTAGTGAATGGCGATCTCCTGGTTTCGCTGAGGGCAGTACCCGTGTTTGACACTTTCGCCACTTGATTCACTGTGCATGTACCCATTCTGTGAGTTAGAATGTCATCCCCGATTCTGCTTCCGTGGCTTTGAACGGTTTAGAGTACAGGTCGTGGCGCGGCACCTCGCATGACCGCCACTTGTCACGCACCTTAGCCAGAGAGGCTCGCCTGGAGAATTTGAAGGACCCCACACCATCACCGATGAGAAATCGAATTGAAAAGATGCAGCAAATACCCAATGCAGTTCGAGGAGTAGGATGTGCAAAGCAAGTGACCCGTGAATAACTATTACTACAGTACGTACTTTCAGTCTGCCAGCGACCACACAAACGGCGAGAATGACGAAATCAGGCCGAGCCTTCCGTGACCTGACGGATGATCTTGAGCGACTGCTCCGACCTCGGGCGGATGTCGACCTTGAACGGCGCTGGTGTCCTGTTTCCTACTGTGTCAATAGCAGGCTCAGTTCCGCGTACTAACGACGCTCACCTGAACACGGAGTTGTCGAAGGTGATTTTGGGTTCGATGACGTTACCGTTATCGTCAATCGCCTTCGAGATATCGAGCGTCGCGACCATGCACGCCATTACAATCCACAGGGACTGCTCGATGAGGTGCAGGCCCGGGCACCGTCTCCGCCCGAAGCCAAAGACGAAGTTGCGCGGGTCACGACGCTTCGCGGTGAGCTCGTCCGCAGGCTCCAAGAAGCGTTCGGGGTGGAACGCCTCGGGCTCAGGGTATACCTCAGGGTTGCGAACCATGTTCCTGGGAGCACACGTTCAGGCGCGTTCACACGTGAGCGGACCGCTGTGGACACTCACCACACGTTTCCGAACACGATGGTGCCCTTGGGAATGTGGTAGCCGTTGTAGAAGTCGTCCTCCATCAGACGGTGTGGAAGCGCCAGGGGCACGGGGACGCCCCAGCGGAGCGTCTCGCTCATGACACATTCGAGGAAGGGCAGAGATGCACGGTCGCTGAAGGTTGGGAGACGTCCGGAGCCGACGACGGCGTCCATCTCCTCTTGCACTTTCGCGAGGACTTCGGGATGGAGCATCATCGCGAGGATGAAATGGGAGACAGTGGTCATAGTCTGGGAGAACGTCAGGATATCGCGCGGCTGCGGAGAAGACGGGACTTACGCTGTCGATGCTGGCAGAGTACATCGAGTTCGCGGTCCACCGGATGTCAAAGTCTCGCTGGGGGTCAATCTGCTCAGCCTCTTTCTTCTCTACGCCGCAGCGCTCGTGCAGCTCCTCAAGCAATGTCGTGCAGAAGCACGGAAGGGCGCTCCCATCTCGCTGCGAAAACCGATCAGCTCGCTCCATCTGTCATGCACAAACGGAACTGACCATCCGCTCCTTGACATACGCGTACGGCTTTTCGACGAACTCTTCCATCTTAGCCTTCCATACGGCCGCCTTGCGCTTGAAGCCTGCGCCGGGCGCCCAGTCAGGCAGGTTTTGAACTGAAACGATGGCATGTCAGCATAGTTCACTCGCTCCCCAGTGTGAAATAGAACGTACGCGCAGGGAACACGTCAACAGGCCAGATGCCACCACCAGACGCAATCTCGTTGGACAGGATATCGACGCACTCGTCTGCGAGGCGCAGGAACTCGTCGTCGTTCGATCGCGCCTGGTAGCCATACACCGCCGACAGCGTCAGGCCACCGGCATACCTAGACACAACCGTCCCGAGCAAGTGAGCTTTCCGTGATAATCATACGTAAGGACAAGAACGGACCGCTTCAAGTTGCCGACGTAGTCGGCTGGGTTCTGGAGGAGTCGCCTGAGGAGGTCGTGCGCCTCGCTCTCGAGTAGAGGGTTGTATTGCTTCACGCTGTTGACGCCGAGCGCCATGTTCATCAGCTTGCGCTGGCGGCGCGACTTGTCGCCATAACGGGTAAACGCAACCTGTATATCGGCTCGGGTCAGATCGACGGTCCCGCCTGTCAGTCCGATCAGGTCGCTGGACGTACCATGTTCTCGCAGCCGCATCTACGATCGTTGACTTAATGTAAGCTAACTTCATTTCGCTTGAATGGACCCGGAGATGGTACGCACAGATCTCCGGCCATGACGAGCCCAGGCTTGTCGGAGTAGATCGCGCCCCTCTTCTCCAGCAGCTCGACGGCGACTTCATATTTGTTGATGAAAACGAGGCCTTGGCCGAACACATGCAGGTAGGTGATGTCACCTGGAGGATACCCGTGTTAGATGAGTCCCCGTGAAGTCAGATCCAAGGCAGGTTTGAAATGCGTCAGCCTCCTGGCAGCATGCAGTGCATACTGCGCATCCACTCGGTTAGAAGGGTGAGACGCCGATACGAAACCTGCACCTCCCGAGGTCTGCCGTCACCGCATTATGCAACGAACTCGGGTATGTCGGCCACGCCTCCTCAAGTCTGAGACTGCTGCGCAAGGCGATGGCAACCATGCAGGAAATAAGCTTTGCTCACCATATTCATGTGCCCACTCCTTTGCGCGCAACCAGAGTTCATGCGCAGTGAGATTGGTGATGTTCCCGACGAGTGGGAGAGGCCTGGGACCAGGCGGAAGTGCGCGCCGAGGCTTGTTCAAGTGTGACCAGACGAAATAGATCGCTGCCAGCACGAAAGCAAAGGTGATGACGCCCATGGTTAGATAGTTAAGTTATCGAAGGAGTGTGATCTGGGGAAGAAGACGAGCAGACGAGGGGCCGCAGTATATATACGTCAGGTCGGCGAATGAGATCTCAGGCGGCCGATGAGGAGGGCCGGACGCACTTAAGCCAGGTGGGTATGGGGCGTGAACGAGTGTGTGGGTATTTCGATCTGATACGTGCAGCTGAGAATCAAAGCTTCCAGTAGACACCAATACAGACTTACATGGGGGATGGGAGATGCCGCAGAAAGAAGGCCGGATATGTTATAGGACGAGCGGCAAGGCGTACGGTGCTTTATACTAGCCCGGGCGTCCAGACCTCCGGGATTGGGTCGCGTTGTACGTCTTCGGCAACGGCTTGAATTTGTGTAATAGATTGGGCGTCAACGCTACCCATTTAATGAAACGCGCTGGCATGGCGTACCTCGACCGCCACGCCACGGCAGCGCTCCGGAGGCGAGCGTGCGGCGAGCGTCATGACAACTCGCGCGAATCCCGCTGCAGCAGAGACGGGATGCATCCGGCCTTGACAGTGCAGATTTGGGAGAGAACCTGCGAGAGAAATCGGTGAGAGAATTGGCTCATGCAGATGCATCGCGGACGCATTCTCCTGACAGCGAAGTCCAAGAAGGTCGGCGGAGTTGACATCAGCATCATCCCCGGCACGTGTGCCAGAGTTTAACTTGAAAGGAACATCCCAATCAAGAAGGTACCTTCTTGCGCAATGCAGCATAGTCCAGGGGGGAGAACAACGTTGGCATAACGAGCAGGGACCCTTTCTGCTCTTCCTACCACTGCACACGACTGCTGGTAGATCGCACCTCACGTCACGTCGATTATTGCATCCCACGCCGCGGTTTAATGTGATCCGGCGGGCCGCCACCAAAGTGTTCCGAGATCATACAACTCGTAATCGGGAAGCAAGCGAGCCTCGGTATACGGAGCGGACGTGTCGCGGACATGAGAGCAATCTTGACGTCCCTGGCTTGATGCTTCCTAGGCGGAGGGCCGACGTCGGCGCGTTCAAATTTCAGGCGCATTGAAGCCTAAATGCAACGTCCTTCGTTGCGAACCCGAAAGGCATGCTGATCTACGGGCGTAGCTGTCCGTGGTACAGTCAGCCATGCATTCTCCTTAGAATACAAATCACAAATGCTTCTCAGAGATCTCGACGGAATCCTCGTCAGCGACAGGCTCCTAATACCAGCCGTCCATACTGACGCGGAACCGGTAATGCAAACGGGCACAGTAATGCAAACAGCCGCATTTCTCCCCTCATACCGAGCCGTTTACTGGGCCAAAAAATCGTATACGACTGCTACATGCTACCTTAATATCATATATGAAGCAGAAGTAGCTGGGTGTATTGTACGCCGCGGGAGAAAATCAAAGATCTGTTTTCGGGTGGCTGAATACAGGTGTAACGAGAAGTTGCTGCACCGGGTACTACAATCCTTCCTTCGGAACACAAAGTTGAGACTTCAGGCACATAAAATACCTTCCAGATATGCTTCCTAAAATTTTCTGAGGTGTGTGTACGAGTGGAAGATGCTCGTTTGCACTGCACATTGCACTGGAGTTGGGAAGTGCAATGTGACCGGCGGCGTCTCCCCATGCCGAAACAATCTCCGCTTGGGAAGCAGTGGCGGGTGGCAACTCCCTTTGAAGCCAGTGTCGGCCTTTCGTTAGCAGCCAATATTAATATCACACCGTAGTATCCGACTAATACTGTCTACTCGGTAGCTAATAGTCACATTTATAGTATGTTGTATGCTCTTCTAGTTGCTGTTGCACTGTACCGTAATACACACTTTGCACTCGCACTCGATGCAGCCGCCGGCGCCGGTTTGCATTACTGGTTCAGCATCTGCAGTAGACGCGCATTCGGCATAACGGCAAGCAGGCGGACTCCTAATCTCGAGTGGGCGCCAAATGCTGCACCTCGATGCTTTGGCGGGCAAATGGGTCTCTCGTTTGCAGAACTGCCGAAAGCACTTTCCCCTACCGCGGAACGTCCAGAAAGATTCATGTGTGCTCTCAAGATGTATAAATATGATTCTATAACAAAAGATTGACATGATCATTCTGTTTGAGCAGTCGGGACAGTAATGCAAACGCGTTTGCATTACCGGTTCAGCGTCAGTAGTGTTCTCGCTCGTACATGTCGAGGGGGGACTTCAGCCTATATACGAAAAAATATAAAATGAGCGCTTAAATCATATTAGACGCTCTAAAGTTTTGACTTACTATACTGGGGACTTTTTTAGCCGAATTGACGAGGAGAACACTATAGGACGGCTGGCCAAACTTGTCCCCGAGGCATGGCCGAGGGGGCGCTTATTGACTAGTCAAAGCGACGTACCCCTACGCTAGGTCTTATTTACTGGAGTATCCGACTGGCGTGCGGTCGCGTATGTAATCAAGCTTGGGCGGTTGCCAAGGGCCCGCGCGATCGCAAATTGGCGAAAAGAAATCAAAAATTGATGGGGACTCGAACCCGTGCGCTGTAAAAGACAGCCGTGCGCTGTAAAAGACAGCCGTGCGCTACAACCACTCGACCATAGCAGCTACATAGGTTCCTCAACGGCACGCGATAAGAGTACTGTACAGCTTGTGGGCGCTATTCTCGTACGCCCTGCTGTCACCTGTCGGCGCCGTCTGCGGGAAGTGCGCGGCCTGGCACATCAGCGAAGCACACAATGATTTTTCTGGTGTCCGTGTAGGAGTTGCCTCTGACAGTTAGTCAATGACTGCTGAGTTCTTATCATCGTCACCCCTTCTGACAGCAGGGCGTACGAGAATAGCGCCCACAAGCTGTACAGTACTCTTATCGCGTGCCGTTGAGGAACCTATGTAGCTGCTATGGTCGAGTGGTTGTAGCGCACGGCTGTCTTTTACAGCGCACGGGTTTGAGTCCCCATCAATTTTTGATTTCTTTTCGCCAATTTGCGATCGCGCGGGCCCTTGGCAGCCGCCCAAGCTTGATTACATACGCGACCGCACGCCAGTCGGATACTCCAGTAAATAAGACCTAGCGTAGGGGTACGTCGCTTTGACTAGTCAATAAGCGCCCCCTCGGCCATGCCTCGGGGACAAGTTTGGCCAGCCGTCCTATAGTGTTCTCCTCGTCAATTCGGCTAAAAAATTCCCCAGTATAGTAAGTCAAAACTTTAGAGCGTCTAATATGATTTAAGCGCTCATTTTATATTTTTTCGTATATAGGCTGAAGTCCCCCCTCGACATGTACGAGCGAGAACACTATGGACGGCTGGTATTAGGAGCCTGCGTCAGCGACGTCCTCCTTGAACCAACGCTCCTCTTCGGTAATCGACACGTCGTTTCCGCTCATCTGACGCTTGCGCATTAGTCCGTCATCATTGTACGTCCAGTCCTAACATTGCATGAGTAGCATGAGTTAGCTCGGATGTTGACAGAAGCATGGCGCCGACCCATGCAGCTAGCTTACCTCCAAGCCGTAGCATCGGTACCACTGCTTCGAGCTATCCTGCTTGAGCTCAAACCATTCGTAGAAGAACTGCCATGGCAAAGTCGTTAGCAAGCATTCGTCGTGGGCGCGCATCTCAATCTGGCTATACACCCACCTGCACTGCGATCTTGTTATCCTTGAATGCGAACAACTCCTTCCTCAGTCGGTACCCGTTCTCCTTCTCCCATTTCTTAGTGAGGAACTGGACCACCTCGTCCCTCCCCTTCATGAATTGGTCGCGGTTCCTCCAAATCGTATCCGGCTTCATCGATGAACCGATTAATCGCACATATTCCGCTGCAGGAAGCTCGACTGACCGTATACGCCTGCGAGACGCGCTGGGGGTCACGAGTGTTCCATAGACGTTGCGCAACCTTGACCTTCTGGAGGGCCGTCTCCGCGGTGAAGGGGGGCTTGATGGCGGACATGATCGTCTTATGAAAAGCTAGGTCGTTGCTGCAATCAGAAGACGTCTCAGCAGCATTATATAGGCCTTCGACGAGTCATGTATTAGAAATCCATCGCGAAGTCACGTTCGGGCAGCCGACTAACAGCGCAAGGATCACCGTGAATCAAGGGGATTTGCATCAATTAGGCAGCTGCCGGAGGGTAGTTTGAGAAACCAGTGCGCCTCGAGTCACCGGAAGGCGAGGATATCGATTTCAGCGGGTCGAAACCGGGGATCCTGGGTATGTCGTTTATTGGCACACGCAGATGGGCCCGACGTGGCTGCGATGAGCGCGCCAAAGGGCTGGTGCAAGGCTGGTGATCAGTCGTTGGGTGCTTGAAGCCCTGGCCAACAGCGGGTACGGTGAGACAGAGACCTGCTATTTAGGGCACTTTCAGCCTCTGGACCGCGTTAGAGCGCTGGTTGGCGTGTAATATTTCATTCCGTCGCAGCAAGAGCGATGGCGAGCGGTGCGCCGTAGCCACACCTAGTCATCAGATGCGCTATGTGAGCGACCCACATCGATATGCGGTCCACACGTCCGCGACGCTGTCGTAGGCAATACATGCACCGCGTCAACCGGAGCGCCTTGCTACGCCCGAGCTAAAAGGTGACTATATGCGCCCCAGAGCACGTCATGGGCACTGAAGGCGTCCAAGGCGAGGCTTGAGTAAGATTGATGAGAAAGAGCATCTATCAATTAAGAGCTCGCAATTGATCTTGCGAGACGTATTTCGACGTCGGACACGCAGCTAGTCATGCTTAAAATTCGATCACTGTCTCTACAGTGGAGGTAAGAAGATACACACCATTATATCTATATATCTATAACACCGTTTTACGGAAAGTATAAGCTTTCACATGGGATGTTGGAGGATGGAAGAGAGTTGCAGCAGAGGACCGGAAGAGGACGACGACAACGGACAACTGGGCCACTCGGCTATTGCCGCCAGAACACGATCACGTGCAACGCGCGCACACGCTTCAGCAGTCCGCGGCGGCTGAAGCACACTCGTTGCTAACTGCAGCACGATATGTACGTTTTCCTCTATGTCTAACATGCTTCCAATGGAAGCGGCTCTACAGATTTATACAGTGCGAAGGTAAGTGTCATAATAAAGTAATACACTCCGTATCCTCATCATCATCCATGCAATTCATGCGTCGGGCGTCGTCTGTGTGGGGTGCTTGAATTTCCCGCTTCCTCTCATGAAGATATCCTGCAAGGCATGATCAACACCAGCGGAGAGTGCAAATCGCAACAATGCTAACCTTCGTCATCCCCTTGACGATCAAGCCCAGAGCTGCACGCGACTCGTAGAGCGGATATAGCACGACAGAGATGGCGGAGCAGAACGTCCAGATCATCCCGATGACGACCCACGCTGTGAGGCCGCGCACGCCGTAGATCGTCTGCGCAAAGAAGAGGGGCAGCGGAATGATGATCAGCATAATCAGCGTCTGCGGGAGGAATGGTCAGCATCGCCGAAAGGAAAATAGACAAGTAGTAAAGCCACGTACCAAAGCGATCGAGGACCGCGCGGCAAGCTTGTACGCCTTCTTGAGGGCAACGGGGTCAAGCTCATGCGCCTCTTCCACCATTGCCGCCTCCGTCGAGTTCACGACAGGCTCGGTCGACACCTCGCTGGCAACACGCTTCTTCTCGTCGATGTACTCCTCTGGCTCATGGTCGACGCTATCCTTCTCCGTCGGGGAGAGCGAAGGCGTGTTGATCGCACGCGTGGCGTCGAAGTTGAAGTCGTCTGGCCAGATGAGGGACGTCGTCACAGCGATGATACCGCCCATCCCGATCGAGGCCAGGTTACCCGCCAACATTTCGTAGTTCCCAAAGGTCGTCTGCGATTCAAGAGTCAACAAATAATATCGTGGATGGTAACAGAGGGCGACTGACCGTGGCGTTGATGACACCGTCGTTGAGCGTAGAAGTCGTGACGAGCCACGCGATGACACCACACCAGAAGCCAATGAGCGCACCCGCAATGCAGCCCCACTTGTTCGCCTTGCGCCAGGTGATGCAGCATGCAATGGGGACGACGGCAGCGCCAAGGACGACGCCCATGAAGTCGTATAGCCAGCCCATAGAGATGCCAATGTAATAGAAGATTAAGCCAAGGATCCCCATAACGATGGCGAAGAGGACGACCTGCATGCATCCATCAGCAGCTGCTCAGGGAGACGATACCGGGCAAGACGACTTACCATTCCATGCGAAACGCGCAGGATCTGCGCCTCAGTCGCCTGCGGGTTGATATACCTTTTGTAGACGTCGTACGTCAAGAGTGCAGAGACGGCGATGAGCTCAGCGGAGGTCGCAGACGTGACGGCCAAGAAAAGCACAATGAGCAGCGCCGCGGCACCCGACTTGCCCAAGAGTGCAGCCGCCGCCGCAGAAGCGGGTAGACCCGCACCAATGTCTGCTGCGGACAGAGGTATCATGGCCGGGTCGCCCTTGAGCGCAACGGCGGAGAGACCGAGCGTCGTGGAGAACATGAAAGGAATGGCGAACCTGCGAGATGTCTAGTAAGCACCAGGAGCGCTCGTTCTGGAGGAACAGACTGACCAAGCGAGACCGCCGAGCAAGTATGCCTTGACGCAAGTCGCCGGTCGGCTCGCGATCGCACGCTGCCAGTATGCCTGGTCCTGGAAGACCGTCGCGAAGTTACCAATGACGTTGATCACACCGAAGATCAGCCCGTCCTTGCTGCGCATCGTCAGGTATGACCCATGCGCGTTGCCTGAGACCGGTGCCTCCACGGCGGCCTTCGCCAGGAGAGCGTGCATGGTGGAGAAGGAGCCAATCTTGTCTGAGGTCGCGTAGACGGTGAAGACGAAGACGAAGATAATGGCAAAGAGCACGGAGGTGTGCGTGTAGTCGCAGAGGAGCGTGGCACGCATGCCGCCGACCACGACGTAGATGGCAACGCCGACTGGGATTAGGAAACAGGCCTTGAGGGTGTTCAATCAGCGGGCAAGGTGGGTGGAACACATAGCGGAGGACTTACCGCAAGCGTGTTCATCCCAGTGAGCGATGTCACGGTAGCTGACCCACCCAGGATAAGCATGGATGAGACGATGATGTTTGTCGCCAGGCCGAAAAACATGAAGACGAGGTGCGCAGTGGTGCCCCAGCGAGCGTAGACAATCTCGAGCCATGTGTGCGCGTGTGGCGCGTTAAGCTTCAGCTTCGCTGCGAGCTAGATGCGGCCGTCAGAACCACACCAGTCAGTATAGACTTGTCACACGACCTACCTGGGCAAAGAGTAGAATTTGGACCGTAGCACCTGCGCCGTACCACCATGGACCGGATATACCGTACTGGTAGGCAACAGCACTCGATTGCAACTGACAAATTCGATCCGTTCAATCATTGGTAAGGCAGAATGAGGATCGTTCGTACCAATGTCGCCGCCCATGTCCAGGCAGATACGATACCAGATGCGATCAAACCAGGTTTGACGCTCCTAGAGGCGCTGTTGAACTCTTCAGAGTTCTTCGGCGAGAATCCCGTGTATCGCGCTTGGATGGCTGTCAACCCAACCATGAAGACGCTGAAGAACAGGCCGATTCCGACCACTGTACGGCGTATCAGAACGCGTGCTCGTCAATAAGACATCAGTCTACTACTCACCGACACCGTAGCCCGCGCCTTGCGGGAGTACTGGGCTGGACGACATGGCTGTGTTGACAAAGATGGAAGCTAGCACGTCTCTGGAGTCGAACAGGGCAGCTCAGGTGCTGATACTCTCGTGACTTCAGCAAAGAAGTCGATGCGGGGCTGGCGAGAAGCGTCAAGCAAGTTGACGTCTGTACGAGATTTTATAGCAGAGCTTCCGAGCCATCAGCACTCCAGCGCCTTCCGGTGTTCAGGGCCCTCCTCGCCCTATCGGAAGCCCGCGTCCCCACATCCATTGGCTATGGCGCTGACTTATCTCGAGGACACGGAGGAGGTTGATAAGGACATGGTTCATCCTACGGGTAACGGCTGCAATGATGAGTAGGTGGCGGTGTCTCCGAAGAAACATAGCGACCCAAGGGTAGTAGAGGGAGGAACAGTGGGCCATACCGAATCCGCGCTGTTCACTGAACTGAGAGCAGCGGGCGTAAAGCGGCCACATCCGAGGTGGTGCGGGGCAGGCTGGGGGAAGGCGCCCCGCAAGCGCTTCCTGATAAGGGAAAGCGGGGGCGCGATCCGCACGATCGATCTCCAAATCTCTCAACCGTTCTCCCGCTCAGTGGCGTTGTAAATTTTCCTCCCCCGAGAGGAGTCGCTCGCTGGGAGAACGCTGCCCTATCGCTGCAGAGGCTTGTAAAGCAGGTACTGGCAGGCCAAGTCTGAGCCAAGTGGCCACCGGCACAGATAACAGTTGTAACCGGACTGCACATTGAGGCCTCTAGCTGTAACCTACCTGGTTGTACTGGAGAATCGTCAGCAACAGGAGCATGAAAAGGCCGGAAAGGCACAAACCTGGGCACAAACCAGGGAGAATCTTTTCACTTTGGGGACATCATGTAACCAGACACGGTCGATACCGCATTCAGCAAAAGTGCCGGATGATGATCTTACAAGCATTTAGTTGTAAGTAGTGCTCACCTCCGTCAGACTCGGTATTCGCTCCAGAGATAACAAAAGAGAGTGAGAAGACTGCAAGAAGTGAGATTGCATGTAAATAGCCTGCGGAGTTGCCAATTTGTATCTCGACAACGTACCAGAATTATCGAGACATGGGCAGAGAATTGACCCTCTTGGCGTTGCTCCGAAGATGATCTGTCTAGAGACCACTCGGGGAAGTTACAGGCACTTACGCAGTGCGGGCAGGCTCAGAGCGGTGCCTGCGACGAGGCTCAAGCCCTCGCCGGCCGCGCGCAAGTGTCGCTGGCGAGCGGAGCACAGTTCGGACTTATGTGCTCTGCTTTTGGGTGCAGCGCGTCTCATTGACTTGAGAGATACAATCTTGCATGACATTGTTCCGTGGAATCGTACAGTTGCAACTAGTACTGCAAGTACGATCAATACAAATGACCTCGCGGTGGGAAACAGCTCAACGTACCGCTACTCGGTACCGCCGGTGGTTCCCTGCCCGACCGTGTACTCCCAGGAAACAGTACTTGGACTTGCAGCTACAGGCTTTGAGAGAAAGGTAGTGTTCTTCGTGCACCGCTTTCTATGGACTTTGAGCGCTTTGACACTCTTGCGCTCGCCCTTTCAGCCTAGACAGTGAGCCGTGAACGAGGACGTGGAGACGGCAGTGGACCCGCATGGCAGGCCGCAGGTGTAAATAACCCCCCAAGTCCACTCAGCCACCAACGCGACTGCACACGGTCACGTGGGCGCATATAATAGCCAGTCAGTGAACAGTGAACGTTTGAAGACCCGTCTATGTAGGTGAGAGTCGGGTGTCCGTTGAATCGCTTTAAAGCGGATTTAGACGTTTTTATGGCGAGCCATACATACGTATTTGAGCCGTCGCCGCCTTTCAGCTTGTCGCAGGTGCGCCAACACAGTGACCACCATAGCAAGAGGACTCTGTAAGTTCTCCTCCACAAACGTGTATCAGCAGGAACAACATCACTGTATCCAGATGAACGGCATCACAGGCCCAAGCTCGCATACTGACCGTCTTTCCGAGACTTCGCATCGCGTTCGAATGTACAATTGCGCTGCCCCACGATATAACGATAGCTGCCGCCTCCGCCCTAACTACAGGCAGCAAGCTCGAGTTGGTCCTCCTTGTCCAGTCCCATCCGACCGCGCCAGAAGAGCGGGCACAGCGGCAATGCTGGTGCTCTAGGCGAACCGGAGGACTGACTAGCCGAAAGCTCCGTTTGCCGCGCAAGCAATTCACTGAGGATATGCGGAACGTCTTCCGGCTGTACCGTACCGAACCTGGCATGCACTGCTTAACGGCTAGTTGAGGAGAATATGCAGCGTGCACTTACCAGTCTCCGAATGGAAAGGCGAGCACATTTGCAGCATACCTAGTTCATGTACGTGTCAGCAGGGGGGCGAGGCAGGCTGTGACGCGTGACGGGCGACTCACTTGTGTCCGCCCACATGGGCGACCTCCCCGAGCGAGACGCGATCCCACAACTCCCGATTCGAGATCTCCTCGCGTAAAGCCTTCGCAACGTCGCCGCCAGTGTCGCCGCACCTGCAATCCCTGGGGCCGTGGGTGCATACGTACAGGTGCAGCTTCGCCGCAGCCTCAGATGCCTCGTCCATCTGGCCCTCCTCCGTCTCCGGTGCGAGCTGGGAGGTCCGTGCGTGCTCGCTCAGTTGACCAGCGACGTCGTCCAGGTTCGCGAGGGATACCTCCGGGATGTACAGCGGTGCACGGTCGACGGCGAACGCCGTGGCGTAGTAGAGCTCCTCTGTACTGTCTTCGCCGAGCCCAGCGTACCGCGGATGCACGGGCTGGTCCGGCGACCAGGAGAAGTTAACGAGGCCGCCCCAACCGCGCGCCTCAAGGGTGAGCCTCCTCCAGAGCGCTGACTTAGACTTGGGAGGGTATTGGGACGGCGGCTGGTGTGTGTGGAGGAAGATGTAGCTGTCGTGGTACGGAACGGTACCTGCTAGTGTCGCGCGGGGCTGCGTGGTCGAGAAGAACCGCGCTTCAGCGCGAAGGGCAAGACGTCCGGTAGGCCGAGTCAAGACATTCAAGACTAGAGTATAGCGCGACATCTTCAACGACAGCTGTGTCTATGGTGGTGGGTGACGAGGAGGAGGTAGGATGTTGTGAACATGATTGCAAGCTGGAGACTTGGGAGAGATTACGATGAGCAGTCGCTCCGGCAGCGGCACCGTGACGCTCACGATATCGTTCGGCAGGCGTGTAGTAACTGTTAGTAAGGTTTCGTCAAGGCCATGTACATACCGTCATGAATTGGAATATTCGGCTGAAATGTTCTGAGGAAGATCCAGTGTCGCAGGACACATAAATAATATTGAGCTGTGAGCATGTTGCCATTGACTTCCACAGAATCCAAGCGCAGGCGCTGACGACATCCATTTGTCGGACTTTCCAAAACAGGACTCAGCGATGTTGTCCGCGTTTCATCCTTCGCTGTCTCATAATATCACTGCAACCCTCTACATTGATTATCTCACACTTGTGACTCCCGTGGCTCTGCGGAGGTGTGCATACGACCGCTGCGCATCCGCCTGGCAGTCTGTTGTATAGCTATACTTACGACGAAGTAACGGTGTGTGCTTCGAACGTGATATCACGTCACAGGGATGTGATATCGAATAATTCCTCAGGACGAGTCAGTACTTCAGTACTTCAGTATAAGTAGTCCCCTGCACTCACTCACTCCGTCAAAGAGGTCTTCTTTAGGGTCTGCCAAGGGGAGACTACATTGGTACTGATTCAGTTCGTTTTCCTCATTATGATCGGCTGCGATGTAATTCACAACTATATCATCATCCTCAGACCCTCAACTTACACTCATACAGACTAGGATTGGCATCTATCATGACATCCACTACTTCGCCCATCCGCATCGCGCTCTTCCTCTGCGATAAGCCCATCGCCACCGTCCAAGCAACCGATGGAGACTACACCTCGATCTTCGACACACTCCTCCGCAAGTCTCTTCCGGCATCGGAGGCGGGCGTGGAATACTCGCTTGACCCGTATGACGTCCGCGAGGCCCTGCAATACCCGGAGAACATCGACGACTATCGCGCGATCATCCTGACGGGTTCTGCCGCGTCCGCGTACGAGAACCTCGAGTGGATCAATCGACTCGTGGATTATGTCCGCGATGTCGCGACAAACAAGCCGCACATAAAGTTAATCGGTAAGTCGCTCGTTCTCGGAGTGCTGCGTGTCAGGATGCTCGGTGGTGGCTCAGGTGGTATTATCGATCACTTATAGCGCGCTGTGGGCCACATCAGCGGCTGGTTAGTCGCCGACGTGGAGTCCTTGGCTGACCACATTTCATGAGGCACCTGGAACCATGGCCCACCCGGCCATGGTGCGTCCACTGCGATGGGAGATCTATCTGTGTTTCGTTGAGAGCAATACCCTCGAGTGATGGCTAGACCCTAACGAGTGGACACCCTGCGCACATCCATCTTATCTGCGAGACTAATGCACGCGACCGACCTGAACTTGCTACGTTGTCGCAGGGATTTGTTTCGGTCACCAAATCATAGCGCGTGCACTAGGGGGCGAATGCGTTCCCAGTGGCAATTGGGAAATCAGCATCACAGAGCTCCAGCTCACTGATATCGGCAAGAAGCTCTTCGGTGCGGATAGCCTGGTGCGTCCCCATTCAGCGGCTTCAGCTTGTGCTCATACTTCGCGCCACACAGAACATCCACCAGATGCACCGTGACCACGTCCCCACCGTCCCGCCGTCATTCCACCTCCTCGGCTCGACCAGCATCACACCCAACCAGGGCATGGTCCGTCTGCGTGACTCCGCCAACCCGGACGACTTCAAGCCAGAGGACGTGCAGATATTCACGGTCCAGGGGCACCCCGAGTTCACGGAGCGCATCGTGACGAAGATCATCGACGCGCGGCAGGGTACGGGTGTGATCGGCGGGGACATCGCGGAGGACGGGAAGAGGCGGGTCGTGCTCAGGAATGACGGCGTGGATGTTGTCGGGAATGTCATCTGGCGAGTGATAGGAGTAGGTTCCGAGGGCACTGGCAGCTAGCGGGTAATACTTACAGTGGTCAGTTCGGTATGTATGGACGTATGCTTAGCGAGTTGCATGGAAATTCCACTTGCTAGTGGGTCCTATTACCGCGCTAGAATACGGATAATGGACTATCTATGATGTCCTCGGTACTAGGTGAGTGACACGATAGAAGTAAGGCCCAGGGTACGTGCGTTCCGTGAGCCAGACGAATTAGATCGATCTTCATATCTGTCAAAGCCCCACTTGTACTTGTGTAGTACCCTGACAGGACTTGGGTAATAGGCTGGAAATAATGAATGACCTCGGAACATCGAACATTCAACGTTTTCATTTTTGAATAGTGCTAGTGAACGTTCGAATCCTCGTTTCAACTCCAAGCAATTCGTGGAATAGACACTGGCACGTGACATGCACATTGCATGTTGACCCCCGAGACGGTTGCGCATCTTGTTACTCACTTCAACATCTACCACCGGACGTTCCGCTGATTTTTACTCTCGTTTCCAAAGGAAAAGGATAGTGGTCAGAGGATCGACCAAGGGTTGACCACCTGCCGCGTGACGGTGAGTGCGCGGGTCCACCAATCTCCTATATCATGCCCAGCTGAGGATAATGTGTCCCCGGACCCTCCCTTCCTTTACGCCTTTTGTCTCTCGAAATACCCCTCGACGCCCCGCATTGGTCGTTCCGATACCCACAAGACCGATAAGATTACGGTCGGCTCTCACAGTCAACCAGTGGTCCCCGCGAGCGCCCGCTATTTAGAGCATTACCGCCTCGCCGCCGGCAGCGCCCATCTCTGATATCGACAGTCGCGACCATGTCCTGGCCAAAACTGGGCTCGAAGAGTACGTGGTGAGAGGCTTCGTTGGTGGGCTTGCTAACCGAATGCTACAGAGCCCAAGGATATGAAGGAGAGCGGGGTGATCTCCCGATCTGCTACCCCCATACCGTCCCGCACAGTTACACCGAAGCCGCCAGATGCATCAGAGTCGAACCTGCGTCAGGGATTGCTCACTATCCGCATATTCTCAGGTGCGTTGCTCTACGAGTGTCGACATCTCGTCAGCTTAACAGATGGACATCCAGGACGCGGTCTGAGCCTGCCATCCGGCACCCCAGTGCCAGACATCGTGGAGAAGGCACTCGCGTCCCAGCCGCCGCCGAGGGGTGGCAACCGGGAAAGCATGCAGCGGCGACGCTACTGGTGGCTGCCCTACGTCGTGCTCGAGTTCGACAAGAACGAGGTGCTCATCGACGCGCTCGGCGGCGACCTTGCGAGCCCGCAGTGGAACTACAAGGCTGATTTGTAAGTGCCGCCGTGCCTGCTGTGCGCGCCCTCCGTGACGGAGATGATCCCTGTCAGCGACGTATCACGGACGTCCAACATCGCCGTGTCCGCGTACCTGCGCACTGCGCAGTGCGTGCCCGGTCAGGGCGACATGGGCAATGACCTGTTGATGGCGAGGGTGGACCTATCGCCTTCTTTGGACGGACAGGTAAGCGCCGTCATGCTGTCGTATCGCGTCGCGAGCATCAACTCGGGTTACTGCAGCGGTCCGCAGACCAATGGTATACCGCTACGGCCGGCAACGGCTCGTTCCACCTCAAAATCGACTTCAAGCCTGCGCGGCATGAGTCGCTCACGATTGAGCAATTTGACCTGCTCAAGGTTATTGGGAAGGGCAGCTTCGGGAAGGTCATGCAGGTCCGGAAGAAGGACACCCAGCGGATATACGCACTCAAGACCATCCGCAAGGCCAACATCGCGCAACGCCCCGGCGAAATTACGCACATCCTCGCGGAGCGCACCGTCTTGGCGCTCGTGAACAACCCGTTTATCGTGCCACTCAAGTTCTCGTTCCAATCGCCGGATAAGTTGTATCTGGTCATGTCGTTTGGTGAGTCATGGACTACGTGTTTGACGCACAGCTGCTGACAGATGTCAAGTGAATGGTGGCGAGTTGTTCTACCACTTGCAGCGGGAAGGCAAGTTCGACGAGCACCGGAGCCGGTTCTACGCGGCCGAGCTGCTCTGTGCGCTCGAGCATTTGCATGGCTTCAATGTTGTCTACCGGTGCGGCCAACTTCCGTTCCATATTACCCACATGTCTGACGCCTACTCAGTGACTTGAAGCCCGAAAACATTCTGCTTGACTATACCGGTCATATCGCGCTGTGCGACTTCGGTCTCTGCAAGCTGAACATGTCTGAGTCAGAAAAGACCAACAGTGGGTATAGCGCACGTATACTTGTAACCGCCTTCTGATGCACCCAGCATAGCCTTCTGCGGGACGCCCGAGTACATCGCGCCCGAGCTCCTCGAGAGCCAGGGATACACAAAGACGGTCGACTGGTGGACGCTGGGCGTGCTCCTGTACGAGATGATGGTGTGTAATGCTTCACTGGGCCTTGATCTATGTTCATGCTCACATGATATCTGGTAGACCGGCTTGCCGCCTTTCTACGACGAGAACGTAAACGTCATGTATCAGCGCATCCTTTCGGACCCGCTGCTGTTCCCGCCAGACATGTTGCCCGACGCGAAAAGCATCATGGTGGCCCTGCTGCAGCGGAATCCTGACAAGCGTCTCGGTGCCAATGGTGCAGAGGACATCAAACGGCATCCGTTCTTTTCGAAGCATGTCGACTGGAATAGGTGTGTTTATTTCGCCGTATGGTGGCGGGTCAGTAGGGTTGACTTGGAATTGCAGACTTATGGCCAAGAAAATCACTCCACCGTTCAAGCCCAGCGTGGTACGTCTCCAGTCAGTATGTGCTTGAATATAGCTCACCCTCTCCGCCTGCTACCTAGGAGTCTGTCTTGGACACAGCGAACTTCGACTCGGAGTTCACCGGTGAGCAGGCGCAGGACTCGCATGTCGATGCCACGCCGCTGTCCGAGACCGTGCAAGACCAATTCCGCGGCTTCACCTATAACCCTGGCAACGACTATCTCAGCGAGAGCGTCAGCTACCCGAGCGTGATCGGTTGAGGCTATCCTTGCAATACGTCTTCTCGCTCCGAAACAGGTGGCTTCGTCGGCCTGGTTAATAGATCTCTCGTCACCTCGAAACTTCGCATCTTGTTGTCGTATTTATGTGATTGGGTCGTCAGCTCTTTGTGCACCGTGTGGGAGCCTTGTCTTGTATGATTCGTACGGTTCTTGATCTGCTGGCTTGACCATTCACCTGTGTATCGGATCTCAGCTGTCTGCATGGACTTACACAGTGTAGCCTTTATTTCCCCCTTCTTGTAGCTGGCTCTTGTACATATGGTGCATAAATGAAGAATTTTGCTGGACTAAAGCCGCGTCAGTGGTTCGGAAGGATATAATCCTGGTTCACCTCCATCTGGATGGGGTACAAGCACTTCAGCGCGGCGTACGGGGGCATGACCTGTGCCCGGACTCAAATTGTTTGCACAAGAGCATTGTATGTGTACATTCTAGGGCTACTATTTCGTCATTCTCTGTAGCTCACACGGCTACATGCGAGCCAGAATTCGTTGCCGCCCTCCTCGCACCAGCCTAGTGGACCTAGGTCACAATCTGCGCAGCTAAGCACTTCAGCCGCTTCCCTAAATGTGACAATGACTCAACATCTAAGCGGAATACGAAGTCGAGAAGACCCACCATCTAACAGAACTACCTTTGAGAATCCGATGTTCTCAAATGCCATGACATTCGGCACAACGAGCCACCAGTTCGCCGTACCCGGGGCGTGGGCAGGGGCGGCAGCAAGCTCATCGCTGTATGCTCTAGCGGGTCCATCTGTACACTGGCCCGCTCGACCAGCGACGCCACACCGTCCTTCAGGATCACGCTCCCGCATCCCTCCCGCGGGCACAGCAAGTCGGATTTGTTCCGCAGCGCGCCCTGGCCGTCGTCCACCACGAGGTCCTGCGCGCCGTTCGGGAAAGCCGCGAGTGCGCGACCTGCGGGCGGTTGCGCGCCGTCGCCGAGCGTTGTAGAGCCCCCAGAGCCCTGCAGGTACGCTCGGAGGCGCGACGGCCTCTACTGCGGAGGGTGCATCCGCCCCTCGCGATTCGCGCCGCATCTCGAACCATGGCCGCGAGCCGTGCGTTACCGCGCTCGCGCCGACCCACTCAAAGCCAGCCCGTTCGTAGAGTCCGCGCAGCTCCTCGTGCGTGATGAGCAGGACGCGCTCGTATGCGCCGGCGCTCTCGAGGCGGGTCAGGTATTCTTAAGGAGCCCGAGCGCGACACCCTGCCGGCGATGCGCGGGGGAAATGCAAACGGAGTGGATGCAAACGGAGGGTGCGCCGGGGACGTGTGTGGACATGGACGCGTGCGAGAGGCTGGACGCGGGCGAGAGGGTCGCGCAGACGTAGCCGATCAGTTTGCGGGTGGTTCCCTCAACCCCGCTGGGGGCATATGCACCTAGGAAGAGATCTGGCGCATGGGCCTGGCGATATCTAGAAACGAAAGATGAATCATTGGCAGCGCGTAGTTGGAATAGTCCGCTCACTTGAAGGCGTCGAGGGTCGCCGCTTCGTCGGGCGGGTAACCTGCAAGGGGGCGGTAGGTGGATACAAAGCCGACCTCTGCAGTCGGAACGCGGGTGTACCTTCCACCTCGATTTTGTATGCGTCCTCTATTTCATCGCTCTGGACTAAATCGTAGAACAAGAGCATGTCGCCTAGGTGGTAGATGACAGTAGCGTACAAGAGGTCGCCGCCACTTTGGGCGCTCAGTTGAGGCATACCCGCACATCCTGGCCTTCGACGAAGACCTTGTTCATTTCATAGCCACCCACAATTAGCGGGACCTCCAAGGTGATAAGGACATTCGACTGAAGACCTAAAGGTATCAAAAATCCATGTGTCCCGGGATATTATGCTAGCGTACTATACATATAGGATAAGTGAGCTATGTGCAGATGAGTGCTCGTATATGAAGCGCGGTGATATGCAAGGGAGAATACGCGAGAGGTGTTCGCAAGAGTCAGTGTTATGTCTTGAATATAATGATGAGGATGAGTAGCACGAGAATCAGGATGGCGATCATGACCGTCGAGCCTGGATACAAGAAACGTTCAATCTCGTACCAACCCACAAAACTCCACATACGCACCGTTCTCCCTTGCCCCCTTCGCCACCCTCTCCAAGTTTTTCCTCGCGCCGCTCAGCCTGCTCCCAGTGTGGTCGAGCTCGTGGTCGAGTTCCTCTAATAATCCCGTATGCACGTCCAGCTCATCGTTGATCTGGAGGGACAGGTCACGCTGGCGGTTTACCGACTGCGAGAGCCGGTCGAGGTGCACGTCCTGGTCATTCATCATTTGCCGCTGCATCTGCAGCATCTCGTCGTTCGTGTAGCCTGCCTCGGGGTCATCTGTGTAGGGCGTGAATGGCTCGGCGTCGGCGTCGGAGCCGGAGTCTTCGTGGCAGTAGGTTGTAGTGAGGACAGAGGCGAAGATGGCTTAGAGTCCAGCAGCGACGTCGACGCCGATGTGCTGGCACTGCCCGCAGGTTCCTCCAGTCTATCACGTCCCATGTTAACCGCGCACGGTCACAAGTATCCGTTGACCAACGCACCTCTCCACGCCCGCCGCCTCCCCCTCCGGGCCAAGCATGCTCCTCATCCTCTCATATGGCTCCTCAGCAAGTTCACCGCCTCTGATCGCCCCTCCTTCTCCTCCAGGGAGAGCACCCGGCGCGCAGCTGCCGCATATTCCGTGCAATCTGTGGGATGTGGAGCGCGTTCGCATTAGGGTTCACAAGCGACTGTAGTCGCTGCCGTTCGAGCAGCAGGAGAGCGTCTGGGTTGATATCGAAGTCAACCGCGCTAGCGTGGCCATGCTAGGAAAACGGCGAGGGGAGGAGAGAGCAGGACGAGGAGTGAGCTGGTGGGATGCAACCTGCGGGCGGAGGCCGTGAAGTACGGACTTCCGGAAATGGCAGGTGATGCAGAAGCAGTATCATCGAGACCAAATCGAAGCATCGCACAAACCAGATGTAGATGTCATGATATGTAGATGCCTTTATTGTGGCCTCTCCTGAGTACACCCTTGCTCACAACTCAGATCAGCACGCAAATGTCGCGAATACGACCATAAGACAATGATGCATGACGGGTCTTGAAGCTTGATACGGACGACTCGGGTCATAGTATGAAGAGACCAGGGATACAAACTGCTGGTCTAGGAAACTTTGCATCAACTCAACGAATATTTGACCAGGTATGTGGCTACAGAGTTGTTGGATAGGCAGCCCTTCCTGTAAAAGCTTGCAAGCCTCCGCGCACTCCTCCTTGAACTTCTTGAAGTCTCTCATCGAGACCGAGGCCGTCAAGTTCTGCATTCAACCAGGAATGAGCACGACGAGACTGTCCGGCCGCATGATCTACCCACCTTGATGCGGACAAATGGATCGTGCACACACACGGTGGTTGCACGAAGTGTAGAAGCTCATTGATCGAGGCTACTCCCGATGTCTCGGATCAGACTCAGCGTGGCTTCGATGTCGACGTCTATCTCAGGAGAATGACGCTTCACGATGTCAATTTTCGGAACGATTCCGCCGTCGCGCACGCTTATAGCGAGGCGCGAGTAGTCATGCTCTGATGCCCAATAGCTGATATATTCGTCAAAAGAGCCCACCAAGTCAGCGTGACGGGACCATACGCACCTGAACCATTCTATCAGGCTTGTCTGTGGGTAGGAATCTCCCGGCTAGGTTCCCACTTGTCCAAAGCCAGAACCCGCACATCACACTTCATATGCGCCATCTTTCCTGAATATCTCGTCACCCTCCGGAACCAGATGTGTTTGTCTGGATCTGGATATTCGGCGTCTGATGGCCTCTGAAGGTTGGGGAGCAAACTGCGCATCTGCGAGTATATATAATGGCCGTTGGCAACGATATGCACGGCGTTACATACCTGCAGGAAAGCTATTGTCATAAGCGCGTATGCGTAGCTGCTGGGTGTCGCCGGTACGGCGGATGAATCATTCAGCTCCCGATTCCTCGCCCAGTACTTGATCACATATATCATCGGACGGACCAGCGGGGATAGCATGGAGTATTGCCTGATGAGTAAGGTGTTCACGACCCCGAGACGGTCGTTGACGTTCAGGTCGCACGACAAGCCCGTCACTGTATCCTTGAACTTCACTGCCCGACGAAACATTAGTCGACCCGGGTACGGGGACGGATATATTGGTAACTGACCAATCGGGACGAGAGCCCTAGGTATGGCCTCCACGTTGATGAACATGGGTTCTGAACTTCGCTTCAACGATTTGACGGTCTTGAGTGCAGCCGCGACAGCCCTGATGGTCGTGAGTCTCTCGGTGAGGAGTTCATCCAAGCACTCACTCAACATCGTACGGCCCTGTGTTATAGTCAATACCTCACACGGACGAACAAAGAAGTAATGACCGACCAAACAGATCTACGTCATCTCTGGCAAAGTGCCGTTGGGTTTCTTGTGGTCCTTTTCAATCAAAATATGAAGGTCGAAGGCTCTCACAGAGGACGGACACTGCCTACCAGCATACATAGGTCAAGGTCGCTGTCTGCGCTATCCGTGCCGTAGCAAGTACTCCCGAAAACCACTACTTCGAACCGTCTCCCAAAGGTTGCTTGCATAATCGAGTTGACTCTTCGTATACATCCGCACGCGCCTTCAGGACTCTCGTAGGAACCCTAGGGATCTTCACACTCGTCATACTCCGTGCCTGGCCAATGGAATGCACTGACAGCAAAATCATCTCCACTTCGATCTGGAAATGCTGGCGTAGAGTAAGAACGACGGCCGGCTTTAGTCAGATGCGTGCGCCGGGAAGAACTGCCAGCTATCGCCAGTGGGAGACTTCTGGTGGACCACGCGACGTGACAGGGAGTCCCGGATGAGTGTTGGTACAAGCTGTGGATCTCTGGCATTGTTGCGTATACACTGGGCGGTTAGAGCTGGCGAAGTCGCGTTCGTGAAGAACAGCTGATCGCCAACCAGCAGGGATTTGCCCCGTTCCTGCGAGGATTCGTACGCTGGAACAGCCGACTCTGATTCAATTAGGCACATACCTCCAGCGACAATCCCCTCTCCTTCGTCGCAACCTCTGCAGAGGACGTACAGGCTACAACAGTTACCCTGCTGTCCCTTCGACTAGTGAGCTTGCTCATGCTCTTCGCTCCCAGGCGCATGCCAGCCATCTGCGGGTGCTGCCGTTGAAGACGCGCCTTGGGAGTGCACGAGCATGCCGCATGCACGATGAGCTCTATCAGGACTTGAGCAAGGGTATGTTCAGAGAAGGATCCGACCTCGTAAAGGCGGGACGAGATGCACGGAACAACGCTGCGACACGGAGGCGCTTAGCAACTTTCGTTAGTAAGTAAGATCTCTCTATACGTTTGTTGCCACAGTATACTATCGTTACCCAGTTTTGTATGGCCACTGACAGCCTCGCTTATTGAGATTACATTTTCATCACCGATCATTTTTGCCATACACCGTGCACGCTACGCCTCCAGCATCCTTCCTCCACCGTCCCTCTCAGTCTCCGACGATGTCTCAACAACGCACTGCGCTCTGGGAAGCAGAGCCCGAGGAGGACCTGCAGGATGTTGACGTGAACCTTGCCATCGGAAACTATGGTCAGAACGGAATGTACGAAGACGGTAAGCATGGTGGTCGCATCGGAATGAGGCGATACTCATTCTCCTGCAGCACAGCCTCGGATAGACGAGACTACGCTTGTGGCTGTTCAACAGCAGATGGCGCAACAAGCAGCCTTCTCTCAGGTGCCAGACGTCGTCAAGCGGGTGAGTGCATGCGCTGCGTCTTGGGCTCGCATGTTCCAACGTTGCGCAGTTCATTGTGCATTTCCACAAAGCCGTCCTAGACAACAACCTCGCCGAAATCACGGTGGCCTACGAGAGCGGGTGGAATAGACTGACGGAGAAGTTCTACGCGAAGACGGAATGGCCAGAGGCGGAGGTGATCGCACCCTTGGTGAACGATGGTGAGCCTGCTTGCATTCCACGAGAACTGACACCGCAACTTCTACGCAGACCAGATTTTCCTCATCCTTTACCGCGAGCTCTACTACCGCCACGTCTACTCGCGACTTCAGCCCGACATCGACGACCGCTTCCACTCGTACGAGAACAGCTGCGAGCTGTTCAATTACCTGCTGAGTGAGTGGCGAATGCTCATTGGTTCTCCGCCAGTCTGACCATTGACCCTTCAGACTCGGACGGCCCCGTAGCTCTGGAGCTCCCTGAGCAGTGGCTCTGGGACATCATCGACGAGTTCATCTACCAGTACCAGTCGTTCTGCGTCTGGCGATCAAAGGTCAAGTCAAAGACAGACGAAGAGATCGTCCTGCTCTCCGAGGAGAGCCAGGTGTGGAGCTCGTACAGCGTCCTCAACGTTCTGTACTCGCTCATACAAAAGTCGAAAATTCACGAGCACATCATTGCGCTACAGGAGAGCAAGTCTGCCGAGGAGATTGCGTACGTCAGATGACTGCAGCGGCAGAACGTCACTCATGTTTGTGCAGGGAGATTGTGGGCGAATATGGTGTGCGCCCATTGTACCGTATGCTTGGCTACTTCAGCATCATCGGTCTCCTGCGGGTGCACACGCTCCTCGGCGACTTCACTCTTGCGCTTAAGATCATGGAAAACGTCGAACTCAGCCAAAAGGTGCGTGTCTCATCACTCCCGGAGCTCGCATGTTGACCCTCTCGTAGTCTCCGTTCATGCGTGTCACAGCCTGCCATGTCACCACTTTCTACTACGTCGGCTTCTGCTACATCATGCTCCGGCGGTATCCCGACGCTATCCGGACCTTCGTTAACATCCTGAACTTCATCCTACGGATGCGGCAGTACCACACGCGCAGCTATCAGTATGACCAGGTATGTCATCCGCTTGTCTTTTGTGATTGTGCACCTTACATTGTGTTACAGATCAACAAGACTGCCGATCGGATGTATGCACTTCTGGCGATATGCAGCGCCCTCTCCCCGATGCGCGTCGACGACAACATCTCCAACATCGTCAAGGAGCGATATGGAGATCAGTTCACCAAGATGTCGCGAGGGTGAGTCGTCACCTATCGTCTCTATCCGTGACCTCACGAATTCACCAGCGAGGAGGGCCTCCCCGCCGTCGAGGAGCTCTTCCTGTACGCCTGCCCCAAGTTCATCGCGGCCAACCCACCGCCCTACGAGGAGGGTGACCAGCTCGCGTTGTACATGGAGGACCCGCCGGTCGAGCCAGCACAACGACACCTCGCCCTGTTTCTCTCCGAGGTGCGCGCGCAGGCGCCGGTGCCGACACTACGCAGCTTCCTGAAGCTGTACGCGTCGCTCGACGCGGCGAAGCTCGCGAACTTCCTCGACGCGGACGAGGAGGAGATGGTCCAGCAGTTGATGGTCATGAAGCAAGCGAGCAGGAGCGTGAGCAGGGTTGACACAGAGAACGAGAAAGGCCTGTTGGACGGCCAGACGGCGTCGACGAGTGATCTGGACTTCGTGATTGACGAGGTTGGTTTCCCCACTTCACCTGCGGAAGCCTTTGAAGTACTCACATGTTCCTGGTAGAACATGGTGCACATGGCCGAGTCGACGCTCGGCAGAAAATACGCAGGATGGTTCATCCGGAACACGGAGCACGCACAGCGTGTCTTCGATGCCCTCCGGAACAGCCCCCTTCCACCAAAAGCGAAGGCACCTGTGGGTATCGCGCCAGAGTTGCCGACAGCTGCGCCTCGTACGGCAGGGCGTAGTGTCGCCTGGGGTGGTGTCAAGACAGCTTGAGTGCACTGGGAATGTAGAGTGTAAATACTGATCCATGTATTTCTTGCCCGCTGATGCTGTAGCCTTGTCCCGTCAACATTGTTGTGCATAATGCTTGCCACAGACATATCACATCATATCGAAAGCAAGACAAGTATGGATGACACGGTCCTCAATCATCTCCCATGAGCGGCTTCGTCAAAAGCCTGAGAATCCACTCCTCCAATCTCCCCTCGTTTGCCCTCAGCTCATCGAATTTATCGTCGAGTTTCTCCGCCGTGCAGTGCACCACGTCCTGGATCGACCCATCGTTGCGCAAGGCATCCAAGAACGCCTCCGCCGCGGGGTCGTCCCCGATCTGGCTGACGCAAAACATGACCGACGTGGGGTAGAACTTGTTGCTGTCGAGCGTCGCCCGACACTCGACAATCGCGTCCTTGAACGTCGACTGCGGCTCGCTCGTCGGCTCGCCGTCTGTGATGACGCACACGAGGTACGGCCGCTTGAACGGGTTCGTGGTATCCGCGAGCCTGTCGTACACGAACGGCTTCAGAATATCGTTCTTCAGCGTCGTCCCAATCCTCGTCCCGCCGCTCGGCGAGACCGACGAGACCGTCTGGTCAATCTCCTCCGTCGTCATGTTTGACTTCGTGATGCGCGAGTTGATGAAGCGCAGCTCGACGCCGAAGTCGTCGGGCACGATCTTCGTCGCGACGCGGGCGATCCGCGAGACGAGCTCGCGCTGCTTGATGTACCGATTGTCGGCAGCCATGGAGCCGCTGTCGTCGCAGTAGATGATCGGGTGGTACAGCGAGAGGGTGATGAGATTCTTCAAGTTCTCGGGCTTCCCGAGCGGGTCCGACTTGTTCTCGCGCAACGCCGCTGCGCGGCCAGCGAGCTTCTGGATGAAGGGATCGTCGCGCGGGAAGAACTTGCTGAGACCGGACTCGGTCACGTAGTCGGTAAGTACATTCTGGAAGTCCTTGACGGTACGAGGCTGCGAGAGATTGCAATCAGTATCTCGTGGGCACATGGGACATAGCATAGGTGGGTATCACCTCTGCGGTAGGGGCGTCGGGACCGGCGGGGGGATCAGGGCCCTTCTGTGGATGTTCATGACATTGAGATGAAGCTAAGGTACCCATGCATCGGTGGACATACCTGATTGGTGGACTGGTCGAACTTATCATTGAACTCTTTCGCAACTTTGGGCGATAGGATGTCCTTAAAACCGATCAGCTGAGAATTTTAAGCTATGTTACCGTCTGCATAAGCCCCGTACCTTGGCTACTTCCTACAGAGACGACACATATCAGCGGTTCGTGCATGTTCCGAAGGGTTATGCACAGTACCTTGACTCCAGTCGCGTCCCGTTTTCCTGAGAGCTTGAATATCTTTCCGATGACACCCGTCACAGCGTCCTTGATCATCCCAAGGTTGATGTACGACACCACGAACAGCACGGTCGAAACGATGTAGTCGATGAAGCTGTTTCTGTTCGCCTTCCTCTGGCCCGCCGACAACAGCTCCTGCTCCATACCGACCTCCTTAGCTATCGTGCGCGCTGTTTGGCGCTTACTGTTCTCCAAGTCTAGCGACGCGTTGCGATCAACAAGCAGATGGACGAGGTCCTTGTCACGGAGCTGCTTTAAGGCGACCATGATCGCCGTGCTGTTGTCGTCCTGCGGGAACTGCACGTCAACGTTCGCGTTGGCATCCAGGAGTGCCTCGACGATCTTGACTCTGTCCTTAGACGGTGAGCGGGAACATGCGAAGAAGAGCGCGGTGCGTCCGTTGGGGTCCGCGAAGTTGATGTCCAGTTTGGGAGACGTGTTCTTCAGGAGTAGCTGGACGACGGCAAGGCGACCGCCCCAGCATGCCGCGGCGAGCGGAGTGACCTTCTTCATTCCCCCGGGAGAGTTGATCAAGGTGGAGGCGGAGGGACCAGCATCCTTGAGGTACTTCTCGAGCAGAGTGCTGGTAAGATCTCCGCTGAAAGCGTCATCGTGGAGGTTCGGCATTATGGTGAAGAGTTAGGCAGGGAGGAATGGCGATGATCTGAGGCTGCGGCCATCCATATAACTCTGCGGCCTTGCTGAGACTTCCACACGGCGGCGTTTGCGCAAATCAAGCAGTCCCGCGGGCCTGCACCCGAGTTCGGCGTCGGGGTCGCACGAAGACAGGCCCGTTGCTCGAGTGGACGACGTTTACTGGCCAGAACAAGACCACCCAGTGATGTGATCGGCGTTTCCCTGAATGCCCTGAAGAGCCCACCTTGAGCATCGCATTCCGCCGTTTGAGTCGTCCGACCACAAATATCGAGCAGAAGAGGTTTGCTGACTGCATTTGACCAACAACGGAAGCGAGGGCCGCGGCACGTCCTAAAGGTTTCCCGAGGCCGTCAGTCCCCGAGAGGGCAATAACTGACAATAGCTAGCATCAGTCTCACCCTTCTCTTCGACATTTCGCCGTTCAACGGGCGACCTGGCCAAACGCCAGCTTGGCTGCGGAACGTAATGTGACCGGTCGCTTTGATTTCGAATGATAATCAACGATGTAGCCTGAATGGAAGCTCGCTAACGCGACACAATCTGCGGAGGCAGGATCCGGCTGGCCCATCATTCAGTCGAAAGTACTCACCAAGCAGTGCCACGGAAGTTATAGGGAAATTATAGGTTGAGCCTCCCGCGCTGAGTCCATATTTCCGCACATACTTCCTGTTGTACACCGAACACATGGCGATAGTTTCGCAGTGTACAGTATGTTGCGAAACGGAGCTTGATACGATGGGGCGAGTGCTTGCGTGAGCGCTGCGGCGGAGGTGAGGTACGAGCTGCATGGTAAAGTCGCATGTGTCGCACGTTGCGGACCCGGGCCTGTCTGCTGACCTTGATTCTCTGTCATTGTTGTCTTGAACATCTTCCCTGCCGACCTCGACGTACGCCGTTCATTAAGTGGTGGGAAAACCCCGCTTCTCCAGATCTCGATCACTTTTCACCGGAGAGTCCAATCCAGGGCGCTTCTGGGGATCTCTGTAGAGCGGAGGACAGAAGATTGATGGCAGGCACCGACGACAGGCTGTTAAGCGGCGGTTCCCGACTGGTGTACTGGTAGCGCCTAGTAGCGCGCGTTGTTGTGGACGTCGTTGGCAATCCCTTCGGACGAAATTGGTTATGAAGACATTGACAGCCTCTTGTGAATGAGCTTTCAAGTTGTCAATCGACTAAGCAGAACTTACGTTGGCCCGACCCAAGAACCTGGAGGTCTTCAACTCGAATGCGGGCATATAGTGCAGTGGACGCACTTGACGTGACACCTCATGGGCCATTGCTGCAGCGCTTTACGGAAAAGTCGCTCTTGGCGTCTTGAAATGGACAGACGGCTGTCAGCAAGGGGCAAGGGGATCCAGTGTTGACTCGATTTCCCAGAGTTCAATTGTTCTTGCAGTCGACCAGATCCCGCGGAGACGCGATATGAACAATCCGCCGACTGTCACAAAGTCATGGAAGACCAGCACGCGGTCATGTCACTGCACACGCTTTCGTACCAGGCTGCGTACGATGATGTGAATACGTACAACCTGGTCATTTCGGGGAGGACGCACCGTCGAGACCTGCAAGGCGATTCACCAGAGTTACTCGGAGTAGCCGCTAGGCTGACGGAGGCAGCTGTATAAAAGATCATCCGCGCGGCAGGCTCATACAGCAATTCGCCCGCTCTTCGCATCGCACACCAGATCATATTCTCTGCACTCTACCAGCACTCACCAGTCGTCATGTCCCAAGTGAAGGATATCGCTCGCGGCCTCTCCGCCAACGGCGCAGGGCCGACCCCCGCTAACAACGGCAACTACCTCCTCTACACCGACAGCGGCAAGCTCGTCGTCAAGCTCTGGACCGGGGAGGCGTTCGGCGACGAGCAGCTCGTCTCCAGCTCCGTTCGCGCCGGCTCCACCGCCGCCTACGTCGCCACCACCACCAAGTCCTTTGTTGTCGGAATCACTTCCGGCTCGAAGCTGGTCGTCTTCTCGTACGACGAGGAAGAGGAGGAGTGGGCCGAAGACAAGACGCTCCCCGCGCTCGCCGTGCACCCCTCCGGCAAGCTCGCCGCCACCCTCTGGCAGGACACCGTCCGCGTCGTCTTCCAAGGCGCCGGGGGTGAGCTCACCTACCTCTCGAAGCCCGCCGCGGGCGGGGCGTGGGCGACCACCCAGCTCGCCAAGGCGGCGCAGCCCCTCGCCGGCACCGCGCTCAGTTTCTCTCACCCCGGCGGCGACGTCTTCTACGTTTCCGCCGCGGACCAGTACATCCACGGCCTCTACGAGGCGGAGAAGTGGGCGGACAGCGTCGCGGCGCCCACGCCGGTCGGCGTGCTCAAGCAGATGTTCGTCTCGACCGGCGGCACGAAGGAGACGGTCGAGGCGTTCGGGTTGACGGAGGAGAGCGCGGTGCTCCAGGTCCCCGCTGTCGGAGAGAAGGTCGTCCTTGGCGACGTCAAGGCGGACGGCACCTTTGTGTCCAAGGTGAAGGCGGAGTGTGTCAACCAGAATCAGAACTGCGTGATCGCGTGATGCTACTGCGCGCACATTGTGGATGTGTTGTGATCTGGGTTCAAGTTCTGGAGACAATGTATGTCATGCACCACTTTTCTTCCGAATTCAGAGAACAACTCACTGACCCGATTTGTTTGTTCACAGTGTCACGGCAACACGGGCTTCGTTACGCCGGATTTCTTCATGTTGTTTAGCTATCTCGTTGTCTGAAACACCTCAATGATATCTCGTCTGTGCTCCTACTTAGAGATGTGCATGCAGTGGTCAGCATAGACTGGTTGAATCGACTTACGGGTATTCGACACGTAGTTGCCATCCCGCTAAATGCTTTGCTGATCCAGCACTTGGCAACCAGTTTACCATTGTCGGTGATGAGCAGGTTAAAGCCTAAGCAGCCACCATAGTCAGCGCGAGTCGCCGCGCCGTTGGTGGCGAGACCGCGAGCAATGTCCTTCGTTTTGGACATGTCGGGAATATTTGGCTGAGTTGCCTCCTTCGTAGTAATGGCTGTCGCATTAATCTCGCTGTGGCAGCAGCCTTTACGAATCAGTGCCATATGCCTCCGACGGAGACAGTAAGTACTAGTGTCCAGCGGTATGTCACCAAGGCGATCTTCCATGACATTCATGACTAGGACAGCCAGCGTGTTGACCATCGCGTATACGAACCCGACCAGTGACGCGCCGAAGATACTTGAATTCCGTTCAAGCTTCCTTGGACCACGCTGGTCATGTTGATGGCGCAGCTTACTGGCAAATCCTCTACGCTAGCCCCAGGTAATACCTCAACTTTAACGTACACGCTGTAAGATGTTGCGCAGATGACAACTGGTCCCTTCTGACACTCACCGTTGATTCAAAGACCGTTAGCTATGCCTTCGCCAATACCTGCAGCCTGAGGCATCTCCTGTCCCGCGCGAATGCATCCAAGATTTCGATAGTTCCAGCACTTCCTCTGATTCGGAGTCATCGATGCGCATATGCGCGGCCTAGTGTTGGGTGTATGGGATTGATTGACAGCCTGAACCTTGCCAATGTCACGGCGGAGTGTGTCGAACTTGAAAGCGCCTTTCATCTCCTGCACTGACAGTGACACGCCGTTCATTGCGCGTTACGGGTTCATTACATAAGTTCTTGTGGGAAAGCGCTGCTTCTTCAGATCTCGATCACTTTCCGCCGGAAAGGCGAAATCGGGAACTTCCGGGCAAGATACCGATCTGTTGTGCCTGTTGATCAAGCCGTTCTATCCCAATCCGTATGTACCGGGACGCCTCGAACATCCGCGGCTCAAAACTCAAAAACGTCTCAGAAGACGAGCGGGAATGCTTGAATCCAGGTGCTGGCAGCTGGTGCAGAGGCACGCTGTGCATTTGACGTAAGTGTATCCTTCCATTCTCGATGAACACAATGACACGATGCCGGGCCCAGCAGGAGACCTCAGCTGATTTCAATAGGCCGGATGGCAGCTTGAAGGGAATAGTAAGCCATGCCTGAACTGCGCGGTGCTCATCAGACAGCCCTACATAGGCCACTCAGTCAAAGAAGGAGACTAGTGCGAACTACATACTTACTAGCTCCTACACGGACACCCGCGGCATTTTGTACGGAACCATTGCTGCCGTTGGCATATTTCCCCAAGGAGGACTCGGAGCCGCGGAAGTCTGATCTCTTGTTCTACTACCTAAGGGCCGTTCACTGACTGCCAGTTCGGGAGTCCCTCAGCGTGCAGTAACTCTCCTCGCCGTTGGCAGCCTCGATAACTTACTCTGAACGTCTCTCTTCAACTGCTACGTGTCCATTGGATCGATACGCCTTCGAGTCAACCATGGTCAGGAAATTTTACGTCCCCGACGACTTGCAGCACCCCTCCTGGACAGGCGAGCAGCCGGATAGAGTCAAACCCACCGGCCTCACATTCGCAACACTACCTACCGAATGGGTTGTGCAGATGGCATTCAAGAGGGGTACCGATACATTCCTCGGCAACGGTTTCTTCGTGAACATCCCTGGCGTACCCGACTACCACGTCATCCTCACCGCCGGTCACAATCTCATCGGACCTGACAAGGAGGAGTCGCGGGACATCACCGTCCGTGCGCTCAACGCTGTAGACGACTACGTCGTCCCCGCGGACAAGTACTATATCTGCAAGTCATTCAAGGCCAAACCCGTAGAGAACGATCCGAATGACTGGGGTGTGGTCCTCTACCCGCGCGGTCTGCCCAATCTCTTCCCCGCGCGCTACCGCGACCCAAGCACGACACAGGCGCAGAAGGACATGATGGAAGCCAGCTTTGGCTTCCGCTTCAGCCTGCGCCTTGGCCACGCGGACTCGCTGCAAGGCCAGGCGAGCATTAGCGGCTATCGCGACGTCTCCCCGCGCGGTGAGCCGAGGGTCTCCACCGGCACCATCATCGCGGCGTACCCAACGCAAGTCGAGTACAAAGCCATGACAGAGAGAGGCATCAGCGGGAGCGTCGTATGGATACCGTACCGCACCTTCCCCACCGCGATCGCCATACAGTGCGTGCATCGGTTTTTCGTCACACTTTCTGGACCCGGAGCTCGTGCTAACGTTGTCTCGCTCACACAGTAACTACGGCCCGAAATACAAGGGTGCGGGCAGCCGTGGCTCGCGCATCACCGCCGACCTCATGCGCGAAGTGTACGGCTTCACGAAGGGAGCCTCCTTCGGAGTGCAGCTCCGCGCGCACGGGACGCCGCGGCAGGTCAAAGACCTCCCCCTGGGGGGGCTATTCTTGAGCTTCCCATCCACCCTCCCCTTCGCGCGCGTGCACCTGCGCTCCGGGACTCCGGTCGACCTCCTGCCCGCGCAGTCCGGCGGCGTGCCGATGCACGTCATGGCCGTCAGCACCCCCTCTGGCATGCGGCACGCCGCGTTCAACATCGGAAAGCGCGAGGTCGTGCTCAGGGAGAAGATCCGGGACGACTGTCTGTTCGAGCTCGTCGGCGGGAAGCCGTCGAGGCAGGGCGAGGAGACGATCCAGATCAAGATCCCGAAGGACTACGCTGACGTGGAGGGCAAGGAGAAGTTCCAGCTGCGCGTGCAGGGCACGGCCATCAGGCAGTTCGATGGCGACGATGCGGAGAGCTCGGAGGTGTCGTTCGTGGACGCGCCGACGTCGGATGCGGTGAGTCGTCATTTGTGTTCGTGCAGGAGTGAGCGCTCAATCGGGTTTCAGTGGACGGCCTTCGCGCTTCAGCGGTGAAGGTCGGCTGAATCTGAACTTGATGCCCTAGATGCGTGTGTGTCGGTTCTTGGGTTCGTAGATGTCACATCGCTTCATTGCATCGCTCTCGAGGTAACATGATACCCAGTGCTCGCTCCGTGTGCCATACGCAGTATGCTGGGTATATTTGCTGCCCTTGCTCGATCAATGCACCGCCGACTCGGAACGGGAAGTCACTATCAAACGACAACATGTTCTGCACTGGACGCAGGTATGGGTGATATGCTAAGTGCGAGCCACTCCTCATACCTCCCACGATCAGCTTCGTCAAGAGCTTGAGGACTCGCTATCCCTCCAGCCTTGCCTCATACTAGTACTACTAGGACATACACCGCATTCCTTCATACTCGCGAACTTTGTTTTTGAGTGCGCCCATTTAACGATACCTTCATATACGTCGAGAGCTACCTGATTGATTGGGACCATGTAGGCTGGTCAGACCAGCTGCATAGTTACATATGAAATTGCGCTTGGCAGGCTTCAAGTTGCACGACGCGGCGGCGGTCTGGCGCCTAAGCACTACACTCCCTCGGTTCTTTCCACTCATCTTGCGCTCATCTCGCTGTAATGAACTAGTAATGAACGCGATTCAAAGAACCTCTGCCTACATAAGACAAAGACAAAGCTATTCGTTGTCGCAGCAATGCAAACACTAGAACAGACCGGGTTGTGCGGTAGCTGCCACTGTGGCGCGCTCACCTACATCGCTACGTCTATCCCAACATCCACCGGCTACTGTCACTGTACGAAGTGCCAACGGTTAACAGGTATGTGCACCGCCAATCATCTTCTATTGTATACCACCTCAATTCACTTCCATATCATAGGCGGACCATTCGTACCGACTGTCCATTTCCCGCTAGAATCCGTCGCTTTCTGCGCTACTCCGGACTCTGCATTGCACACGTATACGCCAGCATCGCACCCACACGAGACTCGCTACAGATGCAACATCTGCGGCGTCGGGGTCGGATCTGTGAACAAGAAAGAGGGACATACCGCTGTGTGGGGCGGAACTTTGACGCGGATACCAGTCGCGGGTGAAGAGAGCGCGGGGAGGATAGCGATGTGGGAGAAGATAAGTCCGGTCTTGCACTACCACTACGGAGAACGGATGCTGGACATCAGGGACGGACTGAGGAAGTACCGCGACAGGGTCCCAGAGGACGTCGGTGCACCGGGCTCGTGCAGCGTGCAGGGAGGAGACGCGGATGAGACAAGCGACGCCGCGAGCGAAGACGCGTCGGACGAGGCGGCTGGGGAACAGCTGAGTGGTGGTTGTTTCTGCGGGCAGATCTCTTATACATTCTCTGCGACCGACGTCCTCAGGACGGCGTACTGTCACTGCACACAGTGCCAAAAGCTTACTGGTGAGTGCCGATCGAGTACAGCGTATCTGTTCCCGCCGTGGAGGCCGTGTACCATGTCTGCACCTCTCTGAGAGATCGCTAACGATTTCTTGACAGGCTGCCCGTTCATCCATACCATCCATCTGCGCTCTTCTGCCGTCGCATTCGCACTGCCGTCATCCGCCGCGACCGTTCACACTTCGTCGTCAACCATCCCCGCTTCGCAAATCGAACTCGTCTCGCTGCCGCACGTACTGCGCGCATATAACACACCATTGAAACCGCACAAGACACGCCTACGCTGCGCGACGTGCGGGACGTGTGTGGCATCAATGAACAGCCTGACGGGAACGACGTCCGTTTGGGGTGCGTGAAACAGTTCCCGTGTGGCTTTTGCTCCCGCGCCGCTGTTCTGTACACCTTCGCTCAAGCACGATTGCCGTGTTGAGCCCTCGCATGCCCGACGCACATTTGTAGGACGTATTCACGAGCGAACTGACTGATCAATAACTTTGACTAGGTGTCCACCTCGCACGTTCGCCCAGCGGACGGATTTGCGAATGGGATAAGGTGCGTCTCGTCCGTCCCTACGTACAGAGCATTGCACGGGACACATCGATTGACGGTAAATGCTGGGGCGTACCGTTGCTCCTAGGTCAAGCCGACTGCCCATATATTCTATGGTACACATTTGCTCGATATCAAGGACGGACTGGGCAAATGGTCAGGGTACGAGAACAGTGACAGACTGGATGTGTAGACCTACTGTAAGTCCGTGATGACGAAACTCATGATCATGTTCTCATTGAAACTACAGGAAACATCATTCAATCCAGCAGGTAAGTGGCACACAAGAAACAACAGGACAAATAGACAAGACAGAGTGCAAGGTATGGCAAACTACTGTACAACAGACATAGCATCTGATCATATCAGCGAAGAACAGCATCTTCTGTAGCAATACAAATAGGAAAGAGGAAATGGCATGCATACATGGTAAGAACTGCTATATAACAAATCAACCAACATATGGAAACACAAGTATCTCAACAGCCAAGATGTATGAATGGAACCCAAGCCAAGAATGAAGAATCCTTGAGATTGTTGTACTCTGGCTTCATCCTCAGCTTCTGTACAGCATGATGAAGGGCATATGCAGCCTGGGTACTGTCCTTGGTTGCTAGCAAGTGAGAGTAGACCTCTTTGGCAACCTCAGGACCATCACAGTCATTTATGGACCACATAGTGGCAATGACACTCCTGAACCCAGCATAGAGCATCCCTGCAGCTAGATGGACAGCTTGTCCTGACAGCTTGGGATCTCCAGTTGCAGTTTGGCAAGCTGACAAGTATGCAAAGTCAGCATGAGGCAGCTCCACTTGCATCAACCTTATGAGCTTCAGGTTGTCATCATGTAGAATGAATGCACTGTCAGTGGCCTTCTCATTGTCCTGTGATGCATGGCATGCAAAATGGACCCAGTTAGCTAAGGAAAGCTCAGCAAGAGTCTTGTCAACAGTAGCTTCAGCATTTTCTAGGCTAGAGCAGCCCATGCTATTAGCCTCAGCCAAGTTCTGGATGCCAGTCCATTCATCTTTGACATATGGGATTGGAAGTGCTCTAGGATTCTGAGGCTGGCAAATACCCAACAAGTGTGGATTCTGGCTGACTTTCTTCTGCCTGGTCATGAGCAATGCTGACAGAGTAGGTGTATATGATGAGACAACATAGTCAGAGATCTTATGGCCTGGTTCACTTTGAGAGTAATCCCCTGCAGCATGAATGGGGAGGAATGCAAGAGGGCCACTAAGGCACCACCAAAAATGGGGCAATTGGCTCTGAAGTGAAACCTATGGAAGTGCAAGTGATCAGTTAATCATTGTTGTATATATCAGCAAGCCACAGGAGTACTTACTGGAACAGCAAGTGCTTGCAGGATTGGTGACACAACATGAGTCCAGAGAACCTTGAGAATATCATAGAATGTCTGGTTCTGAGAAGAATCAACAGGACTCAGAAATGCAAATCTCTGCTCTGTGGTTGCTTCTACTAATCCCCGGGCTGCACATCCCTTAGATACATTCCTCATGGACAGGCAGAGATCATCAAGGATGCCTAGTGTCATTGTTGTGAGTGACACATGCTTCACATCTTTACTACCAGGCATGAGCACCAGAGCATCACATACAGATACTGTGCCTTTAGTCATCATTGAGAGCATGATCACTGGGCACTGCTCAGACACACTCAACAATTCAGTGAAGGGCATTGGTTTCAGAAAGTGTTTGAAACCAGGCAATCCTTGTGCATGCTTCAAAAGTGTGTCCCACTTTGCAGCCAGCTTCCTGTGAGATTGTGCTGCTTTCTCAATCTGAACATCTCTCACTTGTACCCCATGTGAATCATTTCTTGTGAGACTAGCATGCTCCAATTGCTTAGCAACCATCCTGAGCTCATTGGCCAGGTGCTCATCTGCCTTGTATAGATCATCCAGAGGAGATCTTAGCTGCAATAGCTTGTTCCACACAATTGATCTTCCCTGTTCAAGCCACTCAATTGCTTGAGCAAGGTTTCTCATGACAATGGCAACCATTGCAGCTTCCCCAGCTATGCCATTATACTGTGCCAACTCATCATATTGCTTGTCAATGGTATGTCCCAACCATACAACACTGGGCAGTAGATTGAATACTTCTGTATATGCTTGGACAGCCTGAGGGTATGAATCTGGTCCTTGCAGGACTGTAAAACGACCCCATTGCTGAGCTGCATGCATCCTGACACTGGATGTTGCTGCATGACAGTATGTTGCCTGTCTGAAAGATTGGATGGCCTTCTCCATTGCATTGTCCAAAGCAGAAGGTATCATATCTGTGGCTCCCATCCAGTCTCTGTGGATGTATCTCTGACCTAGATTTATGAGCCTATGTGCCAAGTGTGCATGGTCCTTAGGTGTCAGTTTTATTGATTGCTCAAGCCTCTTGATTGCCTGGACCATATCAGATGGCTCATCATTGAGCTTAAACCTAAGGTGATAAGAGTTGCCCAGGTTATTCAACCAGCCAGGCTTCCACATATTTACATCTGGCAAGTGATCAACTACAGCTTCCTGCAGTGCTATGGATTTAGATATATCAGAAGGATCCTGAAATGTCTCAAAGCGAGATGTGTATGCATATCCAAGAGAACATGTAATATCATGTCTCCTGGATTCTGTGATTGAGGGAACTGCTAGTGCTTGTTCTTTAATGAGTATTGCCTGGTCTATGATGTGTTTCCTCTTGTCACTATTGAACTGAACCATGTATACAGCACCCAGATTGTCCAGGCAAAGAGCTCTTTCTGGATGAGAAGGTGGTATCAGATCAACAGCTTCTTTGAGTGTGATGATAGCAGCTTCTATATCTGACTGTGTCTTCAACAACTGATAGCGAGCACTATAAGCATTCCCTAGATTGTGCAAGCTGTGAAATCTGTCCTGTGGAGATTGAGAGGCCTCCAAAAGCAGTGTGATAGCTTCTTCAATGTCTGAAAGCTCATGCAATTGGAGAAACAAAGCTTGGTGGGCATATGCTAGGTTGACAAGAATGCCTGCCCTATCATCTGATGTAGACAGTCCACACATTGTCTTGAGAATTGGGATAGCCATCATAATATAGGCCAAATCTCCCTCAAGGCTGTAGAGCTTCAAAAATATCTTGCCCAAAAACCAGAGGTGAGGAGTATTAGACACAGTAGTGGTGTCCAAAGCTCCCTGAAGTGCATTCACAAATTCATTTATATGCAACCATTTGGACTCTTGCTCAGAATCCACCATTGAAGCAAGCACAAAGTCTTCCAAAAACCCAAATATTCCTGGATACTCCATAGAAAGTGCCTGTTGACAGGCCTTGACAGCTTCCAGCCCATGTATCTGATTGGGAGTACTTTCAAACAGTTCCTGATAGGCTTTGGCAAGATTTGCCCACAGATCATGGAGATGAGTATATTCTTTGGGAGCAATTGCAATGCCTTTTCTCAATGACTCAACTGCACCTTGGAGATCTGAGTGCATGTGACTAATTGGGTAGCGATGAAGATATGCACCACCAAGATTATTCAGAAGGCCAGACTCTTGTGAAGATACTTCTATGGCTTCTCTGAGTGAAGCAATGACACTGTCAATGTCTGACAAAGTTCCTGACTTGTCAAAGCAGGATTGATATGAAGTAGCCAAGCTTGCCAGATTAGCTGACCTAGTACTTCTATCATTGATATGAGTAGAGTTCACACCCTGTTGCTTAAAGAAGACAGCTTGTTTCAAGTCAAGGGAAGTACTTGACACATTGAACCTTAACTGATATGCATGCCCTATACTCATGAGACATGCAGCAGGAATTTTTTCTCTGCCAAACAATGGCATAGCAGTTCTATAGAGCCTGATGGCCTTGTTGAGAGTTGAGATAACTCTGGTCATTTGGAACTCCTCAAGGCTGCAAAAGGCTGCTTGACTCAAGTGGTATGCTTTACCACTATCTGGCTGATACATCTTAGAAGCATGGACAAGACAAGTACTGCATTGACCCCAGATTAAAGCGACTGGGTCCTTCTCCAGCCAACTCATGGCTCTAGAGGCAAAGAACTCAATATTTGACACTGACTGTAAAGATGATTCTTGGCCAGTTTGAACAGGGAAAGCAGCAGGTATCATGTTCAGTGTGTTAGTCCAGACTGTTGGATTTTCAGCACAATAGACAACAACACTGTTGATTGACTCACAACCACTTTTGTCCACCCCATTGAGCTGTGGATTGACCACAAGCATCTGATATCTCCTACAGAATATTCAGTAATGCCATGTTGACATATGACATCTAAACAGGAAGACCTACTGTCTCAATGCTGAGTATGCTTCATGTGTATTCAGATGTGAGGTGTCTGCCATGTTGTATGCCTTCAAACAAGCAGTGATGACTGAGAACAGCACAGGGAGTTCGGGGAAGCACGAACAAGCTCTCCCAGTCACTTGTTATATGCAATCATTCTGTATGGCAGTGTTTGCCTGGGAACATGGTCAGCGGACATAGTGAGCTTCCACATATCAACTGCAGTGGCACTGTCGGACATAGAATTTACCGAGAGGACGTGCCACGCAAATGATGCCAAGGCTCACCCATTGTATGCATACAACCTGTACAAGAGTAAGTCGTCCTCTCCAGTCATGAAGAGTACACAGAGAGATACCATGTCCAGTCATTCCCTGAAGTACAGAGCAAGCTCGACGGTGGATGTATCTCTTGGCTTCCGTGACACGAGTTCACGGACGCATTCATGCCGTAGCGCTGTCATGGATGCGTCACCCACGAGGTCAGATGAAAGCGGCCATCGTGGGCGCAACATTGCCGAATATTGTGACGAGATGTGTCCGGACTCCCCTTCGTGACCATGCCACAAACAGTCGTCAAGTCATCTATCCGGCCACTGTGAGAGGATTCAAACCGAGTGAACCATGTAAAGTACGACATACAGTACGCAGCAATGTGCGCAGAGTTTTCGGCAGGCGTCCACGCCGGTGGCAGAAGCTTGTCGTGTGGTCCAAGATATGCTGGAATCTCAACAATCAGAAGTTCCGATGAAGCCAACGGCTGAGCCGCACATGCGTCCCCGATAAGAGTGACATGAGAGACGCACGGCAGTCCTATTACAAAGCGAACCAATAGCCTTTCGGGCATATCATCGATGTCGGGTCGAAGCATATTGTGCGTCTGCGAGCCTCCGCGACCAAGCAACGCAGGTACCTAGTATCTCGGAATTCGTCTGCAGTATTCATGCTGAAGACGAGGGTACCTGCATCCAACACCTCTAATAAAGGACACACGTCAGTGTAAGTAACACTTCGCCCGCCACGAGCACGCACTATTGTTCAACACCTAGCGAGATGTCAGGTAGCTCGTAGGTATATGAACGCAGACTCACCAGGGTGCATTTCATTGACCATACGTAGCACAGCTTGCTGCCGAATATCCCCTTCGGTAAGTATGGATGAAAGGAAGCCTTTGAGGACAACCAAATAGCCTGTTTTGCAAAGGTCACAACACACATATATATATCGAGTTGCAATGAGGAAGAATAAGTGTGTCGTGGCAGTAACTGGGAGCAGATGCTACGTCACCGTTTGTCTCAATGCCAGCGACCATACTCAACGCGCGTCGCTAATACGTCCAGCCACTAGACAACGTGACAATGCATTGCTGTCCCGATGAACAGGACCAATAAGACGCTTTCAAGTGAGCAGTGTTGCGCCAGCTAGTGGGTACGTCTACTGGCCGTTTATGCGCTGGCCAAGCGGGAACGAGCCCTGTGCCGCGCTCCGGCCTGAAAACCGCATCGCACGCGGGGGCCCCACGATGCCGAGATGGGTCGAGGTAGCGAGAACACGCCGCACGGTGATGACTTCGCAAGAGCATGACCCGGATACGGAGAAGCGATGGTGACGTCGAGTCGGGGGCGAGCACACTGGACGCACCCATCGCAATGTACGAGGCCGCGATGCAGTCAACGTATGCTGCATGCCTGAGACGGAGCGCCATCGATTGCGAGGACGTCTTTTGGGAACACTTAGATGAATGCAAGCTAAGTAAGTCGGCATTGCTGGAGGATATGGACACGCACCCTGCATCAGTCTTCCTCCTACTGAAACTACTCTGCGGATCGTTAGATTCGATTATTCTGGCGTGAACCGCGCGAACGTGTGAAGGGTCCGTTCCCGTCCTCGACACTGGCAGGCAAATGCGGGAGACACCGTCATTGTGTTGACCAGCGCCTTGCCACCCTCCTGAGCTTCGCTATGCCAGTATAAATCTGTGTCCTTACACAAAAAGATGGGCGAGTAAAGTGGCAGCCTATGTGATGCCAAACACGGATTGACCACAAGTTGACCACCACGAGAAAGCAACGACGCACGTAAGTTCCATCCGTGATTACTATTTGCCTCGCCGCGTTCGCATCTGCGGGATGATGTACTGAAATCTGAATTTGCTGGTACATTCAAGGCTAACTGGCAGCGAGCGAGCATGACGAGTACACATGAAGGATCGGAGAAAGTACAGGACAGCACTGCGGCCGCCTCGGTCGTGTTAGTACTAGTAGGTGGCACGTGCGAAACGCGCTTGTGGCTAGCTAGGCTGGACATTCGGACCTCCACCTCCTCGTACTCATCTTAGAAGCCTTGTCGTCTTTCGAACGCACTTGCTTCCGTTCTCCGACTTTGCAAACAATCACAGAGTATACTGAAATGTGGTAATTGATCCGCAGTCGCGTCGGACATGTACTCCTACTCAATCATCATGTACAGTACGGACTGATCAGTTCCGCAGTTATCGCAGCATCGGCCTCGGGGCAATGGAACAGAAAACGAATTATGCTCAGCGATTGTCGCGACGAAGCTCGCTGCTCGACATTCGGACGTGCAATGACTATCGTCTTGCTCGGGGCCTGATATGACTAGGAAACGACGTTGTTCATTATTGGTGAGCGCGACAGTCCCCTCTGACGGACATACGGATACAGCAGTAACTGCAGACACGAGCTTCCAGCGGGACCCGAATGTTCATTTATTGAGACGCGAAAGGGCTACATGCATGAGTTGTGAATGGCAAGCTTTCAGCAGTGTTAGATCTCGCGTCATTGTTAGGAAATACTCAGTCGATTAACCCATGTTGTCCGCGAGAATGATATCAACCATCGACAGGGAACCATCGGGAATCATACTTTCAGCGTAAAATTCTAGAACGTCTCAGCACTTCTTCCGCTCGTTCAATTTCACAAGCACCAACATGTTCTCACTCACCCGCATCTGCATCGCCGTATCCGTCAGTCGCCGTCGCCGCCGCCCCCGCTGCGTCCAGCAGTGCGCCCACGAACACAGGGTGCGCCGCCACCCTACTCCGTCGGTACCCTGCAACACAGGCGGCGGGGCCTCACCGTTGGCGAGTCAGAAAAGCGCCCGTGTGCTGCGAACACAGGGGCATCGTGAGTTACTGCGTTCGCGAGACAGGTTAGATGTCGTTCTGACCGTGTTCCCGATATGCAGGAAAGCCTCGTCTCCGTTGGTTGCGTCGTAGCACGCGGATGTATGGTGACAATGACGTCGTACGTATGACTGCTGGTCGTCGGTGTATACATCTTGTCAGGAATGGATCGTGTTGTGCGCGTCGCTTGTAGCTTACCTGAGCGCCGTAATGTGAAGATGCCTGCGAGCACGGGGATCGGTGAGGGTGTCGTGCCTGTCGAGATGATTGCTGCGGAGTGCGCGAGGTGCGGGTCATGAGCGACGGAAGGCTCGCACACACGATAACCTGCATTGGTAGAGCAAATGAATGAGCGGCATGAAGAATGACTATACAGTTTTGTTGCTGAGGGCATGGTGGAGGAGACGTCCCGGGCCCGGATCGGTGCAATGGAGGTGGTAACGATTATGCACTCTCATTCTGTAGAGACAAACCGAAGGGCAATCGTATATTGAAGTTACTCCTGCTTGTTGACTTCAGCCCGAGTTCAAGCGGGAACCTGACAGTGGATAACCAGTATTAAAATCTTTCTTCACGGAAGCAGTAGTCGCTCACGCTGCTCATAGTTAGGATGGCGCTGAGGCAACGCCGAGGCCATCATGGTCCAGTCGCCTGCGACCCCGAAATACGGAGATCCTACCAAAGCTGCATGTCATCCGAGCCTTCATTGAAGTCGACGGGCACATACCTGCATGTATTGACAGAGTGGGCAACAAATGCACGGATTGTTGAAGCTCGTTCCCACAGACAGCGGCATGCGTGGCCGAACGTAGATATATTGCCACGTAGAAACAGCATAAGAAGGCTCGCGAAGAGCACGGTGAGGAAAAAAATAGGGTATGACCCGACAGCGCAAGAGTAGTCTGAATCGAGTTTCGCAGGAGCAGAGCTCCGCGAGCCGCGAAGTGAACTAACGGACACCGTCCACATGCACGCACCATTTGACCACGACATTCTTCCTGATATGCAGTGATATGCAGTGAATGCTTTTCGAGGACAATTAAAGAACTCGCCACATCCTCCTGCCGCTGATTGCATCCTCGAGCAAGCGTCGAACAATGCGAAGACGATAGCGATCGGCGCGTACAAGCGTGAAGCTTGCCCTGTCCCCGCGGCGGTCCCAAAGCTGCATCCGTCCCTCCGCTTCACATAACAGGACCGCTGCGGCAAAGTTGGACCTCGCCCACAAGCAGCCCTACCGCCGCAATCCTTCGGCACCTGGACTTGAACCATGCTACTACTTCTCCGGGCTTGCAGGATGCAGCTGTGTTTCTGATACGTCGCGCCAGCCTGTGAGGCTGGGACCCTGCTAGAGTCGATCGAGGGGGACTGGAGTACTCAGACCTTAGCCCGCTCACGAATGCAGACGCGTGATGCATCCTGTACGTTGTGAGCCTCGCGGCTTTTGCGCTGTCGGGGGGAGAGCGGGCACCCGTCGTGGGCGGACGAGAGACCGTCTCGACGAAGACAATGTGGCGACCCGCGGCTGTTTTATGTAGCGGAGTGCGGATCTTAGATCCAGGTGTGGCTGAGACGGTTTGGACAGTCGACACTCCGGCGTGAGCAACCCATCCATACTGCCTACATCAGACACCATAGCACAGACCCTCCTCCACCACCCGCAGCTGCCTTCAATTCCGAAGGTGCCCTCTCACCGCAGATATCGACTTGAATCCCGGAAAGACGCGCTGGTTGATCGCCGCCTGAATGGCTAATCTAGTAATCTCTGCGCGCCGGTGGCTAATCTGCTCCTCCTTGTCCGGAACGATAACTGAAGGTCTGACTCGGACGATTGCCCCTCTTTCAGGGCGCGATATATAGCACTGGAGAGGCAGCTAGGGTTCATCGTGCTCGTTCTACGCGCTCACTCTCCGCTATGTCTCAGCCCAACTATAAGGCCGCCGACCCGATCCTCCTCACGCTCTTCGCCAACCGCTTCATGAGCGTGGCGGAGGCGATGGGCCGTTCGCTACAGCAAACAGCGATCAGTACGAACATCAAGGAGCGTCTGGACTTCTCTTGCGCGCTGTTTGCGCCTGACGGAGACCTGGTGGCGAACGCGCCGTTCATTCCCATTCACTTGGGTTCGATGAGTTTGTGAGTACACGATCTCGTTGGGAGTATGATTGGTCTTGCTTGTATATTCAGAAATTGGCAGTCGGGCGTGGCTAGACATGTTACTCTCCCAAAGTCAGAGATGCGCCTGGGGGAGCAGACAGCGGAGTGTCCGTTCTCTCGCTTTACAGAGCTTCTTATGCTGGTATCTGGATCGAGTGTTACAGAATGCGCCCTCGCAGATCGTGGCTAGCTGCGACCCTCCCATGCCACATATCCGTGGTGGGCAATTTTCCGGAGGGGAATTGGTATGGAATGGCCAAGGACGCTGGCGTCTGGGTGCCATGGTTCTACCCTTGCGAATCACGCTTGCGTCTCGCAATAGCGACTAGCCGTGGTGTGGATCTCGTGATTCTAGCGTCTGGAATGGATGCAGTCGCTGTATGCGTATGCATGCTTGGCTTTGGACTGCGTGATACCGCCGGGGTCCCGTGAATGGTGTCCCAGCCCTCTCGCAGGCATACATTCTCTCAATTGGGAGAGCGTATGTGTCTATCCGAACATGGCCCACTGAATCTAGTACCGAACACCGATGATGCAGTCTTGACCACGTCAAGTGTGGTATTCGTTGAGGCACGGTGGTATACCGAACAGCCATGCACAATATTCCACATTACCTTGTACACTAATTATGAGATGCTCATCACGTCCTACAGTGCGGTACGCTACCAGATGAAGCTGCACGGCAAGTCGCTCAAGCCCGGCGACGTGCTCATGACGAACTCGCCTTGGGCGGGCGGCTCGCACCTGCCTGACATCACCATCATCTCGCCCGTCTTCGACACCAAGACGAACGAAATCATCTTCTTCACCGCGTCGCGCGGGCATCACGCCGACATCGGCGGTATCCTCCCCGGGTCAATGCCGCCGACATCTACGAACATCTTCGAGGAGGGCGCACAGATCGAGAGCTTCAAGGTTGTGGATGGGGGAGTGTACAACCATGACGAGCTCGTCGAGTACATGGTCAACAAGCCGGCGCAGTACCCTGGGAGCTCGGGGTGCAGGAACATCAAGGACGTCGAGAGCGATCTGAAGGCCGTATGTGGTCCTCCTTCAAAGGTTGAGCTCCCTGGTACTGATCATCACCTGTTATCCAGCAAATCGCGGCCAACCACAAGGGCATTCAACTCATCCAAGCGAGTAAGTGGCTCTGGTCCGCTGAAAGCGCTGTCACACTGACGGTCTGATAGTCGTGGATGACTATGGGCTCGAGACCGTCCAGGAGTACATGTTCCACATCCGGTCCAACGCGGAGCAATCCGTTAGAAACCTCCTCCGGGACGCCGCCAAGCGCGCAGGCACGAACGTGCTCGAGGCCATCGACTACCTCGACGACGGTTCTCCGGTGCGCTGCTATCTCCTTCGTCGTCTTACCACCACCCCTCACCCTTTCTGCAGATCAAACTGAAGGTGACGATCGACGAGGCAGAGGGCTCCGCCGTGTGCGACTTCACGGGCACGGGCTGCGAGGTGCGCGGGAACCTGAACGCGCCGATCAGCGTCGTGCACTCTGCAGTGATATACTGCATGCGCGCGATGCTCGACATGGACATCCCGCTCAACGCGGGCTGTCTCGTCCCGATTACGGTCGTTATCCCCGAGGGCAGCCTCCTCAGCCCGAGCAGGACCGCAGCTGTTTGTGGTGGGAACGTGCTCACGAGCCAGCGCATGGTCGATGTGGTGTTGAAGGCGTTCAGGGCGTGTGCGGCGAGCCAGGGATGTACCAAGTGCGTGTGTCCGTGGTTCATCTTTCGTTAATTGCTGACGTGGCCGTCAGCAACTTGACGTTTGGCGCGGGTGGCAAGGACAAGGACGGCAACAACATCACTGGCTGGGGCTACTACGAGGTCGGTTCCTCATACTCCTTTACGTCTTCCATGTCCCTGAAATCCGCCGCAGACCATCGCAGGCGGTTCCGGCGCTGGCCCCGGTTGGCACGGCACGTCGGGCGTGCACACGCACATCACGAACACGCGTATTGGCGACGTCGAAATCCTCGAGCGGCGCTACCCCGTGCTCGTGCACCAGTTTGGCCTGCGCCACGGCAGCGGCGGGAAGGGCAAGTGGCGCGGGGGCGACGGCGTCGTGCGCGAGATCGAGTTCACGGAGGGTCTCCAGGTGTCCATCCTCTCTGAGGTGCGTCCTTCCGTAGCGGCGTGTGATCGCTTCAGCGGAGACTAACGTGTCCCGGGCAGCGTCGCACGCGCCAGCCGTACGGTATGGAAGGCGGCGAGCCCGGCGTGATGGGCCGCAACACCTGGGTAAAGCAGGCGCGCAAAGAGGACGGCGACTTCCCTGAGGACATCGGGGATAGCAAGCCCGCGCCACTTCAGCCGCGCAATATTAACATCGGCGGGAAGGCAACGGTCTGGATGGGCAAGGGCGACCGGCTGCTGATCGAGACGCCTGGCGCAGGTGCGTGGGGCGCTGTCGAGCACGGCGAAGGACCCGAGACGGACCATAGCCATGTCAAGGCGTGGGCGCCGAGGGGGAGTTTGGCAGAGAGGGAGGCGGCGCAGGCTGGATTCTGAGAGGAAGTCACAACTGGGTTGTAGCAATAGGTCGCTTGGCAGATAAGTAACAAACCCGTCATGTAGCGCTGATATATGTATCCTGTAGTGCTTGGGTACCACGCTCGTTCTGATTCTCGGTGTGCAAGTTGGTTCAAGCCTACATTCCAGTCGTAAGTATGAAGTCGTTGGGGTCACTCTTTTTTTGTCAGCAACGGGGAATAACAGTGAGTCATTGGGTCTATTAGGGGCCTATCACGTTTCCAGCTTAGCCACACCTGAATCTGAGATACGCCCTCCCTCGTATATAAGGCGGCGGCCACGATTGTCTTGTCCTCGAGTCGGCTCCTCCTGTCAGCCCACGACAGGAGCCCCTCTCCCTCCGACAGCGCAAAAGCCGCGAGGCTCACAACGTACAGGACGCTACACGCGTCTGCTTTCGTGAGCGGGCCAAGGTCTGAGCGGTCCCCCTCGATCGGCCCCAGCCGGGTCCCAGCCTCACAGGCTGGCGCGACGTATCAGAAACACAGCTGCATCCCGCATACCCGGAGAAGGCGTAGCATGGCCTTCCATCTACTTACGGGAGGGTCTCGGCCTCGTTTTGCTTGTGGGTGGGCCATGACATTTGCCTGTACCGGTCGGCCATGTGAAGGCGGAGGGTCGGGGTGCAGCTTTGGAACACGTCGCGGGGACAGGGCGGTCATCTTGCTCGTACGTGCCCACCATTAGCGTCTTCGCAGTGCTCGGCTCTTGCTCGAGGACACCGGTAGCGTCAGGCGGATGTGGCGGGCTCGAACAGCATCCGATCTGTAGGAAGACGAGAGTGGTTTCATGGCGCGTGCGAGCGGATGACTGTCCCTCAGTTGACTTCGCGGCTCGCGGAGCTCTGCTCCTGCGAAACTCGATTCAGACTACTCTTGCGCTGTCGGATCACAGCCAATTTTTTCCTCACCGTGCTCTTCGCGAGCATCTGTGGTTTCTGCTGTATCGACTCAGTCCTGCCTACATATGCAACGCCATAGAGGTCTTTGCACGTATAATTTGATTGTACTTCTGTACGGTCTTGTGATATGCGTTCACCGCACGTTCTGTCTGCCTATGCAGGTATGTATGTTTAGACCAACTTTCACGGCACCTTGATAAAACTCAGTTCAACTTGTTATTCAGGATCATATGCAGCCGATTCATCTCGAGCTTGACAAGGTGTGCTGTGTACGCTAACGATCGCAGCTCATTTATGCGATTGCAAAATCGTATCACGATACCGCCGACGGAGATGAGGTTGCCCTAGAAAGTAGAAAATGTCAAATCGGCATGCAAGCTGCCTCGCGAAGACAGATACTTACGATCCCATTCTCTTCGCAGCACATAGGTGTGTTGTTACAGTCTTCGCCGACAACGACGGGGTTGCACCTGATGCCGACGAGGCCGTCAAGCCCCTGCACCACGACACCCAGAAGTCCAAGGATCGGGGAAATGCCGCTGGACATGGCTTGTCACAGCCAAGTATGCGAGCGTGAGTCCAAAGATTTGACTGGGAGAAATGAGAGCGTGCGTATGTCGCCGAATTCCTGGAGCACTAAGGCCCGCCGCCCGTGTTACAGCTGCTGACGGAAGTGGCCGTAGGTGTAGCGGTGTGTGAAGTAGACCACTAACACCGCACCTTCAAGTTCGTGGCAGCGCGCCCGAGACTGCAGGGTATTGTGGACCAGATTGAATAGCGAATCAACTTCAAAATGAACACTTCAGATGATCTTGAACTTGGGGACCGAAGAGAATCGTGGGTCAGCCAGTCCCTTAAGAATTCCTAGATGTTGGCATAGACAATTTCAGTGGGGGCGTATATCCGTTTCATGGGCTGTCTACGAAGACGAACTTTGTTCGGCGGTCCCAGTGCTTGCTCTGCGGTAACGGGAGGATGTCAGTCGCCCGGAAACGTCATGACTTCGACCAGTACTAACAGACTTGCCGGGCCCAGTAGGCTACATAGTAGACGCGTACGCGATATATCTGAGGAGCAATGGAGACCTCACCGCATATCACCGCACGGTCCATGGCGAAGGATAATTTGCCTGTGATGCATCATGCACTTCAAGATTCAAGAATACTGGCTGAGTATTTTAGGTGGTCCGGTGGTGGACGGTTTGAAAGTTCCGACTGCTCGGGCAGAACGCACACGGCGATCATACTGAAGGGTTCCGCACGGAACACCTGAGAATGGACGGTCATTTGACAGGTTCTTCAATATAAGCATCAGCGAGGATGCTGCTCACGATAGCCTATATAGGTTTCGCTATGCCGGACAGGTTTCATGATGATGTACTCAGTCTTGCTTCTATCTGTTCTGTCTGAGCGAACTGTCACGGTGTACATGTTCGGAATCCGACTCATAACTAGTCCCTACATAGTTTGCACGGCATATATGTCAGGCGGACCACGGGCAACCTGAGGTCTGACTGCCACTTGCGATGGCCACGGCTAGCTAGCCACAGGCGCGTTTTGCACGTGGTACGAATGGCAACGTGACCGCGTCTCGCGGTTGACTGCACTGCTTCGAGAATCCAGGCCCTCAGGTTGCCCTCAGGGTCACGGATAAGGAAGCTCTTCGAACGTGTCTTGACGGATCTAATGGCCCTACTTAGCTTCAAACTCTGACAGCAATTCGATAGGGTCGGGCCTGAAGTATGCAACGATGATTAGCGTGTGAGCGCATGCCAATGCCGCACCACGCGTACTACTCTCGGGATGCTGCGATCTGCAACTTGAAGGATGGCGGATACTGTAGGTCGGATGCACTTCTAAAAATCCTCGTGCGCAGTCACGGTAGTCCGCCTAATCAAGGTGTGTTCACATGGCCCCGTCGGTTTCTGTTGCTGTTTCAATGCATTGAATGTCGGCAACGAGGTAGATGTAGTGCAATCTGCTGAACGACAATCTTGAGGAGCAGACTATCGACCCGCGCCTTCCGCCTGTCGTAGTGTCATCGGTGACACGTTAGTCAGAAGAGCGGGCTTGAGCGAGCGATGCAAGCTGTCTATCTCCAATTCAACCTGTCTATCTCTAATTCAACGTTGATGTGGGAGTTAGCCCGATAGCTTCCAGGCGCCCTCGTGGATAGAACGCCTGGGTGAGCCTCTGTACCTTTGGGGACGAAGTACAGATCACAAGACATATCTTGTATGTATGAGAGCCAGTCATGTATGAGCGTGAGCCTGACGGCCTATCCAGATAAAAGAACGGACACACGATCAGCTTCGAAGCCATTTCCGAGTCATCGACCAGTACGCTCACCTTTCATTCATGGCTTCAGCTTACAAGGAAACCGCCCCTGCTACATCGCTCTTTACCGGCGCCGACGGGAACCTCCCGTACATGCATCTCCCCGAAGCCACCCTGACTTTCAGCAGACCACTGGGGAGCAGCGAGCTCGGCTGGCTGTCTGCTCGGGCGCGGGCCGCGTGGATACAATGACACGTTCTCCGTCCTCCCCCTCGCATGCTCGGGCAGACACACGGTCACAGACGATGCAGTCGTGCAGGCCTGCGCCGCGCTCCGCCTTCGCCACCCCCTCCTCGTGTCCAAGGTCGCGTTCCACACCACAGCGCCACCGTCGGTCGTATACGCCTCCCCGCTCACTCGGGCGCACGCCCTGCGCGAGGCGACAGCTCAGATCGAGTTCCATACATTTCACGACCAGGACGCCACCACAGAGGCTCTTCGTGACCGGTGGCTGTCCCCGACACCCGAGGACGCTCTCGACATGCGCAACGGAACGTGTTCCCTCTACTGGGCCCGCGACGTTGATCCGCGCTCCGGGAAGTACATCCTCGGCTTCATGATGCCGCACTTCATCACTGACGGACGGCGGCGGTTGAACCTCGTCCGCTGCATGTTGGACTTGCTCCCAGGCAGGGCGCAGCGGGAGCTCGCGGCACATTTTGCCGGAGAAGTGCCGGTCGTGGAGATCCCACCTGCGCTGGATAGCCTCTTGCCCGACATGGGTAACACCGAGCCGGCTGAACTCGCTAAAGCGAAGACAGCGTTTGACGAGCTTGTCCAGTATCGGAGCAAGGTGAGCCTGGACGGTGAACTGTACTAGACCTCGCTGACACGCTCCCGTAGCCCACGTCCGGTCTTGTTCCTGACGGTGTCATCTCAGAGGACAACCTACACCCTCGAGTCGTGCGCCAGACGTGGTCCGCGGAAGAGACCAAATACATCTTGAAGGCCTGCAAAGCCCATAGCGTCACGATCACGCACCTCGCGAACGTCGCCAGCGCCTTCGCCTGCCTGCAGCGCCCGGGCGCAGCTCAAGTCAACGGTTTCTCCAGCGGCGAGGACGCGTACTACTTCGAGTTATGTCAAGCATTGGACATCAATGCCAAGCTTCCCCAGGTGTCGCGCAACGGGGAGACAGAGACGGCCGTTCGCATCGTCACCTACCCCGTCCTGCTGTCCGTGCCGTGTACTGCAGCTGTCGAGTCCGCGGGCACGATCGCAATATGGGATGCTGCGCGGCAGTTCAAGGAGAGACATGACGCATATGTGAACTCGCCTTACTTTTGGCATTTTACTCGCTTCTACAGGGCTATCGCCGTCGAGAATTACATGACACAGAGGGCTGGCAAGACCTTCATGCCCTACATGAGCAGCATGGGTGACCTCAAGGGCATCCTGCCAACTCGTTACTCTGTTGAGGCATCCCACGCAGGTGTGAACGAAGCCGGGAGCCACAGCGCCGAGATCCGGGTCCTGGACTCGATCGCGGCGGAGAAAGTCGATCCGCAGGTGGCGAGCTTCCTGCTGTACACGTTCGACGACAGATTGAACCTGCAGTTCAAGTGGAATGCGGGGCGGACGAGCGACAATCTCATTAACGGCTGGTTTGGCCGTGTTGTGGAGATCATTTTGCAGGCAGCTGGTGACGAGGGTCCGATGTAGTTCCATGCCGATGTAATTCCTTGTAAACTCGTGTCTGTCTATGACGTTCGGTTCCAGGTTGGCTGGTACTGATGATCTGCGTGATATTTGATGCCTAAACCAGTAGTGATCATACGTCTATCCGGTACGAACCTGTCTTGAAGTTTGATCCACGAAGAGAAATCTTCCACCTGCACTTCGTCATCGCTGTCAAATACTCTTGCTCTTTCGGATCCTCATGCGTAATCCTGAGTTTGGAGGTTGTTATGTGAAAGGATTGAACTCCGGTACGTGGTTACCTGCACGTACTGAACACTGCGCATAAACCGCAGGGATCTGGACATAGGTAGGAAGGGCGACACTCCCAAGATCTTCTCAAAGCAATTTAGTCATTTCCGTCTACTGTGCATCCCAATATACATTCGCAGGATAACACACCATGCATACTATCCACGTAGGTTGTTGCCTAAATCCTTGTGAGTGAACGAGGGTGAGCTCACCACGCCCGGGTGCTCGAGCTCATAACCAGTTTCGAAGTGGACTCGAGCTCACAGCCCTCCATTCATGTGCGAGCGACGACCTGGCGAGTACACTCGTCAATACAGACCGGCGTCACAAGAGTAGATATTACGCATCAGGATGACGATCATGTGTGCTCGCCTACTGCATCTCTGCACTATCATCCTACACCGTGAGTCTATCCGCCTCCTCCGACATCTACGCTTGATCTCTCAACGGAAGTACCACGCGGTTTTCGACGATGAACTGTTCGACCGCACTCGGGCGTAGTCTTGGTTGGAACGAAGCAGGGCGGCCAGCATGTCTGCTGAATCTTTTTTTTTTTTTTTTTTTTTTTTTGTATTCTCCGTGTTTTAGGCCCGTACTGTAGGTACATGTGGGCACCATAGTAAGGGACGTCAGACGTTAACGGACCGTGCTGCGGCATGGGCCCCCAGATCCCGATGAACCCCACCTCCCTGCGACCTCACCACCCTCCCAGCCCCTGCCCCTCCTGCATCCAAGGCGTGTCGGGGTGTGGGCAGCCGTAGGTATTGTCCTGGTCTTCGTCATCCCCCAGTGGCCCGTAAGGTGGGCCACTTAACCATCATAATCTCCCCGCGAGGGCGCGTTGAGTGCGCCCGTAGTTACGATAGGCGCTTATCTGATCCAGTTCACGAAAGCCCTCCCAAAGGCCTCGCCTCCCTCCCCCAGCGCGTCCAGTCATACCACATACCGTCAGAGGCCCATACCCTGTGACTCCACTCTCTACACCTTATACTCCTAAGCTGTCGCTTTCATTCCGCAGGTTTATCCCGCAGTCGCAACTGCCGCTCGTGCGGTCGTGACCCGTTGCGGGTAACATGTAGGGTCGGCCGTAGCCTCCCCGCAATTGGGGTACGCTGTTGGAGGTGCGCGCGATTGGGTTGTAAGGCCATCGGCGGCAAGGGCGGTGGCAACCGGCCATAGTCGATCCGGGAGAGGGATTTACGGCGGGATAGAAGGTCCCGTCCGCGTAGACATAACGGAGCCGGTTAACGGGGGGTGAGAGGACCGGGTGTGCAACCCGCGAGCGGTGTTATGAGGTCGTCCGCGGTCCCGATTCGATATCGAGTTGGTCGATGTAGTGTCGTAAAGACTGTGGGGGTCGAGTTGGTCGATTCCTGACACTGGGGGAGGATGGGACGGGCGAGAAAGAGGGCAGATGGGGGGCCGATAGCGCGGGCGCTAAAGGTAGATGGTGGTGGTACGGGATCAAGAAGGTGTGCATGTCTGCTGAATCGAGAGCGCGGATATCAAGCGCGTACCGGGAGGACGCCGAAGGGACCTTCCGCTCCAAGACCACTCGCAACGCACTTCAGCTGCATGAGATACGAATAATACCGCCCCGGGCGGCGCCATGTCCAGTCTTTCTGAGCCGCGCGAGATTCCCCGACTCCGACCGGAGGGAGGGAGGGCTTTGTCGTGTCACGTCGTGTCGAGTGCTGTGCGAGGGACGTTACCCGTGAGAATGTCTCCCATAATAGGTACATTTATAGCCATATATGGCAAGAATTAGCTTCAGGATCCATCCGTCGGCTCGGATCTTCATAATTATCACTAATTTTGTCAATCACTACAGACACTTTGAAAGGTAAATTTGTGCAATATAGCCTGTTCATTCGCCCATTCAACGTATATTTCCTGTGTTGGTGTGGAAGCCCGAGACGCCCTGGCGGCGAAGCCGCCGCGGGCGTGAGGGCCTCCATTGAGTCTCGATACTGTTCGAATGGTAAAATATTACAGTACATAATATTTACTATAATGCAATTGCGGTAGACTGAACCGCTGTGTTCCATCCAGGAGTCGGGGGATGGCGCTTGCGCCGCTACGATACTGTAACAGGCCGAAGCTGTCCGACTTGGCCATTCGCGGCAAGTCAGGGAAGTCGCTGCCGAATTTGGACTCGCCATACCAGACGTTGAGTGCCAAGGCTCATAAAGAAATGAAGATGAAAAGTCCAATGTACAGTGCCTTCGCGGAGAGTAAAACTTAGCAGAGTCTGGTCGCCAGACGCGGTCACGTGGGTCCCCAGCGCATCCCTCTGCGGCTGCCGATCGCGAGGCCTGTACGGTCACCGTAAGTACAGGTCTCTGAGTCTGTCACAAAAACCACCGGTGCTGCATACTCTTTAGCATCTACAGCAACTAATGGGATGCCCTGCTATACATTGTACATCCACTACGCCGGGAAGAAAGCCAGGCAGGCAGAGTCGCATGGATCTGCTGGCAGTGTCGAACGCTTTGTCGACAGCGACCTTCAGAGCCTTGGAGTTCCTCGGAGCGCTGATGTGATTAGTTTCTGGAGAAGAGGTACACCAGTAGCACGATGCACTTGGAATAACGTGGATCGCAGCCGTGATGATGCCATGGTACGCCCCAGTGCTTCAAACGAGGCTTTCACTAAACTGTCTGCAGCGAAGAGCCATCGAGCCATTCTTGCCGAACGTATGGCGCACGTGGAAAGATCACGAAGCAATTGACCACAGACTGCGCGAACTGGACATGTGAGCACAGCCAGTGTATCGTCCGTGAGCACGTCCTCAGGCGAATCTTGCAGCGCGGAGGCTACCGCTCATATACAGCGAGTTCCTTTGCTTAATTTTGCTACACTTACTGACAGGCTGCTTAGGGAAGAGGACGGAGCGAGGTCGAGCGCCCCTAGAACTGCCGTGAGCCCTCCCGCGCGTGCGCTATCCCCGCCTCAGCATCATCGGCCGTCTAAGCGGCCCCGTTCGCCTGACTGCCGACCCGCCGACCCTCAGCAGAAGCGGTTCCGCACGCCACCTGTCTTTGTGAGAGGGCGTGCGCCTGGGACTGAAAACGATCTTCCGATTGCTGGCCCGTCAAGGATCGTCGCGCAGGGACACAGCGATGATCGTCGGAGTAATGGAGTTTCCGGTCCTCGAGTGGGTTTTTTTGGCTCCGTAGACTGGTCTTCACGGGTCTGACTTGGCGCGTGCTGCTGCTTTGACCGCGCTGCAATAGGCTCCCGGGGTTGTCCTATCTGCGATCGAGAACACCGCTCTCGTCACCATCAAGGAGGAACCCACAGACAATGATGCCCAGGCTCTCCTGAACGCAGGCTCCACAAACCCGAAGGAAAACGAGCAGCAGGCACAGGGCGACGCGGCGGCATCTCAGACACGCGAAGACAGTACTATCGGCGTGAAGCTCGGGCTGGTGGATACGCTCAAGAGCGCTCTCACCGCGGCGGTCACCGTGCAGGCGCGGGAGATACAACTTGAGGCGGACGTCGCATTATACAGAGGCCAAGTGGAGCGGCTGGCGACCCGCGAACGTGAGCTCCATGAGAGGGAGAATGGTGACGTCCAGTCTTTTTCGACTCCACGCACGAGTGCTACGTCCTCATCTCCATCGTTGGGCAGGTCTCCATGTGCAGGCGGCGCGGAAGGACGCGGAGCTGGCCGACGCGCGGTATCAATGGGCGCAGGAGCGAATCCGGGTACTCGAGGCAAATACGGAGAGGGAGCGGGTCGCGCGCGAAATGCGCGACGTGCAGGTGCTGCTCGATCAGGAGAAGACGAAGGGAGCGCAGGGTGACGCCGCGGGACGGGCTGCACAGGCAAACATTGCTTGTAAGTGGGTATGCGGTAATGGAGCTGAGTGCCAGCTGACGTGTAGTTGGACCAGCGCTGCGAGCAGAACGAGATGGGCTTCAGACAGAGTTGCAGACGACTCGCGATGCTGTTGCATGTACGCGCTATCAGTCGTTCAGCGCTCTATCGCGGACTTACTCTTTGCCTTTCTCATAGCGGCGCAGGCACAACTGACATCGGTGCATGAGCGAGAGCTCAAGGCCGAAACCGATAGGGGAGAGCGTGCAGAGCGATCGGCGCTTGGTGAGTACCAACGATCACATTCGATTGCACTCCGCGTATGTTGATCGCACAATACACTCAGAGCTCAGCAAGAAGCTAGTAAGGTTACAGGTGGAACTGCGGAGCGATAACACTGGTATGTCACTCGTATCCGCGTGTCCTCTACTCGTCCACTGACGGTGTACCCGATAGTCCTCCGCGAGCAAGTCGAGGCGCTGACGAAGGAGCTGGAGGGTGAGCGTGCTGAGGGCTCAGCTAGGCGAGAACAGCTGGCAGCAGAGGCCTCATGTGAGTATCAGTCGTCGCGACGGATCTGATGACTGACTAATACACTAACGTAACACTCATAAGCGTTGCGATTACAATTGAAGGCTGCCAACGAGAACAAGATTATTGGTGTGCACCGTGTCGTCGAATGCTGCGAAGCTATAACTAACGAGTCGTCCCCTTCTACAGAGCTCCAAGAGATATCTGCGGAGATGAAGATCTCTCAGGCAAAGATACTCGGTGAGTCAAGGTTGCTTCTCATACGACGCCCGGGGACTTACCAACGTTTCTAACATAAGGTCTCGAGACGCAGCTGCGCGTCGAGCGGGCTGCACGCGAAGCGGAAGGACGGTGTATCGGCGCGATGACCGCTGAGGCTGAGGCCGAGCGCGTGCATCGTGAGCGGTGTGGGCACTGTCGGGTCGGAGCAGCGTCCTGGTGACGGGGTGAGATACGTGCTGCTATTGCCGTGATGGGTTGTTTTCATGCACGTTGTGTCGGTGTGTGTCTCAGATTGCGACACTTATACTCGTGCAAACCCGCTGGGTTGTCAACTGGACGCACGCCGCATGTCCATTTTGCATATCTGATTCGCGCACTTTAAGCGGCAATCACTAGGGTACTCCCACTCACGCCAGACATTACCTTCTGGTGGAGGGGGGATGGGCGTCGTCCGTCACGCCGATCGTGATCAAACACTCTCAGTTTGGCAAGTGTGGCAGTTTGGTCGGCAACCGTTCCATTGAACGCTGAGTCAATTATTAACGTCTGTAAGTCTATATTTGACCGATAATATCGTGCATATTCCGCATAACCCAAGGGACAGACACAACTATTGAACTACGTCGCGTCACGGCGGCTCGTTCGAACACTGGCACCGATACTCGGGATAGACTACCAAACTTGCACCGCCAACATTCCTTCCTCACCCGTACACAACCACCAAGTACAACAACCAGAGTCGCAGTAGCACTATGGCGCATGCTTTCAGACGGTGATCGGAGCGCAGCCAATGGAGATGAGATCGCCCTGTGAATCCATATAGATTGTCCGTCAGTCCCCACGACACGTAGTCCAGGAGCATCAAAACAAACTTACAAAGCCATTCTCATCGCAGCACACAGGGGAGTAGCTGCAGGACTGTCCTACAGTCAGAGAGCTGCAGCCGATCCCGATGATGTTCTCGAGGTCCTCCACAACAACGCCGATGAGCGCAAGCGCCGCGGCACCCGCAACAGACCCAGCCTGGATAGGGAATCCTGCGTGAGTACATCGCATACGCTATACTGGTGCATTCTTACAGTCGTGGTCGTCTGGCAGCACTGCGCGCCGCCGGCGACGTTGCACTGGCTGATGGTGGTGGCCGTCGGCGCAGCGGTGTCGGTGATGGTCGTCGTGGGCTGCTCCCAAGGCTTCGCAACCACGACGAGGGCGAGGGAACAGGCGAGGAGCATACGAGTAAATGAGAACATGATTGCAGGGAAGCAGGTTAACAAGCGAGGTTTGCTAGTTGGACTCGAGTGTAGTTCCTTCGATGAGGCTGGAACTGGAGAATCGCTGAGGGACGGCTTGCCTTCTTATATACTGACCAAGTGTCGAAAGAGCGCGCACTATGTAGCATGTGGAGATCCATTCAGCAACACCGAATGTACGATCAGTGACAACGGTGTTGTCTCTAGACGTCGCCGCAGCCTGCCGTGACACTCCTGCTGCAGGGTCCAGCTCCAACGGCGTAGCGCGTCAGGTACAGTCGCGGTGCAAATATTAATACAGGCACTTTCTGGTCGTAAGCGACGGGAAGGAAACACGAACGTGGGTGGCAAGTTCATCGCGACTGCTTCCAAGTAGACCGATGGAAGTCAAACAGGGCTGTTAGATGACGGCCCTCAGAGTTATGACATTGAATAATGTATTGCTTGAGCCTCACTCACTGAAGTGATACACGCATGGCTTCATATCGTGCCTGAGTAACAGTAAGCAATGGTTTCGTCGCTCGCCCTCAACAATAAAACTCACGACGACCACGCTTCCGCTTTGCTTAGCTGATTAATCGCCAAGATAACGATCCGTAATAGCACAACGGCGATGTTGAGGGCGCTTGCATACACCTACGCGCCCCGAACTTAACCTACGTCCAGGCCGGTAGGAACATACGAGAGCCCAGACCCACGCGCTGACAGTCGAACTGCCTTCCCGGATGGAACGCGTCCCTGCACAGAATAAACGGGCCACGGGTCGGGTGGCAGGAGAACGAGCCTCCGTCAAATCGTGAAGCGCTGTGCCTTGCTACCATCCACGCCGTGAGTTCATCTGGCAACACTTGCGGCGGGCGGTGCTCACCGGGCCTGTATGGAAGCAATATTTACGTGTTGACACGCCGCCCCATACACTCTTATGTGGTTCAATGGTTCCCACTCCACGATGAGTCCGTTCGATGCATAACCACTCGACCCTGTGTCTCTGGTGGTACCTGGCTGTTGAACGTGACATCTAGACTGAGGTGAACCTACCCGGCTCAGCCGCATTGAGCCCCAAGTCGCCGTCGCTGTGGCCGAAAGCCACGGACGTTCTCGAAGGCGCACTGCGTCGTTTGAACGGAACATCAGAGACTCGACCGAAGGTCTAGGCATTGATACCACATACCAACGGCACCAACTACTACTAGAGACATTTTCTCATAAGAGAGCACAGATCGCGATCTCCGTGGTCTATACGTCGATTCGGACAACGCGAAGTCGCCGTCAAATGATATTATGCTGTCGCTGCCTAAAGTGAGCGTATGTTTCACCATACAGATATCCTACACTCACTTTCCAGGCTCAAGAACACTCCAATTTCACGTTTTAGAGCCTAGCAATGTGATACGAAGATTAGTAGGTTCGAGTTGCAGGCAACTATTGGATCTTGAAGGGTCAACGGATTGCGACCTTCGATATGCGCCAATACCGACTCACCTAGAGAACAATTACAATAGCGACGAGAAGGGCGCAGACATCGAGCTCGTCAGGGTGGTTGCACGTTTGTCGATTACGTCACGAGCGAGGTACAAACACAGAAATGAGCCCTGCGACGCCGTTTTGAAGTTCTCGGAGGGACCGTAAGCGATGTCGGAACTTGGACACCAGTGTCAGCAAGCGATCGAGACTTCTGTTAGCACGTACTGCAGAAATCTCAATTAACGGAGCAACCCATATACGAGCCTTCGATGCGAGACTGTGAATCTTCAGGAGAAGGTCGTGGTGTTTCATCCTGACGCGGCGTGTCATTCGTTGTCCAGCCTTCCTCGTACAGGAACAGCAGACTTTGCCTGTCGACCTTCTTGTACGGCAAAGTACAAGGCATGGACATAAGAAATAGCTGAAGTCAGCGTAAAGCCGAATACCAATCACCGTGTTCCAATCGTATTCCGTCAGTTAAGCTCACCATCGTCGATCGCAAGCTGAAGGTGATCGGAAAGCATATGTCAACAACATCAAGCGCCCACCATATTGATGTGATCTCGCCCCAGTCCTTCCGATAGATTGGCCCTTTCTGCCAGCGCCGACTCAGCGGAACACATCGAGGGCGGAGGAACGTGGCGCGCGTACCAATCATGACCCCGGTGCTCCGTTACTACGACTCGACGCAGATATGCTGCAGTATCCTGCGAGATGCATGCCGCGGCGCCAATCTTTCAAGTTCAAGTGTCGACGTTCGAGGCACCATCCGATTTGCACCGTCAAATATCTCTGCGAACGTGGCACGTCAGCTTGCAGCTCAAACCCTTACATGGAGACTTCGCGGAATATGCCATGGGAGCAAAAATCACGCACAATACGTAGCTGGCCCCGGGTCACGGTGCCTAGAGACACGGCACCTCCGAGGCGACATGCGACTGTGTCCCCATACAAAATACGGCATTCGCACTTACTGCGTACCCGGTGATCCCCTCATGTCGCATGTTGTTACGCGCCGACGGAGGGAAAGAGGCCATTATTCACAGAGCAATTAATACGAATTGATCGGCGAGTTGAATCATGACAGTACCCACAGAACGGCCTGGACAGACGTCGCACGAGCTGCGAGGGCAGCGGGACTACAGGGGTGGGTTGACGTTGCGCTTCGGACGGCTCTGAACTGTATGTAGGACCACTCAAAGACCACTGTACCTTGACTTGGAGTCGGCGACTCCGATCACTGAACAGCGACCCAGGTTACGGTTAATAACGGCGTTATATGACAATTCTGAGGAAACCGCTGCCAGCCTGAGAAACCAAGCAGTGCATCATCCGCATTCGCTGGCAGGGAAGTGACCGAAGACATCGAGCCAGGCCCAGAGGTGGAGTCGCAAAAGCATCCCAAATGCGCGTCTCATACAATGCAAGCGTCTGAAGAAACATCAGCATGCGCGCGGTCCTATGAGAACTCCGTCGCGGGTATAAAGACACTCAACTGTGCAGCTCGTCTCCCCAGTCTCAAGCAACCCCTCGAGATCCCACTTCGAGCGGCTTCATACACACTGTTGCTAGCCATGTTCTCGTTCACTCGCCTTCTCGCCGCCGCTTCCCTCGCGACCGCCGCCTTTGCATGGGAGGAGCCCACGACCACCGTCACTGTGACTGCCACGCCCACGGCTACGTCCGTCAGCCAGTGCAACGTCGCCGGCGGCGCGCAATGCTGCCAGACGACCACGACTGTAAGAATGCACCAGTATAGCGTATGCGATGTACTGACGCAGGTTTCCCTATTCAGGCGGGGTCCGTTGCGGGTGCCGCCGCGCTTGCGCTCATCGGCGTTGTTGTTGAGGACCTCGAGGACCTGATCGGGATCGGCTGCAGCCCTCTGACTGTCGGACAGTCCTGCAGCTACGCCCCTGTGTGCTGCGAAGAGAATGGCTTTGTAAGTGACGGTCTCTTCGCGCACATGAGAAGTGACTAACTGATTATTGAAAAGGGTGACCTCATTTCCATCGGCTGCGTCAACATTGTCCTGTGAATACGCAGGGCGCTGTTAGCACGAGGCGTCGGGGTGTAGTAAGATCTACCATGTTGACTGTAACAATGTTGGCGCGAACTGCGTTGAATCGGATATGCAAATGATTATATGAGTCTTGCCGACCAGTCTAGTTATTTGACGAGCGACAGATATACGAAGTCACAGTGTGCACAGTTCGCCGCGGGTCGCTAAATATAAATGAGACACATACATGTTGCTGAGTGGTGCCTCAGGTGAGTATGGTCCGCTTATCGTCCATTTGGACTTGATTACCAGCGAAAAGCGACTCGGAGATCGGAGATGAACCTTGAGCAGGTTAAGTAAGTGCGAAAAACCAGGATGCGGCTACCGCGCGCAATACGGCCAACGCACCCCTAGTCTAGAAGATGTCGCAAGGCTCACTCGGTTTCCTGTTACCCCCACCACCCTTGGCCACAGTACTGCTCCCGACCTCGCCAGCCGCGCCCTGTTGTTACGCTCCGTGCTTCCCAGGCGCCTCCCAACTGCCTCACAGAACGAGGCCGCACACTAGCGACGAAGGACATCTCGGGCATGCCACGCGAACAAGGTGACATCCGGCGACCTCATATATGCGCGCTTTTATCAATGGAGGTCGACGACGGGCCATCCAACGCTCAAGCTCGCGACGTCGGGACCTGCTGAACACATATGGGCTGCATAAACACGGAGATCTAAGGGATGAGCGGGATAGCTGATGTCAATACACGTTGCTCCACTCACTACGATCAAGCCCATGTCGTCCACCATTCCTGCCGGCATCAGGAAAGCGTCACACGGTCTAACACGACCTAACGCGCCTCACGAGCCTAATGTCGGCCTAACTGACCTAGTCGTCCAACACTTTGGTGACTTAGGTGCACTTACTGTGATGTGTCCTCGTAGTTACTGCTGTCACACAATGGTCAAATAATGTCATATAATATCTACATCAGAAGACATGCTGGTGTGCATGATAGTCTACGAATTTATTGACATAGAAAGCACAGAAGGCATCCAGTGTATCCTCGGACTTCAAGTCGCGCTGGGATGAACTGGTCGCCATAGACAGGCGGAAGGTGTCCAGCTCGGAGTATGGTATCGAGGTGTATAACCTCATAAGGTCGTTGTCCATCTTCGTCAATATCGGGCGCGACAGATTCGTGATTACTAAGTTGTGTTATATGCTAGCAAAACGGAGACGTACCTGGACGGCGCGCAAGCACCACAAACACATCGACACGCGGACCATTCACGGCATCCTCATCGCGCCCTGCTTCGTCCTCCACATCTTCATCTCCGGCCTCTTCGTCTCCGGCTGGCTCGGCACGAGGTCTTCCTTGAATGGGGCGCCACGCGTGCGCATCAGGCGCGTCGGGTTCCCCGTCGGCATCGTCATCACAGTCGTCATCGTCGTCAACATCCATGTCGGGATCGAGCTCTTCAAGCAATGCTTGTAGCGCATTACTCAAACACGTACCCTCGAGCCGCCGGGCGAACGAGAATGTGGACAAACAGATGCGCGAGCGAACGAGCAAGTGAATAAGTGGCCGGGCAGGCGGATGGACTCACCTTCGTGTCGGTCGGGTTCGGTTCGTGCCCCGGGCTCCACGCGTCCGTCAGGGGTCGTCTAAGGGCGGCCATGGTTCCGAGAGCGGTCGGGGATTGGAGGCGCGGCGACAGGGGCGCAGGCGTGTGGACATTCAGCGGGGACAGACTTATTGAGCACGGACCGGGGCGCGTTGAGCGACGACGTGTGCGTCGACACGTCTGGCGGGGTGGCTTGGCGGGCGCGAGATCTGCTGTTCGTCTTCACATCTTGCGGGGCCTCGTCTGCACTTGCCTTTGCACGCGTCGGAGAGACCTGTCCGCCGGGCTTGGAGACACAGTGTTGGTCGTTTGCATTGGTGTGATCTGTCGTGGCCTCAATGTGCGCGTCGACGCGTCGGACTCGCTGTCGCGCGGTGCGCCAGTTTGCGGTTGCTCGACCTCGGTGCTTGGATTGGCGCCTGCGAAGCGATTACCGAGCGTGGTGGTCTCGCAGTGCTCGGTACTGGTCTGGAAGACTTCGTGACGCTCTTGCGGCGTCGCTGGTGGGATCTTCGGCCAGCCGGACGTAGTGGGTACTGTTTGGCTCGTATTTGAGACGTGAGCGAGCGGGCCTGTCATCTGCCTGGTCATCCGCCTACTCGCTTGCTTGCGTGCGTGATGCACATTCGATGGCCGTGTCGGCGCGCTGGGCACTTGCCCAGTGTGCTCGCAGTTTTTGTACCTGTCGAGCTGCACAACGATGCGCCCACCCACCTGTTCACGCTCCCGCCGAGTGAGCTCCACCCATCGGGCACCTATGCGGGCACGCCGTCCACTCACCGGCTCCCCTGATCACCCTCTCATGCGTCTGCTTGTTTGTTCACCTGGACACCCCTCCGCGGGCTCGCCGACTTATTCATCCACCCGCCGTCCTTCCGCCCGTGCCCGTGGTCCACCCGTCGGCTGCGTTTGCACGCGGGGCATTCGCCCGGCGCGCTCGTGGTCAGCGAGTGTGTCAACCACGCCCTGTGGCCGAGGTCAGCTCGTTCGCTTGCTCACGCGGCCAGCACCCACCTTCGCCCGCTCGTCGTTTGCTCACGCGCATGCCGTCCGTTCGTGGGCCGTGATTGCGTGCTGGGCATTCGCCCAGTACACTCGCGGTCAGCGTGTGTCGTCCTCTGCCTTGTGTGCCCGCCGACACACCCGCCCGTTCGTGGACCCACCCACTTTGCCCAGTCGTAGTGACGGTCTTCATGTTTAGCATGGCCTTGTTGCTCGGTGCTGGGCTTACACACGCGTTGTACAAGATTCGGGCCGTACCGCGGGATGCGAGCCGAACCGCCGTCAAGGGTGATCTGGTCGACTTGGTTGTTGTCAATCTTGAAGTCACGGAGGACCTTCTCGACAGGCTCGAGGGTGGTACTGTGGAAGAAGTCGTTGGGCAGCTCTTCGAAGCGAGCACGGATGAGCGAGGAGTAGATCCCGACAATGTGAGCACTGAGTGCTGTGAGGATTTGGCAGAACTTACTTACAGTACATCGTTATTGAACGTCGAGACTAGGGTTGGAGATGAGGCTATTGCACGTTACGGAAACTCGCGCAAGGCCGCCGCGCGTCTGCCCTAAAGCGAAATTCAACTCCGCTCTGAGTCACACGGGGTGCGCCTGCATCGCTGGCACGCCTCCCTCACAACGGCGACCCATGGATCCTCGATGCCACCTGGTACCTCAGGTCGGGGTACTCTGGCCGCTTGCTCGGAGCGGCTTGGGTGCCCCATCTACCTGCTCGATCGCGATCCTAAGCTCTCCTCTTCCTGTTCACGAGAAACGTATCTCATCGCGTGACCCTCGTTCAGCTGTCCCGTCGTTCGTCGCAGGTAATGCCTCTCCTTGCACTCGCTGACGCGTCGTTTGCAGCACACACCTCACGGTGTGGCCGCCACCTCGTCGCGATGCTCGCTGACAACTGACTGCTTCTCGTTGAAGATTTCGAGCGCGTCGTGCGCAGCCAAGTCTCCCTCGTGGACGCCGCGCTCGAGGTGAACTCACGCTCCCCGAGAATGCGATGTTCATTGGCGTCTACTTAGTCTACGAGTTTGGGCTCGTCAGCTCGTCACGGTACGTCCCCATTAGCAATCCAGATGCCCTCTCCCTAAATGTACTCCCCCACGCAGACTTCGGGGGTGTACATCTTCACGCTCGACGCGGCCGAGCACCTGCTCATAGACCTGTCCATCCCGCCCTCGCGAAACAGCCTCTCCCTCGGGCTCATCCGCCCCTCCTCCTCCCCGTCTTCGCCTGGGCAACACAGACAAGCTCTACGCTGCAATACTCCACTGTCATCACGCCGAACTGGTTCTAAGTAGATTGGGTGATCCCTGTCTCACACCAAAGGGTTTGTTCGGACAGAGTACTAACGGACACCTGCATAGTAACAGACCTCGCCTCCATTCGCAAAGCCCTGCGTGTCATGCACGAAGACTACTACGTCCCCGACATCGTCATCAGCTCCATCTCACTCAAAGCTTGGGTCCGTGTGGCCCTCGCGCCCGCGGCGCAGCCCACCGACACGGACAGCCCCGACGCTGACTTCCTCGCCTTCATCTCGTCTTCCGCCTCCGCTGGGCAAGGTGCGGCTCGCCCCGCGTCTGCGTCTACGGTGCATGCGTGCTGAGTACCGTGCCTCCCCGGCTACTTCTCCGGCGTGGGTGACCTCTTCTCCACCTCAGTTCTCGGCCGACGGCCACTTCCAACTCGCGCCCTCTGTCCCCTCCGCCAACGCAGAGTTCGGCACGGAGAAGGAGACGCCGCTGGCGCACGCAGTCGCACACGTGCTGAGCAAGACACACGCGCTCCTCACGCTCACGCACGAGCACACGGCGGGCGTGCCGGAGGCGAACACGCTGCCGACGGACGAGGAGCCAGACGTGGGCGAGCCCAAGAGGAAGGTGCGGCGGATGAGGGGATGCGAGCTGAGTCGCTCGCAGGCCAGCTTTGGATCACTTAACGCGTGCGACGGGGATGGCGGCGCTCTTCCCGGAGCTTGTGAACATGCTCTCCTCGAGGTTCATTGGCACAACTAGTGACGAGTATCGTACTTTGTGCTCGTAGATTGATTTAATATTCATTCCTGATACCTGATTGCATGAGTGATTCAATTGGCACGTCTACTGGTCTCCCGGCCTAGCAACCTAATGGTCTAACACTGGTCTAACACATGTCTGATTTAGAAATGGATCTACTTAAGTTAGACACTCGATCTAACGAGTCTAAGTGCCTAAATGCCTGAATTAGGCGAGTTAGACACGAAAGTCACTTTCCTGATGGGGCTCCAGCGACTCGGCGACCATGTCACTCAGGCTCATATGCCGTCACGCCCGCATGTCCATGATGCACGGCGCGTGACGATCCCAGCACTGTCGATGCGCGACGCTGTTGTTCGGTGGAGGAGCAATGAGCACAGCAGACGCGTAGTCGCGCACTGAGAGGAGCGAAGAGACTGCCTGAGGCTGCGGACCAACCGCGGACGACCGGTAAAGATGTGATCTTTGGCGCTTCGCGGATGCTAAATTCACGTGTACGGTCACGAGCGAGCAGACCGCCGCGTCGCGCTCGTACACTCGTACGCTCGTACGCTCGCCTGCGACATCTCCGCGCTGTCATCCTGCACCGTGCGCCCGACTGTCTCCTCCAAACCTGCGCTATACGCCCGGCGAGCCTGTCGCGTAATTGTGCGGTCGTGTCTGCTGAGTCGAGGGCGTGGATGTAAAGCCCGTAGTACGCGCACGGCGCGGCGCATGGTTGGCTGAAGTAACTGTGAGTATCGAAGACAGAGAGGTGCTGCGAGACTCATGTCAGTACGGTACCCCACATAGATTGTACCGGGGCTACCCACCTGCGACCGGTTTCCGTGACGCAAAATCGCCCTGAAGGTATTCCGGAGGATCTCCTGTCCCTCGCGCCCGCGAGGGAGGGTGGCGTCCTCGCTCGCGCTGTACCAAGGTGCACTGAGCTGAGCGTGGTAGCGGGCGTGGCGCTTCCACAGGCCGTAAGGCTGGACGCGGGGTTGCAGCGCGGGAGGCGCCTGGAGTTGTCGTGGCGATGTGTCTGTGAGTCGTGTGTTCGCCCAACGTTGCGTGTGTGACGCCGAACGCTAACTGCCACTGCACCCCAGTTACGATGGTTAGGCTGTATGTCCACTCCCACCGTCGTTATGCTCCGATGCCCTCCGTTCTTAAGAATCGTCTTCCCATATTCTAATCCAGACTCAGTAACCCAGCCTTCACCGCCCATCGAAGTGCAACTTACGCGCAGAGATCCGCAGCTGAGCACGTATGCAACACTGGTCACGCTTTCCGCCTCCGATATCTTCATGTCGGCGATTCTTGGGCTCGTGGTCCATCGTCTGGTAGTCCCGATTTACAATACACGTTGCAATCGACCAGCAATCGACAATGCTGAATGAACTAACTCAGACGATATCGGGCCCGGCAGACCAGCAGCCTGACCTTCTCCTACTGCCAGTATGCCGTGCTTCCCAATGCGCTCGTGTACATGGCAATATTCTGGGCGTAACTATCCTTCCGTGAGTCGCAGTTTGTCCCATGCATTGCCAGCTTCACCGCTGACTGACATGCACACTCGTCAATTTCGGGTTGATGTGATTCACGCTGGACGACAGAGAGCCGTTGCGAGCAAAGAACACCGCCGTTGAATTGGTCAGATGTCGGCGGCGCCAGAATCATCGGTTCCACTTTCAATTTTGACCACTGGACCCATTTGGGCGTGTGCCTGTATTTGTAAAAACACAATTCAGGATTGTTCCGGCAGACCAGACCTAGACATGGGGGAATAGTGGTAAGTGAGCGCTAGCACACATTCAGAGTACTCGCCGCGGAGCACTGATGCTCGTCTTCAAACGCAGTATGTAAATCATTCTTCTATTCTGCCCCACACGAATTCGGATCAATCAAGTCTATCAGTGTCGTGGAATGCTGCTATATCTGTCAGCGGACGCAGGTATTGCAGGGTCTATGTACGTGGGGCACCTTTGTTGAACTTTCAGTTCTGACCGTGATTGCATCTGCGAATTTGAGCGTCAGACCACCATAAGATGGTGTCAGAACCGTCAACCTGGGGCCTGAGGCCTGAGGCCCCTGAGGTTCGATGAGGCAACGGGAGGGTGCTTGTCTCGCCCACAGAACGCGCATTCTGATGGCGGTCTTGTCCTGTCAGAAACCCGTGACAGGTCGGAATCATTCCCAGTCGGGGATTCGAGATAAGTTACTTGCGACCTGCGAATCGGCATGTGACTGAAATCTGTGATGGAACAGTGTTCGTTACTATAATGCTGGAGTGACACGCTTTACCCCTCACACTACCCTTTGGACTAAATCCTACTGAAGACAGACGTATGTACGTGCTCTGTACATGCAGATTTTTACTCATATTATTTGACGCAGCGCCAGTGCTTGAGACTGGAAGAACCGAAGTGGACAGACACTCCGGTGACCCGCTGTCTTCGAGTGTCTCAACTTGGCATGCAGCAGGAACACATCGTGCACGAGGCGACGAGTAACGCATGTAGCCTCAATCATTCGTTTGAACTCTATTGAGTCACTGACTTTTCATGCTCTCCGCAGCCCGCGGATCTCTCACCCGTACTGCTGACTAACACCGTGTAGCTTCGTCAAAAAGTTTCCTACATATGCTGCTGGTTGGAGTGTCTCCCATGCCGTTTATTCGTGAACGTCTTTACTACTGATTTCTTTGCAGTCGTCCCAATTGGCCACGATGAAAACGAGGGTCGACATGCAGATCTTGTGACGTATCATGAAGAGCAGTCTTAATCAGTGGTGCGTTTATCCCAATTCATTGCAACGTCATCCGAATAATAATATTGTCGCAGCCTGGGGTTTCGTGCTTCTCGGTATCAACCGTGTGTCTCCAAACATGCCGCACAGGACCACCGAATTTTCCGACTGAACGGTAAGCGGTGCTACCATTCCAATGCCAACGTCACAGCCAGCGAACGCTTTGATGAGTGCCAATGAATCGTGCGCGTTAGCGGAAGGTGTATCCGAAAATCACATTTTGTACCACCCTCCGTTACGTTCTCAATGGCAGGGTCCTCTCTCGTGTGGTCGAGCGGCGGAGGCCATGCATTCTCACCGCCCATTTGACTTCTGGACCTCCCACACGTGACAGGGCCCGAGCTCTATTCCACTGGCAGATATAAGGGAGTAATGCTGGCCGTAACCCTCAGCTGTTCGCCCATTCAGCACGCATGGTGTCCCCGGTACGTGACTTCCTTGCTACGCGAGAACTCGAACTCATTGTAGTCTGTACATCTTCATAGTCTCTCCAGACCTAAGGAATCAGTCCTACCGTCTTTGCGCTCATCATCGCCATCGACAAGTACCAGCACGACGCCATACCGAACTTGCACGGCTGTGTTAACGATGGCGAGTACTTCCAGAGGTTCCTGAAAGATTCGCTGCACGTTCCATCTAGCAACATCCTCAGGTTGGTCAATGAGTCCGCTACGCGGGACAATATCCTGTCCGCGTTTGATGGATATCTCATCAATAATGAGCGGATTGGACGGGACGACCTCGTCTTCGTCTTTTACGCAGGTTATGGCGACCGCATAGACGCTCCAGCGGACTGGCCGGAAAGAAAGAAAGTCGAGACCATCTGTCCCTATGACCAGTCGGCTTTCGAAGGACTTGTCAGCCCGAAGTGCCGCCCGATCTATGGCATTCCGGATCGGACATTCAACGCTTTGATGGACCAGTTGGCAGAGAAGAAGGGGAACAATCTTGTGTGTACTATTTCTCTCAGTGCGGCCGGCATCATATTCAAGCTCTAATATCTTCAACAGGTTGCGATTTTCGATTGCAGCTTTCCACGAGGAGGGACTGCAGATGAGGGTGAATGCAAGATGTCACGATCCCTGCCTAGCACCCTGACGCGGCTTCCGTTGCCTGCGTGGCCTGACAAGGAGGTGGTCACTGTAACCCCCGACGTCTCAGCGGTTTCGGGTGTCCTCGTATAACGTCCCACCTGCTTCTAGCTGCGTGTCAGCCCGAGGAGACCGCCAAGGCGACCCACCCTGCAGCGGGTAGCGCCGTCACCGTCTGTGGGATTTTCACTCGCAACCTTGTGGACGCCTTCCGGAGCGAGGCGAGCCTCCAAGAATTCTCGCGTAAAACCTATGCGTGTCTGATGGACCGCCTGCCTACGATGAGGCCAGATCTGATGCTTCACCGCCAGCACCCCTTTTGTGAAGGCGAACACAAGAATCGCTTGTTGTTCACGACCCACGCAGTGGACGACTCACTTCCCAAGTACTCAATCCGAGTCACATACGAGGACGGTGCGCGGTACGTGCCAGCGGGCCGCATACACGGAGTAGTGGAAGGTGGGACACTGTTCACATGTTTGCTACGTACCACGGGCGCAAAGATCGACATTACCTTTTTCATGGTCGCTGTCAATGTCTCTGCCCGACGATCGCAGATATATTGGCACCTCGCAGGAGACCGCCGGAACCCAATCAGGTTGCTTGGGCTTCATGATGCCATCGTGATCAGGACGCCCCTTGCCATTGACCCTGATCCTTCGACACCTCAGGTTCCTTCGACTGACCAGGACCCAAGGACTCCTCGGACTCCTCAGGCTCCTTGGACTCCACTGGCACCTAGCCCAAGGTGCGGTCAATATATTTCACCTTGACATGACAATGCTGACCATCTGATACGTAGACCCACTGTGCGGAAAAGCGTCTTTGCACTTGTCATCACCATCGACAAGTACAAGGACCCGAAAATCGCTCCGCTGGAAGGCTGCGTCAATGACGGTGACGACTTTGTCGACTTCCTCACGGAGACTCTGCAGGTCCCCTCCAAACAGATCGCCAGACTCAGCAACGAGAAAGCTACGCGTAGCGAGATTTTTCGTCGCTTTGAAGAACATCTCATCTCCAACCCTGACATCAGCCGCGGAGATGCCCTGGTGTTCTTCTACGCCAGCCACGGGGATCGCGAAAGGGCGCCTGACGGTTGGACGGCTTCGCAGGGCGACACGATCGAGACGATTTGCCCGTATGATGTTCACACAACGAACAGAAACGGAGGAGT